CTGAGCAGGTAAAGTGTGCGTTTGAAGCTTTGAGTTTGCAAGGTACGTTATGGAGTAGGTAAACCTGTGACTGGTAATCGCGCGTGAACGTCAAGTCACGCTGTCGACTCTTTTCTCTGTTTACTACCACCTCGACGCGGTGAGTTTCTTCTGTGTTGTGCTGGCCTAGAGCTTATTCTTCTACAGAACTCTTTCCTCCCTCAGCTGCGAGACACGACGCTGTAGGCCATCTCTGGTCAACTGCGAGTCGCGTAAGGCTATTTGTTGTTGTCTTGCTCACCGTGTTGACTGCTTTACAGATTTTGAGCTCCTCCTGCATGTCTTCAAGACGCGCTTACCGACCCTCTGGGAACCTGCGCCGCCCTATGCGGGCCTTTATTGGCCAACCTCCACGACAGTCTTGACGCGCGCCAATTGTTTGCGCCACTTTGTAAGATTGTTTTATGCCCGTTTTTTTGGCTCATTTCTCGACAGAGTTGTCCGATATCGTCTCGCACGTAGTCATGCTCACGGCCTCCTTCGTCTCCAACCTCACCCTGCGCTTGCCTGGCCCGCGTACGACAAACCACGACCAGGCAACCCAGCCGCGGCGTTTATGTCAACCACGTGCCCGCAAGCGTCTTCCTCGCTGTCGCAACCACTGTGTCCAGAGCTCGGAGTTGGCCAGCTGTGCATGGGTGAGTTCGCACACATTAAGCCTAATCTTGCACTGAGTCATTTTCCAGCTCTTGCTGCCGTTGCCGCTGTTCCGGTCGCGCCTTTCCGGCTCGCGCTCACGCCCGGCGTTGTCGTTCTGGCTATCGAATATGCCGAGCCACGCCAATTCCATTCCACGCGCGTACGACAAGCCACAATCAGGCAACGCAGCGGCGTTCATCATCAACACCCTTGGACTCAGAGATGAGGACTGGCCAACTTCAACATGCTTGCCATTACCTTTCACCCCCGCCCTCTCGAAAAGCGGTTCTGACGGGCCTTCATCATCTCCACGCTCGTGATGCTCCGCGCGAAAGTTCCCCATATCCTTTGACCCGACACTCGTTGTCTCAAACACTGGCCAGTCCAACACAAGCGTCGACCATCGTAATCAAATGCGCCAAGTCCAACTCGGGACCCTCCCCTCACCGTTGGCGGCACTCCCGCGCTCACGCCTGCCCGTCTTGATGGCACCATTGGCATCACCCTCAAGTCTTTTCACAACGCTCTGCGGTTGCTGCTCGACAATGGCCGCCATCTCCTTTCATTGTCTCGGCGCCAAGTTACGAGCCCGTGTGCCCGGTACCAATCCAAGCTGGCAAACCCAACCACAATCTTGCCGCGGTAAGACTCAAGTTTGGATTATGTTTGTACGTTTACTGATTCTTTGACAGAACGGCCATCTGTTGGGCTGAAACTCACCTCGACTCGGTTCCCGTGCTGCCGCCATCGTCTCTCGGCCGGCCGGCGCCGCCAACCCGTCTTCAGCAGAGTTGACGCCGACTTGCAATTGGCCCAAGCCGTGACTCGGATCTGGCCCGAACCAACTTGGGCAGTACAACTGTGCACCTTGTGGCCCTCGACATCGCGGTCTTCAACCCTCACGGCTGTTTTCTTGTCGGCTATCTCCCCCCGGCCACCCCAACGTATTCGCCTGTGAACCCGAGCTCAAGTTTCGCTCGCATTGCATTGGGCCTTGTGTCACCTGGCCCGGGCACCATCGTCTCACCGCCAACCAACTTTGTCGTATGGTGTTGCCGCTTTCCCTATTCCTTCCTTCCGCTCCCACCAGTTGTCATCAAGCATTCGCAAACCACTTGGCATACCCGGTCCGGCCTGTCTCTCGCCGCGGCCCTCTATCCCGCCGGTCCACCAAAGTCGGGCAGCGAGGAATATCTTTCTCGAATAATGCGCATGTTGTATTGTACCACCGCCGCCCTGGGAAATCCAGCTGCTGAGGTAAGACTGAAGTTTTACATTATGTTTGTGCCCTTGCTGATTCCTTTCCAGAAGTGCCGCAAGCTATACCCTGCCCGCACTTGATGCGACTGCTGCCATCCCCTCTGCTTAGCATCGCGGTACACCTTTGCCCGCCAACCACCTTCATATTGCCGCCCATGGCCATCGTTGGCATCAAGTCCCTGAAAGCCAGACTGAGGCTAGCGACCAAGTCCCAAAGTACTAAACAAGCCCGTACTACCAGATTGTCTGGGAAATGCGCTGAAGGGGTGCGGGTCGGCGACCGCTCTTGGTTGTCAACTATTCGAGTTTACAAACGGCGGGCCGAGCGCGCGAATGGTCAAGTCTCAGAAGCGCTGTGGTGGTTGGTGGTGATTACGGCACAGGTGAGTCTTCACCTCTGTCCTTTTTTTTTGTTGCCCTTGGTGCATTGCCTTCGGGAGGGGAGACCATGCACGGCTGTTGAAGGAAGTGCAGAATGGGATTGCCTACCCAGAAAACGCGTTGGAAGTGCTTAATTAGCGCGTTTAAGGGCTGAACCAGAGACTGACCATTTTCTAGCGCCAAAATAAGAATCTATTGAGGGAGAGCTAAGTGCGAATCTGTGAGATTTAGCGTCACGTGATCGTGTTTGCGGGCGGACCAGGAGGCGGCGGCGGAGCAGGAAGAGGAGGAGGCGAGGCGGCGACGTGCGGAGACGCCCGCGTGGCGTGTGCCGAGCGTGCCGAGAAAAAGAAGCAGGATGCGGCGTGGACGCGCGCACGTCGCACACGCAGCTCAGTGTATACATAGTAGGGTTGCTCAGAACTTGCGCGTCGTTCACAGCGGGAAGACGAGAAGCCCGGCTTACTCAATCGCCGTGTGTTGATCTCCTGTTTTGATGGATGACCGCAGCCGAGCCCACCTCGAGCGGCTGATAATACCGCGGAAGCCTTGGATGTCGTCAAACAACAGCCCCCCATCCGCCGTTGTCCCCGAGCCCACCTCGAGCGGCTGATAATACCGCGGAAGCCTTGGATGTCGTCAAACAACAGCCCCCCATCCGCCGGAAGACTCACTGCGGGCCATCTTTACTGAGGGCGACGATGGTGACTGCAGGTCGTTGTGTGGGCGCAATGAGGCCGCCTGTTGCTAAGGGGCCAGGGGGTGCCCCCACTTCAGCACCGCTTCCCGGCGCGTGGGCCCGTAGGCGCCTAATCCCCTAGTCAACAAGCCACGCTGAGACGCCGCTGGGCGCCTGTCGCGGCCTCTTCGAATCGCCTTTTCGGGACGTAATGACAGGTGCCGGCATCGGGCCGCGCGCTTCGGCTAGATTTCGATAAGATTGCACCTAGGTCAGGTCTTCTCTTCTTCGAATCAACCCGACTCCCGAGTGCGTCCACAGTCCACGTCCACAGCGCCTACAGGACAACAAGCATGGCGTCGCGTCATTGGCTTTCTTATGCTTCTCCGGGATGCGCTCAGTGCCGCTTGTCGAAAGACTGAGAGGCTCTTAGTGATATTTCTGATAGTTGCCAGACTCCAGATTGGTACCCTTCAACTGCACTCCCATATATGGACTAGGTGGACATGCTGCACGTGCGAAAATACACACACGTCGATGTCCCTGACGCAATGTCTGCTCTCACCTCCGGGCCATCGATGGTGGCGAAGATAGATTGTGTTCGCCCCGTGCGCTGTGATTGGCTGGCCAGCGAGGATCAACGTCATCCCCTCCCACAGCGCGCCAGCGCAATATCAGCTGGCGACTCGGGATGCTATATCCTATCCAACCCACATTGCCGCCGAACAACGCTGCACAATTGCCCTTATCGGGAGTGCTGCTATTTTAATCCACATCTTCTCAGCAGATGCCTCCCTATCCGGAAATTCCTGGCCATTCACCAAAAGTTCACCCCAAACACCGCCGCATTTGGCCAAACTCCCCAGCCTGAACTTTGGCGCCTGTCCAGCAATTACTATCGCTCGCCCACCCCCCTGCCTCCTCGCCCCAATCACCGACCATAGTGCGACTCGGATACGCATAATCGGAAGCTTCCAGGCAGAAGCGAAGCCGTTCCCCGAGCCAGCGCACGCACGGTGGCGCTACTTAGCTCTTGACCCCCGTTTCAGCGTGAGCCTACTGGGCGCGCAGGCCTCGGCATGTCCCGGCGTGATGGCGGAGTTGCACGAGATCAGGCCGTGCTCTTCCGTCCTTGAAGCGCAGGCGGGGGCTGGCCGGCGGCCCGGCGCGGGCGCTCAACGTCTTATGTAACCCCTTTCTTTTTTCCTTACTCGGCTTCCACGGCCATTCCGCCGCCACCCACTATCCAGGGAATCACGCCCCCGCCACCGCTGTCCGACCCACCCACCGCAGCCGACTACGTCGCTGCCGAGGAGTACTTGAACCGCATCGCCATCCGCAAGCAGTCGGTTTATTACTCGCCACTCAATGCACGCAGCGCGGGCTTCGCGGCCGAGATATACACGTGCGCGAAGATCTACCTCTCGCGGCGGTGACGCTCAACACCGCAAGCATACTTATCTTATCTTATCATCATTTGCTGACGATTTCTTGCAGCACCGACCGACGGACGCCGCGCTGGCCGGTGCGCCGCAGATGTACCAGCAGACTCAGCAGCAGATGACTCAGGTCGAACAGCTCAGGGCTTGTAATTTACTTTCGAGGATTCTTGTGAGTTCTATCTGCTAATTTTTATGTAGTTATTTAAACCATACAAATCCTTCCTCACTCTGAATCTGACATACCCGGGACCAGGGACTCAGATGAAGACTGAAGTCTAAAAGAATAAATCAACTTTATACTGTAAAATCACCTCAAAAGGCAATTTCAGGTTTCTAAATTGGTTCATGAGTATGTACATGGTGTTTCACAGCAATCCCTAGGTTTCTGGTCCAAGTGGTAATAAGCACAATATTCAAATTATTATCTACAGTAAAAAGATTATTCAATGGTGAATTTTTTATGAAGCACTTGTCGTCAACGCTCTCAAGGCAGGCCGCTCTTCAGCTCGCCCCATGCAGGCAGGTTGAAGAAGCCCGGGAGGTCGTCCCATCCCTTCTGCTTACCCGCCACGATCAAGTCTCCGATCTGCTTCTGGCATGAAGGACACTGCCGGGCGACAAGCGATTTGGATTGGTCGGCGCTGAATGACGCGAGAAGATAGCAGCAGTGGTCGTGGCTGGCGCAGCTCCGCAGTTTCTTGAGGCGCTCCTGGACACAACTGTGGAAGTTGAGGCACGTACGTCGAAAACTCCTCCAGAGTCGACGGGAACTGGAGATGCAGGCGCTGGATAGCAGCAGTCAGGAGCTCACGGAAGTCGTATTTCGAGCCCAGCCGGACGAGCGCGGTGACGATGCAGAAGGCCACGGGCGTCTGCGACAGCAGCGTGCTGGGCATCGTCAGCAAAAGTTAAACAGAAAGAAACCCAGACACACGGGGTGTACAGAACTAGGAGTAAGTTCTTGACGTCTTCAGGATCGTCCTGGACCTCCACAAGAGGACATCCATCCACCATCGTCGCTTGTGCTTCTGGCTGGGGCATCTCATACATGTCACTAAACACTGTGGAGTGCGCTGCAAGGAGACCGAAATGCACACGGAACTGGGTGTTTCCAGCTTGGAGAACAATACTCCCATCCTTATACCAGATTTCAGAGCGGACTATCGTATCCTCTTCTGTTCTCGGACGTTTAGGCGCAGGAGGACCGGACAAGGACATTTTGGTTGTTTGTGTTGTGACTCAAGCCGTATCGGGGCACGTGAGCCAAGAGATCAGACCACTAGTACTGAAAAGCTCCAGAGGGAATTCATTGCGCTCCCGCCTGCACAAGTAGTCGTGCAGGCGCCTAAAAAAAGGTACGGAGGTAGTCTAAGGTATGTAGGCGGGAACTAAATACCAAGTACATATTTAGTACTGAACAAAAAAGTACTTATTACACGACAGAGAGAGGAAAAAGAGGAAAAAGAGTACAGGAGTTATTCTTCCATGCAGACAGACCTTCCGATCCGAGACCACTGCGATAATTCTATCGAAGTGCATAGGCATTCAAGTTTTGACGGAACAACAGTGCACTGCATTATTAATCAACAGGTCACGCGGCACGTCACGCCACCGCGCATTCCCATCAACCACTTCATTGTCTTGCATTGTGTACACTTCATGGCCGCAATTAACCCTCCGCCGCTCATCCCAGGCATGACTGCGCCCCCTCCTTTGGCGAACCCTCCTACAGCGACCGATGCCAAGCTCGCCGAGGAATACCATCTTCGAATTGCGGCTCAGCGCCATAGTAAGGGGCAAAGGTTGTTTAGTTGCTTCCTCACCCGCTATGTTCAGTGCATATTGCTGGATTCACCGACCAAATGTATACCGACTCGAAAATATATGCGAATGAGGTGCTGGCCGCTGTGGCCCTCAATGCTGGTATGTCCAGGACTGGATGCTTTCTCAATATTGATGGATGCTAGTCCCTCAGAATGCCGCTCTCGCGGGTGCTCCTCTGTGGGCACAGCAGATGCATCAGCAGAGTCAACAGCAATTTACCCAGCTCAATGCCCGCATAACCCAACTTGATCAAAATGCCCAACAGAGAAACCAACACCTCCAACAACTCAACAATCGCATTAACCAACTCAACAATGTCTTTGATGAGCTCAAGCTTGTTGTCTTTCGTGTATGCACTTATATTCATACCCTTGCCCTCTTCTCACCTGGCCCAGACCAACAACCTCATCAAAAGCGGTGGTGGTCCTGGGAACCCTCTCGACATTGCTCCTGTCCTTGACCCTGTTGTTAATCCCGCAAATGTGTGTTGTTCATTTGTAAACCACTGTTGATGACCATTGACCATTTCCAATAGTTGTCTGCTCATAACGACTGAAGATGTCACTAATGCACAACTCTACACCTATCTTGCTGGTTACAATTGGGAATTGTGTTACTGTATTGCAGCTATTGTATTGTACTCCCTTCTTGTTATTAGTTACTTAGCCTTTATCGCATAAATTGACTGTTTGTCATCGCCCTCCTACTTGTTGATCCCTCATCTGCCTACACCGTTACTCGCTATGAGCTCATTGCGCTCCTGCCTGCGCAAGTGGTCAGACAGGCACCAAAAGGGGGATATAGGTATGTTGGGACGTAGGGAACAGACAAACATGAAGATAACGTCCAGAGGCGCGTAAATCCTCTCAAGGCAAGCCGCTCTTCAACTCGCCCCAGGCGGGGAGGTCAAAGAAGCCCGGAAGGTCGTCCCATCCCTTTTGCCTGCCAGAAACAAGCAGGTCTCCGATTTGCTTCTGGCAAGGGGCACATTGCCTAAACATTTCGGCGTTAAACGACATAAGTAAACAGCTGCAAGAGCCGTTGTTGATGCAGATCCGCAGTTTGTGGAAGCGCTCCTCGACGCACACTTGGAAGTTGTCGCAGGTGTCGAGACGAGGCGGTTTGGTCATCCAAGAGAAGATGTAGCCGGGTTGAAATGGCGCTTTTATGAGCCTGTCGAAGGCCGACATACAAGTTCGCAAACGGGCGGGCTTCAGATGGGCCACGGTCCCCGAAGGTCGAGCGGACCCATCGACCCACTCCCTCTAAGGATGCGTGGGTGGTTGTTGACCCAAAATTGAGATACTAGTGTGCTTACCTTTGGGAGTCGAATGATTTCATAGTAGATAGCAGGGAGGCAACACTCGATGCCATTCTCTATAGCCAGCTCAAGGACGTCAAACAAGATGTTCGAGGAGAGAGCACCGGAACTAGCGCTCTCGTATCGTACATGAAACTTCTCCAAGGTCGACGGAAATCGACGATGCATCCACTTGACAGCAACACTCCGAAGTTCACCAAAGTCGTATTTGGATCCCAGCCGGATAAGAGCTGCGACGATGGGGAAGGAGAGTGGCATTTGCGAGAGTAGCGTGCTGGTCTTCGTAAGTCAATGTTGCTTAGAAATAAGTAGTTTAAAACCACACACGGGGAATACAAAACTAAGAGCAGGTTCTTGACGTCTTCAGGATCGTCCTGAATTTCTACCAGCGGACAACCATCCACCGTATTCGACTGCGTCTCCGGTTGTGGCATTTCATGCATGTCTCTGAACACCGTGGAGTGCGCCGCAAGAAGACCGAAATGGACGCGGAACTGTGTGTTTGCAGCTTGGAGAACAATACTCCCATCTTTATACCAGATTTCAGAGCGAACTATCGTATCCTCTTCGGTTCTCGGACGTTTTGCTGGAGGAAGATCGCACAATGACATTTTGGTCCTCATCGTTTGTGTAAAGTGATGCGGAGCACGTGAGCAAAGATGAGATGTGGGCCATTCCTAGTGGTGAGGTTGGATTCTCGACACATCCAAAATGAGGGGAGCGACGACTGGAAACCCTTTTTTTCTGGGCCCTCCAGCGCGAATTCATTGCGCTCCCGCCTACACAAGTAGTCGTGCAGGCGCCCAAAAAAGGTACGTAGGTAGGTATGTAGGCGGGTAACTAAATACTGAACAAAAAAGTATTACATACGACAGAGAGAGAGAGAGAGAGAAATGCTGGTTTTGGTTCTTCTATGCTGCAGCGGGGACGGATCTCTCCTTGTCTTTTTTCGCTGCCTCCTGGGCAGCCTTGACGGCCTGCTTCTGTTCTTCAATCTCCTTCATCTGCTTCTCCAATTTCTCCTTCACGCTCGCGCCACCGCTGCCATTGAACTTGACGCTCTTGTGATGGCTCGCCGCTCCAATTGAACCTGTCTCGGGATTCGGGACGCTGACGAGAGGCGCTGCCGCCGAAAGACCACGGTGGAACGAGTTGGGCAGCACACGGCCTTCGGGGTGCTTGAAGAGACAGTTGGCCCGCGTACAAGCAGCGCCAAAATGACAAGGTTGAGCGAAATGCGGATTCGAGGCATTAGATGGGTGGTTTGGTGGATGCGTGAATGTGCAACCGGTGCGTGTACACGCAGCACCAAAGCGACAAGGTACGCCTGATGGCGGAGGATGAGTCACGTGTGGTGGAGGAGCATGGTGAGCGGCGGGAGGTGGTTGTGAAGCGGCTGAAGAAAAAGAAGTCAGTGGAGGACAAGTCTTATTCGGATCAACGCACCTTGCGGATTAAGAACGGCGGGACTGACATGAGCCTTGACGCAGTCTTTGTCTTTACAGTCTTTCCCATTCTCGCAGGCCTCGTTACTCAGAACGACGCCAGTTTCTGCAGTTGCGACTGGAGAAGGATGCGACCACCGACAATGCGCGTTGCTGCATTTGACACCAAACTTGCATAGTGTGGGCGATTGCGGTCGTTCGGGAAGTATATACCCAGTCAAACCACCGGTCGGAGCAGGGGCAACAGCTGGGGGAGGAGCTGGTGTCGGTGCGACAATAGGTATCGCTGCATTTTCTGCAGCCATTGGTTTTGGTCCAGATGAAGGTGGCCCACCACGACCACGGCCACGCCCTCTTCCAGCACCGCCCCGCCCTCTCCCATTTTGAGGCCCTCCGTGAAACCCTCCCTCCATTCCAGGCTGTCCTTGGAAAGCAGCTGGGTCATTGAATCCACCGCCAAACTGGCCCGTCGCTGGATTGATAATGCCCATCGTCGAAGCCATTTGCGCCATAAGCGCCATTTGGTTCATCATCATCTCTTGCAGCATCAAAGGGTTCGCCATCCCGTTCATGACACTCATGTCCATGCCCATGGGGAACCCTGCACTCATCATCATCGCCTGCTGTTGCTCGGGAGTCGGGTTTCCCACAATGGTGTCGATGTGCGACTGAATTTCGTCCTGCCCAAAGCTGTTTCTCCGTCCGCCAACACGGTCAATGAGGCTGCGAGGATTGCCTTCGCGCTGCATCGCTCTTGGGCCTGTGGGTAAGTCGGTCCTACGCATCTTGTGGGCATGGTTGGGTGAAGGAGAGCGAGCAGAGGCGGTCCGTTTTTGTCCTGAGGAAGGGAGAGCTTGGGAAAGAGCCTGCTGATAAACACCATTGCGGGGAGGACGGCGAGCCGACGAGTCATTCGCTGGCGGTGGCACGGAGGCGACTGATTCAGCAGGCTGTTGAGGGCCAGTCTGGGCTGGCGCAACAGACTCTTCGGCGCCTTTCTCAGCCTCGGCGAATAACCAATCCGTGAAACTGGGGTCTGCAGTCATAGTCAGTTGTTTGGCGAGGTCGCAAGAGAGACCAAAACACACCAAAATCCGATCCTATTACTGCGAGAAAGCATATTAGTGACCACACGCCTTTTCTAGCAGCTACAATCGCTCACAGTCTTCGAGTTCTCCCGTTATTTGCTCTGTCGTTTCGTGGTCAGCTGAAGATGCCACGCCAAACGCGCATACGCACCAGGAGTCTTGTCGTTTATAATCATTATAGTGATGTATTCAGCCATGACAGGGTCTGCGGTGAGTGAGTAGGTCGAGGGGGCCATTGTGGACAAGGCTCGCGAACCTGGGTCGGGACTATAATTCCGCCTTGTGAGCTCATCCTGAATGGATTGCTGGAGAACGTGTCAGACAGAACTCTCTAGGAAGGCATGAAAACGCACTTGGAGTGCAGTCGCGCGGTCCGTTCCAATAGTTAAACCGAACGGCATATCGTCAACCAGGACAGAGGGCAAGAGGTGTGAGTCACACGCGTGACTCACACAGCAAGCTATTCAACTCCGTCCACCTTGAAAGATACAACTTTGGCAGATGCTTACGCTGTAACCTGCGGCGGTCTGAGCTCGATATTCGACCGACAAAAAAGTTTGTTCGGAAGAAATCAGGCTCATATATGCCAGCTATCGAGTCGATCCTGCTCATCAATTTTACGCAAGAAGGCCAAACCGTCCTTGGTTTCTCGTTTTCATGGGACGCCATAGTGCACGAGCCCTTAGTCATATTTGGCTGCAATTGGCGCGATTTCTCGACCACCATCATTCCCGGCACTCTCTATACCGCTGCGTTCTCTCGAGTCCACTGTAACACCATCGCCAGAGACTGTTGTCATCTCCCTCGCTCGGTGCATGACATACCTGGGTGAGCTGCACGATATTCGCCGCTTGGCGATAAGCATTAGTTCACCAAGAACATCGTCTTCTCAACAGTTGACACAATAACCATTCTGGGAGCTGCATGGGAGTTTGGAGCGCTAATCACGCCTGTTGTTCTCCAATTCAATGTTCTCCTCAGCATCATGGGCAACATTCAAGACATACACGCTATGGTGGGCGACAACAATCAGTCGGTGCACGTTGCCAATAATCTTGGGCTCAAAATTCCCGTTGGTCATGGCTGGATTCACCGCAGGTTCTCTACTACTATGCTGGAAGTGTTCGCTTGGTATTCTGGGCTTCTGACAGTGGCCCTGTTCTACTGCGCATCACTGGCACCACTAAACACATATACAGCGTGCCTTGCTTTCTTTGTTCAATGTTGACTCGTTGCTCATCTTGTCGTCGCAGATTACGACTTACATCTTTTGTGGTTGCACCGCGATTCCGGTGCTATTTCCCTAGTCTCGCCTGGCCAGCTCCTTCAGCAATATGTTGCAACTTCAGGCTTCCTCATCGGACCAATGCAAAATCGCACAATGTCCAAATACTCAGAGCGTTCAGATTCCATAGGCTTCCATCTATTTGGCACTTCATACACGTAAATTGTGGCCAACTGTGGATAAATACTATTGATGCCGATGCGAAGTGGAAAATTGGTAGCATTTCCTTTTTCGTAACAGGGATGATTTGCTGGCAGAAGTCAAACAAAAGTTGTATTATTCTCGTTGTTACTTCCATAGGGCATTTTTTTAAAAAAAATTACGCCCTGAATACTACAGTTACAAACAAAACTGTCGTTTGTTAGCGTTCCAAGGCAATGAATATAATCTTCATGTGGTATAGCAGCGCGAGGCTGATGCTTCAAGCAGAATTCTACAACGTGAGAGCAACGACCCAGCCGAGCAATAAAGTCACGACGGCCACCGACACCCCCGCAGTCCTCGACGCCGCGCTCGGCGGCCGACTCGTGCCCGCCAACTCGTGGTCTGCGAACTTGTTCCCATTCGACGTAGCCAGAACAGCAGGGTCGACCGTGACTACCCAAGTAAATCAACCATCAAGCGAGAAGACTTAGGCTTACCCGTGTTCCTAAATTTGGTCTTGGCCGTTGTCGCAAACGTCGTGCTCGGCAGCCCCTTATCCTCCGTCATCGCGTCGTCCGACAGAAACACCAGCGCAAACCCGGGCGCGGGGACCACCACCGTGCACGTCTTCGCATTTCCGTCGCAAGTCACCGTCTTGATATCTTCCTGACCCATTGGCCGCCCATCGCTTTCAAAGTTCCCGCCAAACGTCTGCCCCGCCCAGGTAATATTGCCCTTTTGCACGACCGACGCCGCGGCGAGGTACTTGACTTTAACACTCGCGGGGGTAGTCTTGGTACCGTCTTGGTTAGCCAGCGAAATGACCACACTGATGTCGTTGGCATGGCTGGGGTCATTGACGTAGTTGACTATGGCGACCCGTTTGGGGACGCCGTTCTCGTAGATGGCGTATACGGGTGTGGAATCTGAGAGGCCCTCGATAGGCAGGTCAAGAACTTGCGAGTTGTTGCTCGGGCCCATCGCCTCTGCCATGATGAGCGCGGAGTAGTAAATCTATCTTGTGAGTCAGCCGAAAGTGTAGAGTCGTTGTCTATGACGCACAGGACCAATCGTCCATTGATGGAAAGAGCTCTCGTTTGTCGGCGGAGCTGTGAAGGGCTAAAAAGCGAATCAGACAAGGAAATATATGAGGCTGAGAAACTTGCGTTATAGTACACACTCTGACCACCCAAATGGAACATAGCGCCAGAGAAGTTTGAATAGGCCATCTGCAACGCGTAGTCGATTCCCCACAACGCGGAAACAAACGCATCGGAAATGCCCAAGAATCCACCACACGAAGCGGTGTTCGTCTCGAACATCAAGAACGGCTTGTTTTTGGTCTGCAAATACGTAGTCGTGTTGAGATACTCCGCGAGAAGGGCTTTGTGGCGGCTGTGCACCAGGTAGTTCGCCAGCTCGTTCTGTGGATTGATTGCCTTGGTAATATCACCGAAACGAGCCTGCAAGACTCATTAGCGCCGAGAATGAGCTGTGAGTATTGTGACTCACATTACAATTGTGATTTGGGTATCTGGAAAGGAGTACTAGTCAGACGAGGCAACAAGCGGAAAGACGTCATACTTTTCGGCAGCCAAGTAAGCTAAATTTGCGTTGTAGGTGTCGACGAAGCCTGTGTCCCAAACTTGCTCCAGCGTCCAGGCGAATGTAGCGATATTTGGCCCGATGAGGTTTTTCATTGCACGACCGGTGGGATCCGCGTTGGTGGAAGTAACCTGACCCAGGAAATCGGATAACTCGCCGAGATAGTCGAATGGGCCATACGTCTCAGGTCGGTGTCCATGAATCACATACATGTCCGGCTCATTGCTCGCTTGCAGACCAAGGAGGTAATCGCCGATGATGAGGTCCGCAGCAGTGACAATCGCGGTGTCGAATGGCTTGGTTTTGAGCCAAGGAATACCGAGGAACCAGTGGACGTTGACAAAGCTTGACACATTTCGCATCAGATAGAGCAAATCGGTCGTGTAGTCGAGTGGAGGGGTTTGTGTCGTTCCGGTGACGTTTTCGAGGTCTTTCATGAGAATGCGGCCATCGGGGAGGCTGTCTACCATCTTGGCGCTCTCTTGTGTATTTCCTCCCACTCGAACCATGACAGAGCCGGCGCGTTGCTGAAGATTAGCCATTAGGTTGAGGAAGGGCACTTGAATGTGTGTCGAGTTCTTGCCCACTATTGAGATAATAAGCCGTCGAGCAATGGCAGGAGTAAAAGGACACGCACAGACTTGATTCGTGACGGACATCTCGACACTGAAGCCCATGAACGAGCCCTTCTGCTTTATGGACAACCCCGCCGTGCCCGAGTTCTGTCAACGTTTGTGTACAGGCTTTCGAAAAGAATGCTGAGCGTACCAACAGGTTTACTGGGATGGTTTTCATGATGTCATTGGGGATGGGCGGGGGATTGAGGGTCGTGGGGTCGTAGGCTGGCAAGCCGGTGTGAGTTGGGAGGCCAGCGCTGCCCACTCCAGTCGTCATGGGGCGCTGGGCATGGTAAACAGTGATTTCCCCGAGCGCATTATGCGCAGAAAGGGCGAGTAGTAGCGCCTGGCGAAGGGGACCCATGGTGGGGCTAAAAGGAGTGAAGGTCAAGAAAGATAGGGAAGGGATAATATAGGTACCATGGGCGTCAACTACAACTCAGGTACGCCAAGCCCTCGGCGTTTGGTGCTGAGGTTGCTGAGGAGACACCTAAGTATATCCAGAGACCCAAGGAAAAGCGCAGAATTGGACAATGTCATAGTGGTTGATGAGAACGGCGTCGCAGCGTTGTACATGTGTTGCCGTCTTCATTTGAAAGCGATTGCATGCCTTCCCAAATTCTTGAATTTCCAGTTTGCGGTAAATGTAATGCATCGTTCGTCTTCCGGGGTGTGGGATGGAAAGTGAGCCGCTTATGTAAAACGCTGCGAAGCTAAAAAAAATGCCAATGGCTTCAACCGTTTCCCTTGGTCGAGTGCTATTAACCTGTGGTCTTAGATATTAGCATGGTATACGTAGCGCTAAGTAAGGTAGAAAAGAGACACTTGTAGGTAGAGTTATTAGAAGACATGTTTGTGGAAGTGGTTCAAGAGGCCCCGGGAAGCTCCTGCCAAGGGTTGTCCTGAAAAGTGTCTTTTTGAGGGCAAAAAATCGCAAAATCCTTGTCCTAGAAGTGTCTTTTTGAGGCCAAATTTCGAAAATCCTTGTCCGAAAAGTGTCTTTTTCAGGTGGTATGGTGCTCTTGGCTGCTGGATAAGTGCCGGAGGTGGACTGGGTGACTCGACATCCCCTTCGGCAGCCAATGGTCATGACTGGATGAGCTTCTGAGTATATCAGCCTGCAGAGTGCTCCATTCAGCAACAAGACAAGAAAAAATTTGGAGAAAATCAACGTCAAAAAATTGCCTTTTTAGGTAATATCACGTGCTAAGCCCTGTCCGGAAGTGTCTTTTCGAGGCCCAAAAAAGTGTCTTTTTGAGGGCCAAAAACCCGAAATCCTGGGACAACCCTTGGCAGAAGCTTCCCGGGGCCTGGTTCAAGTGGTTTGAGGTGAATGTGTTTGTTGTCTGTCTAGGCGCTCTTTGTCCTTTATATACCTACCCACTGTGGATGCAACCATCATACATTCAAGTTGAGTCGCTCCCCCGCTGGTGTGGTTGATTTTTCGACGCAAATCAAGGGCCAGACGCAATCCGAGTTGGGCAAATACGCCTCGAGGCCCAGCTATGGGCTCTGCGATGGGGTTTTTCTGGGAGGAAGGGTGCTTGTGGCAGCAGGACTTGTACCATTTCAGTGCGAGTGGAAGACGGAAAGTGACAGTGGTGCTGGCTGGGAAGGACCAAATAGTACCCAGGTCAACTTGTCTAGACGCGACATGAACACGAAGTACCCCAAGGACTGAAGTCTCGTCTAGTCAACTTGAGGTGTCCCCACTAATAAATTACATGTCCACGCATCACACAATTTTGGGCCCGCCCTTGTCTACACTAAGATATATCCTGTCCCCCTCCTGCAAGTCTTTGAACTGCACGAGAAATCAGCCACTGAGTAGTCACGAAAAACCCCAAGAAAATACCCACCGTCAGCTCCCGCGTTCGATGCAGACTCTCAATCTCGTCAATCCTGTCCCGCACGTTGTCCAGCAGCTCGTCGAAGCCCTCCTCGTCGCACACCTCCCTTGCAGCCTGCAGTATCAGCATCGAGTCCGGCCGCACCTCGTGCTCAACATCTATAGCAATGATATTCGCCCGGTCCAGCTCTTCCAGGAAGTCGGCCCGCGTCATGATTTCTCGACACCTCCACTAAGTCAAATGTTATCAGCGCAAGAAGAAGAAAAAAGAGGCTGACATAAGGGATTGTGGGCAGCGGAAGCTCTGTTTCGTCAGCTTGGAGCGTTCCGGCAGCGATTGCCTCCTCGCGGGCCTGCTCCTGCTCTTTACGCAGCTTGACAAACTCCCGCAATAACAACCACGAGCAACTACTCCATTTCTGCTCGTCCATTACATCGTCGTCACAATCAGGAATCAGACCTGAACGAAAAAGTCAGTCGAGTAATGAACAGAAACTAAAATAATCACCTATTTGGCTTCGCAGCCACGCTTTCTCGACTGCGAGGAGGTGTTTGGCCATCTTCAACATGTCTCTCGATCTGGCTACCTTGTTCAAATACGACAGTCGGCCACCAACGATGTCAATCGCCTGTTGGATGATGGACTGGTCCGCCTTTTTGGTCTTGTTCACATTCATGAACATGCGAGTAGCAGCGTGGATTGATTCGTGATTGTTGAGGTCGTAGATAGATAACACCTAAACAGCTTCAGGCGGGAAGGTACAGGTGAACAGAAACTTACATGCATCCGCGACGCCGTTTTACCTGGAATCAACTTGAGAAACTGGCCAATACGGAGAGCCTTGACACTTACGCATCACATAGAACGGCCAAAAGTCATCCGTTGTAAAAACACAGGTTACAATGCCTGCCAGAGTTTGTTAGACAAAACAAAATGTCGTCTCAGTTACCTGAAGCAGCCCAGCTCTCCGCTCGCTGTTGCAGCTGGAGCAACATACCCCGTCCGTCGTCGTCGTTCTTGAAATAGTGGACGTTGTTGATAATAAGAACCAGCGGTTTTTCCCGCCGGCGAGCTAACTTCAACGCGACCTTCTCCAGTTTTGTTAGGGCTGGTCGAAGCGGTCAGCACTGCCGGTAAATTCAGACACACAGGTACCTCGTTCGATATCCAGCGCGGGGCCACCTTCTCTGGGATCGCGCCGCTGGAATAGTCCAGTCTGCGAGTCTTCGTTGTATTCGTAGTTGATAGATTTGCCCAGTTTTAGTCGAAACACCTGCGACCATTCAGCAGGAGGACCGCTAGCATTTTAGCCCTACTTCGAGGTCAGGATGCGCATCGAGCATTGCAACTCCGTCGGCCTGAGTTGCAGCCATGGCCTCGAATATCATCGTCCCTTTGCCCGAGCCCTCGAAAAACTGTCAACAGACAACGCAGCAATGAAATCAAACACACCTTCGGACCAAGTAAGACAAAGTAATGCCCGGGCTCCTCGCCATGGACAATCGCGTCAATCCAATCCTGCTCCTTCCTCCTCAAATGTTGTGTCCACGGCCCATCTTCCGGCAGGTCCAAGTTGTCAATAACGTTGTCGTCGTCGTCGTCCTCCTTTTTGCGTTCGCCCGCATTCTTGTTTTGGTACGTTGCCAGCTCCAGCGCGGGATCATAGCCCGCTGCAAACGCGTCCTCGATCTGGTTGGTGGGAGAATCATCCCAAGAAGCGACATGACAGCGAAACGCACCTTTCTCAGCACGTTATACTTGTACCACCGCACATAGGCCACTCCCCCGACGAACACTACAGGCCACAGCTGAGTGGGATGACGCGTTTTTCTTGAAACGTACCCATCGTCAGCCCGACAATAGTGGTCAGGGCGGCGTCGCGCAGGTTGCTGCCGCCAAATATCGCGCTTCCAGGCACGTTGAACGGATTGGGCTTGAACGCCGAGCTTCCATCGAGTCGCTCGTCAGCGTCCGCGGCTGAGTTTGCTTCCGGCTTGGCGAGATGAGCTGGAGGTCGTGAACGCGGATTTGTTGGTATTGGGGTGGTGTAATAACGCAGACCGAAACCAGCAGGGGAACGGGATATCAAAGAGTGGCGAGGAAGCAGACGCAACGGTAAGGGCATTAGAGTACAAAGTCAAGAGAATCTCTGAATCTCCATTATTTTTGCACGTGCTAGGCATCGTCAAACAACGACCCGCCCAGAGTCACCACGACAACTGGGCGCTGGGTTAGAGATAACACAATTCAGTACAGAAACATAAACCAAAAACAGATATGTAAGAAAATATGTAAGCATTTTCCAGCAAAGCAAGAACATAAAAGTAAGTAACGATACAGAAAACAGATCCAAAGAATCACTCTCTTCTATGACACACTAAGGTTCGGGTTATTGCGCATCCTCTCCGTGGCTTTCTGGCGGTGGAGCCGATTCCTCAGATGCAGCTCATAATTGTTCAGCGTCTCGCCAGGGCCAGTGATGTACACCTTCACCAGACGTCAGTCAACGACCATCGAAAAAAAGAAGCAATTCTCACCTTGCCGGGACAGTCCAAACACTTTATCCGCCATTCCCACCCAGTCTCGTTGACCTTGCATATCACCTCAAACCTATCATTCTTCCACTCATTTTGCAACTCTCCCATGCAGTCCATAAGCCATTGCGGCGGCTGCGTTGGTTTTGGGGGGAGAACGACTGGGTCTGGGTTTGGCGGAGGAGCTGATGGCTGGGTCACTGGTGCCGCCGGTGTCGTTGGTGCAGGATCAGTCCCATGCTGCTGAACAAGGGGAGATGAGTTGGTTTTTAGCCGCTGAGCAAGTGGTACCTCAGATGCACTCGAAGTGGTCGACACCGGCGAGGCTTCCCGAGACTGCCTTGATTCTCGGGGCGTTTGCGGCTCGGATGTATCCACTGGCGTTGCCGGCAGAGTCGAGTTTGGTGGTCGCCCACGTTTTATAACCTCGGCCTCCTTCTGCCTATTGGCATGGAATTCATAGCTCGTGTTGTACTCGACGAGAAGCGGCTTGCGATACTGGTGCCAATGTTTGCCTAGGAAGAAATTTTGATAACGAATATTTCAACGACTGGAAACGGAGCCTACCACAAGAGCCGCATTGCGATTTGTCCCCCAGAGGTCCTTTCCGTCGTCCAATTGCCAGACTATCCGGACAACCACAGTTGGAACAGTGCCATACACCGTCAATCATATTCGGTCGCTGCCCTTGGTTTTCAGCCTTCTCTTTTGCCTTCAGTTCAGTGTGCTTCAGCCGAGCGCGGTCCGTTACAAAAGTGGGGCTATTGGCTGCCATGCAAGATGTGGTGTAGGAGTGGAAGCAGACATTGGCTGAGACAAGGTTATAAATGGTGGCCAAGCGACACGTGGTGGGTGTTTCGTTGGTATGGACACAACCGTCGGCACGTTTAAAACTCGTCCTTCTTGCGATATCTAAGCTCTTGTGGCACATTGATGTCAATTCCAGCAAAGCAAGAACATAAAAGTAAGTAACGATACAGAAAACAGATACAAAGAATCACTCTCTTCTATGACACACTAGGGTTCGGGTTATTGCGCATCCTCTCCGTGGCTTTCTGGCGGTGGAACCGATTCCTCAGATGCAGCTCATAATTGTTCAGCGTCTCGCCAGGGCCAGTGATGTACACCTTCACCATACGTCAATCAACGACCGTCGAGAAAAAAAGAAGCAATTCTAACCTTGCCAGGACAGTCCAAACACTTTATCCGCCATTCCCACTCAGTCGCGTTGGCCTTGCATATTACCTCAAACCTATCATTCTTCCACTCATTTTGCAACTCCCCCATACAGTCCATAAGCCATTGCGGCGGCTGCGTTGGTTTTGGGGGGAGAACGACTGGGTCTGGAGCGGGGTTTGGCGGAGGAGCTGGTGGCTGGGTAACTGGTGCCGCCGGTGTCGATGTTGGTGCAGGATCAGTCCCATTCCGCTGAACAAGGGGAGAGGAGTTGGTTTTTAGCCGCTGAGCAAGGGGTACCTCAGATGCACTCGAAGTGGTCGACACCGGCGAGGCTTCCCGAGACTGCCTTGATTCTCGGGGCGTTTGCGGCTCCGATGTATCTACTGGCGTGGCCGGCAGAGTCGAGTTTGGCGGTCGCCCACGTTTCCGTTTTATAACCTCGGCCTCCTTCTTCTGCCCATTTGCATGGAATTCATAGCTCGAGTTGTACTCGATAGGACGAGGCTTGCGGTATCTATGCCAATATTTACCTAGGAAGAATCAAAAAATGTTCAACAACATGGAAAAGAATCCATACCACAGGTACCGCATTGCGATTTGTCCCCAAGCGGTCCTTTTCGCCGTCCGATTGCCAGGCCCTCTGGGCAACCGCAGTTGGAACAATGCCACACACCATCGATCATATTCGGCCGCTGCCCCTCAGCAAATTCCTTCTCCTTTGCCTCCCGTTCAGCGTCCTTCTTTTGTTTTGCAGTAAACGGCCGAGATCTATCCGTGACAATCATGGGCGCTGCTGTAGGACGTGGGGGAGGGTCATTTTCCAGAGGTGTAGGTAATGTAGAGATATCAACGGCAGTGGATGGCGGCACTGACGGATTTGCGCGGGCGCGTGGTCGGAGAATAGCCGGGTTAAACGGTGGTGGTTTGAAGAATCCTTTCACAGACTTTTCTTTGAAGACAAGAGGGGCAGGCGCAGGAAGTGTCGGCATCACAGAGGGTGTAAACGCAGGTCCTCCATTTTCAGAGGCGACAAGGTTGGCGATCGTGACTGAAGCAGCAGCAGCAGCAGCCCGACGGGAAACTGGAGCATTAACTGCAGCCGCAGCCGCAACAGTGGCCGGATCTGCCTCTGGAAAGCCGATAGCGGGTGTTCGACACGTCCGTATAGGTTCCCGGTCAGGTAAAACCACACCTCGTCGTCCTCCTCGCCCTCGTTTCTTTCGTTTGTTGAAATCTTTGTCGCGTTCTTTCTCATTGCGTTCGAGCTCGCCATCACTGAGGTAGTTGAGAAGAGGCGTGAAAGATTGGACTTGGTCCATTGCACGAGCACCGGTCGTTAGAGTGGGAAGGAAGGAATGACGGAGATCTTCGTCTTGTGGGCCCACGAGGAATATAGATTTTTGGTGAGCGTGCAGCTGCTCTCTTATCGAGTGTGCAATTGCAGTTCTAGAAAAAGTGAATAGATGGCCGACAAAGAGACAAATAAAAACATACTTGAATTCACCACCCAAGCCCAACTCTTGAGCATGAAGCTCTGCAAATGCTTCTGGGGATGCATCGTCGTTGTCTAAATCCCATTCGAACTGATCGTCCAGCTTAATGGACCCAACAGTGATATCCAGCTTGATGACATGCAAAATTAGTAAGTGTCAAGAGAGATAGAGAAACATACCCGAATAACTATTCGAGTATCTTCTCGCATGGTTTTCATGTTGAGGGTGAATTCATCGAGAGCCTTGGGCGGCTCAACCCCGTCGTCCTCTGCTATGACCTTACGGCGTTTTCTTCCTTTGGTGCGCTCAGCTCGACTTGTGATGAAGTCCTTTCGTAAACGATTTCGCCAGTTTTCCCAAAACGCCGCGCTGTCCTCGTCCAGCTTGCCAGCGCCAAGGGTATCTCTCTCCTTCTCCACAATATCCCACGAGTCTCCGTCATATTTTGAGGAATGCGCACGGTAATCGCTCAGCTGGTCTTGGATGGACTTGACAATGATACCGTGGTACAATGTAGGGAGACTGTAGTCCTCAATCATTGACTGGGCAAAGTCCTCTGGACCAATAGTCGCTAGCAAGATATAAGAAACGAACAAACACAGTGAGAGGGGTTTGCTGTACCATTCATATCCCAAACAAACGTGTCCCGAACTTTGTGGTGTTCGTAATCGAACTCGAGTCGAATGGGCACAAGCTCTTCAGGTCGAGTGGCATCGTCTGGCCGTAGCTTGCTCGGTCTACCCGATTTAGAAAGCAAGCAAGGAGCGATTGATACTTGACTCACAGTTTTATGCCTTCTCGTTTGTGCTTCCTCCTCCCGTCACGCTCCTTCTTTTTGTATGGCCATTTTATCTCAAAACCTTCCCGCCCAACGATGAAACGACTCCCGTTCGAGACCCTCGCCCCACGCTCCCACCAGCCCACCGCCGGTGGGCCAACAGCATCGCGCAACTCAGCGCCCATGTGTGTTTTGGAATCACGGAGGATCAGGTCATAAGCCTGGTCCGCTTTCATCCACTCCTTGACCTGGCTGATGTCTTCTGCACTCAGCGGCGGTATTGTGGTCATCGAAGTCGACAGAGGCACCGCTGTTACACGGTCACCAGCACGGACTCGTGGGACTGAGGGGCCAGGCTGAGGTGCGAGGAAAGAGGCGGGAGGCGCTGGCGCTGGAGCTGGGGTAGTCTGTTCGCGTTTGACTGGAGAAACTGAACGGGGGATACTGGGTTGGCGTTGTGGCGTTTGTGGCCCAAAGGAGGGCGCCCGCGCTGGATTGGGAGGCGCACCAAAGTCGGATAAGGATGCGGCAGAGTTTGAGCGAATGACTGGTGGTGGTGGACCCATTGAGTTGGACCGCAAAACCTGGGGAGAATCCACTGGTCTATTGAATGGCTGCTGGGGTTGTTGGGAGAATCCAGGGCCAAATTGGGGAGGAACGGGCTTGTTGAACCCATTTTGCATGTTGGAAGACTCAAAGTCATGTTGTGGGTGTTGTTGTTGGTGGTGCTGCTGCTGCTGCTGATGTTGTTGTTGTTGTTGGCGGAAGGCATTTGCAGCCTGTCGAAAGAGGGCGTTACGGTCCGCAGGGGCCATATTGCTCAAGGATTCGGTCGTATAACCATTCGCGCTAAGAACTTGCATAATCTGAGGCGGAATACTGTTTGTTGTGAAGCTTTGTCAGTTTGGGGGGGGCGATATGACATACGTGTTAACGGGTTGGTGTACGACTGGGCTCATGCCATTGAGAAGTTGGGCGGGAGACATTGCGCCAAAGGGTGACTGAGGTTGACCACCGCCACCGCCTGGATATTGAGCCAGCATTGCTGGATTTACGACCCCCTGCTGGGCAAACGACGAATAGCCGTTCATGCTAAAACGGCCCTCAACAACCGCGAATCTCTCCGCGCGAAGGAAAACAACTCACGTTCACGTGCAACGTCGCTCCTTGCGCGTAGCCCGAAGACCCGGAAAAGCGAGATGGCTGTAGGAGTTCGAGGCTTACAAATGACGTGTCACAAAAATGATCTATTGCTCCCGGCTACCAATAAACCAACCACCCACTCGTTCAAGCCCCGTAGCTCGCAATTCGTGCCTCTCATCCACATTCAAAGCATCCAGAATGCGGACATCACGATCCAATTCGGTTTCGCCCTCCCGCAGTCCCTGGATTGTCACAGACTCCTGTGTCCTTCGAGCCCGCTTCTCTTGGCGGCCTTCTCCGTCCTCCAACCTTCGTTTGCGGCTTCCGTGCTGCTTGATTACGATAGTCTCCGGCGGAAACAAGTACATCCCTTCGCCTTCGTTCCTAAACTCGCGGTAAACGGACCGTAGTCTCACGCAAAAATGGGCCTACATCATGGGGTAGACATATCGTTCCGAGTCGGAAACGCCTTGATCTCCGTCAGCATCTCTGTGAGAATAATGTCAGGCCGCGTTGAAAAGACAAGCAAGGCACGCACGTAAGAACAAATGGATGACGGAATTCCTCCTCATCAGAGGCCGTCTCTACGTCCGAAACCATGTCGACCGGAATATTGCGCTGCTCTGCTTTCCGCCCCCTTGCCTCCCTCCTCCTGCGCTTGAAATATTTGTGGTGATATGTCCACTGTTTTTGCAATCTTTCGTCGTCTGACTCCGTCACCTCCATCTCAATCACATACGACCCTTTGACCCCTGGAATACGCGCAGTTACTGGAACGACAGTGATTTGACTGTCCCAAATAGCTGTGTGTGACCACTCTGCATCCATTGCTCTCCAATACTTGTAGTAGTCTTCGACTCGCTGCCGACGAGTTTGTTCAACGATAAGCTGGCGTTTCGTTTCTGCGGCAAGCTTATTGAGACGATCTGCTTCAGCTTTGACAGCAGCAGCCCTGGCTAGATACGATTTGTTTTGTGCCGAGAGTTTGACCATCTGAGCCATCAACCGTTGTACATCTTCCGGATTCGCGTCGTCCTCCACAATTGTTGGAATTGCATGGGAAATCTCTGCACTAGTCGACCACCCATCATCTCGGACAGATTGGTTATCGTAGACAGCTTCGACGGAGGCAGCCATAGACATTGGTTCGCTCTCAAGTGGCGTCGATTTGATGCGCGACCCAAGCCGGACAGTTTTCAAGGCGTTCCTGAATCGTCCAACGAACCTCGAAATAGAGGAATTTCGTCGACTATGAACAAGATACCTGCTCGGAATGAGAATGCGAAGCAGAAGGAGGTGGTAATACGCACGGAACAACACCCAATGGGAATCGGGTAAGAAGAGCGACGATTATTTCTTCGTTATTCAGCTCTGGGTCGATCTCGTTGGTCTATCATAGGGTCGGACTTGCCAATGAGTGAACTTTCGAAACCTACACGAGCGAGTTGAACAAGTTCAGACCGAGGGAGATTTGCAAGTGCGGCGGCATCCATTTGAAGAGCTTGAAGAGAAAGGGACAAGGCAGTCGGAAAGGTCTTGCTTTATAGCCTTAGTAGACAATAGAGCTGTCAGGGTCAAAGCGCAAGTGCTGGATCAGAAAACATTGGCCATGTCGAGGAGCGGGAGCCATAAATTCTCTTGTCCACTTCAATTAGCCATGTTCAGAGAGTCAACCAGAAGGAGGTCCACAATAATTGTCGTCGTTAGGTGGTGATAGTAGAAGGCAAAGGACGCGACACTTGATCTTGGATCCTACTTCCTTCAAACCTCCATCATGATCTAATTTGCACACGCACGCAAGCTCAGGTCTTCGCAATCTTAGAGGCGCTTTGGACAACTTGGGGACCTCCGTGTGCAAGATTTGACCTGCCTTGGTCCCAAGCGTTCATGCTATGACCTCCACCATGAATCTATTTAAAAAATGCCGGTGAACCCGACCTCAACCCCCCTCATTCTCCCATGGCATGCATGAGTGAAGAACAGCTCCGTTGTCTGACCCGGCGCCAACTGCAAACTCTTGCCAAAGTGAGCCCATTAATGCTCTTTGTCTCATTTTAACCCAAACAAAGCAGGAGAATATCCGTCCCGCCAATGCCACCTCGGAGAAGCTCATAAAGCGTCTTTTAGATAAATTCTTTGGCAAGCGCAGACGGTCCGTTACCTCTTTTTTCTTTGCCGCCATGAGCTGGACTCATGCATCCACCAGTGGTAGTCCTGTTGTGCATGACCCGCCAGTCGTGACTGTCCCTTCTTCTCCTTCTCCGCAGCATCCGGTACTTCAGCCCCCGGTTGAGCGTCACTTCGGGGAGTCATTCTTTTCCCCACATCTGCCGCTGCCCGTTCGCGAGCCCTCTCACCGACCACGACCCTCTCCAACATCATACATCCAGTCACAACTCGATGAACTGACGGTCAACACGAATGATCCATCGCCAGCACTGACTACCATGGAGCGCCTCTTGCCCATCATGCGACATACCTCCAGCCAAATCGCCTCTGCGCTCAAAGACATTGCGTGGCAAGGTTATTACGCAGAAAATGACCTTCTCTCGCCGCTGAAGACAACGCCCGGTCTCTGGGACGGGACTCGTGTCATGCCGCCAGGCGATCAGCGCGACAAATGGGTAGCATTCCTTGACGCGGTGAAGGAAGAATATCGGCGCGAAGGAGAGCTAGCCGAGGTCGCAGAAATGGCCACGGCTGGAGGAATCTATCTGCCTAGACACGATTCTGATGCATATTCGGTCGGCGGATCGTCGATATCGACATGCAGCGGTGAAACAGCAGCCATCACGACTGTCCTGGATTCAACCAAATTCTTCAAGCACCACAATGATAGTACTAGCTCGAGCTTCAGCATAGACTAGTCGGGAACGGTTTCCATGTTGTAAAATTGTAGTTCTAATATTGGTTCTCGAGATACAAGCACATTTGTCTTCACTCAGCACACCTCGTCGAAACTTCTGTCTCTTGTCGCGCGCGCGGGTCCCTTAAGAGAGCGAACTTCCCAACCTAGAGTCCAAAAGATGATAGACACGATAATTAGTTTCCGCTACTTTTAGTGCATAAAGTTACTTGGAGAGGCGCGGGGAGAAATACGGTAATGCAAAAGCCGCGAAGAGAACTAGAGTCGCCAACACAATCGCCGTGACAAACGATTGGCGGCTGGATGTGTTGACGGGCTTGGCGGGTATGCGGTTTTGCGGCGCTTTGGTATACGAGGGAGGAGACAGATAGAGCTGGACGTACCCGATGGATTTGAACCCCTGAATACTGCACAATGCATAAGCAGAGAGTTCAAGTAGACTTTATATGCCTTACTAGTAGCCTTCTATATTGCGCTTTATCTCCTCCTCTTGGCCAGTGGGAACTCCATCGAGAACGAAGGTAACCGTAGAATAGTCCGAGCCTTGTGTGATCTTGGTGGTCAGAGTAGCACTGTGTCCTGCCAGGGTGGTAAGCAAAACAATTGGGTAGAGCAGTTATTCCGATACCCGAAGGCCATGAAGGGTTCGATAGTGCCCAGGTTTGAACAATTTCCGTGGGGGAGGTCAAAGACACATATTTTCCCTTGACACCTCCACCAAACAGAGAATACTCAGTGTCGACTTTGGCTTCCGACTACGATTACGGGTCAGCAAAAAGAAACAGCATTGAAAGCCACATACTTTTGCTGGTGCTCGTGTCCAGGTGGGGATCCTTTTCTCGTCCGTCAACAAACTGAATAGATCGGCGGCGGCGGCCATGAAAGAGCCCTCAACGGTGATTTTGGTGGTATTAACATTGCTCTTCTTTTTCTCTGGCTTTGGCTGAGGCGTTGAAACGGCGCCAGCAGGAGTCTCCGATGACGAAGCAGTGGGCGTGATCGCAGGGGTAGCGGAACGACTGGGGTCAGCACTGACAGTGACATCTTTGCTGTGCGTTTCGACGATTGCGACTGCGAATTCGGCGAATTTAGTCTCAAGAGCAGAGGGAAGGCGCGCTTTGGCAAGCTTGTAAAGCGCGTCAACTTCTGGCGATGAGGCAGTGGTAAGTGACCAATGATACTGCGTTTCGATAAGAGCGAGTTAAATAAATAAAGACGAGGCCTTGCCTCATAGTCGTTGAGGCGGTCAACGGTTGTCTCATGCGAAACCTCTGGAATCGTCACAGTGCCGCTGACCTCACTTCCATCCGAAGCAGTTCCAGACCAAGCAAGTTCAATCTTGCAGTCGAATATAGTGATGAGTCTGGTCAGTAAAGTTGAGTAGATGGGCGTGGATGGAGATCTGAACGCGTACTTGGACTTGCGCTGACCAAGCTCGACATCTCCGTCCACATTGGTGACCGAAGAAATGACAATAAGCTCGGTGCCATCCCCAGAAACGGTGATGGTCGGGAGTTCGCGCTCGAACCACTGTTTACCATTGAAATAATGAATATACCAACCACAGCCAGAGAAAAACCTGCCTCATGACCCCATCGCGTCACGGTCTTGTTCTTCCAATGCCAGTTGGCGATTCCGGAAGAAAGAGGTGCAGGGATGGCCATTGAAATCCGAAATGAGAAAGTTGTGGTGGATGAAGAGATGAGAACGATTTCCCATCAAAGCCACGAAATTTCCAGAATGCACCAGTTGCAATCCCGTGAGCGTGCTATGTACAAGTTACATCGACAATAACAACAACAACACTATGCTTTAGCTTTGCCCTTCTTCACTAGAATGCCCAATGACTTCTTTTTGGACACCTCCACCTTTGGTTTCTTTGCGGTATGCAGCACTGATGTCTTGGCCGAGATGAGTGAACGCGCTGATTCAGGGAGGAGACTAAGCAACTCGGGTTCTGTGTCGTCCGCCTTTCTCTTGACGGTCATCAGCGTGGGTGTTTCGCCCTCCTCGTTTGACGGTCCGGCAGCAACCTTGGAAAACACCTCTCGCACCAGTTTCTCATCTTCCTCTTCTTCTCGCCTCCGTTCAAGTGTTTCCTCGTTCTCCAACTCCTCTACGCCAATTCGGGCCATAAGGTCGACCGAAGAGTCATTTCCCGTCCGCTCTATTCGTGCGTTGCGAGCTCGAATATCTTGCAGCGCATCTAAAATTTCCATTTCTCGTTTCGAGTCCGTGGTCCTGTTCTCCAAAACCTTCATCGGGTTGTTCTCTTCTTCCTCCAGCTTTGCCAATCGGTCCTCTTCTTCGCCCTCCTTCTCTTCTCGCCACGGTTCAAAGTTTCGTGATGCACCATGTTCAGCAGCATAGTCTGTGTTCTTTGGGTCGGTCTTGAACGTTATCTCTGCAGAGCATAGCGTGCTAAACAAGTTAGACAATTCAGGCCTGAGAAACAGCAACGCACCATTTAATGTAGAACCGAAATATCTTGATACCATAGTAGTCCTCTCCGTCCACAGTCTCTTTTCGAGCATTGAACTTCTTGCCCTTGTAGATGTACTCTCCGCACGTATTGCATCGCCTGACTGACATTAGAGCTGGTAGGAGTTGAGTATGTGCACTCACATGGAGAAAGGGGCCATGAGACGAACCACTTGCTGGGAATTCTTGGGTCCCCGCCGCCTTGGAATTAACTCGGGGTCGAAGTCGGGTGGGAAGTATTTGTTCAAGACTGCATATAATGAGCTTGGGTGTATAGTGGGTAAGTACTCTGCAGACCTTTTCGTTCAGCCATGGTGGTTGTGGGTCAAGTATCGACGAGATGGTGGTGAGTCCAATGAAGGATGACTCTGTCTAAAAATGGAAATTTGATCATCTCTTTTCCTTTGCTGCAGCGCATTTCGGCAATGCTCCTTTGCTGTTACTAAACCACCACCATGTCGAAAAAACGCGCCATTCAAACGGTCGAATGGGAAGTTGGTCAGACATCTTCTTCAATCCCTTCAACAGGGCTCATTCCATTGCAGAAGTAATCCTTCGCGCGAAGCGTAACGAAGATGCTTTCGATCCTCATTTCTTGGACCCAGAGTCAACGCTCTTTGGTCATGGTTGGATATACCTGATCAAGGTAAGAATGCTCAAGAGCAAGTGCACTTCTCTTACTGGTTTCAGTGGAAAGGATTCCCCGAGGCAGACAACACGTAAGCAAGACCGCGTTTCGTTTAGGGTGTTTGCCTATCCTGCTGTAGATGGGAGCCTAGAGGCAATCTGGACTGCGAAGCACTCTTACTTGCGTTCTGGGAAGCCATTGGACTGAGGGCGACGGAAGAAAAGTCAGCAGGATTTGAAGTCATTCCATCAGACCAGTGGATTTGTTCGTCCTCGCCGCTTGCACGCGTATTTGGCCTCATCTATGATTGACTCTAGTGGATTTTAGAGCCCTCTCGCACTCTCAACCTGATTCATCTCAACCTATCAAATCCAAGCGACAACGCGTACGGTTTTATTCCGCTTGTCATGCTATATCAATAATTTCACACTAGAGAGCGACACCTTCTGCGGCGCGCAAGGCAAAGCCATCTACTCGTCCGTCCAAGCCGTCTTCGATAAGCCATAGGACCGTCAACGACAATCATCGGCCTGAGCCCTCTGATGGCGGCGCTTCGCGTCTCAATTTGGATCATCTCGAGGTGCTTATTTTCATCGAAACCAAATCCTCAACTAACTTGCTTCAGCCCACCACAAAATCACCCAGATCATCTCCCTCACTCTCTCCAACAATATATCCGCGATTACGCCTAGATCCACAACATAACTTTGATGCCCCAGCTCTTGCATTCGATTTACTTGACCCGTGCGACGACCCGATACCCACCTTCTCCCCCGACAACGACGATACCTTCTCACCCCGACTAGACGACAGTCTCTGGCAGCCAGACTGGTCTCCAACCTACGATGATATGCGGCTAAATCCTGCACCAAATGCTCGTCCGTCTCCGTTACGGGGCGGCCTGAGCTTCTACGACTTAGCATTTGCACGAGAGACGGACTTTTCACTCAATTTCGCGACAGGAAACTTCTGAAGCGTATTTAATATATTGGCCCGCAGATTCCATAGAATTATAGTATATTTTGCTGTAATCATTGTCGTTACTAGACCCACTCGGACCACATAAGGACTGTTGTAGCTCATCTCATCGTTGATTAGCACGTGCACCTCGCTTACCGCAAACGACGATGTCCTCATCCAGCTCTCCTCCGGCTAAACGTCCGAGAACCGAAGAGGATACGATAGTTCGGTCTGAAATCTGGTATAAGGATGGGAGCGTTGTTCTCCAAGCCGCAAACACCCAATTTCGTGTCCATTTCAGTCTCCTGGCGGCACACTCTACAGTGTTCAGTGACATGTATGAACTACCACAGCCAGAGTTGCAGGCAACTGTTGACGGTTGTCCACTGGTTGAGGTACACGATGATCCCGAAGATGTCAAAAACTTGCTTTCCGTTCTGTATACCCCGTATGTCTCATTCCTTTCGACCCAATAGTGACGGTCTCTGACACATATTAGCACGCTGCTATCGCAAACGCCTCTTCCGTTCCCCATTGTCGCGGCTCTCGTGCGACTGGGAACCAAATACGACTTTCGTGAGCTCCTCGCGGTTGGAGTGAAGCGGATCCACCTCCAGTTTCCTAGTACGCTGGAAGATTACGCTGCACGAAAACTCCCGACTGGGAATGTTGCCATGCACATCTCTCATTTCCCGAATTGTTTGTTCAGCGTCCTTCGGTTGGCGATAGAGCACGACATTCAATGCTCTCTCCCCTGCATTTACTACGATATAATGCTAATTCCAAAGGTAACTCAGAGCTATATATAATGCATCACGCATCAGTACTACGAAGATCTCATGCTCATTCAGGAGAAATGGGTCAACGGAATAAAGACGGCAGGGACCATCTCTATTTTGAGACCCCCTGATTTGGCCACGTGTCTTCTGGGCTCCGAGAAGCTTGCCCGAGTGCAATTTCAGGACGGTTACATCTGCTCATGGATGCACAAACTGCCGAACCTCGAAACCTGCGAAAACTTTGTCGTGTGCGCCGCCAATCGCCTCAAGATTCTGCGAGGCCACGCCAATCATAAACATTCCTGCTTTCTGCTGGCGGGCTTCAACCCAGATAAGTCTCAAAACTGGTTGTATCGATTCTGTCCGCCGTGTCAGAAGGAGATCGAAGATGTATACCATGCAGGCAGAGAAAGGGGCTGGGAGGATCTCCCAGGTTTTTTTGGCCTGCCTTCCTGGGGCGAGTTAAAGACCGGCCTCCCTTGAGAGCTCTTACGGTAATCCTGCTATATACTTGTACAGTGCGCGTGACCACTTGTCTGACAGGTCCCGGTAACGCCAGGGAAATTTTTTCAAGATTTTAGACATTTTTTTTCAAGATCAGCTCCCCAAAAAACGTCGATTTATCACTTCAGACCCAATTTTCCCACAGTGTATCACTTTTTGGCCAGATTTCACCATTTCCGGACACTGGTCCGGTGGCTCCCCGGCCTACTGCCAGGCCTAGAAACTGTATTTTTGGTAGCTGAGGACAGAGAAGCACTGAGAACCAGGACCTTAGCAGATTTGCACACTTCAGCTAGTTAGAATATACCTACTGAAGGCTTTGAGACGGCTTAGACAGATTTGGACAGCTATGATTTTGGGAGTGGCAGGTTACATATTATGACAAAATCATGATATATAGTGATGCTATCACACCCATCAACGTCTATCTGCCATATTCGAGTGATCTACATCAATGCCGAGTGATGCCGACATGATTTTCCCACAGGTATCACTTTTCTGGGGTCACTATTTTGAAAACCTTCACCAATTCCTTAGATATTTTAACTCAAGGTACCTCTACCCTGTAGCTTTCATTTCCTGCAATCTTAGAATACTATGGTCATTACAAAAAATGAACGGTGGTCATCTTTTTTTGGTTGACATCTACACTGATCCGGCATTCGAGAGGTGGTCACACGCACTGTAATCTGCCCCAAGTTTTTTGGCCCATGTCGTATGTCTGTGGAGACGGGGCAAAAAAATTAAGAAAAAAGAGGGAAAAAGAGGGAAGATTGTAGGATGATTCATGTACTCACCTACTGCCATTCAATGAAGTTTGAAGCCGCTATTGCGATGACAGCGCGTGTTCGAACGCGATCTTGGTCAGTTACGGGTGTCCAAAACGGGACGGGCGGCAATGGCCATGACGCAGCCACAACGCATGTCCTTTCGGAGGAAACTCCTCATAAGGACATGCGTTCCAGCCAATGATTTTTCAAGTTGGCGTCTGGGCCTGATGGCCCATCAATTTCGGTCAGTTCGGGTCGGAAATAACCACCAACGTGACGCTGATATTGTGTCAGCTGCCCGGCCGAAGCCCGGCCTCGTCCGGCGCCGCCGCCGATTCGTGTGCATGATGCTCGACGTTTGAGTCCATGGACGCGAGCGGTGGCCTCCGAGTCGAAGCCCCCCTCGCCTCTACAGGCCCGCAAATATTTCACAACACATCCCAGTTCGCCATCCATGGCGGTCACTTCATAAGTCTTCATTCAAGTTGCTGCATTATCAATCTGACATTATCTCAGTGTCCGAGTCCACTGTGCACTACATGTAGTGTTGCTGGCTCTGTGCAGATGACTCACAGGAGTCTGCTGAACCCCGAGACAGCAGTAACTGATTCCGAGTTTGCGTAGAGCACACATATATTAAGTTGTACAATAGTGCTATATATATAGTTAGAAAGCTCCTGTGGGATTGCTTGTACAATATATACCTAGTAACAGCTTGGAGTAAGTACATGGAGAACCTCTTCTACACCATATCTAAGTCTACTGCACTAACAAGCCTCTCTCTAAAGACCTGCGGCGCCGCCGGGTCATCACGGGGATCGACGGAGATCACCGCGTCAGACGCGGGTGCAGACGCATGTCCATAACCGGACATGCGTCTCCACTGACATGCGACATGAGCCAGTTTTTTCATCTTATCTTGATCATTTTAACTAGTCACGTCACGGCCCGATCAATACTTGAGACAAAACGACCAGCAGCAGAATGTCTTCCTGCGCTTCTCCTGCAGCCAAGCGTCCCAGAACGGAAGATACATCCGAAGTCGCTATCACCCGCTCTGAAATCTGGTATCTGGATGGGAGCGTTGTCCTTCAAGCTGCAAACATTCAATTCCGCGTTCATTTTGGTCTCCTGGCAGCGCAGTCGACGGTCTTCAGCGACATGTACGCAATGCCACAGCCGGAGGAGCAGTCAGAACTGGTGGATGGTTGCCCCCTTCTAGAAGTCCAAGACGATCCCCAAGACGTCAAGAACCTGCTCTCCGTGCTGTATACCCCGTGTGTCCAGTTTTTCTCTAGTATTCGCCTGCACTAACCTGCGAATCAGCGCCTTACTCCTGCAAACCCCACTTCCCTTGTCCTTTGTGGCATCTCTTTTGCGACTCGGCGCCAAATATGAGTTTCGTGACCTTCTCGTTGTTGCAGTCAAGTGGATCCATCGTCAATTTCCATCGACCTTGGAGGACTTTCTTGCGCGGAAGGACAGCACCAATCCCATTGCTTCTTCGCCGGGCCTATTATTTGACGTCCTCGAGTTGGCCACGGAGCATGACATCCAATGCTCTCTCCCTTGCATATACTATGATATCATGCAAACCCCAAAGGTACTTACTCAAGCTCTAACCACCGGCTCGTGGTGCTCATGCTTCCTCAGAGAGAGTGGGTCGACGGGCTTATCAGACCATCTCGTCTCAGGACTGCTGATCTGCGCACGTGTCTTGTGGGTTTCGATAAGCTTTCGCAAGCCCAATTCCAAGACGGCTACGTCTTCTCTTGGATGCACAAGCGACCCAGTACCGAAAACTGTCTCAGTTTGCGCGTCTGCAGCGAAGAGCGCCGCAACTGCCTCAGGAGATACAACAGCCAGGAGCAACGCTGCTCTTTCATCACGTCTTTCAACGTCGATAGACCCAGAAATCAGTTGTCCAAATACTGTTCGCCGTGCCAGCAGGAAATCGGCGACCTGCTTGATGCGGGCAGGCGGAAAGGATGGGAGGACCTCCCGGGGGTTTTTGGCCTCCCAGCTTGGAGAGACCTGAAGAGTGGTTTGCCTTGAGGACTTTGACAAGTACAGTATTTTTCACGATAATTGACATTAGCATGTATAATCTTATCTGTTGCGTAATGATCATCAATCTTGAGCTTATAACCGAACGCCCACCACGTTCAGGCTTCCCCGCTTTCATTCCCCCCCACAACCACGCGGAACGACATTTCACAACGATATCCTACTCAATACGTCTGCTTATTTTGCCTGAATAATGTCAGCTTTTGAGGCACCTCCCGCCAAACGCCCCAGGACGGACGATCCTCCCCTCGAGCCAACAACCATAACGCGCTCAGACATCTGGCATATGGACGGAAGCGTTATTCTACAAGCGTTGACCACGCAATTTCGCGTCCATTGGGGGCTACTTACGATGCATTCGACCGTATTCAAAGACATGTATGCGTTGCCACAACCGAACGCTTCGGAGCCAACTGTTGAAGGCTGCCCTGTCGTTGAAGTCCACGATGACCCGGTAGATCTGCAGAACTTGCTCAAAGCGCTGTACAACCCGTGCGTGTCTCTTTAACCCCCCAAATTTGTGGCTTAACTTGAGAAAGGACCTACCTCCTGCAAGACTCCCTGCCGTTCGCTGTGGTCGCTGCCCTCATTCGTCTTGGCCGGAAATACGATTTTTCTGATCTCTTCAAGGCCGGTGTGCGGCGACTTACGCGCGACTATCCCTCCACCGTCGAAGACTTTGACTGTCAGGACACCGCGAAAGCGAGCATATTGCCTTATCACGGTCTCCACGTCGATGTGCTCGCGCTGGCCAGGGAGAACAACATCCTTTCAGTCCTTCCGGTGGCTTTCTACTCCATTTTGCATGACTACCGACATGTATGCTGTTTTTCTTTGTGAATTCCCAAAGTGACTCTCTCTAGGTAGAGTGGCTGGACGGACTTGAGCGGCCGGACGGCACCAAAGCCGTGCTTGCCCCCAACGAGCTCCGGATATGCGTGACCAGCAGCAGCAGGATGTTCCGCATCCCGCTGCAGACGGGCTACACCTTCAGCTGGCTGTACGAGTCGCCCTCTGCAGACATATGTCGCTGTGTCACCGAGTGCAGCCAGTGGCGGTTGAAGATCTCCCAGCTCTTCATCAACTTCAACTCAGACTATGCGGGGGCAGCGTTGTTTCCCGACCCGGACCAGGTGGAAGTGTTTCTGCAGAGCAGCTGTCTGCCGTGCCAGAACGAGATACGCAAGGCGACCCAGAATGGACGAAAGAAGGCATGGGAGGATTTGCCGTCGTTCTTTGGCCTGCCTGGTTGGGACGAGCTCACGAACGAAGTATAACAACCAATTTCTTCATTCATTAATTACTTCATCTATAAGCCTAGAGCTCCCCATAATTTTCACTTTTGCCGCTGAACCCGAGGAATCAGACTCTCGCAATGAACATCTTGATACCTTATACCGCCAGGTGCCTCTTCTATGTCCCCATGAGCGCGTTGAGAGCTCTAACCACTCTACCAACTCCGTCCCGCACCATTGTCTTCTCCCGCTCTCCCTGAATCCGATGCATAAATCTGCCTTCAAACTTATCTGGGTGGAATCGCAAGTAAGTCTCTCGCAGTTTTTCCTTCCTCGCTTTCTTCGCCGCGTCGTCTTTGGGGGGCATCATCAAAGAGGAAGAAAGCCGCGATATTCTCTGCAGTAATCTCCTCCAGCTGAATCGTCGGAGGCGGGTCGTTTAGATGTCTTTCGCTTCTCCGTTGTGCAGCCAAAACCGGCCATGGTACATCCGCAAATACCAGCGGGCCATCACCATGCGAAAGCAGCGCGGTCCATCGCGAATTGTAGTCCTGACGGGCGTATTCCTGTCTTCTGGCCTCCTTTAGTCGTTTCTTGCGTCTATTCTCCTCTTCGGCTTGGGCAGCCAGTGCCGCTGTTTCCGCTCTCCTAGCCTTTTCCTCCGCGCGACGGGCCTCACGACGGGCCTTGCGCTCCTGCTCTTCTGCATACTCTCGCGCATGGGTTTTTCTGCAAATCATCCTAAGTCTTTTGCAGAGAAATAAAAGGATATACCCACCTGTACATCCCATGCCGGACCCACTCCGCATACTCTTCATCGTCCATTTGTGCTGGATCGAGGTTCAGAAGATCGTCCTCAGCATATACGCCTGTGGTTGTGCTTGCGTTTGGCTGGCGCCATCGGCCAGGTATATGAGCGTAGTCGTTCATCCGCGCCTCCAGCGAGTCGAGTCTGTCGTCGTCGTCGAAAGCAGCGGCCATCTTCTCCCGAAACCGCGCCTCTTCCAGCTCTGCCTGGATTGCCTCGTAGTCGGGCTTGTAGCCGGAAGGCCCCGGCTCGTTGTAGTCGTAGCGTGAATTGGCCGGGTTGGGAGCGTTAGCGTCGTCCTCTGACTCATCGTCTGAGGCCCACTTCCGATGTGTAGTTTGTTCTGAAGATTTGTGTTTGGAATTGCTCTTTGAGGATGCCTCGCGCTCGCGTTTGCGTCGTTTACGAGCTCGGCGGTCGGCCTCCTCTTGAGGCGTGCGTTTCAGGTGGATCTTGGGCATGTTGTGGAACGGAGGAGAAAGCCAGCCATGGAGAACAGGAGCAAGATGTAGGTGGAAGATGTCATACTTGATTGTACAGTAGATTCGATTCGATTCGATATGCTTTTTACTGCTCACCGAACAGTTTACTTGACCAAAAAAGAGCAAGTAAGGACAATTTGTTGAAAGGGAAACCAGTTATTTAGCAGAGTGAAGGATTTTCTGGATCACACAAATCGCACAAAACTAAGCTTCCTCCCTTCCCTCTGCGGCTCGTGCAGCGTTGACATCGATCTCCGACCTAGTATTGCACTCATCCCTCAAAAGCAGACAGTTGGTTCATGCGGTAGTTTTTTTGGGATAGCATACAATGCATGGATACGACAACAAAAACGCCTAGATCGTGGAGGGGTAGAGCATCTGGCATAGCGTTTAATGAACAAGGGAAGGATGGGGCAGATACTGTAACGTACCACGCGGACGCTGGCACCGAAAGCATGCGGGGGCAGGTTGGACGAGAATTTCGACTTGACGACGCCGGAGCTCCCGTGAGGGCGGGTGACACGACTAGGCAGAGGAGGTCAAGCGGTGGAAGGAAGGAAGGGGGGAGGACAAGAAACGCACCCCCAGATGACCCGGACTTTTGAGCCAGCAATTTCGCGCTTGGCCTTGTAAACGTAGGCTACACGCTTTCCGAGGTAGTATTGAGCATCCTCCTTGGTCGCGACGCCCTCGATTTGCACTAGGGAGGTGTTCGGGCGTGAGTTGCGCTTTGCCCGCTTGTATCCTAGTACGCGGCCTTTGGAGTACAATCTGACAAAAAGTCAGTGCATCCAGCTCAATACTGCTCTGATGCCCTCCAATGCGCCAGAGAGCATCGGGAAGCACCTGGCGAAGCGTTAACGCACCTAGTCGTAGCCATTTGTGGTGTCTTGAGGGCGGCGCTGTGAGCGTTGTCGAGAAGAGCCTTTTTGTCGATTGATCGCGATCAATTCCGATTTCCATCTCTTCCTCCCACCTTCACAGACTCTCTCCGATTTTTTTCGCTTCAAACTATCTACCAGCTGCAAGCACTTATAGTACCCTCTTACTACCTCATCTCAAGGCCACACAGTCAAGAACACCTGGAAAACTCGCGCTCGCTGTGTGACTTGTCACTGATGGACTACTACGCTCTGCTCAATGTCGATGTATCCGCGACACAGGCAGAGATCAAGGCAGCCTACCACCGCGCCCTTCTTGCTGCCCACCCCGACAAGAACGCATCTTCCACAACCGACATTGCTGCGCTCAAAGAGGCATACAGAGCATTGTCGTCTCCCGAGTTCAAGAAGCACGGGCCACGTCCGGCCCAAATCGTCTCGCTTTCCGAATTCACAGAACATCCAGAAGATGAAACTTGGGACCATCCGTGTCGATGTGGGGCTCGATATACGATTACGGTGTCTGATATGGATACTGGCCGTCATCTCGTCCCTTGCTCGAGTTGCTCAGAGGTCGTCTGGGTGGGGTATGAGGTTTTGGACGAGTAGCTCAGTCAGTTTATCCTTGCTTGCTACGTTACCAGGAGAACCACTCTGACTAGAGGAGGCAGAGAAAACGCGCACATTGTATTACTACCCAAGCTCAATAGAGTAACAGTTACCTACATACTACGATCTGATCTTTTATATGTCGTTTTTCAACTCATCCCAAGGAGGTAGACCGAAGAACCCTGGCAAATCATTCCAACCCTTTTGTCGGCCGTTTGCCCTCAAGAGGAGGATTTCATCACGACAATACTGACAGAAACTGCGGTAAGTCTGTGCGATTATCTGCTCTGAAAATACAGGAGGGATGAGAACCAGCGACAAGGCAGACCTCTTCAGTTCCATCAGCCTGAGCTCGGTACATGAATTCTTGCTTGAACAGTTGCTTGTGCAATTTAAATTCATGGGAGCCGGTATGTCAGCGAGCAAGGACAACGCATATCCTGGCTGGAACTGTGCTTTGAGGATTTTTTCGGTGGACAAGAGGCACTGTCGCAAATCGGCGGGTGAAAGCTGGGAAGTTATTCCATCTGGCCGCGAAATTCCATCCAGCAGTTCCTCCTATTGGAAGAGTTATCCTTCTCGCCAATTTTGCAATATTCTGAGACTGACCTTCGAATATTTCTTCAAGACGACGTAGTACGCACCAGGCTGGAGAGTGTAGATCTGGTTATCTCGCACTAGGGTGAGAATATCCATGTAAAGCCCAGGATAATCGACAATGCCAGTTTTCAATTTATTCCTGCGTAGAGCATCGAATTGGGCGAGACTGGTTGGAATTTCCGCTTCTAGCAGAGACACGCCCACTTTCCATAAATTCACAAAATTGTATTTGCGTCCCATCCGAACCAATGAGGCAACAAGTGTGAACTGCGGCGCTTTTTGCAGCAGAAGTAAGGTTCTGGTTCAGTTTTGAATCAGTGAATTCAATACCTCGGGCACTACTTGACGCACGGATCGTAGAGGACACGAAGGACGTTTTCGACATCCTGTGGGTCGTCATGGAGTTGAATGAGAGGGCAGTTTTCCACCATAGGTCCCGGGGTAGCAGGCTGAGGGATTCCATGCATATCTTTGAAAACGGACGAATGAGACGACAAGACACTCCAATGGACCCTAAACTGCGTTGTTGCTGCTTGGAGAACCAGACTGCCATCCGAATGCCATATCTCTGAGCGCGTTATTGGAGCAGACGTTTCAAGGTCGGTACGGGTTCGAGCACGTTTTGCAGGGGGGGCTTGAGCTTCAGACATCATGGACCGAGTTCAAGTGAAATATGATGACATAATCACGATTTCAATTGAAAAGGAATTCCGAACCCGTTGTTCTCTGACACAAGAAGTCGATAATGCTATCTATACGAGTATGCTATCCAGTAGTGATGAAGAAGAGATATGAATGATTTGTTTCCTGAGCAGCCGACCACTGAATGAAATGTCCCATTCTATTTCCAATCATCGCTTCCAAGTTCAGTTCACATCGAACAACTCTCTCTGCAACGAAAGTCTGAGTTGCGATGAGTGTACGGCTGTGAATACTGACCACAGAATGCTGGTCAATGACGGAGATAGTATGCGGCGGGGAGAAGCCACAAGATATGGTGTTCCTGCAACAAAGTGAGAATATCGAGGTACAGACCAGGATAATCTTCCATCAATGTCGGTTCATACGGGGCGCGGCCGAGGTCGTCAGATCCATCCAGCGTCGTCGGAATTTCAGCCTGCAGGAGGCTGAGACCCTGGTCGGAAAGGTTTCCAAAATCATATTTGTGTCCCATACGAACCAGGGTCCAGCGAGGCCATATGAGCGAATTTGAACAAGCACTGGTCGACGTGTCCCAACACACCCCGCCGCAAAAAGAAAGCGCTGGGAGAGGAAGTTGGCGATGTTTTAGTTCCTCGCCGAGAGCGAGTTGACGCACGGGTTGTAGATCACACGAAGAATCGTTTCAACATCTTGCGGGTCGTCATGGAGTTCAACAACAGGACAGCCTTCGACGAGTGGCTGGGGAGTGTCGGGTTGAGGAATACTCTGCATATCCTTGAAAACAGACGAATGGCCCGACAATACACCCTAATGGACACGAAACTGTGTGGTTTCAGCGTGGAGAACAAGATTGCCATCGGAATACCAGATGTTGGAGCGTGTTGTTGTCGTAGGCGAGCTAGCGTCGTCGGTGCGGGCGCGCTTTGCGGGCGGGGCGTGAGCTTCAGACATAATGGACCAAGTGCAAGGAAGAATTATGACATACTGCAAGTCTGAATTGCGGCAAGTAGCCAGCCTATGAAGCATTCAGCAGTCCAGTCATTGAAGTGGATTTGGTTTACATCATACTTGGTATCTAGAAACAGAATGTATATTCCGAGTCGCATCTACATCTCGTTCTTGAGCTCATCCCACAGGGGCAAACCAAAGATGCTTGGAAGGTCCTCCCAAGCTTTCTCTCGCCCTACCGCCCACTGACGAATCAAGTCCTCCTGACAGGGAACGCAAAACGGCGAGGACCCCAGTCCCGACATCGAGGGTGCACTGGCAAGTAAACACACACCGGGTGCCAACGCAGGCAGTATACTAAGACGTTCTTGCGCGCAAATGGCTATGTTCGTGCAACCTGCAGGCATCTGATGCAGCCCAGACAATGTATAGCCCGGTTGGAATTGCATCCTCAGGGCCCGCTCCGTCGCAACGATAAAGGTTTGCAACTCAGTCAAGCAGGATAAGGCAGACGTTTCGTCGAGTCTTGCTGTTCCGTTCTTGGAGTAATCCTTGTGAAGGTCAAGTCAATACGATCCCCTCGCCAAGCTGAGGAGCGAACCTTGTAAGCCAAGAAATTGAGATAATATAGACAAGGTAACACAGTTTGAATGTCGGTTTCTTTGGCAAGCCGCAGACAATCGCGCCGTGACGCACGCGTCCATTTTATGCGCTTTGACTGGGGCTGGGCCTTGATGATAACATCAAAACCGGCTAGGGTATTGGGAAATTCCGATGTGAGTATATCCACTCCGACCTTCCACATTTCTTCCATCACATATTTGCGGCCCAGTCTTATGAGCGCCGCCACCAGCGAGAATTCAAGTTGTGGTTGAAGCAGGAGAGTTCTGTTTTCATACGTGAGTGAGTGTGGTGAGGCGCAGTGGGAGAACAAACGGATTGTAGAAGGCCCGCAATATATTTTCGACGTCTTTGGGGTTGTCAGCAAGCTCAACAACAGGACAGCCATCAACCATCGGCCCATCACTGTCGGGGCGCGAGATTTCGAACATGTCCTTGAAAATCGGGGAGTGCATCGACAGAACGCTGGTGTGGACGCGGAACTGCGTGAGCCGCGCTTGGAGGACAACGCTACCGTCAGCGTGCCAGATGTCAGAACGTATCACGGACGCGTCGTCAGTGCGCTGGCGTTTATTGGGCGGGGCCTCAGACTCAGACATGGAGTCGAAGAGTTGAAGGAGTCAAAAGACAAATAGTGTGACGTGACTGTCACGGTGACAACATAGATCAACCACTGATCGCCACCAACATTCCTTGACACTCTTTGTCACTGTCTCGACACACAGCTCACCTACTTTGTCATAAGACCAGTCGGAACCCGAGTGTTTGCTCGATACCATACCAATCCCACCGCAACTTTGCCGACAGTCGCAACGTTTATAAACTTGAAACGCGTTGCTCGGAGCTCGAGTCACTGTCTTCAAACTACTACATCCCACCTGCAGCCGCGATGATCCTCCCTGGCTAATCAGGCCCAGCATTTGATCAAGAGCTCTCATAGCAATATAGAGTGCCAAGAAAGCGCGATAAAAAGGCCATCCTGCAAAACACGGTCCCTCATCAGTAAAATAGCATAAAGGTCTTTCTGGTCTTTGGTCTTTGGGGAGGGTCTTTGGTCTTTGAAAGTAGGTCTTTCTGGTCTTTGGTCTTTGGTCTTTGGTGCTTAATCTTTGGTCTTTTTTCAGAGTCTTTGGTCTTTTTGAGATTAGTCTTTTCTTGAGGTTGGTCTTTGTTTGAGATTGGTCTTTTTCAAGAACAATCTTTTTTGTGAAAGTACTTTATATCTGTATATGGATAGGTATAAATAAAAGCCCATTGTTTACAACTTTATATTCTACTTCAAGTTGAGCCATAGAGACAACTTATAATACATGGACAAGTCTAAGCAATTTGCCAGCACAGTGAGCACACTGTCCATTATAATATAAATGACCAAATCCATCCTACATTCAATCATAAACATGCACATGAATGTTCTATAACTTCTATTCCGCATCACCTGGGCTGTTTACTCGATGAAATATGCTAAGTCCGAGCCGAGGGTGATGACGATGCTGCAATGACAAACCGGCCGGGTATGGTCCGTAGCATCACGGAAGATCTCGATCGCTCCGCAGTCACTGTCACACATCTACTTTTTTTCTTCCTTCCCTCCACAATCCTCCCCCTCTCCGAACGGTGCCCAGAAGAAGTACAGGAACCGACATGGAGCAGTCCAAGGTGCGTACCACCCATAGAACGAGAGCATATACTGATATGCTGTATACCTGGTCGCCCGAGCTGGCAAGCGATACAGGTCGCCAGCTGTTGCTCTGCGACAGAAGGCCAGCAGGGCCATTCCCTCGCCGTTTTCGGCCACATTCGGTGAGCGAGCAACACTTCCCCAATCCTGACTCATCTTACTACAGCACCATGGTCCTCGCATCCGCCGCAGACTGCCTGCACGTCGGGACCACTGTGTTTTGCGGACAGTGGCGTTCTGGCTCATCTGCCGCGCTCGACCAAGCCTTCAGCGAGACAACGCCGTCGTTGTCCCGCAATCCCAATCTTCTTCCGGTGAGTGTATTCGCCAGTGTATTCGCCTTGTTTTTCAATTCAATTTGCTCAGCGCGTGTGTTATATGATGTTCCACCCCCACCGCCACGTCCCTCCTTGTCGCAGGCTCCGCGGCGCCGCGTCTCCTCACCCCCTCCCGCCCGCGGCTGATGCGATGCGATGGGCGGGCCGGCGCGTCAAATCTGGGGCCGAACCGGCCACGAGCGGGCCACGACTGGCCTCGTCCGGCCGAGCTCAGGCCTGTGGGCGGGGAGCGGGCGGCGGGAGACAGCCGCTTGCCCGTTCAGGCTGAAACATGAAGTCTGGGCGCAGGGTGGGCGGGGAAGTCGACAGCTTGGGACATGTGTTGTCGTATGTAGTATGATATGTATGCAGTCATTTATGAATTTAATATTTCTTTCATTTATTGCATCCTGAACACTACTAGAGCAGCTTTCATGGGCTTTTATCAAGTCTTTATGGTAGTCTTTACAAAGAATCTAAGGTCTTTCCAAAGACCAGGACGCTGCCTTGGAAAGACCTAGTGTCTTTTGAGTCTTTTGGATCTTTCAGGTCTTTTTGGTCTTCACCAAAGACCCCAAAGATCTAAAAGACTTTTATGTTATTTTACTGATGGGCTCCGAACTCACTCGCACATGCCTTCAAGTTCGCCGCGTTCAAGTTATACCGTGTACGCGAGCATCCATCAGCAACCACACAGGGCCGTGGTTGTACGCGCTCAAAAACCTTGGAAAGCTCGAATGCAGTAGCGATGGATTAAAACCATCCTCCAGTCGCTATCAAGCCCAGCATTTGATTATGTAAGAACCCTCAGGCTCATAGCAATTGCAGGACAAGAGTGACAACAAAGCGCGACAAAAAGTGCCATCCCTCAGGCAGGCTGCAAATTAAAACACGGTCAATTGCACACGCCTTCACGTTAGACGGAGGGTCCATCAGCGCACCCTATGATCGACGCCGGGTGCCAGTGTTTGATGCCTCGGAGCGGGAGGACGAGCACAGCACGGAGAAGCGGCAGCGGCTGGGACTGCAACTGTATGACGTTAATCCGAGAGCGGGTTCTGGTGGCGGTCCGTTTGTGGGGTTGTCTTGGGACGGATAAGTAGCACAGCCTGGGGAAGCAACGGCAACGAAAACTATCGTTGGAGTCACAGGAGTGTGAGTCTTACACTCAGTAATGCGTGTGCTAACGGAGTCAGAGCCTTCGCCGGCGGTTTGTGCTTGGTCTTTGAAAAAAAAAATGCCGTATACGCCTGTTGTGCTCGTGATTCAACTTTGAACTTGAACAAAAGCGGAAGCAGAAAAGTCAACCTGCGGAAGTAAATCCAAGGTCAGACAAGAGCTGTGTCCACTGTCAAGACAAAGACCTTCCGCCCCCCGCTGCGGGTGGGCGGGACACACCCGGGGCTGATCTTGATGTCTCGGAGTGGGAGGAAGAGCACAGCGGCGGCGGCTGCACCTGTATGACGTCAATCCGAGACCGGGTCTAGCAGTGGCGGTCCGTTTGTGGGGTTGTCTTGGGACGGAGAAGAGCACAGCATGGGGAAGCAGCGGCAACGAAACCGTGGGAATGTGAGTTTTCCACGCAGTAATGCGTGCGTTGAAGTCAGAGCCTGCTTCGTAGCCGGTCTCTGCTCGCGATTCGACAAATAGCTCCAACTTCAAGGGCTAAAGGAGAAAGTCGTCTTGACGGAAGCAAATCCAAGGTCAGACAAGAGCTGTGTCAGACAAAGACCTTCCGCCCCCGCTGCGGGTCGGCGAGACATGCCCCGGACCCCACCCGGAGGCGTATAAAACCCAGCACATTTGGTGCCCTATCCCCAGTTCACCGAACTACCAAACACCCCTCCGCTCGACGAACACCTTACCAATCCAATCCAAACAAACACCATGTCCTTCGTCTCGAGCCCCGTTGCCCCCCTCAGCGCTCCTGCTAGCCGCGGCGCACTTGCCGCGGCGGCCCCGGCCAGCTGGCCCGTCCCGTGCGTCACCATCACCGTCACCCCGGCCACCCCCGGCGGCGAGCAGACCGCCGCGCAGATCCTCGCGGGCGTGCTCGTCGCCGAGCCGCACCTGCTGTACCCACCCGGGCGGCTGTGTCGGTCTCAGGCTGTTGCTGTTGCCCCGCTCGTGACCCCGGCCCAGCCGCTGCCAAAAACACTCCCGCTGCCAAAAGCACTCCCACTGCCCACCCGGCCGAGACTCCGGCGCACATCCGCGTCGCGCACTGTCCGCCGCCTCGCTGCACCGCCCCCGATGGTGCGCGGCGTCGGCGTTGTTGGCCGGCCGCAGTTCGTGCCCGTGCCTGCCCGGCCCGCGCTGCGGCGTGCTACTCCTTACCAAACTACTCAACGGAGATAGGCCCGCGCCAGGTGGAACAGACAAAAAATTACCCAATACCTATTACCCTGTGTTGTTGTTTTCCAATTGCAATTATCGTCTTTGCTTTGTGATCGAACTGCTGCGAGATTAGTAGATTACTTGCTCGTAGGGCCCGCGCCGGCTCCAGAGCCCACTCAGGGCAGGGTTTCCAGCTCGACGAATAAGTATCATACCCCTAACTTGAAGGGTAACTCGGCCCGGCCCGGGCGCCCCTTAGTACATGACGTCAATCTTCCCGCGGTTATGTTTCGGATTGCGGGAGCGGGAATAGTCTGCGGAGGCGGGGTCTTCTGTCTCGAGCGGAACGACACATCACGGGCACAGCATGCGGATGTGGATGCGGACGCAGAAGTTTACGCACAGGATGAACGGGGGTTGTGCTTAATCAACTCAAATTGGGCGGAGGACCTTCGTCAAAGAAAGGGCCCGTGGCCGGTCAAGACGAGCATCGGGAGGATGCAAAGAGCTTAGCGGCGGAAGCAAACTCTCGATCGACGGAAGGAACGTCAGACTTGAGCTGTGCAACCGAAACACAGACCTTCCGCCCCGCCCCCGCCCCCGCGAGACATGCCCCGGATCCGGACTCAACCAAGAAAGCGTATAAAACCCAGCGCATTTGGTGTGCCCTCCCCCCAGTTCCCCGAACTACCAACCACTTCCGCTCGCCGAACGCCAACCACCAAACACTACTTATGTCGTTCTTCTCGAGCACCGTCGGCGTCGGCGTTGCCCGCTCCAGTGCCGGACTCGCCAAGGCCCGCTGGACGCACGCCCGAGTCCCCCGCGTCGTCCCAGCGCCGTCGGCCGTAAAACTCATGGTCAAGCTCCCTCCTGCGATGGCACGGGCGTCATCTTCCCGCCAAGCACTGCCCATCCCTCCCCAGATGTCCCGCGGATACGCGTCACTCGCTGCCCAGCCACGTGTACAACCGCAGCCCAAACCCACCCGCCCCGCTCTCCGCCGCGCGTCTCCCTCCCAAACACTAGCCCCTGTGTCGCGGGCCGGCGTTCCGGCCGCGGCTGCCCCGAAGCCCACGCGGCCACACCACAGCGCCGCCGGCGTCGTTGCCCGACCGGTCCGCCGGCGCGCAGCCGTCCCCCGGTTCCACCCGCACCTCGCGCCCATTGCCGAGTCCGGGTCCGGATCTGTCGACGCCGGCGCCGGCGCCCCGGCCCGCCCGCCGCCGCCTTCGCACGCCATCCAGCTCAGAGACTCGGAAGAGGCAGGTGGCGTCGCACTACCGGCCCCGGGTCGCCGGCGCTCCGCTGTCGCCCGGTTCTACCCGCACCTCGCGCCCATCTCCGAGCTCGTTAGCACCCGCCCGCCACTGCGCCGGGCGGCGCCGTACGATGGCCAGTCTCATCCCGCACAGCTGTAGCCCGGATCCGGCGTTGCCATCCACCGCCGGCGGGGCACAGTGACAGGCGCCGCGCAGCAAACACGTGCGCTGCGGGCCGCGGGCCGGCGTCCGACCGGATCCTCCAACACAAGGAGGCACGCGCAGATGATGCCAGTGATGGGGCCGTCGTTTATGTCTTCCGCTGTATCGTCGGTGCTGCATCCAATTGAATTGTCTTTTTTTTTTCTTCTGGAAGGTCTGTGTCCGCGACTCGGACCAGTTTGAGTTGGGTAGTAGTATTTGCGTATGAGGGCCGGGCATTGGACCGCGACGTGGCATGCAGCCCACAGCTGCAGGCAGCAGAACGGCTGTAGGTGGTGTGGTGTCTAGTTGTTAGTTATGCGCCCGTCCCTGCGCCGAAGCAGGACTCAGACGACAGAGCCAGCGGCGTGTAAAAGTGCGGTGGTAGTACATCAACACGAGGGTCACAGGCACGTGTACATGTGATACCTTACGTGGCACAATCAATTCAAACTTGTCCCTCTTGCGACGCACCCCTCTACTCGAACACGAACCCGAACTCCCTCTCCCAACACGCGCGCATCGGGCCGGTCTGCATCTCGACCCACTGCACATCGCGCGGCGTTCCGTCCCGTCCCTCTAGCCCGCCGGTCGTGTGCACGCGCGCCCGCCCATCTGCTGCCATCGCGTCGCTGAAGAAGACGCTGCGGCGCGCGCCGCCGGTGCCGGGGAGGAGGCGCGTGACGAGGAAGAAGCGGGGGAAAGCGGCGAGCGGGTGCGCCTGGGAGTACCAGTCGAAGAGCCCGCTGTCGCGCACGGTGAGCGAGCTCAGCAGGAAGTGGTACTGGTGGCTCGCGGTGGCGGCGGCGGCGACGTCGGCGGGGGCGGCGAAGGACCGGCCCGGGGGCGCGGCGGCGCGGTACATCGTCCAGCCGGGGAGGACGTCGATCGGGGGCGGGTCGCGCGGGTCGGAGGGGAGGGGCTCGGCGCGGAGCGTCCAGCCCTCGTACGGGTTCAGCCCGAGCACGGCCGCGTCGTGTTTCAGCGGCATCCTATCCATCATCAACTTTTTACATAAAAAGTAGGGAAAAAGACACACGGAATGGGACACCCCCCCGCCGCCGAACCCCACGTCGAGCACGTACCGCCCCTCCCCTCCCCCCTCCCAGTCGACCACCAGCACGACATGCGAGAACGTGCCCCACCTTTCCTTGGCGCCCGCGTCCTCCGCGGCCGGGTCGAGCGCCGCCCAGCGCTTGTACACCTTCGCCGCGCACTCCGACACGCGGAAGCCCAGGCCCCTTAGCAAGCACGCGAACACGGCGTTCGTCGCCCAGCAGTACCCGCCCGCGCGCCGGCCCACGATGCGCGCGTACGCCGCGGTCCCCACGGGCATCCCGTGCGGCGCGCCGCCGAGCGCGATCGGCGTCGACGGCGGGCCGAGCCACGCGGCGTCCGCGCAGTGTAAGGGCGAGGTGTCCTTCGGCACGTGGTGGTGGTGCGCGAGGTACACCGTCGACAGCAGCTCCAGCGACGGCGCCGGCGGGGAGGACTCGGCGGCGAGGAGGGGCAGCTCGAGGCGGCGCAGGTAGGCCGCGATCTGCGGCGGGGCGAGCGCGTCGACGGGGAACGTGGCGTCGCGCATCGAGTGAGTCAAGAGAAGAGAAGCACAGGTCACGGGGCCGTGGACGTCGAAGCCTCGCCATCGTTCGCACGCTGCTGTGTGGACCCACACACACGCCACCTCTCTTCCCTCCCTCCCATGGCGACCCCGCTCCCGCTGCAGCTCGCGAGCGTCACCCCGCCTTCCTCCCCGCCCCCGCCGCCGTCGCCGCTCGCGGACCTCTTCGCGGCGCTCTCCCTCTGGCCGCAGGACGAGGACGACCCGGACCCCGCGGACGTGTTCACCCCCGTCGACGGCCCGCACGCGTACGACGCCGCCGCCGCGCGCGCGCGCCTCCCCTTCACGCGCGTCTGGCAGCGCAGCGGCTTCACCGGCCGCGCCGAGCCCGCGCCGCTCGCGGAGGGCGCGGTGCTGGGGCACGTGGGGAAGAGTCTGTTTGGACGGACGATCGTGCGTGCATTCCTTCCTTCCCTTCTACCAAGGAGCTGATTGGGGCAGAAAGCGGTGTTCGACGAGCTCGAGCTCCCGCCGCTGCCCGCCCCGGTGCTGCACCTGGATGTGGAGGATCGCGATGTGCCCGAACGGTCGCCGGGCCCGGAGCCGCCGGCGGTGGCGGTGGAAGACGGGACAGACGTGGTCATGGCCGACGAGCCCTGGCCGGGCTTCTGGGCCGCGATCCGCGGGTCGGCGCTGGAAACCGGATTCGGTGGATATGCGGCGGGGGACAAGATGAACGATGCCGGCCTCGGCCCCGGCGCGTGGACATACCGCGACGCGCCGCCGCCGGAGGGAGACGAGGAGTACGAACGCGATGGCGCGGGGACGTATCCCGGGGACGTGCTGGACAAGATTAACGCGGGGCTGGGCGGCCCGGGCCCGGGCTGGGGGTACCGCGCCGTGCCGGAGGAGGAGGAGGAGGCAGACGACGAACAGCAAGGGTATGGCGAAATCAACACGAACACCGGGATGCCGGTGGGCGGCCCGGGCCCGGGTGCGGTCCGCGGTGTCTGGGCGTACCGCGCCATGCCGGGGGACCAGGACCGCGGCGCGTATCCCGCCCCGGCCGACACGCGCGCAAGCACGGGTCTGCCCGTCGGCGCCGGTGGTCTCGGGCCGGGTGTGTGGGCGTACCGCGCGATGGATACGCAGGATCACGACGGCTCGGCTGCGGGCTATGATCAGCAACCAGTCCCCTACGCCGCCGGGAGCGCCGGGGCCGGACCGTGGTCCGCGGGAAATCCCGAACGCGCGAACATGCGTTCCCACGCCATCCTCACCGCTCCAGCGCACAGCGGCGGCGCGATCGACCTCGGACCGGGGCTCGGCGGCGCCGGCGCGTGGGGACACCCAACCGCCGTTGCCGCCGCGATCACAACCGTGGGAAGCCCGGTCAAAAGGCGCAGTGTCGCCAAGCGCAGGCAGCCAGCGAGCCCGCCGCCGCGCGTCGCGGTGAGGCGCGTGACGGTGCATGCGCGCGCGCAGGCGCAGGCGAAGGCGAAGGAGTACCGCTGGGTGCACGTGTACGCCCCCGGTTCCGGCGCGGCGCAGCCATCGGAGCCGGCGCCGGACGCGCTCTCGGACACGACGACGCCGCCGCCGCTCACGGCCTCCTCCGGCTCGGGGTCCGGGTCGGGGTCGGGGTCGTCCGCGGGGCTCGCGACGCCGCCCGTGTCGCCCACCGCGCCCGCCGTCGTCGTCGGGGCCGGCTCCGGACCCGGGCCGGGGACCATCGCGCTCTCCAGCCCCGGGCCGTCCCCCAAGTCCCCTGCCCCGAAGAAGAAAAAACGGCGCGCGCGCGCAGAGGCGGTGCACCCGTGCCCCGCGGGGTGCGGGCAGCTCTTCTCGCGCGCGGGCGACGCGCTGCGGCACGTGCCCGGCGCGCACCCCGAGCTCGGCCCCGGGGACGGAAGGAGAAGGTGTAGAAGGTGCGGGGTGTGGCTGTCGAGGGGGGACGCGGCAAGGCGGCATGAGTGCGTGTTTTTTGTTTTGTTTTGTTTTGGGGATGGTGGCTGATGGGTTGGTTGGTAGGGCGGCGGGGGCGTGTGGGAAGCGGCGGGTGGGCGGGGGTAGGGGCGGGCGTGCGGGGCGGGCGCGGAAGACGGTGGCGGGGGCGGCGGTGTAGGAGCGGGCTGGAAAAAACTTGTGAGTTTCTATTCTCCGTTTTCGTTCGAGTTCTTCGGTTTGGGTTGGTGGGTGTAAGCTGTTATGTATGGTGTAGGTGTACCATGTATGTATTGCAAATTTGCGGCGTGTCACTCGGCGAGGAAGCGGCGCCGGGATGGAGAATTGATTGTGCCACGTCAAGGCATCACATGTACACGTGCACGTGCCTGTGACCCTCGCAGTGTTGATGAACCACCACCACTGCACTTTTACACGCCGCTGGCTCTGTCTTCCCTTCGACTCCCGCCAGTGCTTCGGCGCAGGGGGGCCTGCGCATACTTACCGAAACGGCACTGTCATACACGGACCGGTCGCGCGGGCACAGAAGATTCACAAAAAAAACAATTCAATTGGATGCAGCACCGACTCGAGATACAGCGGAAGACATAAACGACGACTCGATCTGCGCGGGCCCGCGGCCCGCAGCGCGTGTGTTTGCTGCGCGGCGCCTGTCACTGTGCCCCGGTGGATGGCGACGGCGGATCCGGGCTACAGCTGTGCGGGATGAGACTGGCCGTGGTACGGCGCCGCCCGGCGCAGCGCAGGGCGGCCGGCGACGGACTCGGAGATGGGCGCGAGGTGCGGGTGGAACCGGGCGACAGCGGAGCGCCGGCGACCCGGGGCCGGTAGCACAACGCTAACTGCCTCCTCTCTGAGCTGGATGGAGGGTGAAGGCAGCGGCGGGCGGGCCGGGGCGCCGACAGACCCGGACTCGGCGATGGGCGCGAGGTGCGGGTGGAACCGGGCGCCTTCGCGCCGGCGGGGGGCCGGTCGAAGCACGGCAGCGCTGCGGGGCCGGGTGGACTTCGGGGCAGCCGCGGCCGGAACGGCCCGTGACACATGTTGGATTGTTTGGGAGGGAGATGCCCGGCGGAGGATGGGCCGGGTGGGCTGCGGTTGTGGTTTTGCCACAGGTGAAGCGTATCCCCGGGACATCACAGGGCACAGTTGTGTTCGGGCGACGACTGCCTCTGGCAGCCGGCGTGAAGATCGTGCCATCAGAGGAGGAACAGCGGTGGCTTTAATGACCCGGTTTACGGCGGGCAGCGCTGGGACAACCTGGGGGACGTGCGTCCAGCGGGCCTTGGCGAGTCTGGCACTGGAGCGGGCAGCGCCGACGGTGACGGTGCTCGAGAAGAACGACATGGTGTTTGGATTGGTTTGGTAAGGTGTTCGTCGAGCGGGAGTGGGTTTGGTAGTTCGGTGAACTGGGGGGTAGGGCACTAAATGTGCTGGGTTTTATACGCCTCCGGGGTGGGGTCCGGGGCATGTCTCGCCGACCCGCCGGGGCGGAGGCGGAAGCGGAGGTCTTTGTCTGACACAGCTCTCGTCTGACTTTTACTTCCTGCTTCCGCTGGTCGAATCGCGAGCATTCCGAATGCTCGCGATTCATCGGTGTCACGAGAACACTGGCAAACGGCCGGAGGGCCTCTGACTTCATGTCATATCAGCGCACGCATTACTGCGTGTAAAACTCACATTCCCACGGTTTCGTTGCCGCTGCTTCCCCATGCTGTCACCTGTGCTACTTATCCGTCCCAAGACAACCCACGTACGGACCCGCCCGTGCGGCCGCCGCTTCTCCGCCCTGTGCTCTTCCTCCCGCTCCGAGACATTAAGATCATGTGACATGTCATTCGACTTTCTTCCGCAACAACTTTGAAAGTGACGTCATAGTGAGTTATGAGGGAACACGACTCAAAGTCTCAAACTTGTTTCACTCCTGTGTTATCACTCGTCATCTCACTTGAACTTAAGACTTCAAGAAAAAGAGTTTTTATGAAGCGGAGAAGAAAATCAAGTGGATTCAGATTCTAGAGCCATACACACAACGGAAGATATAAACGACCATCTCATTTGCGCTGGCGGGCGCCTTTATGTTCGTCTGCAGCCTTGGTACTAACCCGGCCCGAAGGCCCGCCAACCCGAGGCGCTTCCCGTCCGTTACTGTTAGCTGCCCCCGCGCCGGTGGCTCGCGGACGGAGCGTCCGAGCCCGGGCCGCGGCACGTGGTGGACGGCGCGGGACGGCGACGCGCGGCGCAGCGGCGGACGGGTGGACAGGGGCGCGAATTGTGGCTGGGCAATGATGACGCCGCGGGACATCGGAGGTGGGACGCTGCGGGGTCTCAGGCGTTGGATGGTGCGTGAGGGTGATGTGCGGCGGAGACGAGGGCGGGTGGGCATGGGTTCGAGTTGTATTTGGGCAACTACGCCGCGACACATCGGTGGGGGAACAATTTGTTTGGCCCGGGGGATAACGACTCGGCGGGGGCCAGCGCGGGACATTGGCGGTGGGATGGGCAGTTGGGTTTGGGCGACCCGGGGAAGCGCAATGGTGCTCGAGATGGAAGGCATGGTAAGCGGTATTTGGTAGCGTCGAGCGGAAGAGTGTTTGGTAGTTCGGTGAACTGGGGACACACCGTTAGGCCACCCGGGTTTTTATACGCTTTCTTGGTGGAGTCCGGGGTATGTCTCGCGGGGGGCGGGGGCGGGGGCGGAAGGTCTCGGTCTCGGTTTCTGCACAGCGATTGTCGGACCGTCAGATTGCTTCCGCTTCCGCTCCGAGAACACTTCCGCACCTTGAAAATGGACCCCATGGACGGACAGCCACCCCCGCGCAAAATATTCTATGCACCAAGCATCTCCGCCTTCCGAGACTTCCGAGTCGAACATCTGCTATTGAAGAAACTCGGTCGATTCGATTCCAAAATTTCTTCGGTATTGGATAGTGAGCACGGCTGAGTCTTTGAGTGATAAGTTTTGGACGAGTAAGTTGTTGCAATTTGTTGGCAGGCGGCGCAACATGTCGAGGCGGACCAGCCTAATTGTAGTGAGATTGGGTTATGGCACAAGTAGTAGCAACAATTTGGATTCCGACTTGCCATACTAATGGGATACTCAACCAAGGAGACGACTCAGACGAGTTGTGTTTGAGCAAGTTGATCGGTGGTCACAATCAGTCACGTCACACGACTGTTGTCCTCAACCGTAATGCAAGCCTCAACGTTGGCTTTTTATTTGACGAAGCCATCTCGTTAAATCTAAGGCGCCACCCAATAAGCGGTCGCAGCGTCTGTGTGTCGTCCGGCACCCGGAGGGTCGTCCTCAAGCCAGGCGTTTCCTCAATGCATATTCAGATTTTCAAGACATGCTACTGCCCTAGCCCGGTGGTCGATTGCCGTTCTTCCGCTAAGCAATCAGCCGCAAATGTGCGATGGACGAACTGTGGAAGGCTGCACTGGACGTCCTCGCGTTGGAATTTCCCAATATCCTGGCCGATTTCCGAGTCAATCCTCCGATCAAGACAAAAATTCCGGTCAACGCGCGAAAAATGGGTCCGTGCATCAAGGGCGACGTCACGATCTGCAGCTTGCTAGAAACCGACCTTCGAGCCGTGCTGTCTATATTATCTCGTGTTATTTGCTTTCAGAGCTTGCCTCTTAGCGGTTGGCAAGGGGATGATATTATCCTTTCCTTTCTTTCCTTTCGAAGTGAATGAACGCAACAGCCAAATTCGACGAACTTGAACCATCTGCCTTCCCCTGGTCGCCAGCGGCCGACTTGCAGCAAATTTTTATCATTGCGACAGAGCGGGCCCCGGAGATACAACTACAACCGGGCTATATGCTGCCTTGGCTACACCAGATACCTGAATGTTGTACCAGGACTTGTATTCTTTCACCAGGAGACTTGAAGCTACTATTCGTGGACCAGGATAAACTGCTGGACTGCTGGCTTGTATAAGAAAACCTGGGCTGCGTGTCAAATCAATGTCTCGCGATCGTGATTATGTCATGCTTCTCCCTTGGACGTGTTCCCCCATGTCTGAAGCCCACGCCCGACCCGCCAAGCGCGCCAGGACCGACGACGCGAGCTCGCCGAGGACGATAACGCGCTCCGACATCTGGCACACGGATGGCAGTCTGGTTCTCCAAGCAGGCGCGACACAATTTCGCGTCCACTGGGGCGTTTTGGCCAACCATTCGTCTGTGTTCAAGGGGCATGCAAAGTCTTCCTCAACCCCAAACCCCCGAGCCACTCGTCGAAGGCTGTCCTGTCGTTGAACTCTATGACGACCCGCGAGATATCGAAAATATTCTTCGTGTGCTCTACGACCCGTGCGGCAGCAGCAGCTCTTAGCCATTATAACCTTGCTAAATTTTCTCGCCCAGGGTCTTGTTTATCTCCCCCAAACAGTCCTCGTTCGCAATGGTGGTCTCGCTCGTTCGCATGGGACGCAAATACGAGTTCGACAAGCTTTGGATCGTAGGGCTACTAGTTCTGCTGGAGGCTGGTATACCAATGACGCTGGCCGAATACGACGGCCTCCGCGACGCGTCATACGAGCTGGGATTCACCGACAAGCATCCTGGCCTGTACATCGACATCCTCAATTTACTCCGAGAGCACAACATCCTCGCATTCCTGCCCTCCGTGTACTACATTGTCATCCAGAAGTATTCTGTGGTTTGTCTTCCCACTCATATGCTGCTAAGCTGAGACTTCTTGCAGCAGCAGTTGTTTGACGGGGTTCCGCGCGGAGACGGCACGACTGCGGTTCTCACCACACAAGATCTACGACAATGTATGCTGTCCAGAGACAAAATACGGCGGGCGCAGTTCCAGCCTGGCTACGCGCTTTCGTGGCTCAGCCCAACTCCGCTCGACACCATTGGTGGCGCGCCATCCTGCCTTGCGTTTCGCTCACGGAACATGCCGGCCTACGCGACAACTTCGGCCCTCTGTCTGCTCGACCCGGAGCTCTCCGATAACGTACACAAGATGTTGAGACGCAATGGGCTGTGTTCAACCTGCTGCGACGAAGCGCGTGCGGTGCAGAAGGCTGGTAGACAGAAAGGCTGGGAGGATCTACCGAGTTTCTTCGACCTCGCGCCATGGAGCGAACTGGCGTTCGAGTTGAAGATCATAATGGGGGGGCCGAGGGAGGAGGGCATGGAATGGGATTTCCTGTAATGCAACCTATAAAATCAGTACATACCTAGCATTTCACCACAAATGTCATTTGATATCGGTCAGTTTTTAGTTTGGGTTAGGGTTGCTACCATATCCTTGGACTGGAATTGTTCATGCAGGCGAGTTCAACTGGGCCATAGTGTAGGTGTAGCAGTTGTGTTAAGAAAAGTACTCGTTTCAAGTTTGCCACTTGCTACCAATGCTTGAACAAAGAAATAGATCACTGCGCCGGTCCAATACTCTCGCGCATCTTGAGTTTTTTACTCTTGCGCTCTTCGCCCTTCCCATTCCGCTTTCTCTTCTTCTTGGTCTGAACCTCGTCCTCATCATCATCATCTAGCTCCTCCTCTGCCTCAGGCGCGTAATCAGCTGATTCGCTGTCCACCCTCTTTGTCCCTCTTCGTGTACGCAAAGGACTGTTTTCCGTGGCCGCCCGTATGCCTTCCAGCTCCGCCGCACGTATCTTCTTCGCAGCGGGGCTCTGGTTCTCGTCATCCGACCCGCCGTCCTGGGAAAATATTTGGGATGGCGCTGGCGAACCCCCGTTCCTTTTTCCGCCGCGTTTCCGTCTTGACAGCGAGACAGACGCGGTCGAGGACGAGCCAGCAACAGAATGCGGTGGCCGGGATGACGAGACCGAAGTCGCAGGCGACAGCGGGAGGTCAGCAAGCGACATTGACGCTCGCATTTTGCTCTTTTCGCGCGTCAGCGGCTGGCTGCTGCCTGGAACCTGTGGTGATGGTGCAACGGCGACAGCCTTTACCTCCTCGTCCTCCTTGGGCAGGTAATAGACTTCGCCCTCCCGCATAATATCCACGCCGACGAGATGCCGCAACACACCGATCAAGTATGCGCTGAGTCCCAAATACTCGACATTGCCGACCATGCGCTCGCCATCAACATCTGTGGCATTGCCCTCATCGAGGATGTTCTCCTCCTTCATGAGATCGGTGTCGGTTAACGAACAACCAGGAACAACGAACGTCCGTCTCGGTCCGCTGCGGTCATCGTCGTCATCGTCTCCTGCATTTTCCGGTAAGCTGACTTTGTGGTACCGACAATGGGCACGGGTCATGGGCGTGCCGGCCGTCACTGGTGCAGCCGTTGGCTTGCGGATTGGCGCCGGTGTCATCACTGATGATGTAAGATCTGATGGCGTTGATGGGGAAAGAGGCATCGTGAAGCTTCCTCGCGAGGGTGTTGCTTGCAAAGGCGGAGGCCGAGGTTTGGGTTGGGTTGACTGTCGCGGCGGTAGCGCAGGTCGTCGGTTATGTGAATGCGCATGCATCAACACCGGAGGCAATGGAGGCGGTGGCGGTGGCGGGGGTGGAGTGGGTGCCAACTCAGATTGAGATCGTTGAGAGCGGATAACCTTGATGACTTTGCCTCTTGAATGTGTGGGGGATGACTCAAGGACAAAGGAAGACCCCCCATCACTTGGAGTTCCAACGACGGACGAGAGTGGCAGGTCCTCCTCCAATAAACGAGCAGCAGAATCAGCGCTCGAGCTGGAAGAAGAGGTATCATCGTCTTCTCTGCCCTTTCCTTTCCGCTTGCCTTTGCCTCGACCAGACAGTCGCGATCGCGCCACTTTACCAAAGTTGGGGCGTGTAGAAGGCAGCGTGTCATCTTCAGCGTCATCTCGTTTCCGTTTCAGAGACCCAGATTCTGACTCCGTCGTGGGACTGGCTTGTCTGGGAGATGGCGTCAGTACGATATGTGAGATAAATGATAAAAGAGGCATACTCATCTGTGGCAGCAGGTTTCGCTTCGGGGACATTGGCATCACTAAAAGAAAGAAATTAGACAAGTTAACCTGCACGAGAAAATAAACCCACCCATCGGTCTCATCTGTCTCTGGCACAGCCGTAGACAATGGTGTTGGGGTAACCTCAGCCATTGGTTCAGCAAGGTCAACTTTGGGCATGTCAGTTGCCAAATCTTGAACGGGTGGCGCGGGTTCGACGGCTTGTTCCTCTGTGTCAAGATCCACAGGTATCGTGTCTTGAACAAGAGAATTATCTCCGGACTCGAGTTCTTTGGCTTCCAATTCGCTAATCTCGTATGATGTCACCGCGGATGCCGTCTCCTCTGATCCCGACATTGCCTCAGACTCTGTCGCTGTCGATGGGCCCGAGTCTGCGATCCCTTCAATTTCACTGTTGATTAAAATGTCCCCTGGTGTCGATAGGCTGTAAGGGTAAGGGTCCGACTGCAATGATGGCGCGGAAGGCTGTCGACGAAGGGGCGGAGCTGTCGTTGGAATGTCGACTGAAGATTGGATCGTGGGTTCAGCTTCGGCCGGCAACGATTCGGTATTGGACGATGCGCTGATGGCCGGGGCTGTAAACTCTGATTTGTCGGGAATAACTTCAGTCTGGGCATCCTCAGGCGATTCTTCGACAATGACGGCTTGCGGGGACCTGAAGCATGTCAGAAAACAACTATCGAAAAGACGCAACAACCTACTGAAGTTGTGCTTGCTCCACATCCAACTCGGTTGGCGTTCCGGGCATTGAGCCAGCAGGCGTGAACAAGCTTGATACATGCTTCGCGCGTAACAAAGAGGCCGGCAGAGGGGTCGAAATCTTCGGGGAGGATGCTAGTTCAGCCTCATCTGGCGAAGTGGGCTCTGAAGGATCTAATGCCATAGGGTCCGCCAGAACGGGCATCGGAACATGAACAGGAAGTGACGGGCTCCAGCTGGGAGGTATTGTTGCTTCTTCGGCCTGCATTTCGATCGGCGTCTCCTCAAGAATCGGCTCCAACTCGTCTAATGCAACGATATCGACACCAGTGTCATCATCTTGTTGTTCTGGCTCCTCCGTTAATCGCTCCTCTACAATGAAGTGCTGGTGTGCAGGGTCGATGGACACACTGCGTGATATGGTACGTGCGTCAATCTGTCCCACATCGTATTCGTCGTCTTCAAGTTGATCAACTTCGTCAGACTCTATGACGTAATACTGCTGGCCACTGAAAAACCCGTCGGATTGAATGGGTTCTTCGTCAGATAGCGGCTCCTCGCCTTCGTAGTCAGGGAAAAACAGCCCGGGTTTGCGAGGCGAGTCCGTTGAGATGGGCAGGGTTGTATTGTCGTCCTTGATTGGAATGCTCTCAGAAGAGTCGTTAACAAGAATGGGGCTGGGTAGGAAAGCCTCGGAGGGTTGAACGAGCGGAGTTTCCTCTACCACGACTGCCGCGTCCTCGGTGGGAGGTTCGACTGGTTGTACAGAGGGCTTCATGGTGTCTGAGGTTTCGTCGTGTTCGATGAAAGGGACAATTGGCTTCACGGTTTCGGCTTCTTCGACATTCTCCACTGTAGCAGCAGCTCCGGGGACTCGATTGGAACCTTCCACGATAGGTTGCAACTCATCAACTTCAGCAATAGCTGTTTCCTGGAATTCTGATGCAGCCATATTGATGCTTTCGAGAGCTGGTTGCTCCGATTCTTCAACGGAAGGAACGACCGGTATGTCTTGAGAAACAACTGGATCAGCATCCTGGGAGGACTGCTCGACGATAGAGGGGGAGTTTTGGCGAGGGTCATAATTGAGGTCGCCTTGAGCCAGGCCTGTGAGATCCTTTGCAACAATACGGAGTTCTTCATGGAGAGGCTCCGTAGTAAGGACAGTCGTTGTATGAAGGTTTTCGTGGACCGAATCGACATGAGAGTGCTCATCGACGATCTCATCAGCTTCAAGGATTATTGGATATTGAGCCTGTTCGTGTAAAGGCTCTGGGTCTAGGTCGCCAAACAAATCTTCGGTAGGTGCATCAATGGCTTTTGAAAGTTGCATTGGACTGCGTGTTTCGTTGACCAGATCGACGAGAGAGGGCTCAGCGACGATTTCATCAGTTGAGAGGACTACTTGGTGTTCTGGGAAGTGGGGGTTTGGGGTCGCCAAACAAATCCTCTGTAGGCGCGTCGAAGGCTTCCGAAAGTTCCGTTGGGCCTCGTGTTGTCTCGAGTATGTCCTCAAGGCCAAGTTCCGCAGGCGGATCCTTAGTTGGTGGTGCAGAGCTAATTTCCTCGAGCCACTGATCAAGCTGTGCTTCTCCCTCCAACATTGTCTTGTTTTCTGCATAATTGTCCTGAAAAAGATCATCGTTCTGCCAGTCTTGAGTTGTGTCTAGCAAGAAGGTTAATGCAAGTTCTTGGAACTGTTAAAATCGCACTAGTGCTGTCAACAACCATCTCCTCGTTATCTTCATCGCCTAAACCAGTAACTTCGGGAGGCGGGGAAGAGAAGGAATGAGAAAATTGATCAAGCGGAGAGGTTTGGATTGAACTCGAAGCTGGGAGCGTGTCGTCATCGAGGTTGACTGGAGTTACTTGTGGTTCATCGTCTTCAGAGTCGACATTGAATACTTCCTGGTCGCGTTCTAGCATTTCATCTTGTTCGTCCTCCTCCTCCAACTCATCGTAGTCGTGATTGAGCTGTCTCGGCGGAGAAGAACCTGAAGAAATGAGAAAAAGGAAAATGGTGGGCGGAGTCAATGCCAACTTACCCCCGTCGCTCTCTGATTCCGAGCCCGTCTCGTTGTCGTAGTCCTCCTGAGAGTATACTCGACCTTCGCGGTCTCCAGATGGTGGGTGTTCATCATCTTCTTCATCCGAAAAGAGATCTCCATTTCGAGCAGCATATTTCTGGAAGCGAGCTTGAGCCCGAACAGTGCTTTCGCCGTTTAGCAACGCCTCTTGTTCCTCTTCGCCCTCTGATTCGGATGAATATTCGGAATCCCACTCCTCCTCCTCCTCTTCCTCTTCCTCAACCGCGACTTCGTCTTCTTCTTCTTCATCAGAGTCCAAAATTTCGATGGGGGTTTCTCTGTCTCCTCCTCCACCAAGTCCAGGTCCTTCTCTCGGATCCCGAGCTTTGCCTTTCGCTTTGGGACTCTGCCTCCCATCCAACTGCTCATTCTCTTCAGCTGACTCTGACGCTGATCGCCGGGGTACATGCCACTGTCGTGCCGTTTTCGGTTTTGGTGGTGTTTTCGCGCGGTATCCGAGCGCGTCTCTGAGAGCACCAGTGATGTCGCCAATCCACGCGTCAAATTGTGGCTGGGTGAACTTTTCGTACGGGTTGACAACAGGCGCTTTCGGAATCTGCGACCGCGCCATGCCACGCTGCAGAAACGGTGAAGTGGATGAAGGCATGACACAAGGGCAAAAGTGGGTATGTCACGTCACGGTCACTGCTTCTCACATCAGAATTGGTGGGTGTCAACAACAACACGGTTCTCGTCTATCTGGACTTGGAGGGACTTTCCCTGCCATTTATGGTCTCCCTTCATTGGCCCATCCCCGAAAAACACGTATCCAGGAATATAGCGATCAACAAACGCTTTTACTGCAGCGTCGTCCATGCCGCGACCGCCGTTGCGAGCCTTCATATGGTGTTCTTGCTGTAATCGCCATTTATATACGACGGAGAATTGGGAGGCGGGTGGAGATGGCTTTAACTGAGGTCTAATATTAGTGTTTCTTCTTCTTGAGATGCTGCAGACTCACCTGGATAAACACGTCAAACATCTGCCACAAGGGAATGTAGTGTTCCAGGGCCTCATTTACTGCCATTACATCTTCCTTCCGTGTAGAATCACCAAGACCGAGCCGAGTTCTCTCTCTAGCCCAATCTGCGTTCCATCGTATCTCCAGCTCTTTGGTAGAGATGGGACAGAAGCCAACACACCAGCCCTCAAGCAAGACGACATCGACGGGCTGTTGCACGACGGTTGCATCGGGCAGACCCAAGGGTATCCGATCGCCTTGTCCATTGAAAAGACTCTTATCGAACCGGGGTAGCTCTACCGGGTTGCCGGCCCGGAGTGTAGAAAGAACGTGCAGACCAAGAGCCACGTCGTGAGTGCCTGGCTGGCCACGGCCACGCCAAAGAGGGTTATTTGGATGAGCATGAGCAAGAGCTTCAAGTTTTTCATGAGGGAGATAGATGTCGTCTAGTGACAGAACTGCAACCCTCCCGAGTTCTTCTGCCAGCAACGCGGAAATGTACGATTTGCCGGAACCCTGAGGACCTTGCAATGCGACGAATAAAGGTTTGTGAATGCGAGAAGCAGTGCGAATATGAGCAAGAATCGGATTGAGTGCCGACATGAGATCAAGTACAAAGCTAAGTTATGTCGGCGCGCCTTGGTCTGGCAACCGCTCGATGGCATATCTGCGCTTCACAACATACATCAACGGAACCCCAGGAATCTGACGTATTCTCCGTCGGAGGTCTCGGTCGCAAGTGGCTACAATGTAGCATTTGTGTGAAGTCACCCTTTGAACCAAGCAATCGTCAGCATAGGTTCCCTCGTGTGAGCATTTTAGACGCTCAAATCGCGGGTCGCGCGCAACACTAAAATGCGGTAAGACCAGAGGTGAAAAGGGGGGGTTGGAGAGGTACACACCTTAATGCAACACGATATCGGTGACCTAGTTTCTCAAGCTCGGCCATCACGCAGTCGGTTATGCACGGTATACCTTCACAAAAGGTTGGCAATGACGAACATAAAGCCGAGTAAACGCACATTTAGCATAGAGGCAGTCCATCATGCCGCTAACGAGCTCGAGTTTGTTTTGTAGGCTGAAATTGATAAAGTTGGTGTCCACGAGCACTCGATACGGTGGGGCCAGGGCTTCGTTATGTGCCAGAAACATCGATGAGGCTACTTGCGGCCTACGACGGGCATGAGTTGCGAACGCAGCAGATATTGGACCAATGCTCACACTCGGCGTACCGCCTTTTCTTTCTCCTTCTCCTCCTTCATCTTTTGCTTCAGTTGATTTTCTTTCCTGTTGCATTGAGTGCGATCTTCGCTCGCTTGGCGGAACACCGACTCACAAACGGATGTCATTGGGATTGAGCATACGTTTCACCGTCGCAAACTTGCGCGTCTTCTTCGCCTTGGTCTGGCAAACATCAGCACAGGTTCAGCGGAGATGTGAACGATTTGCACCATTGTGGACGGAGTCAGAAGAAAGGCGGGTCAAAAATGGAAATTATTGCACGAGTCACACTGCGCCTGTCACTGATATTATTTTTCTTTTGACATTCTCCCTACCTTGCGCTCGGTCTTGTCTATTTCCGCGCGCCCTGAAGCTGTACAGCTGTAGCCATCTATGCAGTCATCACCGCGGCTCCTTCCGCCTTCCCCCCGAGTCATACAAATTTTCCTCCAACCGCCGGGATGAAACGCACCACCACAGTTACGGCTCCCCACCAACAACTGACCAAGATTCCGCTTTTGTCTGCCTCGCGGCGCCGTCTGGAAATTTTCGTTTGGACCTAGTCCACCATCGTTGGGTTTCATGCACGTCTCTGTCGTAACCACTCCGGTGAAATCTGGCGTTCAGTATTATGGTTAATCAAGCTTTTTGATCTATCCATTAAGAGCATCGCGGCATCCACTGACTCGTGTGGCAAACAAGGAACGCCAGCAGCTGACCGCGACAGCAAATAGCAGTTGAACAAATGACTTGTGGTGGGAAAAACGAGCACCTCGTGGCTTCCCTTTTGACAGTCTCGAGTCTCCAGGGCCTGTGGGCGGTGCAAGATCTTTCAAACACCTAGTTCGGGACTCCAGCGGATAGGATTGGCAGTGCACCGACCAGATCAAACTCAACGAAACCGAGCACTATTTAACCTCGACAAGGGCAGCATCTGACAATCAGTCCTTCGCCTTTTCGCCCTTCTCTACTTCTCCTTCCTACGTTAACCTACCATAATCATGTCGGAAATTCAGACCCGGATTACTACTAGAAGACGTCGCTCTTCAGTCGGCATAGTTCGCGCTATTGGCTCTCCTTTACGGACAACTATGCCTCCCTTGCCTTGGGACGAGCCAACCCCCTCTTCACGCCCACCAACTTTACTGAACAAGTTCATCGACGCCTACAAAGAACTTGATGCTTACCGCTCCGGCAAACCGGTTCTTCTCGACGGACAAACGCTCTCCATAGCAGCGGTAACCGCCGTTTCGCGTTACAGTGCGAATGTGGAGCTTGATGGGTCTCCGATTGTCAAAGCGCGCGTCAACAATAGCCGTGCAGTCATCGAGAAGAAAGTCGCCGAGAAATCGAGTATCTATGGTGTTTCGACTGGTTTTGGTGGCTCTGCAGACACCCGCACGGATGACCCACTCCTACTCGGAAATGCCTTGCTTCAGCTACTCCAAGCTGGTGTTCTTCCCAGCTCCACGAGCGTACCAGACGCACTTCCCCTCCTTGACCCAATGGGCACCGTCATGAGCGAGTCATGGGTTCGTGCTGCTATCGTTGTTCGGATGAACTCGCTTATTCGGGGCCATTCTGGCGTACGGTGGGAACTTTTGGAACGGATGAACTCGCTATTAAAGTCCAACATCACTCCCCTCGTTCCTCTGCGCGGCAGTATCTCTGCGTCAGGTGACCTCCAACCACTTTCTTATATCGCTGGTACCCTAATGGGGAGTCCCGCGATTCGTGTTTTCGATGGCCCCGCGGCTTTTGGTCGACGTCAGATCGTGTCTTCGAAAGATGCGTTAGCTGCTCATGGAATTGAGCCTCTTCCTCTAGCCTCGAAAGAACATCTCGGTCTGCTTAATGGAACAGCCTTTAGTGCTGCCGTCGCCTCTCTGGCACTCACTGACGCGGTCCACCTCGCACTGCTGGCTCAAGTTTGTACCGCGATGGGCACAGAGGCGCTCGCGGGAAGCCGAGGGTCGTTTGATCCGTTCATTCATGATGTCGCTCGACCTCACCCTGGTCAGGTTCGTTTGATTTCGTTCCCTTCTGATGTATATTCAAGGCTGACGCTTCGCTAGATTGAATCCGCCAAGATAGTATGGGATTTGCTGGAAGGCAGCAAGTTCGCCATTACGTCTGAGCAAGAAGTTACCATCGAGGAAGACGAAGGTGTCCTTCGACAGGACCGATACCCGCTTCGAACTGCTCCTCAATGGATTGGCCCTCAAATCCAAGACCTAATTTCTTCACTTGAAACTATCACTCTGGAGTGCAATTCTACGACGGATAACCCGTTGATTGATGCTAGCACTGGCAAAATTCACAATGGCGGGAACTTCCAAGCGATGGCGGTAACAAATGCAATGGAGAAAACCCGCCTCGGATTGCACCATCTGGGAAAGCTACTGTTCGCTCAACTCACGGAACTTCTCAACCCGACCATGAATCGTGGATTGCCTCCCAGTCTTGCTGCCACTGACCCGTCATTAAACTACCACGCCAAAGGCATTGACATCGCCACTGCCTCCTACGTTGCTGAACTTGGATATCGCGCAGCGCCGGTGTCAACCCACGTCCAATCAGCAGAGATGCACAACCAAGCTGTCAAGTAAGAATGCTCACAATCCTTCTGATCTAAATGTTTACTTACTCCGCTCCTAGCTCGCTTGCATTGATCTCCGCTCGTGCTACAATCGACTCCCTTGAGATGCTGTCCCTTCTGACTGCCTCTTACCTTTATGTTCTGTGCCAAGGTATGTTCATTGATGCAAATTCTTCGACAAAAGCTTACAATACTTTTAGCCCTTGACCTTCGCGCGATGCAAACTGAACTGGTCGCCGGGCTTGACAAAATTGTCGAGCGAGAACTGACGCGCCTATTCTCCATCGAATTCTCTCCAAAAGAGCTGTCGACACTTATCAGCGCTGTTCGGGCTGCCCTTCACAAGGCTTTGGATGAGACAAGCACAATGGATGCGCATCCCCGAATGATCAAAGTTGCAGCAGCCAGCACGACCGTGCTTGTCGACGCATTCACAGCCTGGAACAAGCACTGTGCTCTTGTGGCTATCCCTGCTTTCCGAGAAGCCGTTTCTACTCAGGCAGAGCAGCTTCTCGATGGCTTGCGCCGATCTTATCTTCTGGGCGAGCGCGGCGCGGCACCTGCTAGCCAATACCTCAACAAGACACGGCCGGTTTACGAGTTCGTCCGTGTCAAACTCGGCATCAAGATGCACGGGTCAGAAAACTACGGCGGGTGGGTCAACGGTCTTGGTGTCGATGAGGACACGACCGGGGGCCACGTTTCACTTATTCACGAAGCTATTCGCGACGGAAAACTGCAGCCCATAATTGTGGGCCTCTTTGCTTAAACTAAAAATACCACTATAATCGTCCAGATAAAAAGTGTAGCTGTACTAGTACATGATGTATTTTGGAACCTAATATCTAATCGAGGAACGTGATCGTGAACGAACTTTGTCCAGACTCTTCGAGGATGTCGAAACAACTTGATTCGTTTCTCTCATGTCTCACCGAAAGACCGTCATCGTGGGCTCCGGATGTTTTGGTCTATCGACAGCCCTGCATCTTTTGAAACGAGGGTGGGAAGGTATGGATGGCTTCGCCTCGACTTTCTCGTTCAAGTTGCTACCTAATCACTTTGCCTCATCCAGACATTACCGTCATCGACAAAGCACCCACTCTGCCTGCTCCCGACGGCGCTAGTAACGACTTCAATCGAAGTTGGTCCAATTCCCTCGTGCCCAGCATCATGCCCATTGCCCACTTGCAACAGTTGTGAGGACATCTTACTCGGACCCTTTCTATGCCGCCCTCGCGCAAGAGGCCATACAAGAATGGAGGATCGCTGACGAATGGGGGGACACATACCACGAGTGCTGATGTTCCTATCCAACGCTGCTTCCGCTCATCACGTTGTGAGGTCGGCCGTGCTTGTTTTGGGATCACCGTCGGGCTATGAATACACACGCGAATCCTACAAGAACGACAGCGCAATGGGTCTCCGCGTCGATTCCCTCGACACCTTAGCGGCCGTGCAATCCGTATTCCCCGCGAATGTCCCTGTTGGAAATTTTGCTGGTTTAACTGGGTACCTCAACCGCGACAGCGGATGGGCGAATGCGGGCCAAGGCGTGTCCATCTTGATATCCAAGATAACAGAGCTCAAGGGGAATGTAATCTCCGGCAAGAGAGTTGTGGATGTCTTGCACGCGGACTCCAGTCTGAAAGCAAGTGGTGTCCGTTGCGATGATGGAACTATTCTGGAGGCCGATCTTGTTGTACTCGCTACTGGGTCGTGGACTGGGTCCGCATTCCCGCAGTATACGATCGGCAACCTCTACCGCGCAACAGGGTATCCGTTTTCTGTGTTGTTCCTCTCCCTGTTGACAGCCTTGCAGACAATCTGTGGCGATGGTTCAATTGACACCGGAAGAGGGTATCATCTACCAAGACATCCCAGTAGTTTTGGATTTTGAAACTGGATTTTACATCTTTCCGGTGTGATAACCAACTCTTATCCTGTGTTCACGGCGCTGACCTTAAACAGCCCAACGACAAGCACATCGTCAAAATGGCGATCCATGCTGCCGGATATACCCACTCGCTCGGCGACCAGAACATCTCAACCCCGCGAACGATCCTGTCCAATCCGGACGGGGGACTGCGCATACCTTCAGAGAAAGTCAGAGACCTGAGGGCTGGTCTTCATTCGGTCTACTCAGAACTGGCCAAGCGGCCATTTATCTCTACTCGCCTCTGCTGGTTTGCAGTTTCTGGAGTCATTGGAATCTGCAACTCACCTTTACGCAGGTACAACGATACCGTCGATGGGGACTGGGTTATCGGCTACCATCCCGACTCAGAAAACACAGTTCTTCTTGCAACTGGAGGAAGCGGCCACGCCTACAAGTTCCTCCCTGTGATTGGGCGCTTGGTAGCCGATGCGATCGAGGGCAAGCTTGACCCACCAGTGGCGGAAAAGTTCTCTCTCACACGCAAGCCTGTCCAAACCGACGAATCACGACACGACAATGTTCAGGAACTCGATCTGAATTCGCTCTGCACACCAGAAGATCTAGCAAACTTGTATTAGGATATAAAGTGTCTATGGGCATATATATGGTACATTTTTCTTACACGGAACTGTCATGTTCCTTTTGGGTCAGTCTCAGGCACGGTGGCCCACAAATTCGCGCCATGAGCGCACTTCGCTGGGGATGCGGCCCTCGGTGTACTTCCGCAGTCCCCCTTGCGGTATTTTTCGCGCAAGACTCTCAACAAAGAGGTCCGCGGTCCGCGCATTGTTGAGCAGCGGCAAGCCAAAGTCGACAGCATTCCTTAGAACTCATCAGCATAACCGAGGCTATATCAATGGGGAGCGTTACCGTCGAGCAACGTAGTCTTCATCGGTGAAGCTGCTCCCCCTGGTCTTCGCCAGGTTGATGACACATGAAATGTCATACTCGTCAAACACCTCCCGGAGCTTCCGCTTGTCCTTGGTGGGGAAGAATATCCGCTTCGCCGAGACGTATTGAATGTCATTCAAGAACTCCTCAACCTCCGGCGAGGAGCAGTAAAGCTTGAACCCGAGATCAACAAGGCGTTTCGCGATTCCAGGCATCTCCGGCGTAGATATGTCGCCGCCGATAAGGATACCGGAGTTGGCCTTGGGGATCTTGAACCCGGTGGTGCTGAGAAGCGAGGCCCAGTAGGCCTCATAAACATCTTTCCCGAAGCTCGCGACTTCGCCGGTGCTTGCCATCTCTGGCATCACGTGAGCATGTGTGGAGCGCTGATAAGATAAGAAACATACCAACACCAAGGAAAGGATCGGCTCCTCCCAAACGTGTCCAGGAAAATTGGGCGACCTTGATGGAGGTGTAGTCCCGAGATTCCGCCATGATATCCACGGGGCCCGGGACGTGTTCGCCCACGATCGCTTTTGTGGCCGTATCGATAAAGTTGTGGCCGAGCACCTTGGAGACGAACGGGAAGGACCGCGATGCGCGAAGATTACACTCGATGACCTTGAGCTGCGCGTCTTGTGTCTTGATGATTTGCATATTGAAAGGCCCCGAGATCTTGAATGCGGCCGCCACCTTTTCCGCGATCGTTTTCAGGCGCGCAAGGTCACCTGGAGAGAGTGAGAAGGGCGGAAGAACCAAAGTAGCGTCCCCAGAATGGACTCCGGCGTTCTCGACGTGTTCAGAAACGGCATGGACCAACAGTTGGCCATTGTGTGCAACAGCATCGACGTCGATTTCTTGTGCGCCATCGATGAATTTGGTGATCACGACAGGGTGGAGAGGCGAAACGGAAGCAGCAGCCGAAAGGTTGTATTCCAGGGCAGATTCTTCGTACACGACATTCATTGCGGCGCCGGACAGAACGTAGGAAGGTCGAATAAGCACCGGATATCTACGAGCTAGATTAGTCGAAGAAGATCAAGCGTGGCCACAACTCACTGGACTTTGGCCGCAAAAGCTTTAGCCGCATCGAGCGTGGTAACTTCGGTCCACTCAGGTTGATCCACACCGATGCTGTCAAGAACGGAGGAGAACTTGTGACGATCCTCTGCGGTATCAATCTGTTCAGGGTCCGTTCCTAAAACTTGGACTCCGCTCGTCTTCAGTCTCAGGGCGATGTTTTGAGGTAGTTGACCTTGATAGACAATAAGCCAAACAGCGAATTGAACGGGAAACCATACCTCCGACGCTAACAATCACGCCCTGACTTTGTTCGAGTTCATAAATGTCCATGACTCGTTCAAATCCGAGTTCCTCGAAATAAAGCCGGTCAGCTTCATCGAAATCCGTAGACACAGTTTCCGGATTGTAATTGATCATGATGGTCCGTTTGCCCATGTCGCGCAGCTGACGGGCGCAGGTAACAGCACACCAGTCAAACTCGACACTGCTGCCAATTCGGTATACGCCACTGCCGAGGACCATGGTTCCATGCTCGTCAAACTCAACGTCATGCTCTGAGGCGTTGTAGGTCGTATACAGATAGTTCGTGTGTGCAGGGAATTCGGCGGCTAAAGTGTCGATCCGTTTCACAAACGGCGTGATACCCAAAGATTTACGGGCTGCACGGACAATGTCTTCAGTCGTCGAGACAAGGTCAGCGATTTGGACATCAGCAAAGCCCATGCGTTTAGCTCGCTGCATTAACTCGAAGTCGATATTCTCGATTGATCCAGCAGCCTTCAAGGCATGATGCGTTTGAACAATGTTGTCAATCTTGTACAGGAACCACTGAAACCTCGTTAAGCAACTGCATAACTACAATAGTAAAAAAAAAAAAATGATTACTTTGTCAATCTTGGTCAGGTCGTGGACTTGGTCGACGGTGTAGTTTTTGTTGTACATTGCATATGCGATGGCAAACAATCGCATATCTGTTGGTCGAGACAGCGCCTTGTCGAGATCTTCTGGCTCGATATAAACCTCGAAACCTTTCCATCGAGGATCAACCTGTCGAATAGCCTTCTGCAGACTCTCCTCAAATGTACGACCAATGGCCATAACTTCTCCAACTGATTTCATGGCTGAACCGACCTCTCGGTTGACTTGTGAAGAGAACTTGGCCAAGTCCCATTTGGGGATTTTAGTCACAATGTAGTCAAGCGAAGGCTCAAAACAAGCGGTCGTTGTTTTCGTTACTGCATTGGGAAGTTCAGGGAGCGTGTGACCGAGAGCGATTTTCGCAGCGGTGTAAGCAAGGGGATAGCCTGTTGCCTTCGATGCCAGGGCACTACTCAAGAGTTAACATCGAAAGTCTTCGTTATACTTGGAATTCCAACCTTGATCGACTGAGACTAAAGAACGAAGTCAATATTGATCAACCTTTAGGAAGTAGGAAAACACACCGTGCATTGACCTCAATTACGCAATATTCTCGCGATGTAGGATTTAATGCGTATTGGATGTTGCATTCTCCAACAACCCCAAGATGACGAATAACCTTGATTGCAGCACTTCGTAGCATGTGGTACTCGTCGTCCGGTAACGTCTGCGAAGGAGCAACAACGATAGAGTCTCCAGTATGGGTGCCGAGAGGGTCAAAGTTTTCCATGTTGCAGCAAATGATAGTATTCTGTCGGTGAACTGAGTATTTGAGTTGGACGAAAAAAAGAATAGACGTGCATCTGCCGCGTCGCGAACGACCTCATATTCCAACTCTTTCCATCCTTTCATACTTCTTTCGATGAGTACTTGTGGACTTAGACTCAGACTCTTGGCAGAAAGATCGCGTAGTTCATCTGGATCGTTCGCGAAACCAGAGCCGAGACCACCGAGTGTAAAGGCAGACCGCAGAATGACAGGATAGCCAATGGTCTCCGCCGCAGCGAGAGCGGCATTGACTGAGGACACAGCAGTCGATTGGGCAACGGGAATGTCGATTTCTGTGGAGTTATCTGAATCAGTAATCAAAAGGCATGGAAGAACAACACGCACCTTTGAGTGCTTGGACGAAGAGGTCTCGATCTTCTGAAACCTCTAATGTGCGGATGGGTGTACCCAGAACCTTGACTCCCAGTCTCTCTAGTACTCCCATGCGGTCAAGCTCTATTCCAACATTGAGCGCGCTCTGTCCACCAAACGTGAGAAGGATTCCATCCGGTCGTTCTTTTTCCAAGACATAAGCGACATAGTCGGCGGTAATGGGGAGGAAATAGACTTCAGAGGCGAGTTGGTGTGAGGTTTGCCAGGTTGCAATATTGGGGTTGATCAAGACAGCCTGAACACCCTCTTCGCTCAGGGCCTTCAATGCTTGTGAACCAGAGTAGTCGAATTCTCCTGCTTGGCCAATGCTGAGGCCACCACTGCCGACCATGACAACCTTCTGAACATCTGGCCTGGGGATTTTGGGGAGAACCTTGGCGGATATACGACGCGCGAGCTCGGAAGGTGAATTGAGAACGTGCTCGCCGTCTTTGGGGTCGTATGAACCAACAGCTGGGGCAGCTACTGCTCTAAGCCTCGACCCAGAGTGAAAAGCACGCGAGGACCATGCCGCACGGTGAGCGCACTGCACTCGCAGCAGTCGCCCAAAGGACGCGAACATGAACGTTCGAAAATGACTCGCGTTTCTTCGAAAAATTTGTGACGCGATTCGCGTCTGATGCGTGACACAAAACTGATCGGACTTCTGTTTTGCTTCCGCAGTCGACAACGCCCTGAACAGCTTCTTTCATGAGCTGTTCGTTGTTCATAAACAATAGTACGAGAAACTCGGTCAAGACCCTCCGCACATCCGAATTTCCGAGCCCGTTACCCAACGTTTTACCCAATCCAGCTTGCCTGAAACAGCTCGGAAGTTGCATTGCCATCCACCGCTCTTCTCTCATCGAATTCAAGCGCAGCAGACATTCTTCGCCAACAAGGCAGCTCAACGTACTCAATCCTCATCTTTTCGCTGTTTCACCCTGATCACTCGTTGTGTGCCGTTGACCATCAAATAACTTGGGAGCTGCAACAACCTGGCCCCACTGAGTTCTGACAGTGGCACTGCAAGATTTACAAGAAGCCTGCAACTTAGACTGTAAACCTCGTTCAATTGAGTACGAAACTACGTCAACCTCGTGTCTCTTCCGCAGTTTCAGCGATATCGCCACTCCAGACTTACTGTGAGAGCGCTGCAACCATGCCCCCACCGGCACCTGAAGACTTTGGCTGATAACGGCTCCGCACGCGCAAGGCCCAGACAAATGCGTCACATCCTGCCCCAGTGGGGGCTGTCAAACCTCGGGGTTGACGACATGGAAACACGGGTTCATTCGGAGTTTCTCTCTCGATGCGATTTCCCGCTTCCGAATGATTTCCTTTCGGTCCAGGCCGCTTCAGAATATTTATACCGCCGTGCTGCTCGCTTCGTGTTGTGCTGCTGCCCAGCTATGTCGACCCCTGACCACGACCTCGAGAAGGGACTTGCCCTCACACCGATGAGCGAGTTCAGCTCTGGGTCGCAGAAGAGCGACGCTTCAACCGCGGCTTTGGTCCCCGTATTATCCAAGAAAAGTCCTCCTCCTCTTGCACTCCCGCACAGAACGAAGCGCAAAATCAGTCGTATGATAAGATTCAGCTTGTGGTTCAATACCTATAGGTGCGATCTGCAACTGCACGATTTTTCATCGACAATCCACTGACGCAATCTAAGGAAGCTTTTTACTTTCGTGGTCTCCGCAAATCTTGTGGCATTGATCCTGGCGGCTATCGGTACATGGCAATATCCTCGAAGATACTCCGGAGCTATGGTGCTGGGCAACCTCCAAATGGCCATCTTGATGCGAAATGAGCTTTTCGGCCGTTTTCTGTATCTGATTGTCAACACTCTCTTTGCCAAGGCACGTCGTTTGTTTCCACGGACCCACAAGGGCTGTTGATCTTATCGGACAATAGTGGCCACCGCTATGGTTCCGTTTAGCTTGCACATCGTTGCTCCAGGTAGGTCACAAGCTCCAAGTTCTTTATCGACTCGGACCGACATGCCTTTTCTAGCATCTTGGTGGTATTCATTCTGGATGCGCGATCTCCGGAGCAGCTTGGCTCGTTTTTCGGATTTTCCTCCTCTCCATCGATCTGCAAAAGTACCATCCATCAATCTTAGCCACGGGAGGGGTAACAGCGCTCGCAATTGGCGTCTCAATCGCGTCCGCAGTTAGTTCCTGTCTTGTTCCCCGCACAAAAAGACCAGCCTAATTTCTCGCCAGTTCCCTTGGATCCGGGAAGCCCACCACAAGTAAGCGATCACTATCCACTCTTGCGAGTTTGACCTCAACTTTTTGCCTAGCATATTCGAAGGGTACCATCGCTTAGTCGGGTGGTAAGCGTTGAATAGATACAGTAGTGGAGAAGACTAACTCATTTTTCAGGTTCGGACTGATATCCAGTGCGACCAACTTGCATTTGTTACATCTGGACTAAACGTTTTTTCCAGCTTGGATCTTCGTCATCCTCGGCGATTCATACGACATCGCGACTCATTCTTGGAATCCCAGCGGCCTTCATGATATTCGACAACAGGATTTTTGGTTTGTTATCGTCATGACCATATTGTAAGCTTTGCGAGAATACTGAGGTAGACGACTAAATATTTTACAGTACCCTTATACCTTGGGTCACTCTTCGCAAGGTTCCTGTTGTTGTCGAGATTGTGAGTTGTATCGTCCTTAATGTGTTTCACCGAATTGAGTCGAGGGCAGCCATCCCCCAAAGTGGCTATAATCCGCTTTGAACGAGGAATGCAACAAGGTTTACTGGCCAGAATTTCCCGAGGCGCTATCCTCGAGTTCCATGCGTTTGGAATCATCTCGTCAGTCCCTGCTCTCCCAAATCGTCACCTTGCTTATATCGGAGCAGGAAAGGGCGACAATCTGGGGAGCACTACCTCATATGTGGTGTTCAGGGCGATTTTACTGCAAGGTTGTTGAACTCTTCGGCATGAACGATAGCTCATTAAAACCCTCATCCAGGCTCGTACAAGATCCGCCAACACACCTTTGGACACGACAATTAAAGTTCGCGGGTGTCTCAAATACTTCAACGCTTTACAAGCGGGGGATACGAGTGTGCACGGGCACGGGGCTTGGCGCTGCACTCTCAACATGTCTACAGGCAAGTGTCAGTTTGGAGCGCTCGTCGCGGCGCTAATGGCCACAGAATCCTAATTGGCATCTGATTTGGATGGGCTCCAGCCAGGAGCAGACATTTGGGAAGACGATCAGTGGACTAATTCGAGATAATCTTCCGCCAGAGCAGTACACGCTTTGGGACTCGAAAGAGCGCGGAGGCAGACCGGATGTCATGGAGCTGATCAAGACGACGTATGTTTCTTGGGGAGCAGAAGTGGTTTTTATCACGTCGAATTTGGGAGGTAACACGGAGATGATGGAAGGATGCAAGCAAGAAGGTATACCAGCTTTCGGCACTCTCGTAGGTCCCCTTCTCTTCTGCGTTGCCACAACTGATTGATATGGTGATCAGTGGGATTTCTAATTATCAATCAATTAACGCGAAGTCTGCATGGACGGACACCTTAACTCTCATAATAACACGTACCGTACAAGATATGGAAAATTAAAATGATCTCATGACGCTTCAGCCTCCGGAGGCTCTGCTATTGTTGGCTGCTTGAAGATATTGCGTCGATACCATTTGAGCTCTTAGAAACGTTAGGCATGACAAGGAGGTATTTCTGGAGGCTCCCACCTTCGATAGAGGCTCTGATATCATCTAAGGCACTGAAGAGGTGTTGAGGGCTGCAAGCTACAAAAAGAAGGGTGAATTATGTACCGATGTTTACTCTCCTTTAGCTTTGGAAGGCCAAGTTCAGGATACCAGCGCCTTGAAAGTTCCTGCGAAGTACGTCAACTTTCAAGTGGATGACGCGTGGGGGCCTACTTTGACAGAAGAGACATCTAACACGATGAATTTGGACCTTGCCATAGGGTGATGGAATGGACACACCAATAATACTGACCCAAGGAATGAGTATGAAAAGCTCGATAATAAGGTATATTCCGCACCGATAATGCAACCACTCGATAATTTCAGGCATTTGCTTCACAAGAAACCCTGCATTCGATGCATACGTGATCAGCCGCAAGAAAACAGGGTGAGTACTTTACCTCTGTCCGCGTGGACTGAGTTGCCAGCCAAAATCCCGACACGGCGTTGTGGGATCCACTTCTTGATATAAGCCAGAACCGTTTTTGAAACGTCCTCGAGCGAGTGCGGCGAGTCCAGGCACGCTTGCGTCAACCCAGACTGGCCATGTTGTTTTGTGCACCACTCATCCATCCTATTTGAGAATTAGCGCTGATCGGAGAAGAAGAAGGCGCAACAAACGCGTCAAGAGATGCTTTGTCCGTCTTGATAATGAATTCGATGCCATCGTCAACGGGGCGGAGCTGTCCGTCTGTGATTATCACTGCGATTTCAAGAATCTTATCCTTCTCGAGATTGAGTCCCGTCATTTCGCAGTCCACCCAGACCATAGCGTGGTCTTTGTAAGCCAAAGGGCGGTTTCCTTCCATCAGTTGTAACCTTCTGGTGGGGTGATTCCAGCGAGTTTGTTGCGGGCCTTGAGCGCAAATGCGAGAACGACAAGCAAAAATGTGCTGATAGAGAGCTGAAGCAGAGTGCTTTCCGAAACAAAAGAGCCTTCTACGGATGGAAAAAACGTGTGGGCAGTATCTTTTGAATAGCGAGACGCGAAGAGGAAGATCGGCTGTCACACATCACGTGATCGTGACGCCTCTCCACCATTGCCTTCTTCTTTGACGATGGCCGACGCTGGTGCGCAACTGGTACAATCGTTGGGTCGTATCCTACAATCTACTCTGTAAGTTTATGCTCCTCTCTCTCCAGCAGGCTCATCCCATGCACCAGAGTTTCAATCGAGATTGTGCCAGGGGACCCCGAAACTTGGGGCGCTTCAAATACTGAAGGTTTTCTGTTATCGCAGTCTCCGGAGGGCCAAAATCTAGGCGTTTTCCAGAAGCACCTTTATAGCATATATCCGACTGCAGTCTCTATGTTGAAAACAAGCGCTCACAACGCCTCAGCAGTCATTCTCCTTGCTAATCCTGCTCACCAAACTGCCTGGAATGCGCGTAAACATCTAGTTCTCCAGTCGGAGCCGCACTTTGCTGAGTCGGAACTGCTGTTCTCTGAGCGTCTTATGCCGAGCTCAAAGCCTGCTGCCAAAGAGTCCATCGCATGGGCCTATCGACGTTGGTTACTTCACTATATCTATGGTGCCACTGCCCTTCCTGTAAAACGTGTCGAATCAGAGTTCTTGCTCGTCTCAAAATGCTGCGAACTCTATCCCCGCAATTATTTCGCGTGGTCGCACCACTATTTTACCGTCGACTGTCTTGTTACAGCTCTCGATGCTGACCACAACCTTGACTCTCCCTATATTGGTGTCCTGCTTGGAAGAGCTCATAGTCTTCGTCGATGGATCGAGACCCACGTCTCTGATTTCTCCGCCATGGATCAGTACTGCAAACTGTTATCTCGAGTCAATTCTCTCTCGTATTATCGTCACGCATTCTCAGCGCTATTGGACCCCCCTACCCACCTTCACCACACCATTGAACTCATACAAACTTATCCCAATGAATCCTTATGGATGTTCCTCCGAGCTCTTTTAATCGTTTTCCCACAACTGGTTGAATCTGCTGTTTCCCTCACCTCAGACTTTGAAAGCGTGCACAGAGACAGATTCGCTCGATGGGTCCAGCGTATTATACCAGGTGTTGTGTTGTAGTCTGTAAAATCAGAAAAAAAATGTACTTGTTTTGTCGCGTCAGCGTGACACGTAGCACAAGCGTGTTTCGGCGTTTCTCACCTTTACTCATCGTCTCGCATGTTAGAGGCAGCTACCCTCAACTGAGCCCCCCTCTTTAAAGATGGCACGACACAGAAACCGGTCCATTGTGTGGATTACGCTTGGTTTCGTTGTCTTCATCGCGCTGTCCAGTGCTCACGCTTCCACAACGCCAGAGGTAATACCCATATCTCTATCCTCCGCCGGGTAATGTCTGACTTGTCTCTAGCCTCAGCTTGGGACCACGGAGACGGAAACCAATTCAGTCCGTCGACTTCTTGCACCGTCAACAAATGTACTGATGCCTGTTAGGCCAATGCAGAATTTGACCAGGTCGCGGAAGGTTTATTTGGATGCTCTTTCGTGTTGAAGTTGCTGAAGCCGCTCTAGCGACTCGTGCCTACAAACAAGCACTCAATACCCTATCGACACTGACCGCAAATCCTCCCCAGCACACATATGGCTCGTCCTATTCGACCCAACCGTCCAACTCCAAGTCTCTACTCTCCGCGTTTCTCCCGAACCTCCAAGGACAAGGCCCGATAGCCAGCGCTATGCGGATTGCAATCAAACTCCAGCGGCAGTTTGCCGGCGGGATATTTTCGTCGGCGGACAGAGAGTCGAGGTGGAAGCGGGAAGAGGGCAAGGGCAAGGCAGTCAAAGTTATCGACCTGCTGCAGCACTCTGCTGAGCTCGGCAACACCGATGCGCTATACACGCTCGCCCACATATCACTGGTGTGTAGACCGTTGTCAACCAACTCGCCCTTCGTCTAACCAGCGGTTTCGCAGTTCCCACCCACAATCCACTTCCCGTCAGATCCCAAACTGGCTTTCGCCTCGTTTTCGACGCACGCGACCATCACCGGAAACGCGTCCTCGCAAGCGTTCATCGCCTTCTTCCATGCGACCGGCTACCAAAAGGTTGTGCCCATCGACCAGGCGCGAGCGCAGCTATACTATACATTTGCGGCCAACGGTGGAGACAAGGGGGCCCAAATGAGTCTGGCGTATCGTTACTGGAGCGGTATCGGGACCCAGGAGGACTGTAGTCGTGCTGTTGATTGGTATGAACGCGCTGCGGAGAAATGTGCGAAATCCTTTTCCGCTGTAGTGCATATATTAACTCCTCAAATAGCTATGGCGGTCTTCACGGCTGGCCCGCCGGGTGGACGAACGTTGCCTCAAACACCCACGCGTCTGTCTGACTTGGTTGGCGGTGTTTATGGCCCTGGTGCTAGTGTTGCCTCAACGGGCTTGAATGCCCAGAAAGCTGCCATACGCGCAGGAATGTCAAGAGCTTCGGGAGAAACTTGGGAAGATATACTCGATTACTACCTCGTTCGTCCCTGATTCCCCGTATGTCTTCCTCTAACAGGTTATAGTTCAACGCTGAACGACGAGAAATCGAATTCGCCTACCGACTGGGCAAGATATTTTATCAAGGTAGCATCTACGCCTCTAGAGGTGGTATCGCATCCGGAAGCGAAGGGGTCGGTGCTGTTCCGCGCGACTTTGAGCGGGCGCGGCATTATTTTCTACTGATTGCGCGCCTTGTCTGGCCACGTGACCCAACGAACCCGCTCCAATACAAAGCGGCACAGATCAAGGACGAAAACCTGCCCATAGTTTATGCCTCCTCAAGCGCAGCCTTCCTGGGTCGCATGTACCTGCGCGGCGAGGGCGTTAAGGCTGATCCAGCGCTGGCCAAGATGTGGTTTGAGCGGGGGAGCGAGCACGGCGACCGGGAATGCCAGAATGGATTGGGCATCATATGGCGGGACGGCCTGGTACCTGGCCTCAAAGCCGATCCGAAGAAGGCTGTTTCCTACTTTACGGCCGCGGCAAACCAAGAGCTCGCGGAGGCACAAATCAATCTGGCCAAATACCATTTTGGTAGGATTGCTCTCTTGGCAGAATGTTGCTGATTGTTCGTAGTTCGGGGCGATCTGGGGCCAGCTGCCCAGCTGTTTGATACGGCGGTTCTGTATGGCTCGCCCTTCGAGGCGTATTATTACCTCGGCCAAATCCATTCTGTCAACTCGGAAAGCCGCGCTGTGCCTGCCTCCATCGCATCCGGCTCATGCTCGATGGCGGTCTCGTTCTACAAGATCGTCGCCGAGCGCGGGGTCTGGGGCGACGACCTGCTTCGCGATGCGGAAGTTGCATGGATGTCGGAGACCGACAGAGGCCGCGAAATGGCCATGCTCAAGTGGTGGATTGCCGCAGAGCGTGGGTCGGAGATTGCGCAGAATAATATCGCCCACATTTTGGATCAAGGTGGGTATTTTTTTCTGACCAGAGTCCCTGGTTGATATTTTACTAGATAGAAGCATTCTCCGTCTGACGCGTTTCTCGCCCAACACGCCATCGAACGAAACTGCGAGGCTGGCACTGACGCAATGGACGCGTGCTGCAGCTCAGCGCAACATTGACGCACTGGTCAAAGTCGGCGACTATTACTACCATGGCTTGGGTGTATGGGAGGACGAGGTCGGTCGGTTCGAGAAAGCTGTCAAGTACTACCAGGCGGCAGCCGACACGCAGCAGAGCGCGCTGGCGATGTGGAACTTGGGGTGGATGTACGAGAACGGTATTGGTGTCCCGCAGGATTTCCATCTGGCAAAGCGGCACTACGACATGGCGTTGGAAACGAATGGAGAGGCTTCTTTCCCCGTATATCTCTCACTGCTCAAGTTATACGCGCGGAGCATATGGCATACGCTAACAGGTGGTCAAGGCGGCCTGAGCCTGTGGATCTGGGACGACGACGAAGTGGAATTGCGTATGTTGCGACTTGTTCTTCATCATCTTGCTGATAACCAGCCCAGAACCGCCTCCGCGGGCCGCGACGATAGAAACTAGCAACAAAGATACCTCAGAAGACCCCGTATTTGAGAAGGAGACATACCATGATGAGGATGACGGGCCGTGGTACATTGGCAAAGCGCGGGAAGAGTTCCGCAAGAAAAAGGCCCAGGCGCCGGGAGAAGACGAGGATCCTATCCAGGTTAGTTTCCCTGACCAAGTTTTCACTCGCTGAACGTGTCTAGTGGGCACGTGACCGAAGAAACGACCGAGAAGCCGAGTTTGGCGCGGACGACTACCAGCTGCGGGGCGAGGGCGAGGCAGACGACTTCTCGGACACGGTTATCCTGATGCTGCTTTGTTTGGCCGTGTCGGTGCTTATTTACGTTCGGACAAGAATTGTCGACCGGATGCGGAGGGAGCAGCAGCAGCCCCAGGACGGGGAGGACATCGGTGTGCCGCCTCCGGGGCTCGAGCGCGATGACTGGGCCGTGTTGAGATAACATCTGTGTAAAAGTACTGCTGTATAGTATTCTATAGACCGTAATGTGGACCATGGCACATTCCCAGAAGCACCCCCAGGCTCGGCCTGCAAAGACTGGAAGAGGTTCTTTGAGCAGCGGAAGGTGTCTTCGATATTATTTGAGGGAGAGAAGGGTATGTATACTAAGTGATTTTCCTAGACTAGGAATTCAGAGCCAACTATACTTACTGGATAATAAGATTCAATATGTAGGGTATTCTCAACGGCACCAAGATCTTTTAGCTTGGTGCCAGCCTGTGCATATGATGCAGACATCACGTCGATGAGGGCTAAAGTATTTGCATCACCTGTAGATGTTTCAATCCTGGAAGCTGAGGATTATATAGGATTATATGTACTTACTGTTTCTAAATCTGGTAAAATTTGATTTTAATTTACTGATGCTATTGGGTACCCTTTGACGAGCTAGACAAAGTGCTGCATGACTGTTTAGGTGAATAAGTACATTTACCTGGACTGGAGTCTGGGACTGGACTCTCTACTGATGCCACGTCACACTCGGCGTTTACCGCGACCGAGCGTGGGAAAGAGCACGTGTCGCCAACCTAATCAGGGCGTACTCCTCTCCGGCGAAGTCGCCTGCGACGACGACGAGTAGCATCATGGAGCTGGACGCGGACAGCCTCGAGCCGTATATTGCAGAGATACTCTCCGCACCAGGTGCGTGGCCTGTGACAGTCTCTGTTGAACAAGGGGCTAACGGTGGCCAGGGACGGACCTTGCGACGATCAGCGCGAAGCGAGTGCGGCGGCAGCTGCAGCTTGTCGACCCTGCACTGACGCCGGAGTTGCTGAAGGCCAACCGCGTCGCTGTCGATGCCGTCATCACCCGCGTCTTCGAGCGCGTCCAGCAAGAGGGTGGCGGTGTCAGCAGCATCCAGGGGTACGAGGACAGCAGCCCTCCGCCACAGCAAGCTGTGGCCCCGCTGCCTAAGAAGAAGAGTAGCCAGGAGGCGAGCGATGCGGAGCTCGCGCGCCAGCTGTCTAGCGAGATTAACGGTCGTACGAGGAGGAGCAATGGGAATGCGGGGAGCGGGGGAACTCGGGCAGGTAGCGGGACGCCCCGGAAGCGCAAGGCGAAGAAGAGCGCTGCGCTCGTCGACACGGACGACGACGATGACGACAGTGACGGCAGCGGTGGGAAGCCAGCCAAGAAGCAGAAGCGCAGTGAGGGCGGCACAGCGAGGGGCGGGTTTGCCAAGCCCTATCTCCTGAGGTGTGTATTCTTCTGTTCTACCCTATTTTTTTGCTTATTTATATGCAGCGAGCCACTCGCGGCGGTACTCGGGACAGACTCGCTCTCGCGCCCGCAGGTCGTCAAGCAGCTCTGGGTGTACATAAAGGCAAACGAGCTGGTGTGTTTTCCATATAACGCGCCCCTGTCCCTTTCCTCATCTTGCCAGCAAAACCCAAACAACAAGCGCGAGATCCTCTGCGACGGCGCGCTCCGGCCCGTGTTCAACGTCGACAAGATCGACATGTTCAAGATGAACAAGGTCCTCGGCCAGTGCGTGTCCTTGTCCCCTCCTTTTGTCCTTCTCACACAGAGACAGACATTTGCACGAAATTGAGAGCTAGTAACAGTGTTCATACTTATTTTTGCTGTGTGTCTATTTGTATTTGTTTTGTTAAGCTGCGTCGAGAGACGCTGACTCCCATGCTCGTTGAATCTCCAGGCATCGACTGGCTGCCAACGTTCTTCCGCACAAGTGGCTATGTAATATGCTCATGCACCGAGTGTTACGAACGCCGCCACCGGCGGAAATCCAAGCTGTAGTTGAAGCTTCAACTACGGCAAGTAGGAGAGCTCTGCCTTAAGAAGCCCGCAATAACTCACGCCCAACAACAGGCATACATCCACAGCACTGTCGGGGCGCGATATTGCAAACATTTAGAAGTGTGCATCAACAGAACGCTGGAGTGGACGCGAAACTGCGCTCGTCGTCGGTCTCTGGCGGAACGCGCCCGGTTGCAAGTGGTGGTTGAGATTAGCCCGTGATGGATCGGCGATCACGTGCACGCCGAAGACTCTCAAAAATCCTTCATGGAGGTCGAGCGGGAGTCGCGTTGGCCTCAGTTGCCCGCATGTAATATATGGCGACTTCTTTCCGCTTCAATAGCTGACTCTTGTACCAGTGCAACCAGTGTTACCGTTCGTCAAATCGTGGACCGAAGTATCCGGTTGATAATAGATATCTGAATGAACTCGAGCCTGCTTAACAAGGTCCATCATCCCCGTCTTTACTCGTTTCCCCCACCTCAACTTATGAGCCGAATTCAGTTTCCGACCCTCCCCTCCTGTCTCCCTTCTGCCCGCCACCATAATGCAAGAAGGCGACTTATTCACCACTCCTTCCTATGCTATACCCCACTCGAATGTCTCTTCTCCACAACTCGCACCACAACCCTACCAAGCTCCCAGTCAGCGGCAGGGCAGCTCACTCGACTCGTATCGTGATGAACCAGAGAATGTTGGTTACCCTCCAGCCTCGCCGGTCGCCTCTGGCCTCTTGTTACCAGGAGGAGCCGCCAGCCAAGCGGGCTACAGCGCTTACCCGGGAAACCCTCTGCCCCAAAACGCGTATGCAAGTAGGTACAACGGAGCAGACAGTCCATACGTCCCAGGTCGTGCCTCAGCCGATCAACGAAGGAAACGGCGACTCATTGGATTGGCTGCAGTTATGGGCCTTATTATCGTAGCAGCTGCAGTCATCATACCAGTCTATTTCGCTGTCATCAAGAAAAACAACAGCAGCAAAGCCACTTCTGCGACATCTTCAAATCCTAGTAGCGGCAGCCCCAGCAGCAGTGGGGACCCCGGCGGTGGTGAAAAGCCGACAAGTGCTATAACTGGCTCCGATGGAAGCACGGTACTAACTGCGGATGGAACTTCGTTTGTTTACAAAAATCAGTTCGGTGGTTTCTGTGCGTGCATATTCAATCGCAAATGTTTGGACTCGCTGATCACGTCGGCAGGGGTTGATGACCCAAGTAACCCATTCCTCAACTCTGCAGCACCCAATTCGTGGACACCGCCATTGAATCAGTCTTGGACGTGGGGGAAGGACAAAGTATACGGTGTCAATCTAGGAGGATGGTTCGTGCTAGAGCCTTGTGGGTTTTCTATTTCGTTTGAGAGTCGTCAGCCTCATACGCATCAATAGACATTGCTCCGGCCTTATTCCAGAAATACCCGTCAGCTGCGGACGAATGGACCTTGTCGACTATGATGCGCGCCGATGGTACATTAGAGAGCACCATGGAAAATCATTACGACACCTTCATTGTGCGTTTTACCTTCTTGACAGTTGATTTTCTGTGACGCGAGCATAGACTGAGCAAGATTTCGCGGAGATTGCTGGTGCTGGCCTCAATTGGGTGAGAATCCCTATACCGTTCTGGGCTATCAGGTTGGTTATTACTCTACTCCGATGATCATATCTGAATAATTCATAGTACTTGGGCAGACGTTGGTCAAGATGTGACTAGCGCTACAGTTTCCGAGCCCTTCCTTGAAGCAGTCTGTTGGAAATACATCATCCGCGCTCTGAACTGGGCAAGGAAATACGGTCTCCGGGTCAATCTCGATCTCCACACTGCCCCTGGGTCACAGAATGGCTACAATCACTCGGGGAAACAGGGTCAAGTCAACTTCGTATGTGGGATTTCGCTGGCTCCGTCTCTGTCGCTAACGATTCGAAACACAGTTGAATGGACCGATGGGTGTTGCGAACGCACAACGAATGCTGGACTACATCCGTATTGTTATCGAGTTCGTTTCACAAGACGAGTATAAAGACTTGGTTCTGATGGTTGGGATAATCAACGAGGGTGCGTGTTGTCATTATTTCTTCTGAATCCCCGTTAATGTTCTATAGCTCTGCTTCGCACCATTGGCAGAGACCAACTTACCTCTTTGTGCGTCATCTCGCCTAGTTGAAGGTCCTGTGCTAATTTCCTTCAGTTACCTTCAGGCCCATGATATGATCCGCGGAATCACCGGCTATGGCACTGGTAATGGACCATATATCAGCATTCACGATGGGTTCGATATGTCTTTATGGGACGGTTTCCTGCCTGGCTCTGACCGCATTATTCTCGACACACACCCCTACTTTGCCTTCAATCAGCAACCCAACACCGCGCCGATTGGGCTGTCTTCTGACCCTGCGACCGCTGGCGGAGTTTGGCCAAAACAAGCTTGCGATTCGTGGGGCCCGGGCATCAGTGCTAGTCAGACTGCTTTTGGTGTCACCGTCGCGGGCGAGTTCAGCAACGGCTACAACGACTGTGGGCTATATGTGACGGGCGTCAACGGGAGCCAGACCTACGGTGGAGACTGCACGTTGTTCCTGGACTCTGCCAGCTGGAACGCGTCGATGAAGGCGGGCTTGATGCAATTCTCGCTTGCGAGTATGGATGCGACCCAGAATTGGTTCTTCTGGACTTGGAAGGTGCATTTCTTTCTCTGATTTAGAAACACTCAATATATATATGGTAGATTGGTGCTGCCGCCAATGGTATTGTCGGTGCCCCGCTTTGGTCGTACAAGCTGGGTCTTGAGAATGGGTGGATACCTCCGGACCCCAGGAAGGCCATTGGTGTGTGTACGGGACTGGGAGCGGGCCAAGCCGAGCCGTTCGATGGAACGTACAGCGCTTGGCAGACGGGCGGGGCAGGCGCCGGCACCATTGCGCCCTCAGCATCCGCCAAGTTTGGTACCTGGCCGCCCGTCTCGATCGCTAATGTCGAGGCTGCTTCACTGAAGGCCATGCCGACCTATACCCCAACAGCGAGCATAACCACGCTCACTTACGCAACACCGACGGCTAAGGTCGCTGTTCCCTCGCCGTCTATTGGGCTCGGGAATGGCTGGAAGAATGCAGGGGATAAAACTCCAGCGATGACCGCCGTCGCAGGCTGTGTTTACCCTAATGCTTGGGGAGCATTGACGCTGCAAGCGCCTGCCGCGCTTTCAAGTTGCACTGGGGCGTGAGCACTTTGTCCATTATATTATATTGCGAGTAAAACTATAGCAATGCATTGTAATTTTAGCGACAGAGAATGTCGAGTCACTGTAGGTAGTCAACTCTGTTGTCACACTTTTTACACTTTTTCAAATTTCGATTCAAGTTGCGGCAAAAATTGTCTAGTGGCGGTCCGCTTGCGGCGTCCTTCGTGGGGTATGATTGTCTGAATTTGTCTCGGAGCGGAAGGAAGAGCACAGGGCGTGGACAGGAAAGCAGTGGCTCCAGCCTCGGGTCTGGTGGCGGTCCGTTTGTGGGGTTATCTTGCGCCGGATAAGTAGCACAGCATGGGGAAGCAGCGGCAAGGAAACGTTGGAATGTGAGTTTTACACTCAGTAATGCGCGTGCTAATATAACTGGGAGTCGGAGCCTCCGCCGGCGGTTTGTGCTCGTGATTCAACTTGAACAAAAAGCGGAAGCAGAAAGTCAACCCGCGGAAGCAAGTCCAAGGTCAGACAAGAGCTGTGTCAGACAAAGACCTCCGCTTCCGCCTCCGCCCCCGCTGCGGGTCGGCGAGACATGCCCCGGACCCCACTCCGGAGGCGTATAAAACCCAGCGCATTTGGTGCCCTATCCCCAGTTCACCGAACTACCAAACCCACTGCCGCTCGACGAACATCTTACCAATCCAATCCAAACACTATGTTGTCCGTCTCGAGTCTCAGCGCTCGCCGCGGCGGACTTGCCGCGGCGGCCCCGGCCAGCTGGCCCGTCCCGTGCATCACCATCACCGTCACCCCCGCCACCCCCGGCGGCGAACAGACAGCCGCGCAGATCCTCGCGGGCGTGCTCGTCGCCGAGCCGCACCTGCTGTACCCCCCCGGGCGGCTGTGTCGGTCTCAGGTCGCCGTGGCCCCGCTCGTCACCCCGGCCCGGCCGCTGCCGGTGGTTCAAACACTCCCGGTGCCACAAACAAATTTAAAAACACTCCCGATGTCGATGCCCACCCGGCCGAGACTGCGGCGCACATCCGCCTCGCGCACCGTCCGCCGCCTCGCTGCACCGCCCCCGATGGCGCGCGGCGTCGTCGGGCAGCCGCAGTTCGTGCCTGCCCGCCCTGCGCTGCGGCGTGCTACTCCTTACCAGACCATGCAACGGAGATAGGCTAGCGCCGGTGTGGCCCAGACAAACATAAAAAGAACAGACTGGAGGCAAATCTCGTCGTCGTTTACCCAAATAAAATACCCTGTGTTGTCGTTTTCCAATCGCAATTATCTTCTGTGCTTTCATGAAACCTTCCGTGAGATTAAGTCCTGTTTCGGCGCTCGAACCCGGGGTTCGACGAATATCCGTTCTATGGTAAGAGTAAGACACGGAGTGAGACCAAGTTGGCTTGTCTACCTTCGGCTGACACTAGTCCCTCGGTCTTCGTAGGACCAGGCACGGTTCAAGTTGCACAGTGAAGGGAACTGCAGACCGACAGCCTGCTCGGCTTTGCGCACGGCACACACACCGACGATGAAACGCCCCTTAAACTTGAAGGGTAACTCGGCCCGGCGCCCCTTACACTATGACGTCAATCTTCTCGCAGTTCTGTTTCATATTGCGGGCGCGGGAATAGTCTGTGGGGCGGTTCAGATCCGTGAGGGTCTTCTGTCTTGAGCGGGACGACGCAGCACAGCATGCGGATGCGGATGCGAACTCGGAAGTGGCAACGCCCGGCGGTGCATGCAAGTTGCGCGCGGGAACCTGACACGGGGTTGTTTTCGGCCGAGCCGAAAAAATACGCGTGTTGGGGCTGAGGGCTGCCCGGGTAAACGCTGCAGCCCGCTTGGCTGGCGGCTCCTCCCGGTAATAAGAGGTCGGAGGCAGCTGGCGAGGCTGGAGGGTACTAAGCCAGCATTCTCTGGTTCGTCACGATACGAGTCGAGCGAGCCGCTCTGCCGCTGCCCGGGAGCTTGGGCGGGTTGTGGTGCGAGTCGTGGAGAAGAGGCATCCGCGTAGGGAGTGGTGAACAGGTCGCGTTCTTGCCACCACGGTGGCGGGCAGAAGGGAGACAGGACGGGAGGGCGGGAAGCTGAGTTCGACTCATAAGTCGAGGTGGTGGAAACGGGTAAAGACGGGGATGATGGGCCTTGTTAAGTGGCAGGCTCGAGTTTATTCAGATATTACTTCGGTCCACGACAGTAACACCGTTGCACTAGCACAAGAGTCAGCTATTGAGGCGAAAAGAAGTCGCCAGACGTACGGGCAACTGAGGCCAATGCGCCTCCCGCTTGACCTCCATGAACGATTGTTGAGAGTCTTCGGCGGCTCTTCGGCGTGCACGTGCGTCACACGGCCCGCCCGCCCGCCGATCGATCACCGGCTAATTCTGCAACACCGTGTTTCGCCAGAGACCACTGGTCAGCGAGCGGAATCTTCGGCGACACTCAGCATGGCAGCAAGACAGCGACAAACAGTAACTCACCCGGCTTCACAACCGACCTAGCATGCCTTTGAAAACCATCGCCGAGAGAACGTTTGAGTGTACGCGAATGAGCTTTGCCTCAAGTTGGCCGTGGCCGGCACTACCAGCCGGGTGCGGTGCGGCAGCCGCTTATTGAGAGGGACCTCAGATCCAGACGCCTTCGTCAAAAACCCCAGAGAGCCGAAGTACTAGCTAGTTGAGAACATGCGTAAATGTGACATGGTGTGACAACACCGATCAACTTCGCGAGCAGCAGCGAGCAACTCAAAAGGCCACACCAGTCGTCCACTTGGCTGAGTGTCCCATACGACGCTGGCAAGCCGCAATGCAAGCACTTGTTGCCGCGACCAGCACCATCACACAATCTCGCCGGAAACGGACCTAAACGGACAAGTTCTCTTACTTACTCGTAGCATGTCGCCCCGCCTGCAGCTGTGAACAATCCTGGTCAAAGCTTATCCTATGAAGACTCCCCAGCGCCCGCTATCCAATGCCGAGGGAATCCAAATTGACTGGATTGCTTCAATAGCGGATGTTAAAACTCGAAGGTCTGGGAAGGCGGCGTCTGCGCGGGGGCCAGTGGCTGTCCGTCTACGGGGTCCATTCAAGGTGCGGAAGCGTGCTCGGAGCGGAAGTGGAAGCCATCGGACAGTCCGACAATCGCTGTGCAGAAACCGAGACCGAGACCTTCCGCCCCCGCCCCCGCCCCCGCGAGACATACCCCGGATGCGTATAAAAACCCGCGTGGCCTCAGCGGTGTGTCCCCAGTTCACCGAACTACCAAACACTCTTCCGCTCGACGTTACCAAATAACGATTACCATGCCTTCCATCTCGAGCACCATCGCGCTTCCCCGGGTCGCCCAAACCCAACTGCCCATCCCACCGCCGATGTCCCGCGCTGGCCCCCGCCGAGTCGTTATCCCCAAACAACTTGAAATCGTTCCCCCACCGATGTGTCGCGGCGTAGTTGCCCCAATACAACTCGAACCCATGCCCACCCGCCCCCGTCTCCGCCGCACATCACCCTCATGCACCATCCAACGCAGACCCCGCAGTGTTGTTCCGCACCCACCTCCAATGTCTCGCGGCGTTATTGCCGAACCACAATTCGAACCCCTATTCACCCGTCCACCGCTGCGTCGGGCATCGCCCTCCAGGGCCCTCCACCAGAATCTCAGACACTCAGGCGTCAGGAGGGAAACTGCAGTCAACAGACTCCCAGAAACATCGGACCTCAGGGTAGTATTACCCAGACTAGCCTTCCAAACAGCGGCCCCAGTGAGGGCGGATTTCATAGTCGTTTATATCTTCCGTTGTCTTTTTGGCTCTAAATCGAATTGATTTTATTTCTGCGTTCCCCAAACTGTGTCGAGATTGAGTTGTCCCACCAATTTGAACTCTTAGTACTGTCGCTGATACGCTTGATTCGTGTGTCAATGTCTTCATTAGTTTGGAGATTGTAATCGATAAATGCTCTCGCAGTTGCGCGTTAAATTTTTCCAGTACAATGAGGAGCAGCTCTTGTCGATGGAATCGAGGTCACAACCGTGAAACTCGTCGGGCCGACCCGGCCCGGGTGCATTATGACGTCAATTCCTTGCGCAGCAGCGGGAATAATGTCTAGCTAGAGTGGCGGTCCGTGGGGTCAATAGTCTCGGAGCGGGGGAGATAGCATAGCATGGGGCAGCGGTTTCAAGTTTGCGATCAGGAATTCGGAAAGGTCAGTGTGTTCAAATGTGTCAGTGGTCGATGAACACTTGAGAGCGAGGCCTCTTATAGATCTTGTCTATTTTTTTGTGTCGTGTCCCGCTGAATCAATTGTAAGCAAGGCTCGAGATTTGACGAATGGTTTGAAACGGAAGCATAAAACAACCTGGCGGAAGTAAATACAGACTCAGACAAACGCTGTGTAGAGACAAAGACCTTCCGCGCCGGGCCGGCGAGACATGCACCGGATTCCGTCCTGGATGGGTATAAAACCTGCAGGACTAAGTGGCATATCCTCAGTTCAACGAACTGCCAAACACTCTTCCGCTCGACCAACACCTACCGCTTAACAACCACCATGTCGTTCTTCTCCAGTACCGTCGGCGTCGTGCGCTCGCTCCCGGTTGGCGGGCTTCCCCGAGTTGCATGGATGCACATCCCCCGTGTTATCCCCGCCTCGCCTGTTGTAAACTTGAATCTCAAACTGGCCGATAAGCCCACAGCCATTCCCCCACCCATGGCACAGGCATCGTCTTCACGACTTGTTCCAGTCGTCGCCCAAACACCTGCTCCTCCGCTGATGTCTCGGGGGTTTGCCACGCTTGTGGCCCAGCCACAAACCAGGCCCACCCGCCCCCCTCTCCGCCGAGCATCTCCCTCCCAGACAATCCAACGCAGGGCGCCACAACCGCCTGCAGTTGCTGAACCCAAATATGCCCTACCCCCGGCGATGGCTCGCGGAGTCGTTGGCCAACCACAATTTATGCCCACCCGCCCCCCGCTGCGTCGTGCTTCTCCTTACCAGACCACCCAATAAAAGAGGCCGCTCAGCGTCACGGCGCAACTGACAGTCGCGATAGTCCCTAAATTTACGGGCCTACGGTTACCCAGATTGTCAGTCTTTCAGACGGAGGCGAGCACAGTTTTGACTGTGGTGTATATCTTATGTTTTTTTTTCGGTTAAAAATAAAAATTGAGTTTGTGTTCACGATTTTGCATTATGGTGTTGAATGTCATTGAACGTTGAGTGAGAATTGCGCCAGTTTTTGTCTGAGCATCGTCATTCTTGGAAGACCAAGTCCTCATGATACCATACAATGTATGCCGCCTTGATTTTGATTCCAGGTTGTACATCATTGAAGCCCGGGGAACAAAACCTGTAAGGTTAGTAGTCTTTCAGTTCAAGCTTGGCTGATTTTTCACTGGGCCCACCGGCGGCGCGTCACCGTGACTGCTACCGTTGCACCGCAAGATAGTTTCAGGGTGGGATTAACGTTAACGAGTACCCGTAAACCTGAGGCCGGATTCGAAGGAGACGTCATGATGCAGAATTTGAACTGCTTGAAGTTTGGATCCGGATGTTCATTATTGACCCAGACTGTTGCCGACACGCGATGAAGCCTCACTTGCTGCATACTTCGGAAGGAGGGAGGAAAGCAGGTGGAACGGAGGAGAGTCTATAGGTCACACTCCCTCCGCGCGTGACGTGGTTGCGGTCAAACCTCATGATGCTGAACGATTTGCCATTCGTTGTGCGAACACATCGCTGCGGCATAGTAAGCGCCCGGGTTACACGAGGTAAGATCTACTCTGGATTTTGCTACCCCAACTCCACCGAAGCCTCATCATAATCAACTCCCGCTCTTCCTTATATATCGACCCATGCCCAACATACACTCCCCATCTTCGGGCCATGCTCTCCAAACTCCTTGCCCTTTGTCTACTTGCCGTCAGTGTACGCGCAGGTCCTTGTGACATCTACAGCTCTGGCGGCACTCCCTGTGTCGCGGCTCACGCCACAACACGGGCGCTATTCAACTCATATAGCGGCTCGCTTTACCAACTCAAACGGGGGTCGGATGGGGCCACGCTCAACATTTCCCCCCTCACTGCTGGTGGTGTGGCCAATGCTGCCGCCCACGACTCGTTTTGTGGCGGGACCACCTGCGTAATCAGCATCATATACGACCAGACTGGGCGCGGGAACCATCTTACGCAAGCGCCGCCGGGTAGTGCTGCCCAGGGCCCAGAGGCAAATGGACTGGATAGTTTGGCGGCTGGTGGCGGCGCACCAGTACAAGTAAATGGCCAGAAAGCCTATGGGGTGTTTATTCCTCCCGGCACTGGCTATCGCAATGATGCAACAAATGGAATTGCCGTAGTACGTCCATTTTAAAAGAGCTATTCATCGACTTAATAATTTCCCAGAACGACGATGCGGAGGGAATGTACGCTGTGCTCGATGGAACTCATTTCAACGGTTCGTGTGTTTTCTTTCGCGTTTTCTTCGCTTCTCACAAAATCCAGGCAATTGCTGCTTTGACTACGGAAATGCAGAGACAAATAACCACGATACTGGCTTGTCTATCCCGTTTATACCAAGCTATTCCGACTGACTGTAACAAGGAAACGGCCACATGGAGGCAATCTACTTCGGAAATGGAGGGGGTTCCGGCTCTGGAAGTGGGCCATGGGTCATGGCTGACCTCGAAAACGGTCTGTTTTCCGGCCAAAGTGCCTCCTCTAATCCCGGGGATCAATCTATCAACGCCCGCTTTGTTACTGCCATCGTCAAGGGTGAACCGCATGTTTGGGCCATCAGGGCGGGTAACGCGCAAACTGGATCTTTAACGACTATGTGGAGCGGGCCACGGCCTGCTGGAAACTACGACCCGATGCATAAGGAGGGTGCGATTATATTGGGCATCGGAGGAGACAACAGGTACGCATTTACTAGCGTGACAAACATTCAAATAACTTTGTTCAGTGATCGCGCACAAGGAACTTTTTATGAAGTATGTGTCCTTCCATTGAAGTACTTGTCTGACTATCACAGGGTGCCATGACGAGCGGCTATCCCACCAACGCCACAGAAGACTCTGTCCAAGCGAACATCGTTGCAGCAGGCTACACCACTACCTCACTCGTCAGTGGTCCCGCTATCAGTGTCGGCTCGACAGTCTCCCTACGAGCAACGACTGCCTGTTGCTCAAACCGGTACATCGCCCATAATGGGACAACCGTCAAAACCGAGCTCATCTCCTCCGCCAACACTACTGCCATCAAACAGACCGCATCGTGGACAGTTGTTTCCGCCCTCTCCGCGACCGCCGCAGCGAACGGGTGCATATCATTCCAGTCGCGCGATGTCCCAGGAAGTTACATCCGCCACTCCAACTACCAGCTCTTCCTTAACGCGAACGACGGGTCCAAGCAATTCGCAGAGGACGCAACGTGGTGTCCTCAGGCGGGAATTAATGGCCAGGGTAACTCGGTGCGCTCGTGGAACTACCCCGCACATTGGTGGCGGCACTTCAATGGCTTACTCTATGCTGCGAGCAATGGTGGCCCTGATAGCTTTGATGCAGCAGCAGTGTTTAATAACGATACCACTTGGATAGTCGGACCGGCTTTTGCATGAACCATTACTACGTAACTACAAATTTGTTGTCTATTTCTTTTCGTTATGCTGATCCACAATGCATTTAACCAGCTCTGCAATCTTGACTGCCCCCTGGACTGGCATGACGTCCGATCTAAGCAGAGAAAGGGCACATACGGGAGTGTCTGAATGACAGCAGATGGTCACTTCCTCGAGGCCCTCTTCGCTTAAAGGAAGAAATGTGCCCTTGTTGGTCGTGATTTCACGATGCTGCAGCATGTGAGAAACCTATAAGCGCAAAAATATTTTCAGAGACGATTCCGATAATGGTTGATGTGCGAACACGTTCCCGGACTGTGTCAAGCGACACAGGATCGTGGTTCCTAAACAACGCTTTAATTAGCTGCACTTTGTCGGGCACAGAGAACAGTACTTTGTGATCAATAGCCTGCCCTCGGAATCATAGTCCAGATCTGCGAACCACTCTGGTTTCCCAATGGCTCAGGGATGAAGTGATACAAAATTCAAGAATCTAACCTGGAATGAACTTTATTCCGGCCTCCTTACAGGCAACCTGATGCATTGTCCCCGGTAGCCCGATAAATGCCACTGGGTACTGGTCAGTGGAGAAGGTTTTGGTCGCGGCAACCACCGCTTGTGCGAGCGGAAGAGACCGCGCTGTTTGTCCATAGATCGAGCCCTTCCCATACAATGAGTTCCAGGTTGAAACATTGAAGGAACTCGACGAACATGAGGCTTGACCTATGGAAAGATGTTTCCCCGTTAGTCTGAGCGGAAGTTGAAGGGAACTTGAAGTCACAAACATGGTTCAACTCGAGATTCTGCATCTTCAGAAATCCTGTGATGGCACCGATTTGATATACAAAGCATGCTTTGAGTTCCTCCTAGTCACTGGTAAAACACACTCGAGAGGAGAGGGCGGGAAGCTACCGGTTTTATGAGCATCTCACGGCGGCCAAATCCCTGCCGGTCAGGCAACGAAGGGTGCGCGCCAACACGGACGCCGTATTTTTTCGCGAGCGCGACGGTGGTGTTTATGGTCTCAAAGTCACCAGCATGGAAGCCGCAGGCGACGTTTGCGAGGTGGATTGTCTTCATTAGGGCCTCGTCATCGGCCTGCAGCAGTTGAATAACGATCCAAAAGCAGAGAGAATGGGCCGAATACAATAGTGTAAATTGAAAAGCCCTTGTGAAGCTATGAGGCCGTGAGGTAAATGAATGCGGGAGGCGTGTACCCTCACCCAGGTCGCAGTTCAATGTGGCTTTGAGTGAGCTCATCGTCGTTGGCTTGTGAGAGTGCGAGAACTTGATGCGATTCCCACATCGTCTGCTGGCCGGGCCGTCTGTACTAATAATATCAGGCCTCTTTGGGCCAGGCAAAACAGAAGCAAGTCAAGGCCACAAGCAAACTTTCGAGGCAATCGCAGACTGTTACCCCATTGCCTGTGATAGAGGTTTGAAACGATGGGAGAAACGGCGATAGAACTTGAAGTTTCCCGTTACAAAGCGTATTCGATCAGAATCGACACAGGCAGTAACTTTGACAGTATATTCAGCTGATGGCGTTCTTCTTTGGTACATACACTCCACGGTGTGGCTAATTTCTGTTGGTAATCCGGTACTTCTAGTTAGCAGCAGCATAGATGCGCGACTTCCTAGGAGAAACCGGAATAGGGTTGGCTCCCTCGAGTTGTGTTCCTCGAACCGCATTGAACATGGCTTGCGCCCATTGCCACGGTTGACTGGCGTTAGGCAATGAGTTGAAGTATTCCCAGCTATAATCACCACTGTGTCAACGTCGAGGTCACGAAAAGTCGAATGATAAGATAAACACACCCATTTACACCCCCGAAGTCAGGATACATGGCTCTGAGCATTTTGAGGCTGCTCACGACGGCATCCGTACTTACGTATCCTCCACCGTTCGCAGGGCTAGTCAGAACACCGGCTACTAGCTTGCTAGGTGCTATTTTCATGAAGTTGATAATCCTAATATAGCCTTGATGGGCCATCAGTTTACGCCTACGATGAGGGCGAGTGGTGCTCACCGGTGTCGGGGGATATGCTGCCGAAACCAGAATAGAACTGCGCATTGTACCATCCTATTTGACTTCCCATGGCGGCCTCTAGCTGAATATAGTCGAATCCGGACAGGTTTCCACCCTCGGTAAGCGCTGAAGCAACGGGTGCCAGGGTGATGATAAAATCGCTACCAAAGTCGGATTTGAGCTGAGTGATGAGCTGTTCGATGACCGAGATGGGTGTAGACTGTTCGACGTCGAGATCCATGCCGTCGAGGTGAAATTCGGCAATATAGTCGCGAAGAGGAGGATAATACGAAGAGAAATTGGAGCCGAGCAAGCTATAGGTCCCCGGGGCCGCGCCACCAAGCATGCCTATGAGGAGTTTGAGTTGGATATACTAGATGCCGACGACACATACCTAGAACTTTCACCCCAGAAGCTTGCATCTGACCCAGCTCTGACCACATTTGTGTAAACATGGGGTCCGTCGGCACATTGTCGTTCAAATGAATGCTACGGTCGCTATTGACATGGAATGCCGCGAGGAATATACTGATGCAAGGTTTGGAACTTTCAGGAGGAAGTTGGAATAGAACATACTGAGTGACCAAGGTCAGCAGCGGCAAGGGCGAGACGTAGACGCCATTCGAATAGATGGTTTGATAGTACGTGCAGACGCGGTGGTCCATTGCAGTCTTCGTAAAACCACTGCTTCAAATCTGACGGAGGGCAGAGCTTTATATATACGGCGTCCCGCGTTTCACTGTCAAATTGGCTCCCATTGTAGAGTAACCAGGTGGAGTTGAATGCAGAAGATGAAGGATTGACGATGGACGCGTGCTAGGATGCACGCTGAGGGGGTGGAGATAGAATAGAGAAGCGAGGAAGAGTGACGTCGTGACCGCAACAGGCTGTTTCTCGTTGCTTGCTCCTACCACTCAGCCAATTACTTGTTCCTCATTTGCGATTCGATCCAGAACCGCTGGTGGCTCACCGTCCGCCAAGACTTTGAGAGGGACGAAAATAGCTTCTGTCGGGCTCACTGGGTCACTAGACACACGCACTCGAATGCAATATGTTCTCTCCCATCATGAAGGCCGGATTCTTCTACTTTCTCGGCGGGGCATATCTCTCCTCCGCATCAGCAAGAGTTGCAAGACCGCAATTTTTTTGAACGCTACCGTGTGGCTCCTGGTATTTGCTGTGTGCCGACTCTCGACCATCGAGTTTTCAACGATTCGGTGTCAATGTTCCACTTTTCGGACAGATCGTCATTGACACAGGACGGTGATCGTCCATAAAACTACCCAATATGATAGCAGAAGCGTATGTATGAACACTTATGTGCTCGCCAATACTTAGGCTCAGTCCGATTGATTCCAAGCGCAAGGTTTTGAGCAGGCGCAACTCGCACTTGATTTGAACATGGCTCGAGTTCACCACTTACTATCTCTTGATATTCCGACTTGGCTTCAATACTAATACTGAATCCAAATATTCGGTGGAGGAAGAGAACATTGTCCAACGCTTAGTCGCAGTTTACTCTCAAGCCCTTTTGGTCAATGCGAGTGATTTTTTGGTGGCACATCCGCCGAAAATTCGAGAGACGATCGCTTTTAGAGGGCAAAGCACAACAGCTCAATTGCAGCTGCCAGAATATGTCATCATCAAGCCTTCGTCTGCAAGATAATTGGTTCCACGGACGGCGTTTCCAGAAGTCAGGAAGTGTTATCATGATGTACCGACTTGCGACCGACCCTAAATTCTTTGCACCCACATGAAGGTTGGCCCTGTGGCGTTACCGCTGCCCGCCCATCATGATGGATCAACTTCCTTGTTCATTACGGGCCAACCAAAGGTACTCAAAAGTAGTCTACCCGACAATAACTGCCAAGGTAGCATATACAGGGTGTGCCGAAATCTTCAAACACGCTCGTAGCCTGTCTATAACCATGAAAGTAATGGATGCCGGGATGCCGCGCGTTGTGACTACTGTCACTATTCACGTCACAATCACGTGCATCGGACCGTTTGCCGTCCAACCTTTTCTCGATCGAAAAATTTGTCGAAAACAATTGGAGCAACAAAGACGGCGGTCTGTCAGAAGCGACAGATAGGCTTCGCCGCCTCGGTTCCGGCCGCGGCATATCCGACCCATAACGAGCACCCCTTGGGCATACGCGCCCAAGCGCACGAGACTTTCGCCATATTGGGTCGCACAACGACGCTTTCTTCGACTCCCATCCGTCTTCCAGCCACAAGACTCCCAATGGTTAGCCCTGGTCGTGGGGTATTTGCCATCAGCAACGAGGACTTGGTCCTATTGTATTTTCCCTCGAAGATGATGACATCTGAGCTATTGTCTTTTTGTGAAGCCAAACACGATCGGCATGTACCAAAAGCTGACTTACATCCGGACATATTATTTCGCGCGATGGCCAAAGCGTTTCGCGTTTGCCCCAATTTCCTCTGGCTGTGTTTTTGTGTTTCGCTTGGAGACCCCAGCCCTGCCCGTCATAAAGTCTAAACAGCCGAAGGGGCCCACTGATCAAGCGACGGATACATAAACCGGGATTCTTCAAGCTAGTGTCACCCTGGTTTCGTCCACGGTATTGTTCCCTCGCGCACTTGTTATTGTCTTTCTCTTTCTTCCTCTCGACTTCCATGGCCTCCCCCGACACGACTGTCGGTCTACCGACAACCAGCCCCACCAAACGAGCCTCTCAGAAAAAACGTCACAGTGAGTTGTTTCATTCTGCCACCGACTGTCGTTCAACATTTCCTTCGTAGCCAAACCATGTCGTTACTACCAAGTCGGCAAATGTCCCCATTCCGCACAAGAGGACTGCGATTTTGCGCATGTTTACGCTGACCAGATGCCCGCCATTGGCCCTGAACCAAAGCAATGTCGTTATTGGGCTCAAGGCAATTGCACGAACGGCATTTGGTGTCAATATAAGCATGGAGATGCGGCGGACGCTGCGGTCCTTGAAGGTTAGTAATTTCTGTTCCCCGTTCTTTCAACCTCTGAGATTGGTTCATCGGTAGAGTATCGACAGTTAGCCTTAGCTAATCAAGGTGATTACTTGTTGACTTCGTTTGTAAATTACTGAATCAATTTCTACTCAGGTCTCGTCGTCGAAACAACAGCCGCCGCTGTACCGCCTGCAGCCCACCCGACTTACATGTCGTCGGCTCCTTGGTCACCATATAGCCCTGACGGCTTCCAGTACTATCAGCAATATTCTGATAACGCGTCGTCTTTGCCACCGCCAGGTTCTGATTCTTCGTCGGACGACTATCCGTTATTCTCCTACTCAAGCGTCCAATATGCAGTCCCCCTCAGCCCTGGATTTGGACCCATGCCATATGAGCCATTCCTTCCTACGAGCCCTGGTCCGATGAGCCCAGTCTTTCGAAGGGATTCGACCCCATTGTATGACATCTTTGGGAGTCCCCAGCCGTTCTTCGCTGGTGCTGCTGCCTCACAACCAGCGTCGACTTGGCCCGACCCATATCCAGGTCCACTGGCAAATCGTCAGCGCTTCCCCAGCTATCGAAGTAAATCCCTTTCCAACTGTCTCTGTGTGCCGTAGTCTGATTGTTTCACAGCCAAGCCATGCCGGTATTTCAAACCTGGAAGTGTCTGTCCAAACGGCGAAAAGTGTAATTTGTGCGTTTCTCCCGACCCATGGTAACTCTCACTGACCATTCAAAGTCTCCATGCAGATCAGTCAGAAACGCCGACAAAAGAGATCCTAAAATCTACGACAGCTCCTCCTTCGACTCCAGAAGCCAGTCCACCATCTCCGTTGCACGCCTCACTTCCTGCGCGGCCATTATCGCAACGCGAAGAAAATACCCGACGCGGCTATTTCCCCATCTCGTGGCGCGTTATCGGGGGTGGGGTATTATGTGGCGGCCCTGCGAAAGGCGGGTCTGATGTGGATTCAGACTCGATCTCAGAAGACTCGATTGACGATGTGCTTTATACCGTCCCCCCTGGACTTGGGCGACCAGAACAAGTGACTTTTGCATTCCCGAGCATTGCGTCGACAGATATAGAACCTGATGCTCACGACGGAACTCCTAACACCGCTTCCGTTGCGTCTCAGGCCGGGACCAGACAAAGAGCTTCGTCTATACCTTCTGCGCCAATCATCGAGCATATGGATGTTCTCAAGGTATGCTTTATTTTCGTCCCGACACGCGCCACTTGCTTACGCTCTATTGCAGCTCTTTTTGGCGGAATCTCCGGGTGGATTGTGAGTTCAGTAGTGGTGTGGATATTCGACCTTCTCAAACCTGTCTGTTGTTCTTGGGCTTCAACGCGAGTTGCGTTGTGTACTTATCTAATTTCGTCTTCTATACATACTACTAGTCCAAACATGACGTCTTGAAAGCAGAGTCAAAGACCCGCGTCTGACCGGACTCAAGTTCATGCAGAGCAAGGGCAATGATGGCGAACGCTTCAGGTGGGGGTTTGTCGGCGAAAGAAGAGAAGTTGTTGTGTGACGCAATGTCATCCATGTATTGGACGACCACCATGACTACAACTTCCGGGTCTACTATGCTCAGCAGCCAGTTCGAGACTTTGCAAAAGTTGGTCAGCGCCAAAGGAATGAAATTATAAGCGAGACTTCGGCGCGGCGAATCTATATCAACCGCATCATAAAAATCTCCGTTGCTTGCCCCGTCTCTCTATCTGCTCACCCCAGTCATGTCTGTTCTCGTCGCGTCTCCACCTTCGAGTCCACAGAGGGCGCGCTCCAGAGCTCTATCGCTGGCTCTTGCAGCCGCGTCAAAGCCTGCCCCCTTGCTCGACGTTCCAACAGAGCTCGGTTTGGCCATACTTGAGCTTGCGCTCACCCATACCCCTCTCAGAACACTCGCTTCACTGTCCAGAGCATTCAACACCCTTATCGCCGCCATTTTGTACCGCCAAGTCATCCTCGACACCCCTCAGAAACTGGCCCTGTTTGCGCGAACGATTCGTGGAAAGACACCCGATTTTGTAGAGAGCCACGTCAAGACGTTGGCCGTCACGATAGAGCACTGGAGGTTCACCCCCGCCTCCAATATGGACCTCGAGACCATCATCGCTGTCTGTAGCGGGGTGCGGATACTTTCCCTGCCTCGACCCAGAATTCTCGCCTTATCGCGCCATTCTCGCATTCTTCCAAGCGAACTGACCCTCCAATCATTCGACCTGTCCTCAGTAGAATCTTGCAGCGGTGGCACGCTGCAAATGGCTCATTCACTCAGCCATCTCCGCATCGCAGAGCCCGGTGATTTGTGGAACTCACCGCTGTCAATCCTCGCCTTTTTCGGTGGGGTACCGCATCTGTCGCATCTCGCACTGGCGCGCCGAATGGACGCCAACACCGACAATGACGTCGTGTTTGTGGACGAGGTCCAGGCTATTCTCGAAAGCCGCCCTCGGTTGAAGATGCTGGTCGTGCGCATCTTTCCCGCCTATTTCCCGCTGTATTGCGGTCAAGGGATGGAGTCGAGCTCAATATGGACCGCGCTTGAGGTGGTTGCGGAGAGCGATCCGCGGCTGATGCTTGTTGCTGCTGGACAAGACACAAGCAAACTTTCCTGGGCTCATTTGCCTGGTGATGATTTTTGGGAAGACTCCATGAAGAAATGGGAGGCTCGGTCTCCGCCTCCAAAATAGATCAAGCTAGAACTTTAGACATAAGTAGACGCTACTCAGTACCAGTTCCTGATAATCTTAATCTCTAATCTTTGCTTCGAAAATGACCCAGACTGATCTGTTCCTTTGATTTAATCCCATTGTGTGGATAACGACTGGTCCTTTGACTGCAGTTACAAGACGGACTCGCCATTTATGCCAATATATGCATTGGCTGACGATTGAGTAAATTATGTACTAGTACTAATTATAAGTCGTTCCAACTTCTAAGCTCAGGCTAGCGCTAAGTTTCAAATTTTTTGTTCAAATCAATAGTTGACTGATAATGGAACTGCTCCCAAAACGAGATAAGCCGTCCCACATGCGACGTCTAAACTTGTAGAATTGCTGTATACAGTAGTAATGCTCTCAGGGAACTGGTACGGAGATCTGGAGGCTGTTCGGGATACTTTTCTCTCGGGATGCTCGGTCAGTTGTGACAGCTTTGCTATAATAAGACTCTTTGATTCCTCTGACTACTACTACAATGAACACCAGCTTATGGACGCCCGCGCCTCCAAAGCGAACCCCTCGCAAACCAGCGCCAAAGAGAATGCCTCGGACGGTCACCCAAAAGCTACGACGGCCTTCACCGTTTTTGAAGGTTCCTCCCGAGATCTGCTTTGAGATAATGGAGTTTGCCCTGACAAGCGGCGCGTCTCCAGTCAATATCGGCGCGGTATGCAAGCGTTTTAGCTCATTCGTGGACGAAATCATCTACAAGACAGTCGTCCTGAGCTCTTCAAAGGACATCGCGTTGTTCCATCGTGCAACAACAACGAAACCAGTCGAGTTCCTTACTACACACGTCAGAGCAGTCATCGTGAATGCTCGGGACTGTGCCAATGTAAAGGCACGCGTCCAACTCGAAGAGATTCTATCCTCTTGTAGAGGTGTTCAAACCGTTGTCATCCCGCGGCCTGCGATCCTTGCTTCGCCAGGCATTGTGGCGCAAAAGCGGCTTGAGGAGGTGACTCTCCAGTCATTCGACGCGATGACTCCTTTTGAGATCGACCCTCCATTTGGTGTCGCACCAGCTCATCCAGCCGCTCATCTCTCTAGCAAAATAACACACTTGCGGGTCTGCGAGCCTAGTGGACCGCCACTGTGGCATTCGCCTCTGGAGATCATTAAGGTGAGTTACCCCCCGTGTTGCCTGTCCCCTCATGAAAGTATTGCGAGTTTTTCGGCGCTATGGACAACTTAACGCACCTGGCACTGGCCTGCTGGGCAGACCCCATGCCCCCAAACTACCACAACCGTAAAAGCAAAAACATATTATTTGCAGAGGACATCAGGCAACTCCTGTTGCGTCCTCGACTCAAAGTGGTGGTTGTCACCATCTTTGCAGAGAAGACACCGTACTGGGGCTATAGCCTGCCACTCTGCGGCGCCCTTTGTGCCTGTCAGGTACTCGCGCGCATCAGCGACCCTCGCCTAGTTTTGTTGGCGGCCAGTTGCGACATCCATAATCGGTGGAGTTCAACGTCGCTCTCCGCTGCTAACCATCATGCGCCATTATCTCGGGATGAGCATTCGACTGTAAATTGGGACAACGACCATGGCAAGAAGGGGAATTTCTACGAGATTGCGGCGGATATGAAATGTGGCCGCGATTTCTGGCGGGAGTGGCAGTAGACGTTTTTTACAACTGTCGTTTTTTGTTTTTAGGGTGCAATCGTTGGTTCTAGCTGGGGACTGCGTAAATACCTCATTTCATAATTGAATGTTTTTGACTAAACATTTGTTCCCAAGTTGGCAGCTTATATAAGCAGCGCAACCAACTTTCTTCCGTCGTGTCCTGACATTTGCGGCGACACGGTCAAGCTCTGCAACTTTGGAAAACTGTACCACACGAGTCAAATTGGGCTTAAAACCCATGCTGCGCCATCTGGATACTCCGATATGAGCTAGCTAAGCATAATAACCGGCTGGCCACTTAGGAATTCGGAAATAGAAACGCTCTTTCTTATAATTCTCACCGTCGATCTGTCAAGATTGCCTCTTCACCATAAGGATGCTGTGGTCAAACAATCCAACCTGTTATCATGACTGATGGGACGAGCGTATATGGGGTCTTTGGACAACATCGACAATGACAGCCATCTGCCAGCCAGGCTCCATTCACGTCTATTCTGGCGGACAAGGAAGGCACTCACCGACCTTTTCCCCTCCCCACACCCACTCTCTTGGTCGCCTAGACTGCCCGTCCTCCCAGCAGGATGCGTTGCAGCGGCTTACCGTCCGTTCTTTGGGTCCTCTTCTTCTTCGCCGTTCAAGTCAAAACGGCGTTGGTCAATCGCACGATTGACGACACTTTGGGCGATAGCGTCACCCGAGCCCCCGTTTCTTTCCTCCCTGGCTCAGTATGGTTCAACCAAACGACCTGCTCTGGCTGCGCCGACGTTCCAAATTCCTCCTTGACATTCGATAAAACATGGACCGCTGCTTTGTACCTCGCTTCAATTGGGTCCATTTCCGCCACAATGAAATTCAGTGGTTAGTCAACTTCTTTTTACGTTTGCATGGCGCTCAGTCGTTGTGCTAGGCACTGCAATCTATGTGTACTTTGTCGTGCCTAACTTCGCTGCCAACTCCGGCCTGGCGAATGAGGTCCTTTGCGATTTTCTTATCGACGGGTCTAAGGTTGGGGGCTTCCAGCATAAGTCGGATGGAAGTGGTGCATTCAACTATGATACTCTCGTCTACGCAAACACATCGATCCCCAATGGCGACCATACCTTGATTATTCAAACGACAGGCACCACTCCGGCGGTGTTGATTTTTGATCGAGCCATTTACACGTATGTTCCAAGTCACAACTGCAACGGCGCGAATGACTTTGCCTAGTTTTGGGGATGTGCAACAGTCTGTAGTTCGAGTAGCACCACCAACGACAACCAGTTCCACGTCACAACCCCCGACAGATCCGGTTAGCAATGTACAAACGACTTCGAGCACAACCTCGGCAACCCCATCTTCGTCGAGCCCGGTATTCCCCATCGCACCTGATGCGAGTCTTGCTTACCAAACCCCTACCTCCTTACCTCCCTTCTACATCACCGCCGGTGGCCCAACTCCGTCTATTCCTGCGATTCCTGGGAGCAACGATTCGTCTCAGAATGGCATCCCTCCAAATACATCACGCATAATCGCTATTGCGGGGAGTGCCGCCGGCGCGATGATTCTCTGCATCTTCATTGGTGTCGGCATAATGCTTTGCAGCCGAAGAAGAAAGCAACGACGTTTGTTATTAATGAGCTCTGGGACGGTCAGCTCATTTGACTTGCTACCAGAGCACAAGCCTCCGCGACCTCCTCGACCAGAGATGACAAGTGCTCGGTCACCAGCGTGGATACCTCCTCATGAGCTCGTCCAGGCAGCGAACACGCGCTCACCCATGACCCCTGCCTCAGGCTCAGTGGCATCGTTCCCCAACTCCAGTGTTCCTGCAGCGGGTCCATCGGGTTATGGACGCACAATCGCTGCCACTCAGACAAAACCACCAAGCACACCCACCGGCGAAACCATCACCACAGCCGCATCTGTCGGTCATGGACCACATTCTCCTTCTGCTCTTTCTAGCTCCTACGGACACTCATATTCTCATTCTGCTGTCTCCGAGTCCACGAGTGACTCACAGGCATCAGACTCTTTGCGTATCCACATCCCCCGCAGTGCGTTTGCCCTGGCGGCCAATGGTTCGAGCACTTCGGGACCATCTCCGCTTACCAGCCAGGCACATTCACCCATCATTCGGACCAATGGCGCCCCTCTTCCTGCCGAGCAAGAGGCCAACATCCGTGTCCTCCTCGCCAGCGCTCTTGCGTCCAATGCACAAACTGGCGGGAGTCTCAGTGTCAGCATCGCCGGAAGCACGACCAGCGAAAGCAGGAGCGGGGCTTATACTCCTACCTCGGAGACAGGCAGCCTCATGATGGCGACGCCGACAACTGCCAACCCTTATAGGTACACGTACCGCCGTCCCCCGCCCCAGCCGTATGATGGTATCGAGCTCAACGACGAATATTACACGATGCTCGACCACGCCCGGCAGCACGAACAGGTGGGGGTTGTTCACGTCGATAGCGGGATCCGCATTAGTCGGACCCTTTTGGACCTTCCTCCGGGATATTCAGCTTCATAATTTACTCATTCTCGACCACTGTCTGTTGTATTCACCCTTCACCTTTTCTTCTTCTTTACATTGTTTATTTGCGCCTCACGAATACTAATGACACCTGTGGCATTGTTTAAATACTTCTTGTCAAGTGCGGTCATCAATACACACCAGAGCTGAGCGAAATTCGGTCTGGCTCTCCGCCGCGGCGTACTCCGAATAGATTAGTCACTCGGATTCCGCGTCATGTGATGGCTCCCACCTTTCAAGTTGCCTCCACCAGCGCTTCAAGTGTCCGATGACTCCGCAACTTATCCACAAACTACCATGTTCCAGTCTCAGACATATGCATCTAATGAATCCAAGGCTCGTCCACCACAGCAATGTAAGGCTTCAGTATCTCGATTTTCCTACCACTTGACTGAAGATTTGTGGCAGCCGCCCAAAGCTATCAAAACCAGGAAGATGAGAAAGCGCGACGACAAGCTTCAAGGGACTTGACACAGTCGTGGATGGATAGACTCCAGCTCATCAGCGTCATTGTGAGCTCTGAAGTTGTCTAACGGAACCAAGAGTAACCGTGTGAACGGTAGACAACATTTTTTGCGTCAACGGAAGCTGGTCTGCTCCAAGTGGCGGGCAACTCCTCTGCTTCAGAACAAGTTGCGAACTCTACATTATTTTCTGCGCTGGTATTGCATATCTGGGCAGGTGAGTGCCATTACTCCGAGGGTTGTCTGGTTGCTTACACGCATTAGCTATCTTGTCTTTCCTTGGTGCCTTCTTCGTCGTACGGTATCGTCTGAAGGAGGCTAAGGAAGAGCAGAAAGACGTCGTCCACACTGCAGGCGATCCGGGGGTTTCACCCGCATCTCGCACTAGCACCGACCACTCCTTCCTCCGTTCCCCACTTGTACCTGTATGGACGACCAACCCGCATGTGGAGGAATTCGGGCCCTTTGAGCGCAAGCCGCGCATGCATCTGCTGAGCAAAATCCACAACTTGTGCATACTCTTGACGTTTGCTGGCTTCGCTCTGGCGATTTTGGGAATCCTCGCCATTGCTTGGGGACAGAACCCGGTTTCGGTTGGTGTCTTGACATCGGTGTCGACAGCGATGTGCTTGGTGGGGGCTGTTTGGGTATTCCAATGAGCTCGTATGTGTTTGTGAATGAATGAATAGGCTTTGAGCAAAAATACACTACCACTCCAACAGTAAAATTTAGTCGGAAATCGTTGAAAGTCTGCTTTCAGAGAGAGATATAATTCATTGAATCAAGTTAGAAGTATCCCAAACAACGAATCCCGCCTTTGTGTGTAGGTCGGGATCCGTATTCCGTATTCACAGCGTTCACCTTTCAAGCGGTTTGGTTCTCCTGGTAGAAATAAGACTTTGGCTAGTGGTCTCCGCTCTTCTGGGACTCCACTTGAACTCCACTTCAGCTTCCTGAACAACACTCATGGCGAAGGATGCAACTTCCATGAGACAGCGGGGACGAAGGACGGATTTCCTGACTTGGAGCGGAGTTGAAGTAGAGTCTATTTTTGTTTCCGCCGTTAACTCCGCATAAGGCCGCGTGTCATGTGAGCGTTCCGCGACCTTCAAGATGCCACCGTTCGCGCTTGTTCGATGGCTCTACGACCTTTCCTCAGACTCCCATGTCCCAGCCACATCCAGCCGCGCCAAAGGGATCGAAAGTCGGGCTCCAGCAACAGTGTAACGCTTCAGAGCCCGTGTTCGCGTTCAGTGTGCTGACCATAGTACTCAGTAGCTGCCCAGGGTCTTCAGAACCAGGAAGATGACAAAGCGCGTCGCAAGGCGTCGAAGGACTTGACCCAGTCTTGGATGGACCGACTTCAGCTTATCAGTGTTATTGTGCGTGGACACAAAATCATGATTACCGTGACCGTGATTAAGCAAGGCATCTGACTATTACCCTGGTTTAGACCACTTTTTTTGCGTCTACCGAGGCTGGCTTGCTACAAGTGACGACTCAGGCAGCGGGAGATGACAACTCCACTGCCTCTGCACAAGTCGCCAACGCTACTATGCTTGCTGCGCTGGTTTTGCATATCTGGGCAGGTAAGGACTCGTTTAAATGTTACAGTCCTTCGTTGATAGATCCATTAGCCATACTATCATTCTTAGGTGCTTTCTTCATCGTGCGCTATCGCCTCAGGGAGGCCAAGGAAGAGCAAAAAGAAGCTGTTTACACTCAGGACCCTAGTCCACCCGATGCCAATGGTGGGGTACCCGCCCACACCGATTCCGACTTCTCTTTCCTCCGATCGCCGCTCCAGTCTGTGTGGACGACAAACCCGCATGTGGAGGAAGTCGGGCCGTTTCAGCGGAAGCCACCAACCCATCTGCTGGGCAAAGTCCACAATCTGTGCATTCTCTTGACATTTGTTGGCTTCGCCCTTGCGATCCTGGGAATTCTGGCAATCGCATGGGGCCAGAATCCTATTGCTGTCGGAGTCGTCACGTCGGCCTCGACAGCGGCCTGCTTCCTTGGCGCAGTCTGGGTATTTTTATGAGTTGGACAATTCCATCAAAACGGACACACGGAAACCGAAATCGGAGAATAAGCACGATGAGACAATTTATACGCCCACAGTTCATTCCACTTAGTTTCCGTACTACCGAGGAGTGATAACTTGTTGACAACAGTTGACAACAGATCTGCGAGCGATATCCAAGGGAATTTCGAGGGAGCGTGGCTTCTGGGCTGTCAATGATGCGACTGTTTGATCTTCAAGAAGTGAAAAAATACAGTGCGTGTGACCACCTCTCGAATGCCGGATCAGTGTAGATGTCAACCAAAAAAAGATGACCACCGTTCATTTTTTGTAATGACCATAGTATTCTAAGATTGCAGGAAATGAAAGCTACAGGGTAGAGGTACCTTGAGTTAAAATATCTAAGGAATTGGTGAAGGTTTTCAAAATAGTGACCCCAGAAAAGTGATACCTGTGGGAAAATCATGTCGGCATCACTCGGCATTGATGTAGATCACTCGAATATGGCAGATAGACGTTGATGGGTGTGATAGCATCACTATATATATCATGATTTTGTCATAATATGTAACCTGCCACTCCCAAAATCATAGCTGTCCAAATCTGTCTAAGCCGTCTCAAAGCCTTCAGTAGGTATATTCTAACTAGCTGAAGTGTGCAAATCTGCTAAGGTCCTGGTTCTCAGTGCTTCTCTGTCCTCAGCTACCAAAAATACAGTTTCTAGGCCTGGCAGTAGGCCGGGGAGCCACCGGACCAGTGTCCGGAAATGGTGAAATCTGGCCAAAAAGTGATACACCGTGGGAAAATTGGGTCTGAAGTGATAAATCGACGTTTTTTGGGGAGCTGATCTTGAAAAAAAATGTCTAAAATCTTGAAAAAATTTCCCTGGCGTTACCGGGACCTGTCAGACAAGTGGTCACGCGCACTGTAAGCCCCCAACTGAACGTCTCATCTCAGCTCGTCATGAAACGCCGTGCCAACAAGATGCTATATATTTCATCGCGCCATCACACCGACTTGAGACGGAGCAATCAATTTTATTTGTGTTCCGGTGAGTATGGCAGTGTCACTTTCACTTGCTGCTGTGGCGCCGCCCCCGTCGTTTCGTTGGTGAGACGTGCGTCGCCGCAGCCTGAATCCTGTCCACCATGGCCTATATCATTGGACCCCCCATTAAAAAAGAAGGGTATCGACGACCCTGCTCCGCACGCCTGCTTTTCTGTCCGAAACACACCACTTTAATCACGGCGCATCAAACGCCCCCACACTCAAAACATTGATCATCATGTCACAACCCCAATCAACAGTGACGTGCGAATGGTATACATACGCAACGTTTCTTGATGTCAACAGCCTCTTCCTTCTCGCTGCCTCACCGGGCCCGGCACGCGCCAGCCAGTCGTCGTTCTTCGCTGTTGCCTGTCGTCGCTCAAGGCGACAAAGGCCCCATCAATCCGACGCAGAGCTGGACGCTCCAAGGCTGGATCCAGTGGCGATGGCATGTGGAGGTGTAGAGGTTGGTGTTGGAATATATTGTCTTTTTTATATTCTCATACTCTCCAACAGTCACCTCTCCGTGGCCCCAAGCGAGCCCGTTCATCACATCCCTACGCGCGGCCAGAACAACCTGTAAAACGCCGGGCACTCAGCTTAACCCTTGGTCTCAATCTCAATTTTGCGCTGTCGGAAATGGACCAAGACGCGTGTGTTTCTGCTCCCCCCAAACTCACATCGAGCATTTCTACCGCGTCACTCGAAAACTATCCTCTCCGCTCCAGTTCCTCCGTTTCAACTTCGCCCCCCTTTTTCTTCGTGGCCATCATCATCCACTAGCTCGTTCTCTTCGCTTTCATTCGAACCTCTCCCACCAGACTGTGAACCACCACCACCTTCCGGTGCACCGTTACGAGCTGATGACCCTGCTCTTGCTCCCTATCTATCTTCCCAGCCCTCCTTCTCGTTACTCACATCAAACATCGCCATTGGGGATCTTGCCTTCGCAGAAGATGTTGACAGCCTCGAGCGGGAAGGTATCACCCATGTGGTCAGTGTTATCAGTGAACGAGGTGTGTCAATTCATACGCCCACACACAAAGGAGCTAATTTTATCGTTGCAGTGCATGTCCCGGACTGCATACCAGAAACAAATCGGCTTCACATACCCCTCCCTGACGCCCCGTTCGCCGAGCTTGTCGGAGCCCTGGAGCCGGTGTTGGACTGGGTCAAGTCGGCGCTGGCTTCCGAAAAAGAAACCCCAGTGAGGATTCTGATCCATTGTGCGCACGGCATATCGCGTAGTCCAGCGATTGGCGCCGCCTTACTTGTGGCTCTACCCCTTATCAGGGACTCACCACTGTCCGCAGTTGCTGCACTGCAATATGTTCAAGAACGACGGCCGCCTGCTGACGTTAATTGGGGTTTTCGTGCGCAGTTGGGCGAGTGGGAGGAGATGTGCCGTAGTCGCGGTCTCTGATCTTTTCTTTATCTTTATTTCCTTTCGTTCATGTCGCCTATACGTTGTTTGCTTTTCTCGCGTGTTGTTGCATGTACTATAGTCAACGAATCCAAGCATTTACATGCTCTCTCTCTCTCTTACAAAATGGTAGTCAGACTCTAGTGTTTGCTTTTCTCGCGTGTTTGTTAATTAGGTAGAAACGCACGTTTTCAACTGTGCACATAGTCAGACTGACTCCGAAAAAGCAGTGCCAGCGCCGTATAATAACGCGTTAGCGTGACAACACCCTTTTGGCTTCACCCACATCACACAAAACGTTCCAACATGGTGTCTACGCTGGCGATGAAACCATATCCTGGGCTAATAACCGTCCACAGGTCCTCCTCGTCACCTCCGATAACGAAAACTTCAATGCCGACAAAGACGTCGTCGAGCGCTCGGTCCTCATCCGAAACATGCTTGAGGGTGGGCGCTTCTGTCGACTTTGATTAGAGTGGCACTGAATTGTGTGGCGTCATAGATGTTGGCGAGTCCGACCAGCCCATCCCCCTCCCCAACGTTTCTTCGACCGTTTTGAAAAAGGTTCGTCAACTAAAATGCGCTCTTGAGCGAGAATTAACTTTCTGTAGGTTCTCGAGTACTGCGAACACCACAAAGGCGAGCCATTGCCGCAGCCCGACGCGGACCAATCTCAGGACGAGACACGCAAACGCACAACGGACATCTCTGAGTGGGACCAGAAATTCATCAACGTTGACCAGGAGCTTTTGTTTGAGATCATCCTCGCTGCCAAGTATGCCCTTCTTCTTCCGTCCTTTGACGCCTCCTTACACACGACGGTAGTTATCTCGATATCAAGCAGCTTTTGGATGTTGGATGCAAGACGGTTGCGAACATGATCAAGGGCAAAACGCCAGAGGAGATCCGGAAGCTGTTCAACATTGTCAATGACTTCACGCCGGAGGAGGAGGCGCAGATTAAAAAGGAGAATGTGCGTTCACTCGATTTCTATTACTTCAAGGATGGTTGGCTAACTGTTGTGAAAGGAATGGGCTGAGGACCGGTAAACATCGAACCACCACCATAAAACTCCTCTTTGTTGCGTATTCTTGTTTGTGTATGTACTCATGTAGAAATCGAAATCAAGCCATTGTTCAATCGCTATTCCCCACGCACACACAAAAGTAGAACTGAGATCAAATTGCGCCATCTACCTGACGAAGACAAGTCGAAGATGCTGTCTAAGCAGAGCACCCACGACACTGAGAAACATATAAGTTCCCAGCACCACCCTCGCCACTCATTTGACTATGCCCACTCCTGATGAGCAGATTTTTCCGCACGCAACAGGCTTCGCCGCTTCGACCGTTGAGCTGCATCAGGCCCCACAAGACCTGACTTTTTATGCTGGTTGGGTTTGTCTTCGTCTGCTTGGTTTTGGCTGGCTGTTATCCAGGATCACAGTTTTGTCCTTTTGTGCAACGGAGCTGGATCTGCTTGGAAGAGAAAGGAATTCCTTATCAGTACAAGGAGGTCAATCCGTACAAAAAAGAGAAGGAGTTCCTGGGTGGGTACAATCGCACTTTCTCGATGTCTGCATGTTGAGTTTGAATTGGACAGCTCTGAACCCCAAAGGACTTGTTCCTGCGCTCGAGTACCAAGGGAGGGCACTCTACGAGTCGCTGATCATCTGTGAATTCCTGGACGATGCATACCCAGACCACAAGCCCAGTATGTTGCCTGAGGACCCCTACCAGAAGGCGTATGCCCGGATCTGGGTGAGTTTCAAAGTCATTCGTGGCAAGCCTTGGTGCCAATTGAGGAAATAATAAACAGATTGACTTCATTGGGAAGAGTGTGCTGCCCAATTTCATGCGGCTCATGCAGGCGCAAACGGAGGACAAGCGGGACGAGGCACGCAAGGAGTTGCATGCTGCAATGCAGACCTTCGCGGCCGAGGCCAAGGGCCCGTATTTCCTAGGGGAGCAATTCTCCCTTGTTGACGCAGCGATTGTGCCCTGGATTCTGCGGGACTATATCTTGCACGACCATCGCGGGTATCACGTGAGGCGGTCAGTCCGGAATGGAAGCGGTATGCGGAGCAGGTTGAGAAGCGGGAGAGCGTGGTCAAGACGAAAAGCGTGGGTTATTACTATTGCTTTGATGTTGAACGTTGCCAATTTTTTCTGTTCAACCCAGGATGCTGATAAGTATGAGGAGATATACGGAAGATATTTGCGTGACGAAGCTCAAAGCGAGGCAGCCAAGGCAATCCGAGCTGGGAAACCCATCCCTTGAAAGTAGGAAGTAGTTTTGTAAAATTCTGACAACGTGCCAGTGACTGTCAATTCCTGACACGACCACACCTTTCAGTTCGCCAGCTCACAACCCAACCGGATATTCAAGTCTAAACAAGGAACTACACACTAACAACATTCAGAACAAGAGCAGGGGTATACAAGGCAGTCCGTGTGTGGATATCAAATCGTTTAAAAATGTCTGGTGGTTCGTCAAGCACTGGCAAGCGCCATAAGCAAAAGTGGACCGAGGGTAAGGCCCCAAGTTGATATATAGACGGCTGCAGCTGCGCTGGTGGTGTCCCCCGAACCTGAGCCAGATCCACCAGAGTTGGAGCCAGAAGAACCGGGCGAAGTTGACGAACGCGTGGGGGCTGGAATTGACGAGGTTGCCGTACCCGTTCCGTTCAACCGAATAGCGTTGCGCACAAAGGCGTCGTATGGCTGCCATGTTGCTGTGACATTGCCAACGTTTATAACCCCCACTCCCCCAATTCCACAGGTCGCTTCATCGTAGAACCAGAGCGGCCGGTCGGCGATATCGGGATTCATGATAATGCGGTAGTCGGTCCTCGACGAGCCGTTGTTTGCGGGGCGAAGACCTGTATCGAAGCCATTAATGGTAATGTTTGTCTCGTGTGCTGGTCTGCAGGGGACATCAAATGTGGATTGTGTCGCTAAAGGCAAAAAGTGTCAGTCTTGGTCTCGAAAAAGCAAGAAAGCACAAACCTGAATGGGTGCCGTTGGTAACTAGATTCAGGTAAGTACATACGAAAACTGTGATTTAACTCATGTCTTACAATTGAAGATAACGGTTTCACCAAGCGACGCGTTGACCACTGCCTATCGAAACTTGAGAAAAAAGGCTAGATAAGCTTGCAGGACGATGACTGACAGGAGTGAAGACGGCAGAACCGTTCGTCGCAGTCAAGTTGTTGGCCACGGTAACGAAATGCGTGATTTGGGCCGGCGAAAGAGAGGTAGAGGACTGGCAGGCGATTTGGGTGGCGCCAAAGGCCAGAATCTGTGACCAGACGCGTCTAAGCGAGTCCGGGAAAATTCTTGAGTTGTTTACTTACTGCGATAACGGCTGGGGTGAGCATGGGACCAGGAGACGACGACGGGCAGGACAGAAGGAACGTGGGCAGAGCGAAAGAGCGTGGCAGCGGATATGGACAAGAAGATTATACTTTTTTTTCTCGAAGCTAGTTACAACGCGTTTGTGACGCGGTGCTGACGTATTCGATTTGCTCTTCTTCCCAGCTTCCAGCTTGTTGCCTGCAATTGCCGTGATAAGAACACCCTGTCGGTCAACGAGGTGAGTATTTTCACCCAGTAGTCGTAGGACTTGGCCCTTGGCTGGACAATTGCATCGATTCACTGGCCTAGACGCGACTTCGAAAAAAAAATCTGGTCTTTGAAGTCACGAAATCCATTTGCACGCCCTTGTCTTGAATTGCGGCATGCTCCCACTTATAAAAAGCACTAAAACTCCCGTCTACCGCGCTCCTGTGGTACTCGACTAGGAATTGAAAGTCTAGGCACAAGCCTTATGCTACCAACTGACAGCGGCACTCGACTTTTCTTGCTTGAGAGAACCATTGTGCAAGCTGGGCGCCAAATGAAGCGCACATGGTTCAAGATAAATCGGTTCCGGAGTCGACTTGAGACTTCTCCTATACAAGTTGCTGAAATCCTTCAGGCAACTTTGGCCTCCACCATAATGGCGTCTGGCATCGGTCTGGCATGGCAGATTCAGCTACCTGCCACTGTGGCGCGTCCTGCTCCAGGGCTCCGAGCTGAAAACGCATATAAGACCCTACTTGGTGCAAGAACCCCACAACCAAACACCATACCATGGCTGAAGACAGAGCATACACCGACTGCATTAACGGAAATCTTCATGAGGCTGTTTCAGCTTGGTTTCTCGGCCCTCAGGGCGAAAACGCAGACATCCTGAAAGAACAACTAGGCAAGGTCCTCCAACTCCAGAAGGATTCCCGGTTGGCGTACTACCCTACCGATGGCGTGCGCGATTTCGTCTCAATTCTCTCTGCAAGATTGCTTACTTGGCTCTTTGGATGCAGGCGTTCATCACAGAGGACATTCGCTCGTCCAAAACATTCCAGGCCGAAACGAAGGACCTCATCGACCAATTCACCCTTCTAACGGAGCTCCTCTTCGAGTATTCGGTTCCCTTCTTCTCGCAACGTTATGCTGGGCATATGTCCTTTGAAATGGGCATGCCGGGCATCCTTGGATGGATCGCGACTCTGTTTAACAACCCAAACAACGTCGCATTTGAGGCCAGCCCCATCACAACTCTGTTGGAGCTCGAGGTTGGCAAGGATATGTGTGAAATGCTAGGCTATACCGATCTGGACAAAGACGGCAAGCCACTTTACTGGGGACATATCGCTTGCGATGGGACCGTCGCTAACTTAGAATCTATCTGGTTAGTTGAATTATTTCCTCGTGTTCTCTGATGACTGATCATTTATCCAGGGTCGGTGAGGATAATGTTGGCTCAAGTATTGTCCCCAACTCATCATCTGTTGCAGCTCGTAATCTGAAGTACTACCCTTTGTCGCTCCGCGACGCAATGAAGCCAGGGAAAGAACTTGACTACATCTCCGCTACATTCGAAGTTCCGTTGCCCGCCTCGGCCAAGCCGAAGCTCCTCGCTGATCTCAGCTTATGGGAGCTGCTCAATCTCCCGCCTAAGACCATTCTAGACATTCCTCTGCGTCTCGAGACAGAATACGGCATCACTCCCGCCTATCTTGACGGCGTCCTGTACAATTATATCGTTCAAACTCGCGGAAAGCAGGCAGTCGAGGTCGAATGGGGTATGAAGACCTCGCCGCGCTATTACATTTCTGGCACCAAGCACTATTCTTGGCCAAAGGGAGCAGGTAAGTTGGATTTGGTGTAATGTTGGCTTTCTAACATGTGCATCTAGCCGTTGCTGGTCTTGGATCGAAAAACATGATTGACGTCCCAATCGACGTCGATGCGCATATCGATACGAAGAAACTCCGTAAACATCTCGACGATTGCCTGCGGGATGAAATTCCCGTTTTTGCTGTTGTTGCTATCATCGGCTCAACTGAAGAGGGTGCTGTTGACCCGCTTGATGAAATACTCGACATGCGCGACGAGTTTGAGGCTAAGGGACTCTGCTTCCTGGTCCATGCCGATGCCGCGTGGGGCGGGTACTTCGCATCGATGATCCGGAAGAAGCCGGTGTACACAATCCCGACCGGGCCGGAGAAAGGCGAGCCGAAACGTGATTTTGTGCCTACGACGACACTGCGTAAATCAACGGTGGACCAGTTCCGTGCTCTGGCCCGTACTGACACGATCACCATTGACCCGCACAAGGCGGGCTATATTCCATACCCGGCCGGTGGACTGTGCTACCGCGATGGGAGAATGCGGTATCTGGTAACCTGGAGTGCGCCGTATCTGCAGCAGTCAGATACTGGAGAGAGCATCGGTGTCTATGGTATCGAGGGAAGGTACGAATGCTTTCTTATGTGTGACCATGCTTACTTAGTATTGGCAGCAAACCCGGGGCTCCTGCTGTTGCAACATATCTACATCACCAAGTGGTTGGGCTGCACGAGGAGGGGCATGGTGCCTTGCTCGGCGAAGTTTCGTGGTCCTGCCGCAGGGTAAACGCTTCACTAGTTCATCTTTCGTGATTACTCAACAGATATTCCAGATCTCTGCCCACTGGGCGGCTATGTCTGTCGAAAGCGACCCGTTCATCGTCGTCCCGCTCAACCCGCTTCGTTCAGAACCTGATAAAGCTGCGATGGCCAGCGAGAAAGAATTCATCCGGACGCATATCCTTGGGAAGACAAACGAAGCGCTCGTCAAAGATGACAAGGCGATGGAGGAGCTCACTGCTCTCGGTTCGGACCTCAATATCAACGCCTTTGCTTGCAACTTCCGCATCAACGGTGTTGTCAATACCGATGTCGAGGAGGCCAACTACTTGAACAACGCCATCTTCAAGCGTCTGTCTATCACCAGTCCGGGCATAAAGCCGCAGACGATTCCGATGTTCCTTTCGGCGACCACGTTCAAGATTGCTGATTACGGTGTCTGCGTTGAAAGGTTCAAGGACCGACTGGGTCTGGAAACGGAGTCGCACCAGGATCTGTTCTGTCTGCGCAACGTCGTCATGTCGCCTTTCCAGACTGCAGGCAACTTCGTTCAGAAATTGGCAGACGTGTTCCAAGGTGTTTTGGAGGAGGAAATGCAGCATGTTATTGCTCGCAACACTATTTCACCCCGCTCACATTCTTTTCTCATCCAAGGATATGATACTCGGGTTGCTTCCGGCCAAGCTTTCCTCGTGTATGAACCATACTTCCACAATGCCAACGGCCGCTTCCAGGTTGTCCTCAATGTCGACATCACCAACGATTTCGGCTTCGAAGATACCGATCATGGGCCGCATCACCATACCCGAACCCCAGGCGATGTTCTGTCGCTCACCGTGGACCAGGCCAACCTGAGCGATATCTGCGTCCAAGGCGCCTCCTTTGCTGCGACTATCCGCTTGCGGTCAGTGCACTTTCAATTTTGTGGATGTGACTCAACTGACAGACCAAGTAGCAAGCACTCCATCGGAAAAATCATCAAACGCGTCAATGTGTCCGTTATTGACGTAGTCAAGAACTGCCCGCTCGACTCCCGCTGGCGCGACAAGAAATACCCGACCTCGTTTGTCCCGTTCTACCTATATGGCGTGCAAGGCCGCACCTTCATCGATCACGTGCTCGTGCAAGCCCCCAACGCGCAAATGTCGGCTGAAGTCAAGCTTGATATCGATGTTCCCATCGAGCTCGAGCAGACGCATAATCTTTTGCTCAGTGTTGCGCGTCCTGAGATAGCCATGCAGCCGGCTGACGCGGCAAGTACGAAATGGTTTGCTGAAGGCGCCACGCTTAAGGTAGCGGTCTACAACGACTCCAAACCGGCCAATGCCCGTGGCCCGGGGCTGGTGTCAGATATCGAGCATGGCATTCCCATCGCCACAGGCACCATGACTGTTCTTGGCAGCGTCTTTGTCGACTTTGCGCGGATTAACACCCAGGACTTTACGAAACTTGCAGACCATCGGTTTGATCAGACTGTTATGGCGTATACTTCGCGCAAAATGCATCCAGACCACAAGGACGAGTGGCGGAACTTGGTTCAAAGCCTTCGCCCGTGGAACTAATAGCTACAAGTTTGTACTATACTATACGTGTATCACAGGAAAAAACACGATTGCTTGGAACTTGCTTGGATGATTGGGAAGATGAACCAGCGCTCTTCGGCAGGCAAGGCTTTTCTATAATTCTACAAGACTTAGACAAATACCCAGACCGCCCCGACGAAGCACGCCGCGGTCGACACGGTTATGACTACACCAACAGATGTGGGGCTCTGCCCCCACGCGATGGCCAGGATCCCGAGGACCGCGAGCCCAAACCCAGCAAACGTGAGCAGGATGCATAGATTGTGGATCTTGCTTAGCAAATGCGTTGGCGGTTTGAGATGGAACGGGCCGATCTCTTCCACATGAGGGTTGGATGTCCAGACAGGGACAAGTGACGAGCGGAGCGCGGAGGTGGGGAGGGGGCTCGGGAGGCCGGGGTCTGGCGGTGGTGCTTCAGTGAATATGATTTCTTTTTGTTCCTCCTTGGCTTCCCGCAGGCGGTAGCGCACGACAAAGAACGCGCCGAGAAAAGAGAGGATCGCTGGTGCATTGAGTGAGTGGGTGATTGATGGAATGTTATTGACACTCACATGCCCAGATGTGCAGCACTAGTGCAGCCAGAATAGACGCAGCCGCAACCTGGCCGGCAGCAGAGACGAACTCCCCGCCTCCAACACCGGCTAACGGAACTGTTACATCAAGCAGGCCTGCTTCCGTTGAGGCAAAGAAAGTTGACTGAAGAAGTTGTAATGAGGGCCACCTTGGAGGTTAGAAACGTACAATGACACTGATAAGCTGCAACCGGTCCATCCACGACTGCGTCAAGTCTTTCAACGCCTTTCCCCGCGTTTTTTCGTCCATTTGGTTTTGAAAGCTTTGTGCTGCTGTAGGATACGCTCAGTTTAGCGTAAACATGGTAATTATTCGGTTTTACAAGGCGGAGAGGGAGGGCGGCCGTTACCAGTGGGGAATGGACGGTATGGCGGGTCATTAGGGGGTAAGCCATTGGGCGGCGCATCGTGGTCTGACGGCGCATCGGTGGGAAGTGCATTATACGGCGGCGCGTTGGCAGATGGCGCGTTACTGAGGCGGGGATGAGAGTGGTGGGACATTGCGCTGGAGACACCGAACCATGGTGGGTAAACTTAAAGAGAGCAGGGAACGATCACATGACCTGCGGCCTTACGCGGAGTTAGGCGGGCCAAGACGCAAGATGCTCCTTCAGCGAACTCGCGACGCTTCCAATCGTTTGCTCGGTCCACATGGACGACAGCTGTGTGCCAGGGAAGAGTACTGGCCAGAATCCACAACGCGACTTCCGCGAATTGACTTCGAGAGTCGAGCGACTGGGCGTCGACAGTATAGCGGCCTTTGACCCTTCGAATTCGCGCGAATCATCCTCCCATCGCGCCAAGTCCGAGGTGGGCACCTGAGCGAAAGTTATTTAACCAGGTTCGAATGGTGTTTTTCTCTCGTTACTACTTGCGAGGATTCCCTTCGCCTCTCTTCTTTTCCGTCTGACTCCACTTTCATTGTTGTTCTCGACATCAGCTCTGCTGCCAAGCTGAGTTTGCATGGCCGGTGTCAGGCTCGACTGGGGAATCGTGTAAACACAACACTTTTGAATTCCCCCATGCCGGGCCCACGTCCAGCCTCCAGCCTCGCTCTGGTCCATTTCCCGCGAATCAACATCCAAATCCTCGAACATCAAAATCCTCGCACAATGATGTGCATTGTGAGGCACTATGTCTTCAGCAGCGGCGGCCAGGTATGGCGCGTTATCGACGAACTTCTTGAACAAGATGGCATCGTAGAAGTGTGTTGGGGTTGGGAGACGCGAAGATCTGGGACCTACAAGCAAGTGGTCAATGTTCAAGGCATGTACATAGCGGAGAAAAGGGCGCGAAGATACGGCCATCGCTAGTATGTTTGGACTAGTTAGTTTCCGCCATTGAGAAACCCGCCACTTTTATGATTCCCACACCGTCTTTTCTTATTTACTTGACTTTTCAGCAGATGTAGATGTTCTCGACAAAAAACCAAAACGTTATTGATGAAAGTTTAAACATGAGTGTTGTTCCAGAGCGACCGCAGCACGAAATCGGCTCGGGAGGGATTTTTGTTGCGCGAGAGATGCTGGTTCATGATGAATTTGACTGCAAAATGAAATGAGGATGCTTTCGTTAATGGGAATGAACTGACCTGTTCGTGGAATTCCCGGAACAAGATAAAATCCATTCGCGGGCAGTCCCGTTTTCGTGTCCTGGAAATACCCCACCGTGCCAGCTGGGTGGTCGAGCCATGTCCACGGCGCAACGCCGCCCCGAGCCGAAAGCGTGAAGGTCAGGCTTTTATCCGAAGTAACGAGGATTTTCGGGTCCACAAGCGGAGCATGCGCAAGTGAAGTAGGAGTGAACTGATACCAAGTCAGTAGATTATAAGTAAAAAAAAAACAATGGGAGACGTGCATATTGTTCATTCGTAACACGCTTGCCGTTGACTTGGGCAGTGATGTTCAGCAACATCCACACGTTTGACGCATTTTGGCCAGCTGGGAGGATTGACGCTAATCCAGAAGCGGTCAGAATGCGGGAGTTGTTCAGAGCCGGAGTCGCGAATTTGTGTGTGCTTGACTTGAGCGTCTTGCCGTGCCAATCGTACCACGTCAGTTGAGCGGAGCCCTTGACCGTTTCCAACCGGTCGGAAGTGACGATGACCTCGAGTGTTTCATTTTGAGGTGTCCAGAATGGGTAGATAACGAGAGGGGAATAAGCTGTTGTCATGCCATATTGTAGGACCTTCCACCGTCTATGAATAAGTGAGCCATTTTTGTTGTTGTGCAAAACATGTCAGAAACAATGCACCCATCGTATTCCATAGCGCTCCAGCTAGTACCAACCCAGATATCGTTCATCTGCCAAACCAAAGACCCAAGATTCCGTTCTCCTTGGCCGGAGCCGCGTCGATACCATGCGATTTGTGAAGTCATCGCCATGGTCTGGAATATCTGAGTGCTCCAGCACCATTGCGCAAAAGTCTGGTTGGAGTTCGCAGTCGAGGGAGTAGGAAGCCACAACTGAACACCTTGAGTCATCTGCGCCTGGCCCTGGTTAGCATTGGGGTTCGGGAATGCGAGGCCCCCAGCGGGCGGATGATGGTCGCGAGAAGCGACCACGGTCGAGTTGAAAGAAAAATCCGCCGCAGATTCGAGTACTGTTTCCCAGGCGTAGAACGAGGGCATTGAGTGGAAGCTATGGCAAGTTGAGTTGAACATCGTGTCTTTTGCAGATGTGCTCACCCGAATTCGTTAACGAACCGCGAGACAGGGAATGTACTATAGTTGAAGGCTTGACTTGCGTCATAGTTATAACGTTCTGAGCAGCCCTCAGGTATCTAACAGCTGATAATTTATGGACATACCTGTGTTCCCATATATTTCTCCAGGCGTCGCATTGGTAAGCCGCAACTGATATGGTTCCAGGCTCAGAACACCTCGGGTTGTCGAACAATCGGTATATGCGACCTACTTATATTAAGTAACAAACCTCTAAAGGCGGTGGGGCTTACCGAATGCGTCTCCGAAACCGCAACTTTATAGAGGAAATCCTGGAACAACGCAAGATACTGCAAATATCGTCGGTCGCAAGAACGAACTGTGATTGATTCCTTACTTCGTCCTGCATAAATGTCAGAGAAATTTTTTGAAGCAAAAAAAAACTGGATACCAGATAAGCGGATGCGTTGGGAAGGATTGCGAGTGCTTGGATTATAAGCACGATGCCTTCAATCTCGTTGCCTCCCGCCCATTGAGCATTACTTGGATGACGATTGACACGACGGACATTTTGGCGAACCTCCGGCTCGATGGATTCGAGCATGAAGTCGTTGATCGGGTACACACTGTCGGAAAATATAAACTCGGACCAGGCAAGGATGCCCAACTCGTCGCAAAGCGAATAAAAGTCGTAGACGCCATCTTTCTCGTTATCCGGCTGGTAAATACCGCCTCCCCAAATGCGGACCTGATGTACTGTCAGAAAAAAGCATCCCAGGGAAAAATGTTAGCCAGCTTACCATGTTTTGTCCACTGAGAACGGCACTCTCTAGAACCCAGCGCACCTGCTCCGTGGTAATTTTTGAGTAGAAAGGATCGAACGGGATGATGTTCGTTCCAAGACTGTAGAATTCCTCGCCGTTGACTTCGAAATGCCACTGGTCGCCAGGTGTGATGCCACGGTCAGTGACATCCTTTTTGGAATAGGGCGATTGGACGAGCTCAATAGTCCGGAAACCAGTGCGCAACGTACGGGTGATCGGGTTCCCACCAACCCCCAGAGATATGCTCAAGTCATACAGCTTTGGAGTCCCAAGGTTGTGAGGGTACCATCTCTTCACAGCCTTATCGGGAATATGCCAAAGGACGGTGACCCAATGCGCTTCATTGGTAGTCCGCGGAATTGCAGAGACATGGAAAACAGGGGATTGGAGATGAGCTTCTGGGAGCGACAAAGATATGGTCGGTGACCGCACGTTCTGACCGGAACGTAAGGCCAGCGTGACATTGACGACCCAGTCAGCATGTTGGTTTGCGCGGACGGAGAAGTTCTGGCCGACTTTGTAGATGTCGATGGAGGTCTCTTCGAAGTAGATTTGGTCATCGTGATTCTTGGACTTGGGTTGGTCCGAGAGGGAAATAAGGTAAGCTGGTTTGAATATCCCGCTTGGCACAAACGCGGGACCCTGAGCATTTTCGTTGAATGTTGGTCTGAAAACGACTAAGATGAGGACTGACCCAATCCCATCCAAAATCGGAATCAGTTTTGCGGATATACTCGCGGCTTGCAGGAACTTCGAATGTGAACTACCCAAGCTATGTAAGTGCCACACTCGAAAGGAATGCAAGACGCGCACATAAGACTCCAGCATGTCTTCCGCATCTGGCCTGCTGCTGACGTTACGTCCATAATAGTATGCACTTTCGAAATCCACTGTGATGTTGCCAGCCGTGACATTATTGAGGAAGGAGACATCGAAGACGTATTGGCGGAACTGGTTGTTAACCCATGCGACGGGTTTATTGGCCACCGTCTGCAGTAATCAGCAATGGTTTGAAGCAAGACACGAGAAAACGCACGATGTTGGCGATGGTGTCCAGGCCATGGAACACAAGCAAGTGTTGGGACGAATGTTGAGATGATTTAAGGCCGCTGAGGATCGGTGCCAAACTTGCAGTATACGTCCAGTTGTCCATAAAAATCCATCTTTCAGTGAAGTCTGAAGAATTTAAGGTCACCTTGCACCTGGAGAGGAAATCATTGCACACACCGTTGAGCCCAAGCATCGGGTCAGTAATGATTCCTGCTCGCGTCAGGTCGAGGTGGGCTTGAGATGGAATGACTGCGGGAATGGCGATGGAGCCATTCTGGTTGCGCAAGGTCCAGTGCAATTGCGAGAGGTCGAAGACAGCGCCAAAACAGAGCGACGCCCAACACAATACGCTCGCCACCCCTCGGACGGAAGTCATGGTGGCCGGGGAGAAGCCTTGCTGCTTTTACATACAAGCTGGATTTTCTCCGCATGACGAGGTCGCCGTAACGAGAAGATGTCGCCGACGGACGCAGCACATGTGATGAGGGAAGCGACGGACTCGAAGTGTTCGAAAATAACCATCTCTTCAGTTCCTCAGTGTTCCGGCCGCATCGCCGACTGCGCTTGGGAAATCCATGGAGCCGTTCTGTTTGTAAGTTTGTGATCCCTCTTTGCAGCGTGAGGGACTATGCTGAGGCTGGAGAGCCATGAAGGAATTTGAGAAACGTGGGGTCAAGAGTGAAGCTAGTGACAGCAAGACACTCAAGTGAAGAGGGCAACACCCACCATCACTCCATCTGATTTGCATGTGATCGTCAGTTTGCACTTCTTTGCACTTGCGTCAAAGACTCAAAGTAAATCGCCCAGATGTCAACTGCAGGCGTGCGATGGGGCGCCGATGGCTGAAAATGAGTGCAAAAAACTACGTGTTCTAAAATCTATCCAAACTAGCGCCAGTGGTCAACGGTCTGAATCTGAATATTGTCGACCACGCGAGAACCGAATCACCGGCGCCTTGCCTATACCACCTACTCCACCAACTTCGACTCCTTCGCCGCCAGTACCGCCAGTGCCTCCCGAAATGGTGTTGACTCGCATGTTGGTAGGCAGTTCAACATCCGGTCCCTCTCCAATACCACCCTCGCCGCCTATTTGCCCTGCACCACCCGTCCCTCCCAGTCCACCTGTGAGATATTCAGAATACTATTCCAGTAAGGAGTGTGGACCTACCTGTGATAACTTCGATATCGTACTCACCTGCACTTATGAGAGAGAGGGTAATTTTCATTGCACATAACAGTACCTCGGACAACTTCTTCATGTTTCCGGGCCTGGCCGGTCCGCTTCAGATTAATCTGCCACGAGAAGCGTCAACAACTGACCTCGAGTGCGTGGATCAACGTCAAGGCTTCATTGACCGTGGCGAACTGGCGCGTTTTCTGTCAACACAACGCTTTGACAGGTGGAAAAACTCACCGTCGAATCAGCGATGAGCTGTGTGAGTGCCGTGTTGTGCTTCGAGATTGCGGATGCATTGTCTTCACTGTTGAAGAACTGGGCCAGCTTCCCTTGTGCCGACGCTGTTTTCAAATCGGTTTCTATATAACGAATTTCCCTATCGAGATGTAAGCTGTTTGTGATGTTACTTGAGCAGGGCACGCACCGTTCGAGAGCCTCTATGATGGTTTTTCCGTTCTGGGAATTGCTACTCTGAACAACTGGCTCCAGCATTTCGATACGAGAAGTTAGCTGGATAAGAGCCTGGGCATTCAGCGAGGATTGCTAGATCAATTCAATTGGCGAGCGGTGAACAGAACAAAGATGCACAAACATCTATGCGGTCCAAAATATCCAGCAATGAAACGATTGCCCCGTCGAGTATACCACCGAATGGAACATTGCTCGAGATGGATCCCAGCGTCTTCAACGAGATCTTCAGAGCGTTCATGGCTGTCTTCGCTGTGGCGCCTTTATTTGACTTGGATTCGTCATCTTCTAGTTCCGTTGGAGAGCTCTGAGCATCATCCGTCGGCGTTGAGGCGCTCGATGGCTCTGAGTCGTGAGAGCCTGCGTGTCGGGGCAGACGCGACTTCAGGCGTCTGATGTTGGGGAAGATAGGCGGAAGACACAAAAGACTCATCGTGGGACAAAGACTTCTTCAAGACAAGGGGATTGTCTTACCAGCGGTTTGGCTTTGGGCAATGGAAAAGGGATAGAACAACCTAGAAAGAGGTCAGGTTATACCTCGGGTAGTACGAGGTAATAGACAGCTTACTTATAAGCTCGGACTCGTGTTTGATTATGTGGGTCGGCCTCTGAGTCTCATTGAGTGGGCAAGGCTATGAAGCGATTGTGAAATGACTTGAGACAGAAGCAGGAACGTGCATGTTGGTTTGAGCAACTAAAAAAATTTACACACACAAAACCTACACAATTGGCAAACTGATTGCCAAGTGTGACGCCATTCGGTGACTCATTTCTGATCGCCGGGGCCAAGACTATTTTCCTGCTCTCTCTCAACGCTCAACTTGACGATTAACGAAGGAGGCGGAAATCGATGAAGACCAGCCTGACGATTCGCCTCACTGAGGCTGCGACATTCCTCAAGACCACGGAAAACAATGCTCGTCGCCGTAACACCCAAGTTGACGGGGAGTCTGGGTCTCGACCGTCAATGCTAAGAGGTCTTCTCACTCTGAACCTGGGTTTGCGGGATAGTTTTTTCGCTGCAAGCAGTTGACGAACTTAGGTATATAGCTAAACCTACGAAGATTACCTCTATCGACCTGGAGCTGCAAGCGAAAACGACAATATCTTGGCCAGAGGGTTGGTGGCTCAGTGCCTGTCTGGGCAACGACTTAAATTCGATAGGAATTGGAGCTCGCAGAGTGGACGTTCAAGAGGAGCACAAGGTGTTCTCAGAATCTGTTGTCTACTTTCAAGCAAGCCCTGCAGCTCGTCGGAATGCCTCTGTCGGACCAGGAGTGCATCCTTGGGATGCTTCTGAAGACTCATCGTTGGATCACCTTCCGGCAACTCCCGATACCCCTTCTTTCGATGTCCACACCGCGCGATCGACTCGTGCCGCAAGACGGGTGAGCGCAGACTTGTCATATTTCCCACCCGAGACATCAATCCCTCCCTACACTCCCCTTCCGACTCCACCATCCTCATCCAGTCATGCAAGTCCCGCTCAATCGTTTGGAAATCTTGCTGGTGAAGACCCAGCACATGCGTTGGAAGACTTTAGAAATGCCTTGCGCGCGAGTTTGCCACAATCTCGCAGTCAGTTGTTGTTGATAATTGATCTCCACACGTTTGCTCAATCCATATGTTTTAGGCGCGGCTGGCGATCGCTCACCAGTCCCCATTCGCTCTTCCGGCTCTTCTGTTCGTGATCAAGATAGGTCGTTGTCCAGAAGACCGAGCATCGACACACTAGCCGAAGTTGATGAACATGAACCAGGGACAAGTAGCCCTAACCGCTCTGTGCCCCGCGGACGTCGAGCTCGGTTTAGTCTAACCGCTGTTTCAAACGTTCTTAAAGACGTTGTCCGCTCCAGTTCGCCACATCGAGAGGAATCAACTCGTCGCGGCCGTACTAGAGACAAGTCGTCGGAGGAGAAAAGTGGAAGATCACAAGAGCGACATGTGCGCAATACGTTGGGTAAACTCGTTGGATTGAAGGACGACGAGAAGAAATCGGATGGTTGGAAGGAGTTTAAGAAAGGTGCGGCTGAAAAGTCACCGTCGTGGATTCCACTTATCCAATGACAGGAACTTACACATTCCCTATTTCGTTTGCGATTCCACCAAATGCGCCTCCAACGATGCAATGCCCATGGGGCACAGTTCTATGGAGGCTCAAAGCAGATGTCCATCGTCCTGGGGCACTGACATCTCGTATTTCTGCTTCGAGAGAGGTCATCATTGTCGCGGGTCCGACTGAGGACGATATGGAAGGCACTGAGAATATTGTGGTTGAACGCCATTGGGAGCAACAACTCCAGTATCTCATTTCTATTTCTGGTCGGAGTTTCCCTATCGGAGGTTTGTGACCACTATCATAGACCATCTTAGCGTTTCACCAGGTTCTAGGAATAGTGCCCGTTTCGATGACTCTTCTGCCTCTATGCAAGGTGAAAATACATCGGTTATCGGTTTTCCTGGAAGGTAGGAACAAAGTACATACCACTTATGATGCTCACGAATGGGACAGAGAAGATAGAATATTATTCGCAAATGAAGCGTGTTATGCGGTCTGATCCTGTGGCACGCCTACCGCTCTTGGTAGTCAAGCATCCAGATAAAATGGGTGGGCCGATCCTCCCTCTGGTCTCTAATGCAAGCGACGCACTAGAGACAACGCCACTACTGCTCCTCACGTCTGTTGGCGATGATCTGAATGAGCTTGCTTCACAATGGATGGGACCTGGACCTTGGACATTTTACCAGGACCTCCAACTTCCTTCATCTTGTGCAACTCTCCATTTTACCAACAAGAACAAGCGCAGCAATATCACAGTGACCCATGTACTCAAGTGCATCATCCGAGTGGAGCGAGGCGACAACTTGGCGGTAGACCCAAAGACAGGGGAGAACAAGTTGTTCGACATAGTTGTGCAGACACCGATACATATCCTGTCGGTTTGTCTATCTCTCTTCGTCTATTTTCTTGATATGTTGCTGAGTAGCGGTTTTCAGTGTCGGTGTAACCCAGAATGGATGTCGCTCCCGCAATACTCGATGTCGTTCGAAGACCCGGCTGATGTGCCATCCCATTGTCCCTGCCAAACTCATCGGCACACGAATGGGCTCCTTGAAAGGATACTTACCCGCAGTTCGTCAGACTCGACCGCAAGTGCAGTCGAGACCCATCAAGTCCACCATCCTGAAGCCGATACTCTTTTTGCGCGTAATATCCAGTTTGAGCGATTGGTTGCTGGTCAAGAGAGCGAGGTGGGGGAGGCCCCGCCTGCATATGTTACCCTTTAATTTTTTGGTATATGGATCCGGGCGGATTAGTCTTCTATATGCTACATGTTGTGTTGAGGTCGTAGTAGAGTCTATATCTAATCATCACTGGGTGTGGGCGTTAGATCAACACGAATGCCAAGAAGAAACAACCAACTCTGGTGGTTCTCGTCTCATGAATAGATCAATGGCGGTGGAAAATGCTGCAAACATGAGACCACCGCCAAATGCCGCCCTGGGGCCAGCGTTCCGAGCCAAGACACCGCCAGTGCAGAAGCCAGCGCTTGCGGAATTATAAATGTCGTTTTTGGCACGGTACTAGTCAATTCAAGGTTCAGCGAACAATATAGTCTAGTGGACTGTTCACGCACCGACTCAATGACACATTCAATGCTCGAGTATATTGCGCCGATTTTCCCAAAGCTCTTCCCGTTCGACCACATATTCCTTCCCGTCTCTTTGAGAATATCGCGTGCCCGTTGCGTGGTTGCTTGGTTTTGCCGCAACATTGGGTCCTCGTAGCTCATTGAAGCGGTCATCAGCGAAAAGAGTCCACCAAAAACAAGACCTAGGTGGCTTTAGAAATTGTTCAGTTGGTACAGACCCACAATTGGGCACCTGCTCCTCCAGCCATGACTGCTTTCGCTGGACAAGACGCAGTTAATTCGCTCAGCTGCTGCTCCCAGTGTTTCTGTTGTCGAATGTTGTCGAGGTCTTCCGCAGTGAGACCAGCGGGAATTGGCTCCTTCCCCAGAGCATAGGGAACCGTCCCAGGAAAAATGCTGGTCATCGCCGAAAGAAAAGGCACACTGGCAGCGTGGGAATCTATCGCGCTGTGTCACGCCTCGTCACGAGCGCTCCTTTGCAACCCTCTCTCTCATGGACGACATTCGAGACACAATTCAAGCCCTCATCTACGGCGTCGACCCGGCAGATGACGCGGTTGAACGCGAAGAGGAGGAGAGTACGGTGGATGGGGACCTGCGGTGGACGAAGGACTCTGCATACATCGCGGTTTTGGAACGCGCCATTAAAGGCATCAAGGAGTTAGAAGGAGAACGGAGATTGTTCACGGATGTACGTCGTTGTATGGTTCAAGGCCTATCTAATAGTGTCTCAGCGCGAATGGGACTTCCTAGATAGGATAGCGGATTTGCCATGTAAGTTGTTTACAGTTTGTGGTTTGAGTTAAACTGACTATCAATAGACAATGCCCGGTACATGCTCATAAGGCTGGTCCTCAGAAAGAAGCCAGGAGGCTGGTACCGCGTCTCAGACGTTCGCAAGTACACAATGGAAATAGGCACAGACGGCTTACGAGAGGCCTTCGATATGCTGGCTGCGCCGTTCACAACCGAGTCTATGGAACTCGATCCCGATACAACACAGCCCTCTCCTCCCACTCAGCAAGAAGCTCCACTGTCTTCTGTCAAAGTTGAACCCGAAATAATTGACCTCACCGTTGACTCAGACGACGAAAAGCCTCCTGCAGCAGGCCCTTCCCGCATCGCGCCTCCACCTGTTACCGCTTCGTCCACCGCCACGGAAGATGGTAATGAAATTAACATGGAATACTTCGGTCGCAACGAGAAGCACATAGGTCTTGTCGAAGGACTACGGATCCTGAACATGGAAGAGCTCAAAAAGATAGCAAAAGAAATGAAGATTCAAAGTACCAATCACACCGTAAGCGTCCGCGGCTCTCCTCGCCCGTGCCACTAACGAGCAATACCAGAAATACACACTTATCACTGCTTTGACTAATTCGGCCTCTGGACAATCTCTCATCCCTTTCGCCCCGTCTCCGAAGGGTAAAGGGAAAGAGAAAGCAGGAGATAAGAAGCTCAAACAGACTATATTGTCGTTTGCTAGGCCCAACATATCGCGAGTCCAGACAACGAGATTGAAGCAGCTGATGCTCAAATACATCGGTCCGTTCATCTTTCACACCTGACACGCCCATTATTTATTGCGCGCTCCAGATAAAGCTATTTGTCTAAATCCTTACATCTATGCGTTGATTCTTCGCGTGCATATTATCTGGTTTCGAAGGTAATGAGTCTACCTACTGCTTATATGCTTTGGCTCAGACATTCCCTAGCACTGAAATCCCCGAGTCACTATTTAGTCCCGCTCTCCTTGCTGCGTTCAAAAAAAGGACATACGCAGAGTATGAACATAAACGCGACCCTAATATCTGGCCAACTCGAGAGTCTTACCTTGAATACGAGGAGATGCTCAATGTTGAGCGAATTGTCGACGAACTGTTGATTCCAGAGCCGAAGGCCAGTCGAGGAAAGACGGCCGCTCCAATGGAGGTATTCATTCCGCCGGGAACACCAGGTCTGAACTATATTCGCAAACTTTCTACACCAGCCCGGACTCCGGGCCTTCATCAACTGTCTGCTCCCCCAGATGAGGGGGATGACTCTCGGGAAGATGACAACTCGGCTTACCGTAAAGTCAATGTCATCCTCAAACTTGTTAAGGACAAGCTACTTGATCAATATCAGGAGCTCGTCGCTGCATCTGAAGATCTGGCTAACAAACGCAGAACTGAGTTTGTGCGATTTGAATCAGGTCGCTGCGTTTCCACCCTGTTTTTGTTTTATATTCACATTTGTCTACAGGCTATGTCTTGACACGAATTCTTGCCAAATGTCTTCATGCACCAGCCACACTGAAAGACTTTTTGTATGAGGAGGAAATTATTCTCGTCTTGCTCAAACAGCGACGATGGGGTCGACGTCGTCGAGCCCGTTTGTACGATCGACTTGCCCTTATTCGCATGCGATATCTTCTTAAAGATGGTGATGGGAATAAGGACATGAACGTGGTGCGTAACGCACGAGAATGTCTCCGCTCGGCGTTGGAAGACCAGGACACTATAGAAGGTCCTGCACTTTTATTCTGGTACTGGTATATTCCTTCACTTACTGCTTTTCCAGTCGCCAGGCCGTCACTAATCCATCGGTTATTTGCCACAGAAAAGATGTTAAGGCTCAAACCCACTGAACGCTCGACTTACGACGACGTGACCCTCCAAAAACCACCCGAGATCGATGTCGTTGGCGTTCGAATTTGGGACTTACCCGATGACGAAAAGGAGAACAAGCCTGCTGACAGCGCTGGTATCACCAACTTTTTTCTCCCAACACGGGCCGCTGGTCCACCCAGTGCCATCGCTCAGGTATGTTCGAGGACAAGCGGGAGAACACCGGTGACATTTTTTGCATAGGCGAGGAAGCGTGCTTGGGTAGGCAAATCGTATTGGCAAGGGAAAGACGATGTTGTTCACGTCGAAATCCTTGCAATCGAGCACTACGCGAAAGAGGGATTCAAGGGGTATGATGATTGATCCTTCACTCCCCCATCCGTGTTGACGAGATCGTAGTCTTCATTCAGAGACACAAATTCTAACGACGCTCTTTGGGCTCCTGTTCTGGGACATCATATTTGCACCCGTCGCTGGTGCATTCGAAACACCGTGGCAGAGGGGACCTCTGGACCTCGGGGAAGAAACCTTCAAATACACACGAGAAGAGCTCATCAAGGCGCGCTTGTCTGAAATCAAGCAAGGCAAGGCCGCAGAAATCCTCAAATCGAATGATTCCCGTTATCGAGAGAAAAAGACCTGCTGTGTTGGCGTGAATTGGAAGATGTGTAGCCAAGAGGATTTGCTGGAGATCGTTGAGGTCGGTGGCATCGTTAATCCTCTCCTTCGCATCTCATTCGTTTTTAGTGCGTGGGCAAAGATGTGCTTGCTTCTATCTGTGGCCTCTTCTGCGAAGACTATGCCGGACGGAGCAGTGGTGTACCTGACCTGATCATTTGGAATCCAGAGACGAAAGAGATGAAGTTTGTCGAGGTCAAGGGACCTGGCGACACTCTGCATGATAACCAGAAGGTAAGCAATCGATATTTGGTTCAACGTCTCATCAGAATAAAAGCTGTGGTGCCATGCCCTTCTCTCTGCTCATTGTCAGGTTGAGCTCTGCCATGTGATGGAGCAGCCCGCGTTGGAGAGGAAGCGGGCCAAATTGGCAGAGAAGGAGGCGAAAGCCAAGACTCCGAAGGGTCAGAAACGACGAGCGTCCGCACCAGCGGCTCCGTCTAGGCGAAGGAGGAGATCGGTTGAGCCAGAATCGGAGGAAGAGGGCGGTGAATCGGAAGCTGATGATGATGAAGCGCCATGGGTCCCGATGGGCGATTTGTTGCCTGACGGTGAACCCTCACCTCGTCGTGCTTCCAAACGACAGAGGCAATCCGCACCTGACGAACAGGTAAATCAGGAGGTTATCTAGGGTATCAATGTATCATGGCTGTATTTTTTGTGGATCTAATTTCAACATTGCTTGTTTGTCTTTACTTGTCTTCTCTTCTAAGCGCTTGAGCAGAACGCGTAGACAACTTTGCAGCGAAGAAAGCTCGGCGGAAGTCGCGTCTCCTCCCGCTGCCCACCGAATTTTGAGGTTCTCGTCGATGAGGTACACGTAGCCGACCATTTTGTTGGCAAGCCCCATTGGCTCACGCAGATATTCCATGTTCTGGGAGGACAGAAGGCAGTTTCCGTAGAGCTCTTTTGGAACCTTTGCACGGAGATTCCGGATGAACATGTTTACGACTAGCGCTTTGAGGAAGTTTTCCTGGATGTTGATGTGTACGCGTTGGTATAGAGGGTTGGATTCGAAGAGAGGGTGGATGGAGTTGATGAAACTCTTCGTTTGAAGCTGGGCAAAGAGCATTAAGTTGGGCTACAATAGTAGGAAAGACAGACATACCACAGAGAGCTCGGTCGACTCGATAGCAAGAAGGGTAATTTTGCCATAGCACATTATTGTCGTGTGTTTCTCCTGCTTCTTTTCGAGGTCTTTCCCCTTGATGTTGGGCAAGTACAACGCTTTCTAGCAGGGTCAGTCAGGTGGAATGAACACATTTCCATGCACTCACATCCTCCCGAATCAAGACCTCTGGGGCGATCCACGTCTTGCCCATATGCCCAGGATGTATTATTTTCACGACGTCGGTGTAGTACCCCCGGTTGAGCTCCTTGATTCTGTGAACGCGTCAGCGGAATAAGAAACAAAAGACGCGTTCAGACAGACAGATGCTTCCGCTCGTCGAGGATGGTGTCTTCCTTTAACCAAATGTCTCTGAATCTATCCATTCTGGACTGCTTCTCCAGTGTCGGTCGCTGCCTGACTCCTAGTGGTCTATCGAGCACACGAAGAACCGGTATTGGTCGGTCTGGTGGGTTTCGAGCTGTGGAAGCCCATCGAGCGACCGCGGGATCAAGCTCCTTGTCTGCAGCCCATTCTGCGACAGCCTTTGACTTTGGCGCGTTGGCTTGCTGGGCCGATGGTGTCGACTTGGTAGAATAGAACGAGCTACGAAGATATGTGGAACTTCGACAAAAGGAACGGGAGGGAGACGCAAGCATACGGATCAAATTGCTTACTCACCACTCACTTTCGTTTGTCAATTTCAGTTCGAATCCAGGCTGGTCCTGGTGCTCAATTATTCTAAGGTAAGAGCATGTAAGTCTAGTACAGCCGTGGCTTCATTAGAAATATCTTGCACTACGGTTGTTTTCCCTTGCTTGACCTTTCGCTGGACAATAGCTTCTGCCTTTACCCAAAAATCTGATTTGCCTCTTGCGCTATTCTCCCAGTCCATCATGATGTCTTGGACAGCAATAATCACGAATCGATTATCTTCTTGGAGAGTTTGTCGACGCGCAATGGCGAATTGTGCCTCATTCTGCGAGGAGCAAAGAAGGACGAGGATAGAAAGTTGGTGGCCCTGCAAAATACGCGAGCATGTGCTGGTGCCGACTTGTCGATCGCGGATAGCCAAGTGGGTCAGGGCAGACATACGGGAAAGGGTGAGCAAGGTCGATTCATAGATGTAATTTGTGAGGTGTAGATGGGTGATCCTGGAGAAGACAGACGGGATAATTGTCGACTGCAACGATTCAATGGAACCCATTAAACGTTGCAGCGGTAGTGCATTGAGAAACTGAAACATAGACGGGGACAGATTTGGCGGCAATGCGACATTTACTACGCCCTTGAATCCTAGGAGAGTATGGATGAGGGCTTGATCAGAGGGTCGGATGTTCTGGCATTCCATGAATGAGATATGTCTAACCAAAGTTCGAGGAGAGTTGGGATCGTGATCCTGGACCATTTGGCGCGCGAAACTGAACGGACACCATAGTAATTTTGAGGCATGCACGCGCATTCCGTCTGAGCGAACTCTTAGCACGCGATACAGCAGTGGCCTGATCCTACATAATAGTCTTCATTGAGTCTTCTTCCAGAATTAGCAACTTTCCATATCTGTACTCGATGCGCGACGAGAACGAGAGCTGGCATGCATTTTGGATGCAAAAGCGCTGTCCATTCGAAGACAGCGTGCTCTAGCTCAGGCGGGATCATAATCAGGCTGTGTCGGCAATCAACCGGCAACTTCGCGCGGTTCGGAGCTTGAGGACCGATCACTGCCACCAAAGTTACTTACCACCATGTCCCTCCCCACACTTGCTCGTCTCAGAGTCCCAAAATTGCGTCTAGCCCGCTTTGCTTCGACCGGTTGGCAGTAAACTGGCACTCTAATCTCACTGTTAACCCAGCTTCAGCACGCAACGATCCGAACTGGAACTACCAAGTAACCGATTCTTCAGGCATAACCACGAACCTTATACTTTGGCATCCAGGATCCTCTTAACTTGGAGTCGTTACTGACAGAGGAAGAGATAGCCGTTCGGTGCGTCATTCATGCTTGAACGTGGTCAATGTTGAAGCCATCTCAGTGATACAGCCCGTGCATATTGTCAGGCAAGTGTAACGTTCCACAACTCGAATTAGCTCATCCAGAACAGGAGAACCTTCTCCCCCGCGTATTGGACTCGTGGAGGACGGAAGGTATTCTAACTTTCTGTGCACTGTGCAAGCCGAATTGAACTGCCTGGAAAGGATTCAACCATGAAACGCTTCCGGAAATGGGAAAGCTCGGATTACTGGGACCCACCATCAACGGTTATGGCTGCGCGGGCGTGAGCAACGTTGCCTACGGCCTGATAATGCGCGAAATAGAACGGTTTGCTGTCACTCTCGTATGCATCTCCCTGGACTCATGTCCGCCAGTGTCGACTCTGGGTACCGATCGACCGCCTCCGTACAATCATCGCTCGTTATGCATCCCATCAACGAGTTTGGGACGGACGCGCAAAAGGAGAAATATCTTCCCCGCCTTGCCCGGGGCGAGATTGTCGGGGCTTTTGTACGGGTCACCTGCTGAGCGGACGCGTCTTGTTAATTGGTTTTGTAGGGACTGACGGAACCAAACCATGGCTCGGATCCCGCAGGCATGGAAACTACTGCAGAAGAAGTGGATGGCGGCTATATCATAAACGGAAGCAAAACTTGGATATCTAACGCCCCTGTCGCGTAAGTAGCTCAACACTTGTGTTCCACCACAACTGACACTCCTCCCAGCGATGTGTTCATTATTTGGGCGAAATGCAAATGGGATGGCAAAATTCGTGGTTTCATCCTGGAGAAAGTGGGTGGTATTCTTGACCAAAGCGTGCTGTCTGATCATTCCTTGCAGGAGATGAAAGGCCTTACCGCCCCCGCAATCAAGAATAAGCTCGCGTTGCGCGTGTCGCTTACCGGCTCTGTCTTCATGGACTCCGTCCGCGTTGGCCATGACGCTTTGCTTCCCCACGGGAAAGGCCTCGCTGCACCATTCTCCTGCCTTAATTCGGCGCGTTACGGAATCTCATGGGGAGTAATGGGCTCCCTCGAAGACTGCATTGACCGCGCACGCGAATACGGCCTCGAACGGAAGCAATTCGGCCGCCCCATCGCGTCATTCCAGCTGATCCAGAAGAAACTCGCAGATGCCCAGACAGAGGCGGCTCTCGGTTTGCTCGCCAGCTTGCAGGTCGGCCGCTTGAAGGATGCGGGGAAGCTTTCCTCGAACATGGTCAGCATCGTCAAGAGAAACAACTGCGGGAAAGCACTGCTCCACGCTCGCGCGCTGCTTGATATCTTTGGCGGTAATGCATGCGCGGACGAGTACCATGTTGGGCGTCACGCGGCCAACTTGCAAGTGACGAACACGTATGAAGGTGAGTCTTCTCCAAATTTTTGTGGATCAAGGCTCAACACTGCGCAGGTACCAATGTAGGCCTTCATGCAACTAGACATATACTCCTTACTAACGGTCGCCATAGGATATCCATGCCCTCATCCTCGGACGTGCTATTACTGGTTTACAAGCGTTCGCCAATTAGGAGTACATGTACATCTCAAGCGTCTGCGTTTCGTAGAATCGGGTCAAGAAACCCTAACCCTAAAATGGAAAAGACCTCTTCTTCTGTTTTCGGGAAATATTGTTTGCTGTCTCTCCGTCGAACACTAAAAAAAACATTTCAAAACGGAGGACGGGAAGACGAAACCCGATTCCTACATGCCGGTGCTATCAAACTTGAATCCTCTGGGGTCAACTCAGTCGTAGTTGTGATAAGTTGCGGTCGCGGAACGCACCGTTGTTTGGCCCATAGCCGCAAATCACGTTCGAACATCTTGGATCCGGTCCTTGTGAAAAGTTTTAAGGCTGTCTTCCGCTAAAAAAGACTGACCACCCGGTAACTGCGGTCCAATACGTCTCTGGGGCCGATACGATGAAATCGACGCGGCGATGGACCCTGCGCGCCGGTGTTTCGGGACCCGGTGGGAGCAGGAAAACCGTCAATGCCTTTTCGAGGGTATCCCATGTTGATGTTCTGAGGACTTCAGGAGGGTGGAACCCAGACAGGTCTTCGGGAAGATAAGCCAAGCAATAACGGGCTGCTCCAATATTTACGCATAACATGGGTGACAATTCCTGCAGTGTGAATGAGGACAGGACGAGGTTTTATAAGGATATTTACCTTGGTGGTACAGCCGATTCACGAGCTTTTCGCAGAGACCGCTGACATGGGATGACCCGCTGGCGGAGATCGAACGTCTTACTATCGGATCTCCACAGACTCTGTCCATACCAACTGCTTTAGTTAGTCTAACTCAGGCTGCTCTGTAGGCTAGCTAGGGTGGTTCCCTTGAGGGCCGCTAGGGCTGTCCCGCTAAGCTGCCATAGTGGGATTGTTAAGTGGCTGGGGTTGCCTCAGCAGAGCAACTGGGGTTGCCTCAGCAAAGCAACCTCAGTTATTTCTCAGAGGCAACGGTTGAGATAAACAGAAGCTACTATGGCTGCTTAAATACTCTACCCATAGATAGCCTACAGAGCATCCATAGATGCTTGCCCTCCACAACCGGAGTTGGTTCTTAACCATAACTGCAGTTGCATCACACCAACCTTGATACTGGTGGTTTATGGCATAACCTAGGCTGCTTCGCGGTCAGGCGGGGGGTTGTGACACTCATTGTGGACGCGTCTGGACAGATGTGACGAAGCTTCACGTGTTGGCCACTTCCTCTTACTTTTCCTTTCCCTTCTTTCCTCTATGGCTGAGGCTCTTGACTCGGAAGAGTCGCCTTTTGTTGCCGGGCCTATACCAGCTATGGGGACGCGGTGCCAAAAATGCAATATTGGTACCATTCTCCCTTCAAAGCAAATCAAGAATTCCACCGTGTTGGGGCTGAGAGGCCAATTTTTCTCCAAAGTAGGCCGGATTGTATGTTTTTTTCAGCCTAACAGCAGTTCTAGTGTTCTATTTGTTGGCCCTCCTCTGGACGGCTTCACCGTGCTATTCCAGCAGCTGCGCGAACCAATCGCTGCAATGCCTACTTTCTTCTTGGCCAGGATGCCATCACTAACGCTCGAGTACGTTCTTAATCAATTAAAATATCTTGCTAAAAAGACTGGATAGCCTTCCGGTGTCATTCACTGCCTAGATACCTCCTTTTGTAAAGGCCAGGGCATTCGTAGTGATGCGTGCTCGCACTTTCTGTGCAAGGACTGTTGCGCTCATCTGCTTCAAACACATCCAGTGCATGGATGTATCTCTACTGATCATGGTACGTCTTATATTTTCGCCAAATATGAACTCTTAAACCGGTCCATAGTGTTGTCGTCAACATCTGAGTCGACTCCATCCACTCCTACCTCCAGCATATCCACAGCCTCTACTTCTCCCTCTAACAACGAGTCCCCCATCAATTCAGCATCTTCTACACCTACTCCGGCCTCCCGTACCTTTCGTCGAACATATGGCAACAATTTATCAGATGCCTACACAAAAGGCGCCTTTCCTCCCTCTTTTATTGAAAATTCTCGTTTGGGCACCATCTCTAGTGCACGCCCTTTAAGCCGGCCAGAGATAGGAAGGCAACTTGAAAACGCTATCACGGTGGAATGGTGCTCTGTGAGTATTTTGGATATTCACTACCACTTTACTCGTCATAATCTACCCATTCTAGGTACTTGGTGAAAAGCCCAAAGCATGCAAGATTCCGACTACTTCTCTCCCACTATTCCTTCCCTGTCAAAGTGCCGAGCTCCTTCAATTCACCGGTCAAACTGCCGACCAAATGCGTATTTACTGTATACCAGTAGATGGGCTTTGGGAGGCACAGGCTCTTGCCCTTGCTGATGTACAAGCTGGCGACCGATTACTTCTGGGTTGTATGGAGCTATCTGGGCAAGCCTGTGCTTTTGGCACTAGTGTTCGTAAACGATCGCAGCCTGACCCTTCTATTTCTCGTGTTTTAAAACGAGTCAAAACCGAGTAGGTATTCTAGGTTTACTAGTTTCTATTTGCTGAAGTGCCACCTAGGATTTTGGAGCCAGCACTTTCACCGGTCTCAACGCCGGTACCCCTGGCATCTAGCTCAAAACCGGCTATAATTGATCTAACGTCTGATGGAGAGGAGGAAACCCCTTCGCATCCTATCTTATCTGGGTAAAGGACACCTTTCTCAATGTTGTTTACATTGTCTAACTAAGATCCACATAGGACGGTATCCGTAGTGAAAAGGTGAGAGACCGGTGACCGGTTACGTAGCATTTACTCACGGCTTTGTCAGAGAATCTTTGCCCACGTTTCCTCCCATGTATACGTGCGAGGTTAATCGCTTGTTCCTAGAGCACGGTGCTCATGTGGCAAGGGGTGACAAAGTAACGGTGGCGTACGCCAAAAGTTTTTTCCACCCAATACGTCAACGCTAGCTGGTATGCTCACTATGGTTTATGGAAATCTTTACATGACAAAACGGCATCTTCTCTACTTATGGATAAGTTTGAGAAATCCATACAGGCTGGTCAAACGGCGGAGGGTGTTTGGTCTCATATTCGTCAAGCTGCCAAGCAAAAAATTACTTGATATTTTTTTTTACCTTTTTGTAATTTATTTATTTTTATTTTTGAAAATTGGCCCTCTTCCAGAACCATCATGGTCCTACCCAACACCAATCGCTTCGAGATGCTGCTCCCAGAAAACGTTCTTGATCAACTTAAAAACGACTTACGGAGCGGAGATACGGCTCGGACTGAGCGTTCCCGATCTCTCTTAGCATCTCTTGCCCAAAGCCGTTCACTTCGGGACCGCACGCTCCGCAACAGACCCGAGAAGATTGTTGAAGCCCTAGAAACCAAGCTTATCGAGTTTCGACTCGACTATGTTAAGGCTATTCAGGAGCCTATTGGTTTAGATGAAGTGGAAAAGGCTTTGCGTCAGCTGCTACGCACCCAGCACTTGGATATTGTCGTAAGTCTTATTATTCCTTTCTCTAGAGTATCATCTAATGTCTTCAGGTCTTCGATAGGGCAGAGCCAGTAGGAACTGCAGCCACTAGAGCTGCAGGAAGCCGTCAAGATACCCCTGTCCTACCGGAGGATCCCCCTATTGTGCCGGACAACCCTCCTCCCCCCCCTCCTCTATTAGTTCCCCCTACATTTTGCTGTGAGTAATCGCCTTGAATAAGGATGGATAACAAAACTTACATCCATTCAGTGCAACTTACTATCGCTCTCCGTGACGCCACCAGTAACTACCAGATAACTCAGCGCGTCTATAATGAACTGAATGTTCCAACCTTGGAGGCATTTCCTGGTATTGAATCTATGCCGGAAACCTACATCTCTATTCCAGTTCAAGGCATTATTCATCTGCTCCAACAAGCGATGCAACCTCTTGCTGGCCAAACTCTGATCCTTCTGGGTGTGTTTAGCTTATGGTTCGTTGATGATTCTCTCTAATACACCCAATAGACACGTACACTTTGACCATCCATGAGCAACGTCAAGGAACCGAGCTACGGGCCGGAGCCAATGCCTACGAAACGGACGACCAGGCTTACAAATACCTAGTCGGAGGAATTTTTCGATGCTCTACTTCCTGCCCTCATGACATAGACGAATGTGTTGGTCCTAAAAGAGCGCATGAGGAGGGGCTTGCCATTTCCAAGGTTGTTTTCGCCCAAGAAGATGCGCCAGCCAATGACTGTCTCTGGTGGTCGCTTGATGGTGCCCAATTCCACGCTACTCGGCAGCCGAACGAGAGGGGGCAGGTGGTATACGCTCTGAAACTCTTGATTGCTCGACAGCAAGAGCATGGTCCCGCGGAGCCTAAGCCAGCTGAAACAGGTGGGAAAAAAGGACGAAAAGTCTTGGGCCGCAATGAACAACCAAGTCGGGAGGCTATTGCAAAGAGATATAGCCGAGCTTACCAGAAGATTGCGGCGGTTGAGGAGGATGATACATTCTCAGCAATGAAGGGCCCAGGAGAGCCGGGCAAAGGTGCCTCCCTCGACGATCTAGTGAAGTGGGCGCCGTATATGTACAAAATCTACACCCGTGTCACCGACGACAATCAAAGTGAGTGTCCAGACATACTTTATAAGGTTCTGACATTGACCAGAGCCATACGAACATATGGTGTGGGCACGATCTTCCCTCAAGCGTTCCGCCGAGTGGATTCGTTTCCTGGTTAAATGCGGGGAATATATTCTCAACTTCGAGGCAGATGGGAAAAAAGGAGTCGAGGCCTTCAAGGCCACTAAGCTGGAGCCTCTGCGTCTCGCCTTTCCCAAGGGGAAGTCCCGCTCTCTCACGCCCAAGAGTTTGTGGCAGAAAATCGAGTCTATTGAGACCGATGAGAGTGACTAAATATTTAGCGGCTACGAGCTCCAGCCCTAGTAGTAGGAACAGTAGTACCGTGATTTAAAGTATCTTGAAAGACCCACATCATCTCCCCAAAGTCCAAATCTTCTCCATTGTGCTTCTCTTCAAATAAGGCGCGGGCCCTTTCTAGCTCCTTGCGTTCAGCGTCGATGATTTCCGTGCTCGTGGGGTCCTCTTCATTATTGTTAATGAGCTCACAGATAGTGCGTAGCTTGCGTGAAATATGCAGGCCGGCAATATAAATCTGGGTACGACAACAAGGAGCCGCCGTCGAATTTGAGAGTCGTCGAGGATTAGCACCCTGTTGAATGGCCCGATTTTGGACGGTACGCAGCCATTTCGCTGTGCAACCGGCACATCCTAGGCCACTCTGACAGCTAGGGCTGGAATTCTGGTCAGACTGGACTGGGCTGAATCCGACAAACCTACCAGATATGGACAGGAGCCAGGGGCACCACATAGCAGAAGACGCATTGCAATGTTTCCGCAACTGAAATTGTCAGTTGATGTTGTTTACTTGCAAGGGAGCTACCTGCTTTTGTCTAGTTTAGTTTGGTGTTCACTCCTCTGGTGCTCTTTCTCCAATGTGGTGGGTTGAGGAAGGCGAAAGACACCTGCGGCTATTGTCGGAACTTGAGGTCCATTCCGGCGTTGTTTTTGCTGCGCTAAGAGCTCTGGAATATCAGGGAGGTCGACATTATTGGGATCCAAGACACTAGTGGCAATAGTGGCTTGTCGAAAGCCGGCTACGGCCGGGGTGACCGACATGGTGCAAAAGTGTGTGGATAAGGATGTGACTGCTGTGACATGCACGTGCTTAACGCGTCTCTTCTGTGTATTCCTCCCAGTCATCCCCTTATTCACTGAGACGCGTCTGTACGCGACTTTGTTGATGTCACGCGCTGGCTATATAAGGGTGACTGACTGTTTTGCTACTTTCTTATCTCTCCAGGAGTGGCCGTAACACCTTAGTGAAAGCGCTCTGTTTTCAAGACCTCCGGTTGGGCCTTTGGGCGACAGCCGTGGAGACTCTATACTTTCTGGGTGTTCTGCTGTTTTGTGGCCGCTTGTGCATGGTATGTTGTCCCCTCTTCCCCTTCTCTGGGCCTTGTCTCTGATGTTTCCACCTCCACCCCCAGTTTCCCCCCGGGATCTCCTCGCTGTTGTGCCCTCTTCCTTGGTGGTCCTGGTCATTTCCTACTACTTTTTGGGCACTATCTCGCGCTGCCTATTGTTTTGGCTCTGGACCGTGGCCGGCTGTTTTTGTTCCTGTTTTCACTGTTGTTCGGCGCAAAGTGTGTGCTCCCATTCTCTCAAAATTGCCCCAAATCTTACGAAAGTTTGCAGATATGTACCTCGTCCCTCTACCTTCAAAACGCTCTCAGCCGCGTCCCCTCGCATGCCCTCGTTGTTGAGAACGAGCCCGACGAAGGTTGCCTTTTTTAGACTCTTCAGGTGTGTGCTCCCATTCTCTCAAATCTGCGCCGAATCTTACGAAAGTTGGTAGACTTCTACCTCCTGCCTTTCTCTCCCAAACGCTCTCAGCCGCGTTCCCCCGCGTGCCCTCGTCGTTGAGAACGAGCCCGACGAAGGTTGCCTTTTTTGGACTCCTCAGGTGTGTGCTCCCATTCTCTCAAATCTGCGCCGAATCTTACGGAAGTTGGCAGACTTCTACCTCCTACCTCTACCTTCAAAACGCTCTCAGCCGCGTCCCCTCGCATGTCCCCGTTGTCGAGAACGAGCTCGACGAAGGTTGCCTTTTTTGGACTCCTCAGGTGTGTGCTCCCATTCTCTCAAATCTGCGCCGAATCTTACGAAAGTTGGCAGACTTCTACCTCCTACCTCTACCTTCAAAACGCTTCCAGCCGCGTTCCCCCGCGTGCCCTCGTCGTTGAGAACGAGCTCGACGAAGGTTGCCTTTTTTGGACTCCCTGGGTGTGTGCTCCCATTTGCTCAAATCTGCGCCGAATCTTACGAGAGTTTGCAGATATGTACCTCTTACCTCTACCTTCAAAACGCTCTCAGCCGCGTCCCCCCGCATGCCCTCGTTGTTGAGAACGAGCCCGACGAAGGTTGCCTTTTGGATATTGTAGTCCATCATATTTGTCCCTGTCATTACGCTATGTGTTTACGCACCTTGTCTCTTGTCTGTTCCCATGAAGGACGATTATTGCTGGGGTGGCCCCCCTCATATTGACTCTATCGACTTTCTTCAGACCCAAATCTGGGCTGATGACGACCGTCGCATAGGCTACTTTCTCTCCAACTCCTTTTTTAAGACGACTGGGCTTTCTACTATGCGACGAGAGCTGATAGAATATCTCAGAGCTTCCTCTTACTGGGTACGCGTAGCTTTTTGCTCCTTGCTAGTTGATTGACTCCACTAACTGCTCTCTGGTAGATCTCGGTGATCTGTGGCTACTTTGAGCGTGTCTTGAATGTGGATCTTGGAGGCCTTTCTGACGAACATCTCCCCTTCATCCTCAAAGAATTCATAGAGTTCCAGGAGTTGCGCTTTAACCAAAACGACGACTCTCGCGACCACATGGCTTACGCACAGTTGACCTTGACCTCTTTTCGCTCTAAAATCCAGAAGATTCAATCGGTAGCGTGGTTGGCCGTAAGTACCCCGGCGGTTTGTCCCCCACTGTTCTCTGAATAAGTTTATAGAATGCTCCTGCCCGGCAATTTTCTACACTGGAAGACGTTCTACTTCCTTATGGTCACCCTGATATGGAATACGAACTGGAGAATAATGACTCTGACGATTGCATGTCGGATGATAGTGACTCCGACTACGCTGATGAGCAAGATGAGCTCTTGCTAGAAATTCAAGAACATCTAAAGCTCTGGGAGTCAACTCAGCCTCCACCCCTTCTGGAGCCTATATTGACTTTGGACCGGTCCCTAAGCGATATTAAGGACCGTGCTGACCGGGTCTTTCGACGGGTTCGTTCTTGTATATATATATTTGCCTTCCAGTCAATCTTTTAGATTGTACCTTGGACCAGCACTCCAGCAGACACCGACACCCTATATCGAGAAATCAACCTAGTTGTGGATGATTTGGTGTGGCTTCGGCGGCTAAAGCGAACAGTTTATCGAAGCGCCACTTTTCAAGAGGAGTTGCAGGTGCGACTAATTACCCCTGCTTTCTTATAATCTAATTACCATTTTCTAGAGCTCGGGTCTACAACGATGGATGTACGACTTTTGTCAACCAGGAAATCTTATTGAGTTTGACCACCATGGTCTTCTCTTGCCTTTTTTCCGGCGGTATAACTGGAAGCTAGCATATATTTTGCTTCTGCACTGTTGGGACGGCTCTCCCAATACCTTCCCTGACAAGTCCCGGGCCAAGGTTAATTTTACCGTTCTCTCCTTCTGTGTTATATGTCTCAGTGACTTTTAGACCGCCATCCGGATTGACCCCGCCAAGGGAAATGCCCAATTCGTCCCAAACCTCCTTCAATTCATCAGTGACACGGAAGAAATGAAACCGTGGACGTATAATCCCATGGCTGCTTTTACGTTTATGTCTCAAGCCGCTTTTGTTCTCAACTGGCGCCGATGGATTAAACCTCATCTCAAGGCCTGTACGCAGCGGTATCCAACACGAGCTCGGTGGAAGTTTGTAAGTACAAATTCATATAAGGAATATTATTCTCAGTGGTCTTGGACTTCAGGACCCCGATGTATGGAACCCGGCTACTGTATATAACCATATCATGAGCTATATGGTGGTACCGCGACCGGCACGAAAAGATGTTCATCCAGATCAAGTAATCCGAGACGAGGCGACCACTTTCATTGAGAAACTCGACCCACGGTTGCGGACTATAGCTACTGAGTCACTTTGGCAGCGTAGCGTCCTGAATGAAGTCAGTGAAGATATAAATCGGAAGGAACGGGCAAGACAGTCTATGCAAAAACCAGAAGGGACCAAGCGAGAACGTTCCGACACCCTGGCCATTATCTCTGGCGCTCAAGGCCGAAGTTCCCGCAAGAGACATCACCGTGAACAGCAGACCCGGCAGATGACCATCGCTGCAGACCAGCAGGAGGCAGGGGCCAAATCCCAGAGTTTGGAGATGGATAGAGATGAGGATGAGGCCCATACACCATCCTGGTGGCGAGATCGATCATGCCCTCAGTGTTTTCAGGGAGATCCTTCCCAGTTTTGTGTTCGGATGGTCGAGGTCAAACGAAATCCAAATGCCGACAAGTTTCTTGACTACGCTCTTACTCATGCCAAGGGGAAAAGCCGTTTGCAGCCCCGGAAATTTCTGGTCTGTCTTTGCTCTCTCTTCTAATCTTACTTACGAATATGAAGTCTAGACCAAGTCACGCGGAAAGCAAAAGCGACAGAAGTACATCTCTCCTGACGATCCTCGTCTTCAACTAAAGTACTATCGTCGACGCCATGATGTGGCTCTCAAGTGTGGCCGGGATATTGTACGGTTCTATTACCAAGATGACGGGAAGTATCGGCTTGTACGTTACTACCAATTCTATCAATCCTCTAAACTTATTCCGACTTGCAGGTTGGAGGTGTTAACTTTTGTGCATTCTCTGAAGACATAATGAAGATTTTGAGAGAGAATCACCGACTCGTACAGGTCAATGGCATCCGCCGCCGCGCAGCGATGGATAACTGGTCTCATATTGGTACTATGACTGGATATGGAACACGACAACCAAAAGGTGGAGTTAAGGGCGATATTTATAACGCATATGCCAAGCATAGTGGAGCAACACCAGAAGATCTTCTGGGTCTCATGCGACATGCCATGGTATATCTGAATCCTTGCTATTCATTGTACTGACTGTGCTCAGACGTTAAACTTACTTGTCGAGGGCTCCCGCACTATCTGGTCTGGTGCTCCTACTTATTACAAAAATCTCGTGGAAGAATCCGAGTTGGCTTACTTAGGAAAATATGGTTTAACTGGGTATCATTGCAGTAACTTCGTCAGTTGCATTCACCGTGACGACGACATCGAGGGAGGGTGCCTTCATCCCTGCTTCCAGCTTTCCAAGGAGAACTGCGGCCCCCAAGACTTCAACTTTGCATACGTTGAGTGGGGTGTCGCAATTGAAACCACTGCAAATGCTTTGTGGTGAGTTATAATCAAAATGATTCTTTTAGTTTTGACAAAAAATAGGTTGTTCGATGGGCGTCATGCTCATGGCTCTATCATGCCTAGCGCAGAAGCTATCAATGCCGGCGCGCAATCCGAGGGTGATCATGGGAGCAATAACCGACGGAATGTGAACCGGGCCCGTACCTGTCGAGATGGACTCAATCACTATAATCTTCGGAGCCAGGCCATGTTATCCAATACTAGATAGATACTTGTACTACATTATCGCTTCTTTTACTGGTGACCAAGCCATTTCAAAAATCTGTTTGTCCATCAAAAAAGGCTGCTTCCCTCGTTTTTGTAGTACTCCCAGACGACGTTCGTTGGCAATAGATATCATTTCATCTAGAAAGAAATTGTAACTAGTGAATAAATTAGTCAAAGACACAATAGTAGAATGGCCAAAGTACCGAGACTGGGACATTTCCCGGACAATAGCTTGAAATGCTCCATACCACACGTTGGTTTGCTCACAAACAGAGGAGTTGAATGTCCAACTGTCTTGACTGGTCCGGAGCTCAGAGAAGAGGATGGGAAGGCAGTGAGCATTACAAAAGTCATCATCGTGGCCCGACGAGTGGAAAACATCAAGGACGAAATTGACGGCATCAAAGTGGGAATCGTTTTGCGTCAAGATGTGCTTTAAAAGATGACACGCGTTGTCGTAGAAAAGATGTGTAGGCAGCATCCATTTCTCTGGAAACAGAGATTTAAGAAATTGCTAAAAGTGCCATAAGATAATAGACAAAGAGACAAAGAGAAAAACGGATAATTACACGAACTGCGCTTGGACCCTCCGATGTGAAAAACGTAGCTCGACCAATGATTATACCGCAGGGCAGTACCATAAGCTGGTCATTGTGTGTATAATTACGCCGGAGTTGAAGTCGGCCTTCTGATTTAACTGTGGTGGTCTTCGAACGTCTTGGTGTCCGTGGTACGTTGCTTTTATCTAGGCGGCGAGTAAGGTCATTAAACACTGACTGCTGACTTATCCGCATCTTCTCCTCCAGTGCACGATGTAAGGGCTGCGAACAAGTAATAAAACCTGCATCAGCGGGTTCCTCGCACGTAGACATGCGGCACTGGCTTTCACAGCCAGCATGAGAAGGACAGAAATGATCTTTCACCGATGCGAGCCGCTCTTGACAGTTAAATTTTAAGCAGCATGGATGACCAATGGTCACTCCATCTGTAACAGCAGCCCGGAGAATGCCTGGGGCCCATTGATTTGGTAAAACGATGAGTAGTAGATGGCTTACAACGTTGCTCTCCAGTCCCATCTATGATCTTGAGACAGTCATGACAGGCATGGTAGCGCATAGGCTGACCATCTTGAATGATGCGTTGGTTATAATACGTAAACGCGGTCTCCAGGCGTTCCGATTGAGGACATCGATGGAGCAGGACAAGGCTCTCCGAGTAGTGATCAGCCCGTCGAAGCAGCGCGTGCATCGTGAATGCGTCCATAACCGTACTCTGACTGATGGTTGGGAGCAGAGATGAGTTGACTACTTGAGGTAATTGAGCCAGTGTATCGTTATAGATCTCAGAGAGGTCGGAAGTGGAGGTACTATCTTGAAAGTAAATCATGAGATGAAAGATGGGAGGCGTGACATACTGTGAAATAGCTAATGTTCGCTCAAAGAACACACAGAGCTGTTGCTCTACAAATGAAGCTTCTTGAGCATGAATAAAGGGGAGAATCTCTGGATAGTAATGTCGGGTAGAGTTGATTTGTGAGGCATTTGTAACGCAATAATCATAGTGATAGCGTGTATTACAGCCTATATAGAGTCAGTCCAAGATTAAATGTCCAAAAGCTGGAGAAACTGACCGTCACAATATAACGACACTTCATAAGCTGCCAGAACACCACGACGTAGAGTAAAGACCCGGCAGGGAGCCTTCTGAGGTTGAGTAAGCTTCCGGCCTTTGCATGTTGCCCCAGGCTTGCCCCCCACACAGTGTTTATGAGGGGGATACAGCATCTCTGTACCTGATATGCTTATTAACTCCCAGATTAGAATAAGAGGATCAGTTACCTAGCTCATAGGCTTGACCGTACTGTTGTAAGAGTTCGTCAACTTTTTCCTCTAGAAGCGGTCCCTTCCACTGCTGAACATGAAGCCGTGTTGCTATCCATAGCTGGTCCACCTCCTCCTCCGTCAGTTCCAGTCCTTGAGTTAGGAAAGTTTTAAGTTTGCCCCGAGGCAGAAAGAGTGGAATATTGTCTTTGAAGGCAATATGCACCCAGAGACGAGAGAGAATGGAGACAAACAGAGTGAGGGTGTAGATTTCAGCTTGAAAATCTACAAGCTGCTGGACTAGTATAGTCAGAGGAGGAGACATAACTCAGTCAAGATAGCGCGATAAGCGTAACAGCAGTCGGTCACATCACGGGGCCGTGCTGCTTTGTAAGCTGACTCTGGTTTGATTAAACAAGATACCCTTAGATATCGTGCGGAGCACCATGGTATGCCTTCCTCAAAGCAACCCCTGAGACCTTGGTAGGCAGCTAGGGCTGCATTCAGTAAATAACCCCAGCTTCGTATGCTAAGAGGCCTAGCTGCCTTCCACTAGATAACCCAGGACAGACGTCCGGGCAACTCTGGTCCGATTCTCAAATCTAACTAGAGCTGTTTTGTAAAGCACCTGAGGACACACTATAATAGGCAGCTCCTGTGGCTCTGAGTAGCAACTGTAGTTGCCTTGGAAAGCAACGGTGTCTACGAGATACCAGTCTGTAAAAGCTATAGTAAGCCTGGCTATCTGCGCTGGCGAGCGATTCGTGCGTGATGACGATGTCGACATCGTTACTGTAAGGCTTGCCTCGTCGATATCTGTGGAAGTCGATGGACCGGCTCCATGCTTGAAAACAATGACTTGCCCTCCAACGATCGTACTGGTACAGCCCTTGAGAATGCTTTCCAGCTCCGTCCTGACAAAGGCATGTATGGTGTCAACCTCTGCTCGAGGAATCCGTTCATTGAAATCCTCATGCAGACTCAACGCTGCTTGGATAGAGAGTGTTGGTGCCTGGGTTTTCAAACGGCTTTCTTGATGGTCTTTATTCAAGGAGAAATGTTGGATAAGGTCATCTATCGTGCGCAATCCAAATGAGTCGTATAGTTTGCGCGCAGTAGCTGACCCAATTCCATAAATGGCTGTGAAGGCCGATAAAGACTGGAACCGCGAAGAGGCTGCGATGGTTTCTGGCTGGGTGTGAGGGGGAAAAACTGGAATAAAGTTGTAAGTTATTGACCACTTTCCTCGATTCGAGCACACTGTGTGTACTCCGTGATCTGCTCTAAAATGATTAATGTTGAAAGTTTACTGAACGGCCATTCGACGACCTTGGAGAGCATCTTGGCTCCAATTGAAGGGAGTCTTGACACTTCACTCAATCTCGCATCGGTGATTGTGTGAGGATATGCTTTCAACACCTGCATAATTTGGTGTCACAGAAATGATACAGGAGAAAAGGATGGGTAGACCGATATTGTTCTCTCGTAACTTAGTGCACTGGTTTCGTCACCTTCCAGTTCTCTTGAACGACGGATGATGGCCAATTGTTGTATAAGGTCTTCATTAGGACATTCTAGAGGACACGGCCTGAGGCAGGCATAGCGGCTTGAGTAATGAGGTTGCTCAAGGGTCAAGTCAACAAGCTCAGAATCGGAATGACGTTGAGACTTAGTCGATGTGTCATCACGATCCTCCGAGTTGGGGCCGCTTTCAGAATCGTGCGTTTGTCCTCGTACTGCGGCATAGTCGCTATAAGGAAGAAGAATGCCTTGATTGGCCGAATCTCGTAGAAAATCTGGAGTGAGAATTGCGCGACTTTTTATTGTATCACGGTCAAGATGCCGCTCTAGTCTCCGCGGCATATGAATGGCGGTGATGATAACTTGAGCATCCTCAACGCTAGAAGACATAGTTAGGCGGGGATTGTCGTTGACCAAAGCGTATAATTCAGCGATAGTTGGTGGGTCAAGTTTGGCTTGAATTATATAGACACCAACAGCAGATGTTGGTGTTGGATCATGATTGGGAGAGAGTAAGGAGGAATTTGAGCTGCGTCGCAAAACCGGATCCTTCGGCATCGTTGTTTAGGTCCGGGACCGATGCTATGTAAAAAGAATGGTGGGAGTGCAGATCAAGTTGTATTTTACACAGCGTGAGTCAGGCGGCGTGACCTCCCGACTTTCTTCTCTCACTACCTTCTCTCCCGCTCCAACCTACCCCACCTCCCAGCAATGGCTGCTGCGACGCGTTCGAGGGAGTTCACCAACCCTCCGAACTACGAGTTTCCCATCCATAGGCTATCGCAAACCCTCCGCGACCCAGCCAAAACTCCCGTCGTTCTAGTAGCCTGTGGCTCCTTCAGTCCCGTCACCTATCTCCACCTTCGCATGTTCGAAATGGCCAAGGACTACGTGCGGCAAAACACCGACTTCGAGATTCTGGGTGGTTATTTGAGTCCAGTGAGCGACATGTACAAGAAGCCTGGGTTGCTTAGTGCCCAACACCGGTTAGTCTCCGTTGATTCACTATCTCTCTATTCTCTCGTTGTCCCCGTCCCTCGCCGGTTGTTGGCAACTTGTTGCCAATGGGTACTGTCGCACCGACTGATCCGGACAGTCGATCGGCTAGATTCTGTCACTGGCAAAGCTCGTGGCTGACCTGCCCATAGAGTGACGATGTGCACGCTCGCCGCAGAGGACACCTCCACCTGGCTGATGGTCGACCCGTGGGAAGCCTTCCAAGACTACCAACGGACCGCTGTTGTTCTCGACCACTTCGACCACCAGATCAACGACGTTCTGGGGGGTGCTCGGACTGCGGACGGCGAGCATCGCAATATTCGCATAATGCTTCTCGCCGGGTCGGACCTCATTAGTACAATGAGCGAGCCTGGTGTTTGGAGCTACTCTGATGTGTGCTCTCCGCCCTTTCCGTCATGCGCGGCTTACCAATTTGTTTCGCACAGCTCGATCACATTCTAGGACGCTATGGGACATTCATTGTCGAGCGCGCTGGTACCGGAATGGACCAGGCAACTGAAAGTCTTGCCCGGTGGCGCAACAACATCCACATCATCTCGCAACTCATTCAGAATGACGTCTCTAGCACTAAGGTGGGAAAGTCATATGCAGGCCGATACATCAGTTGACAGCCCGCAGGTCAGACTCTTTATCCGAAGGGGGCTCTCTGTCCGCTACTTGCTTCCCAACGAAGTTGTGGAGTATATTGAGCAAAACGGACTATACCTCGAGGACACTGCTTCACCCATAATCCCCGTCGATAAAGAGTCTGTGGCGAGTGATTCGAGGAAGGAGATCTCCGTACACCCGTAGGACACGAGGAATGGTCAGTTCATTGAATACCTCTTTGCTCAACCCTAACCTCACCCGCAGGACTTGGTATAGCCCTGAGTGTACAAATATTCAAAGCTAGATAGGGCAGTATTTACTGTGTGGTGTATATGAGTGGTATGGGATCTCAGTTGTGATTATCCGTTCCTCAGTTTGCTGACAAATCTTGACCCCACTCTGTGCAGATGGTCGTTTAGACTGCAACCTGTAATCCTATCCCGCCATTTAATTGTTCTCGTAACTCGATTTGGACCTAGTTTCGGGTGCTTGTCTTCGCTGCTTCTCGTCGTTGCTTCATCTCAGGTCAAGAACCATACGAACATGGCTATAGTTGCATTTTACATGATTTGAACGCTGATTTGCCTTCCATGGCGGCTCACGGATGATGTGCTTCTGAGCTGTACTTGGTTAAATTGCTTGGATGTTTCCCTGCTTGTCCTTTCATTTTCCCTTCAGACCCCAGCAAACGAATGGATGAGACTCAAAGCAAGAACGAAGGGGATGCATCCAGTCCCATTCCTGGCTGTGAGATGGAAAAAACAATACTGGATGTATCTTTCTCCTTCAGGTTATCGTGCCATTGCCTAACGCTTGGCAGTCGCCGAGCAGACTGGCATGTCCTTCCGATTTATGGAGCCGTCTATGCCCTGGCATTGGCTGACCGTGCAAATATCTCGATAGCACGTGTCGTGGGTATGGACCAAGATCTGGTGTGTTTCCCATTAGACATGAAATTACGATTACTGACGGGACAGGGTCTGAGCATCGGAAGCCGCTTCAGCATCGTTGTCGGCGTCTACTTCGTCCCGGATGTACTCTGGTAAGCTTAACCCCAGCCTAATCAGTCAGGTCTAATATTTTGGATCTTTGGTAGTCCATTACCGAGTAATCTCCTGTTGCGCCGGGTCGGGCCGCGCAAACTACTCAGCTTCTGTGTCATCTCGTGGGGCGTCGTGCAGGTACTATTATAAGCTTCTGGACAAAGACCCGCATGGCGCTAAGAAATTTATCTAGCTTTTCATGGGCTTTGCTCCTAATTGGCGAGTTCTCGCGGTTTGTAGAGCGTTACTCGGCATATTAGAGGTGTGTGTGCTCTTTGGACGGACATAGGTACTCTCTGACGACGCTCAGGCAGGATTCACGCCGGCGCTAATATTTATCATCAGCACTTGGTAGGCATTTCTCTCTCTCTCCCCTCTACATAAATCAATATATTCCCACAAGGTATACGCGACAAGAAGTTCAAACACGGTTTGGGCCTCTTCATCCGCCTTGACATCTGGGCTCATGCCGAAGTCAAGATTGGCGATATTTTATGTTGTCGGGTTCATTTGTGCTGGGTTTGGCTCCATATTGTCATACACGATGAGCCTTTTGTCAGGAAGAATGGGAATTGCTGGATGGGCCTGGATATTCGTGAGTTCCGGTTATTCGACCCAATATTGATGCACTTCAAATGCCTTCTAGATCATTCACGGTGCTATCACGATCGCGCTGGGTATTCTTGCATCCTTTCTCTGGCCAAGTTTCCCCCACAGCAATACCTTTCTTTCTGACGCCGATACCACGTTTATTCTGGATCGCGTTGAGAGGGATAGAGGCGATTCGTTGCCAGATCAGCTGACCTGGCGCAAGTTTGTCGACGCGTTCGACTGGTGCATCGCAGCATATGCTTTAATGATGATGTTTGCGACGATGTCGTTGTATGGCGCTACGTGCGTGCGAATGGTTGTCCTTCAGTCGTTTCACCTGACATTTTTAGCTTGTTTCTGGCGCCCGTGTTATACGGTTTTGGGTGGAGTGCCACCCAGTCGCTGTTGCTAGTTGCCCCTCCTTTTATACTCGGGGTAGGTGACATTTTTTTCGAGGTAGCAGTAAATAGACTGACCGCTTAGGGAATATCCACTTTGATTTTCTCGTTGTTGTCCGACCATTACCGCCAACGCGCGTTGTTCATTGCTATCCAATGCTGTTTCACTCTCACCGGTTGGAGTCTTGTGGGGTTTGCTCCCTCCAATAGCTGGCGCTATGTTGGTATGCGCGGTGGTTTCTTTATAAAAGGCCCGGGGTTTAACCATACTTGACCAGGAACATTTCTAAACAACGCGGGATCTTCCGGGAGCATAATTGGCCTTTTTGCATATGTCAGTGCTGCGCAAGCCACATGTGATCCGTCTAACAGAGGCCCTCGCAGTCGTCGAATAATATTGTTTCGCATTCCAGACGTGCTATCGTGTCGAGTGTTGTCCTCTCGGCTGCTGGACTAGGAGGTCTTACAGCTTCCTACATATTCTATCAAGCTTCAGCACCGCGCGTATGCTTCCTATGCGACCATGAGGACGCAAGCTCACCGATTGCAGTACCTCCCGGGGATACTGATCACTCTGGGATCCCAATTGGGGTTGCTGCTCGTCCTGGCTTCGACGACGCTCTACTTTTATCGAGAGAATATACGTGCGTCGAGAGACTCGGCTCCTCTGGAAGGTCGGAGTGGGTTTCTATACACTTTGTAGTCGTCCAATGCGCATTGTTAGCAGCAAAGTCTGTCTTATTCTTTGACTGTCACAATAGGTCACAATGATGTAACGATTGTTTGTGCGATCACGAGCTGCACGTGCTCGGCTTGTCTTCTTCCCACCACTTCCCGTTCTCTTCCTTGCGAAATACCCTGTGCAGGCTCTGCTGTCTTGACCGATGGCCTCCCGCATTCCGGTGAAGCATGAGACTGCCTTTACTTGAAGTCAAGCTCACGCTCTTTTCTCAGATCCGCCGCCCGCGCACAGCTGGTGCCGAGAACGAAACTCGGTCCACCCACCAGGCTATCCAGCGAGGCAAAGCGGCCGTCTCCCGCCAAACCCTCTCCAAACCGCCATCGGAGAAGCCTGTTTTGGTGGCATCGACCAAGTCCCATGCCACCACCTCTATTTCCGCCGTCGAAGTGCCTGGCAGTGCCAAGCGCAAGCGCGAAGCTCTCAGAGAGGTCACAGACCGCAACCGGTCCCGCGCCCTCTCCATTACGGGCAAAGCGAAAGCTGGCCCCTCAGACGGGCGCAAAATCATTGCCCTCCCGAAAAAAAGTGCCGCAGCCACTCGGGTGACGAAGGAAAATGCGCGACCCGTGGCTGGTCGGTCGCTGACCGCCGTGCAAGAGGCGATTGATGTTGACGAAGACGATGGCCCGAGCGCGAAACGTCAACGCACTTCGTCTGTTGGACCCGAGGAAGAAGCGTTCGTTGCAGCGGAGCTTGGTTCGGCCTCTGATGATGAGGAGGAGGCTGACCCTGACGGTGACGATTGGGAGGATCTTGATGCCGCCGACCATGATGACCCCAGCATGGCCAGCGAGTATGTGGTCGAGATTCAAGAATATGTTCGGCAAACTGAGGTGAGTCGCTGTCGAAGACGAAACGCGTCAGTTGACGCGTTCCTAGTTGAAAACCATGCCGAACCCGAAGTACATTCTCAGCCAACCTGAGATTACCTGGGCAATGCGTGCGCTTCTTAACGAGTGGCTCATCCAAGTCCACCTGCGTTTCTCACTTCTCCCCGAAACACTTTTCCTCTGCGCCAACCTCATCGACCGCTTCCTCAGCACCCGTACCGCCTCGACTAACAAACTCCAACTGGTCGGCATGGCTTGTCTTCTTATTGCCGCAAAATACGAAGAGACTATCGCACCAGCCGTCGAAAATTATGTCATCATCTCTGAAGGCGCAACCACGGCTCAAGAAATGTTAACCGCCGAGCAGCATATCCTCCGTTCAATCAACTGGGACATGAGCTACACCGGACCGATGCATTTCCTCCGCCGAATCAGCAAAGCCGACAATTACGCCCCTCACACACGTACGCTGGGAAAATACCTTGCAGAGATCTATTTGCTTGATCATCGACTGCTTGGTGTCCCACCCTCAATGATTTCGGCGGCAGCTATGTGGCTTGCCCGTCTGGCATTGGGAGAGACGACCTGGACGCCCACACTGGCCCATTATGCGGGTTATCGCGAAAGCGCGTTGATTCCGGTGGCTAACGTCATGCTACGCTATTTACTGCAACCCATAAAACACGAATCTTTCTACAAAAAATATGCCGGCAAGCGCAACCTAAAGGTGCAGTGGTGCTCATCACGTATAAAATTGGTCGCTAATGCGGCATTGAACAGGTTAGCGTCTATATGCGCCAGTGGGTGCTTGCGCGTTGGCCCGAAAGTGCCAAAGTCGATCTGGCGCTCGATCTTGCTGCTTTGAAGCACGATAATCGGTTGAAGCGGTCCGCGCAACTCGGGCCGGAAGACGACGGCGACCAGACGATCTAGTCGTTGGCATACTTTTCACCTTCAGTTGCAAATATTGTTCACTACTGCCGCGATAAAGACGGGGGAATAGTAGTTGTACATTATCTGTATTTATTGACACAACCTTGCGATACACAGCGCCTATTCCGCCTTGACTTGAATTGGATGAAGAGCTGCTATTGCTGACATCGCTCCAGTTATGTCGTGATAGTTTTACAGAGTTTCAAATGCAGAGTTAACTGGATCATAACTACTTCAACCACTTCAGCAATCTTGACTGTAGGTACTACTTAGGGCAGCAACCATTGTCACCAAGGTTCAGAATTTAGAATATTTCCCTAGAAACAACTGTGAAGTGATGGGTTAGCTAGGAAGCACATACGTAACAGTATCTTCCTACTCTGTTTCTTTACAGTTGTCAATTGGGTAGTTCTCATTACCCACCTCAGTAACACTGGATTGAAATTTACAGATGCCTTCGCCACTTTCACGCTAGTTTGGCTGCAAGCATCATGACACTGAAATCGTCAAAGCTCATCGACTTGTCCGGTGATGTGGAGAACTCCTCGACCATTTCCACGATCTATTGTCATTGTCATGGGTGACCGAGACTACTATGTAGTAGATGCAATGGCATACCTCTTCGCTTTTAAGTTTGTCGCCAATGAGCTGTGTGAGTCGTTGAACGTCTTTGATCATGACGCGCTGCTGGACCAGGTCCTTTGGGTCAACATCCGGGAAGAAAAGGGCGAAAGTGTCGAGACAGGTCTTGCGTTGTCGGGCAGTAAGTTTCTTGGGCGATGAGGAGTGTGAGCTTTCCGAAGAGCTTGCGCGTCTGCGGGTATTGGGCCTCCTTCTCCGACTCGAAGTTGAAGGGCCCAGGTCATCTTCGTCCATATACTCGTCAGAATCGTCAGAGTCCTCCACATCTTCATAAGCATCTCCTTCGTCATCGTCGTCAAATGGCCGTCCCTCACTTGCGCTCTCCCCGTATTCCTCCGCATGGTGCTCCAACAACACGGCACAAACAGAATGCCAATCATCGCGGCTCACGAAAAGCTCAGTTTCCTTAGGGTTGTGGTTGACCTCGTTCGTCGCTGACGACCAGCCAGTCGCGGCATTTTTGAACACATTCAGCACTTGCTCATCGTCTGGAGGAAGGTCCAGCCGCTGGAGGGCGGCGGGAATGGAAGAAAGAGCTATTCGCATGGGCTCGGGTGCTTCTAAAACAAATCCGCCGCCACTAGCGGTGGAAGTCGCATGGTCTAGCTCAGATTCTGCGCAAAGGTCGAACGCCTTGTCGACGCGTTTTTGCAGGTATGGTGGGAGAACAGAGAACGAAGTCATTGAGAGTGGTCACGCTCACGGGACCGTGACGCTTCACATTTCTGCGACGACCATGACGTCGCTCTCAAAGTCTTTGAACCCGTCTACTTACAGCGTGGTCAGAGACATATTCGGAAACTTTAAAACGACTTCACATGTCGCTTAACGCTCCCTCGCCGTGGATAATCAAGGACAAATTTTCAAGCCGTCATCCCCGTGCTCACCGTGTACCAGCCGATGTCTGCACGGGCAGAGAGCGATCCTCAAGGCACAGGTTTTTCTCAGCGCGCTCATAAAATCACCTTGATCAAAAAAGAGCCTAGTTCTCTCCCTTTCACTTGACATGTTTCGTACCCTTGTACTCTACTCTCTTTTGGCTACGTCCTTCGCTGCCCCCAGCAGCCACGGGTCTTCTTCTAGGTGCGTATCAGCTCCAGGTATCCTTCACTGTACTTATTCCGTCTGTTATAGCCCGCAAGCCAGTGCGCAATGTCCTGCGACTGATATCGAGGGCAGTTTGCTGGACAGCGCCAGCGTCATGTCAGATGGCAAGATTTCATGCGCCTGGCAAATTGCTTGCGACTGTGTCTACAACTCTCCCGTTTGTCCGCTTCATTTTCCTCGAACATCAATAACGTGTATGTTTTTAGAGTGGGACCCTTGCTTCGGGGTCGTCGTCCTGCCCCAAGAGCATAGCGCCGGGTTCTACTAGTGGCTCTTCGTCCAACGGAAAAGTCTCCTCCGGGTACGCCATTTTGTGTCTGATTAATACTTTTCCCTCACCCTCTTCCGTCGTTTTAGCAAACTCAATGAGAACTTTGGAACTGCATCTCTGTTGGCAGACGACGACGACGACGACGACATCCCACCATCCAGCGGGTATGTCATATTTTTCTCAGGTTCCAAACTTTTCTCCCGAGCTCATTTTGTGCAGAAAACTCAACGAGAACTTCGAAACCACATCTTCGTTGGCAGACGAGAAGAACAACGATAAAGGACTTTCACCCGCAGTCATAGCGGCATTCACTATCAACGGGGTGTTCGTGCTGGGTATTCTGGGCTTGCTCGCTGTTTGCATATTCCGCCGTCGCAAACCCAAACAGCGTTCACCAATTAAGGCACTGTATACTGGCGTCGAGAACCCGTATGTGTTTTTCCCTGTGTTTTGTTCCTGGTGATTGAATATGGTTATGCAGACGAGACACCTTTGTTCCTCTAACTCATGGCACAAATGACGGCCCATACTACGATCCTCACGAGGCGACCGAGAAGGAGAGCCTTCAGGCAAAGAGCGGACCTATGGCGAGCGGCAACAGCCGATTCGAAGACGATTAGCGGTGGTGCTCCTTTCTTTGCCTCTAATCTACTGTAGAGAACGCGTTTTTCACTAATCTTATTCGCATCCCATGGACGAATTTGCTGAATTAACGCTTCTTTTATTCCTTCTTGGTTCTTGAGTCGTATCAGGCGCCATGCACCTGCTACCTCTTGGACACCTCCCTTATCGCCTCCGTCTCTGTTTTTACATTTTCTGCTTGGGACGCAGAATACTTGGATTTCCCCGACGTATCGCCTGCGAGGTATTTGGGAATATTTCGCAGAAGGACCACTCGTGATCAAATTGGCCTTTTTTTGCACCAGAAATCAACTTGGATGCGCATTGCGCACTATAGCGCGCGGGTAGCCCAAGGCGGACCTTGATTTCTATATTTTCTGGCGCGTCCGTTAATGGGCAGTTTCCCCGTCGGCTTTCGGGTTACGAGTGCCTAAGTACTAGTATTTCGAGCCCACCCACTGGCAGTGTTGTTATTAATGCGTCGCACGATGATTCGAACGGCTACATGGATAAGTTAGATGGCTGGGTCACGAGTCCATGGGAGAAGGAAAGGACCGGCAAACTCTAAAAGAGTTTGCCTCGCGGCTAGCGGGCACACTAGTGACCGCTAGTGGGGGGAAAGAGTCGGCGCACCCGGGCAGCGGGCCGGCGAGGCCGGCGCGGGCGACGAGGTGAGCAGAGAGCTTGGGCCGTCCCGAGGGAAACACGACTCGGCTCGAGCGAGCGCCTGGGACGCCTGGGCTGCCGACTCTGAGCGCGTGAAAGACCGGGGGCCTGCGGGCTGCCCAAATCTAGCACACACTGAGACAGGGAAGCGGAGGGCGGGGAGAAAAAGGGCTGGCGAGACGTGTCGAGGGCCGAGAGGAAGTCGAAAGTGAGTCACATGATAGCCTACTCGACACATCTCTATCTAACTTATCCGCAGATACCCTTGAGCCGCTCGTTCCTCGCGTCAAGGATATCTCAGAATAAGTTAGATGGCTGGGTCACGAGTCCATGGGAGAAGGAAAGGACCGGCAAACTCTAAAAGAGTTTGCCTCGCGGCTAGCGGGCACACTAGTGACCGCTAGTGGGGGGAAAGAGTCGGCGCACCCGGGCAGCGGGCCGGCGAGGCCGGCGCGGGCGACGAGGTGAGCAGAGAGCTTGGGCCGTCCCGAGGGAAACACGACTCGGCTCGAGCGAGCGCCTGGGACGCCTGGGCTGCCGACTCTGAGCGCGTGAAAGACCGGGGGCCTGCGGGCTGCCCAAATCTAGCAACCCGAAGCGCAGCTCACAAGGGTGGGCAGCGCCGCAGGCTCTGCCCGGCTACCCAACGAATGGGCTGGGCAAGGGAGAGAAGAGAAGAAAGGAGGAGAAGAGGAGAAGAGGGGGAGAAAGGGAAGGGAGAAAGGGAAGGGAATGGATTGCACGGTGGGAACGGGTACAGGACCTAAACTAGCAGTTTTCTTCGGGGGTTAAGGTGATATTGTGGTCAATGCGGAATTGTTCGAAAGCCAGAGCAACTTCTTCAATCTTTTTCTTGTCGTAAGCCTTGCCGACGGCCATTGCGATAATGTGTTCGAGTTTTCGCCAGTAAAGCAGGAAGGCCAGGGAAGTCCAGCCTCCGGTTGCTGCCACAATGTCGCAGGGGACGCCGGCCAAGAGGAGCTCGGTAGAGCCGCCCGATACGGAAACTGTGGCCTGCAACCGCCAGCAATTCACACTCCTTCCAAATCTCGGTGCAGCGAGCCAAGAACCATGGCTTGGTCATAGGAAGCCAACGGCCGTCTGTGTGGCGGAAGGCAAAAAGTGGGGCTTCTTCCGGGATGTTGCCGTTGACAAAAAGATGATTCTGGAGGGCTTCGACTGGGCAAAGTGGGTCGTCTCGATCAGTGAGGATGACCGTGCCGCCTCTTTCGCGGGTGGATTTGGTCCAAGGGATGTGGAAGGAAGAAGCGCGAGCACCACCGTGCTTGATTCGCTTGGTATCGGCGCCCGCGGGCAACATGCAAGAGGGGGTCAAAAGCGTTGACAGAGGGGATAGTAAGCTCGCCTAGCCTACGACAGCCCCAGAAAGCTGCGCAGGCCAGAGCCCAGACAGCTGCGTCGAAGGGGATATTGAGCTTAAGTTTGGAGCGGAGAGCGACGAGGTGCTGGACGGTGACTGGGCCCCGCTGGGCCTTTTTGAAAGCGGTGCCCTGCTTGTTTGCTGTGCGTCGGATGAGTTTCACCCAGGGTTCGCCGCCCGGCCAGGCTGCTTGATGAACGTCGTGCCAGGCCCGAAGTCCGGAGAGCCAGGACTTGACGGTGTCTCCCCAACTAGGCCGACGTGCTTGGATACAAAGGCTGAGATGAGGGCGGCCGAGGCGGGCATACGGGCTTCCTCGTCAATGGAGATGCTGTCGCAGTATTGATGAAAGCGGAGGAGTCCCTGGCGTAGAGGTAGATGCGTGTCCGGCGCAAACGCAGCGAAAATGGCAGCGTATATGCGGTTGACTTCGTCTGCTGGGAGTGAGGCTCTGAGCTCGGCCTCCTTGGCACGGGAGAAGGGGGAAGACCATGTGTGGAGCCGATCTTTGGCAAGGGCTGGAGGCCGAAAGTCGCTGGGCGCGATATTATTCCCATGTTTGGGTTTGCGAGGCTTGGCCGGCAGGGAAGGCGGTGGGGGAAAGGAGGCAGAGTGCGCGGGTCTGGGTATGGTGTATGGCTTTGGGCGTGGGGCGGGGCGGGACTGTGTGGGATAGAAACGGGAGAGCGGTTCAAGTGGAGACCGGGACAGGGGCATGGGGGTGGGCGGGGCTAGGCTGCTAGTGGCGAGCGGCGGGGGGAACTGGAGCCCGGAGAGTCCGAGACTGCGGCGCGTGCTGCCGGGGCATGGGGACGGGAGGAGGCAGGTGGTGCGATAAATCTCTGGACATGGTGGTAAGCGAAGACAGAATACGCGGTCACATGCTAATGATTACGAGGGTACGAAAAAGGTAGCTAGGTCCGACGGGAGGCAAGGCAAAGGTGAGATACGGGAGGCAGCTTTGGGAAGGATGCCCCTCGAAAGAGGGTCAGCAGGGTTGTTGGCTGAGGGGATGTAAACTAAGTCTAGGGCTATGTTACGGGCGGCCAGGGCCACGAAAATACGGCGTAAAGAAAGGTTAATGTCGGGGTTGCGGCTGCGGCCCTTGTCGAAGGCGCCGATGACGCCCTGGTTGTCAGAGTGGACAAGGAGATAGGCATTTTCAAAGTCTAGGCTCTCCAGCGTGAGGACAAGCAGCTCGATGGCCACAGTCTCGAGCCAGCCGATGTGACGCTGGCGCGACTTCCAGTTGCCCGTCCCCTTCCAGGCTCCCCAGCAGCCGTCTAACCAGAGACCAATCCCCCAAGCTGTAGAGGCGTCCACGAAGAGGAGGCGGTCTTGGCGAGGGCCTTTGGGGGCGATGGAGCGAGAAACGCTTGGGACGGAGAGGGTGGACTCCCACCAAGCCAGGGAGGAGTAAACTGACGGCGGGGGCCGCCGGGTTTGAAAGTGTTGCCCTCAAACGCAATAATGAAGGAGGTGAGGGCAGGCAAATAGGAGCGACCTTGGGGGTGGACAAAGGAGATGTGGCAGAGGGAGCCATGGATCTTCTGAGCGTGGAGGAGTTGGCATCTGCCAGATTTGCAGATGGATCGGAAATCATGTATGCGCTTGAGAAATTTTAGGCGCTTGTCCTCGGGCAGAGCCACCGTTTTGTTTGGGAAGTTCCAGAGGAAGCCAATGTAAACCAATTCGAAGAGGTATTCAGTCCACTTGGTAGGATGCCAAGGGATGCACAGCGGTTGGATGGCAAGGAGGGCTTCGGGGGCGGGAGGCGGAGTACCAGAAGTGCGAAGGGGGGCCCTGCGGGGGAATGCGCGATGCGGTAGGCTGGCGGACCGACATGATATCATCTTCATAACGGTTGGCGGGGGCAAATCCAAGGGCTTCCCAGATGTCGATGATGGCGGAGCCAATAAGGCCTGCGTTGCTGCTGGAAGAGGCGCAACCGAATGGGCAGCAGTGGTCGATATAGAAGCCCAAAGGGCCTTGGAGAACGAACCAGCGCTTGTGGGCGGGCAGGATGGGACAAGTTCTGTGGAATTTTGCAATATCGAGGACCATGGCCTGAGTTCCCGGGGGGGGCAGAGGCAATCTGGGGGTGGAATTTGAGTAAAGGGAGGTAAGATTGAGAGATCAGCAGCAAGGCAAGGGGAAGACGAGGGCCAGGAGGCAAACAGGGCAGCAGGGCGGCAGAATCGAGTCATATATCAGAGATACGTGTACGAGAATACAGAGTATGGGACGTAATGGTGCAGAGCATGGAGGACAGAGCAGAGAAGGGAGAGGATGCAGAGCAGGGGGTGTGGACTCACAATTTCGGCTACGTCAGAGGCGGTGCCGAACTTGGTGGGGAATTTGTCTTTGTCAACGAAAAAATTGGTGGACGGGTGAGAATGGTCGCCTTTCGAGAGGTGGCGGCAGAGCCGGAGTTTGTCCGGTTCGCCTGGGCCTTGGGGTTGAACCGCGATGATGATTGGAGAACATTGGAAATGGCCCTTAAGAATAGACTCCGTCTTCTCTCGGGAAAAGGGGCCACTCATATGGCCCGCTTCGACCTCCTCGTGCAAATAGTCGTTAACGAAAGCGTTGTGGTTGGCAGTCGACGGGTGGTTGGGGAAAATTTTGGTCTCGTTGAGGATCGGGAAGTCACCCATCGGGAAACCTCGTCGTAGTTTGTCAGGCAGGGAGCCGTGGGTGCCAAGAAGATTAAGCGAGGACAGCAAGTCGAGGAACGCATCTGGGTCGTAAGGCAGCTCATATAGCTGTATCTATGCAAAAGATATGGGCAGTGTCCCAGGGGGGTAATGCAAAAGATGAGGGCAACTGCCCAAGAATAAAATGAAATAATATTCTTTGACTGTTTTTGCCTGCTATATCAAGGTATCGGTGATGGGATCAATGGCATATAGGTATGTTGATCAATGTGGAACGATTTTTGATTGCCATCAGAGCTTTTGATGACTATATCTTGCTACATCAACCTTACTTAATCGATTATTGATTTTTTGGTCCCTGGGCTTATAAGTCCCAAATATTATATTGCGACTCATCGGCCTGAAGAAATAGTGATTTCTCTTACTATATATATTTTTGTTTTAGTCATATCTTTTGATTCCACTGAGAAATTCATGAAATACATCTGTCTTAACATCTTTTGCATTAGAGCCTTGGGACAGTGCCCATATCTTTTGCATAGATACAGCTATATGTACTGCGTAAGGCGTGATTACGCGGGAGAAAATCTCTTCATCGAAAGCAGGGGGTGGCAAGAAGGATCGCAAGAAAGAGTCTGCTTCATCGTCAGACAGCGAGGGGGTTACGTTGGCAAGACCAGCTGAAAGCGTGATGGGATCTGTCGCCACAGAAGGAGCACTGGTGGACACGCTCTCTGTTGTGGGTGCAACTCGAGAAACCCTCGCCGCGGGTGTTCCAGTTCCTGCAGAGGTCAAGCGCGCCAACTTTGGTGACGATAGAGTCGTTCTTGAATTCGCTGAAGGTGGCTTTCCCGTCAGGGAGGGATCTGGAGGAACAGGTTGGCCCCGTGTGGCCCGATCTAGCGCAGATGAGGCAGACGGGGTCGCGCGCTCCCACCCCGGTGCCTGGCCGAAAGGAAGGGCGCCCCCGCCTCGCAAGAGAGGGCCCCGGCCCACACGCAAGACGGCGGAGGATGGGAGTCGGGGGGCCTGGAGGGCAAGCGGAGCCGTGGGCTGGGTCAACCTAGCACGTGCGATCTTCAGGTCGACGACGGCGGACTGGAGGTGGGAGCTGTAGAAAGCAACATCGAAAATGAAGGGGGAGAGGAGGTATTGGGAGCGCAGTTTGATGTCCGTTTTGAGGATGGCCGGGAAAAGGTCTTCGCCGTCTTGGTGCTGCTCGAAGAAAGCGAAATGGTCCGTGTAACGTTCGGCGCGCTCCGGCTGGGCTTCGGCCACGAACAAAAGGAAATTCTTGCTGGCCTCGATCCACTGGCCCCGATCCAAGTTGTTCTCGTCCAAGACATTCTTCTGGAAATCACCCACATCAAGGACCACAGGGCGCTTGTCGACTCCCTCGGGCGCGTTGATCTTCTTTGTGGGCAGGGTGGCGGCATTGGTAGCGATGTAGCGGAGGGAGGAGGTGGTGAAGAGGGAGAGGGGGCATTCCATATCGAGGCGGAAAAGGTCGTGGAGGAAGCGGTGGAAGGTGACTGGGAGGGCAAGGCCGGGTACAAGGCGTGTTTCTTCTCGCAATCTCTTCGCCACAGGCTGGGCTTGGTCCGGGGCCTTTCTCTTGCCTGACATCACATCGCCGAATTTTGCGATGGCCTCGAAAAGCCGTGCGGGGGGAGGCCTTGGAGAGGAGCCTGTCCCAGACTGACGACTCGTCTTCGACCGTGATGAGGGACTCATTGTCCGAGGCGTCAGAGTAGGTGTCGGGGTCCCGCGCGTGTTGGAGTTTTTTCTCCGCCCTGAGCGCGTTTCTCGCTTCTATCTTCTCATTTTCGGCGCGTTTCTGGGAAGAGCTGAGGTTGTGGAGGGCCTCGATGACGTTGGCCGAGGAGTGAGTGCGGCGCGTTCTGGGCGGCGCGGCCGTAGGGGCTAGGGCTCCTCTCTGGCATGGTGACGTGGAGAAAGAGGGTCTTAGTCGAGGAGCCAAAGAGAAAAAGGGCTGGCGAGACGTGTCGAGGGCCGAGAGGAAGTCGAAAGTGAGTCACATGATAGCCTACTCGACACATCTCTATCTAACTTATCCGCAGATACCCTTGAGCCGCTCGTTCCTCGCGTCAAGGATATCTCAGAATAGCTTAGACAAGTGCCCTGTTTGGTTGTATCCGAGTCTACGATTTTAGGACACTGCCGCGGCCAGGCGAGCACTGGACGCTGAACCCTGCCCCTTACACAGACTCCGCGCCCTAAATTGAGAGAAAGTTAGTCATAGGGCGAATGTCCATGCATTGGAATGACACTGGCATCGATGAGCAGATGGGCGAATAACTTAATCGGTGTAGGAGGACCGGCGTCTTATCAGGGCCGGGCCGTCGCGAGCTTATTTGTAGCTGCAGCAACTGGGTTTGACGAAGTTGGTGTCTTATGACCGCCCGATATCCGTCATACTTGCTGAAGCATGTTGTTGGCTAGTTATCGTTCTCGGCTGGGACACTGTTCATATCTCTTCAAATTCGCGAAATGTAATGTCATCAACCAGCGGGTGTAGAGCCGCGCTTCAAGGCTGGGTACGACGTAAATGGGAGTGTAGTGAAGCAAATGAGCCACTGAGCCTATAATATATCGGGAGGGTGGAGTATTTTGTTATGCCAGCGTCGTTGTTGGGAGGCGCAGTGATCGGTTTAGTATTGCATCGATCTACAGCCTCGAGGCGACACCTATAGGCGACGTTGACCTTGAAAGGAAGAAGACATGGAAATGAGGCTGGAAGCTTAATCTTGCCGACGACTACAGTATCTGTTTGAATGGTTAAAATTCAATTGCTGTTGAAAGGGTCTTGCTTAAAGCTTGACGAGGTAGAATGCGATCAGTTATTGTTTGATTGGTATTGGGAGACTATTCGAAAGCCAAATGCGAAGTTTAGGTTTTGGAAAGAGAGTACTTCGGATGAGACAGGTCCACGGAAGCAAAAAAAGTGAGTCAATGAGATCCCGTGTCGCGATCGAGCGGAGGTAAAAAAGCGATAGTTGTTGAACTGGATAAGAAGACTATAAGAAGACGGACCGAAGAGTCTCGTGAATCGAAAAGTAGAAATTCTCCGAGGATGGTGCCAAAGAAGACTGCTTAAGGAGGAAGCGTAGACGCCACAACTACGTCCCGGCGCGGAATCTTCTCGGGGTTTGGCCACCCTGACCATAAAATTTGGCCAAAATAGTTGTCTGGGCCAAGTGAATGAGCGTAAATTGGGTTGTTCGGTAGTGTTCGCAACAAGATGTCCATCAGGGGCATCCCGATTAGGTAACACCCACCTCTTCCTCGAACCGCTTTAAATATGGCCGCTCCTTCTGCCTCCCCCATTATTACTCTCTCCAGCATCATAACCGACGCTGTTCTCCTCAGTCCAACCGACTCGGAGACAATGCTGCAATTTTCGCCCACCTACGAGCCCTACTCATATTACCCTTCCCCGCCAATGTCCGTGGAGGACTCTCCTATCCCTCCTCAAGCCATGCTTCGAGCGAATCCGCCCATGGTCGACTCTCAGCACTGTGTAACCACCTCCCAGCTGTTTGACGGCACTTCCTTCCCGCCAGAGCCCGTGTTGCTGCCCCGGCCAATAAAACGCTCCGCATCGCCCGAGTTACAGCCACAAAAACGACGAGCGGCCGCAGAGCGTGTCAATAGCAAGGATTTCATTCCTCCCGACGTCAGTGGACTCAGTAAACGAGAAGCTCGTCTCGTTAAGAATCGAGCGGCGGCTTTCCTCAGTCGTCAACGCAAACGGGAGGAGTTTGAACTAATGGAAGTGTACGTCAATCGAATCTAGTACCCCCTTGCTCTTCTAAACGCCATGCCTAACAGTCGTGTTGCTGAACTTGAGCAAGAAAACGCTCGTCTCTTGGCATTCGCTTCAGGAACAGGGCCTTCAATCAAACCAGAGTCGACTGACGCTGCTCTGGTCAGCGAGATTGAAGTTCTTCGTGCCCAACTTCATGCAGCCCAAGAACGAGAGCGGGAGCTAAACGCCGAGCTAAAGGCAAAGAGCGGTTCTTGTGACGTCCCCCAAGTAAAAATGGAGCCTTATGAACCTTCCATTATCCTGTCCTCACCTTCTCCACGCAACCTGTCTCCACATAAATCGGCTGCAAGCTTGGGACTAATGGTATGCATCGAAAGATCCTATTTTTGTTTGCTGAATACCGAGTAAGCAGGTTCTACTTTGCGCACTGCCGTCGTTGCTCTCGGCTTCTACAAATTCTCACTCGGCAATGCCAATGTCCTTTTCCTTCCCGCAAAGTCACCCAGCCTCGTCCTCCTCCACATTTGATTTTCACTCGGCTCTGCCAAACGACTTTGATTGGTCGGGAAGTCTGATGGATACATCTGACAAGCGCCGACTGACCGATGTCGCTCCGACAACGACAACCGCAACACACAAGCTTGCATTTGCAGATACGGACTCGGGTGTTTTGGCCGGCCTGGGCGGGCTTGACATTTCGTTTGATGCTTCTCCGTCAGAGGACGGCAAAATTCGCGTACGAATCCACCCGTCCACTTCGGTATCTTCAAGACCTCCTTCTCCCTCGGCCAGCTATGTTACCAAACAGGATAGTCCCCTCGGCAATTGGTTTGGATCCCAACCAGAATCTAGCGAGAGCTATAGTGACCCGTTCCTGGGAGTTGGTGGTGGTTATGGCTCCCCTCATTCGTCGCCCGCGTTCATCTACAACCAAGAAGACCTGACACCTCCTTCCGCCGACTACAGCGATTACTCGTCTGACTTTGGCGTGCCCTCAGAGTACTCAGTGGGTGATGCTTCGACTGGCGGAAAACGGCGGGTACGGATCGCCCTGAAAAGTATGCCTGCTTCTGACAATGAATGTGGCGAATGGGAGGTCGAGTTCTGCTGATATGCCCTGGCGACATTCAAATTTTTTAATATGCTTTCGATTCGATTCTTGGCCGCTTTCCATCTGTATTACCACCACCACCATCGGATGCACCCCCTTCCCCCAGGCACCTTCCTCTTCTTACCGTAAATATGAAAAGTAGCGTAGTCTTTTTTGCACCACCTGGGACCGTGTATCACCGCACTCGTTTAGAAGTAAAATAGGCTATACCCACATCTGTGTCACTAAATATTTATGCCCACAGGATCTGTATACGGTCTCCGTTCATCGTGATATCAGCCGCTGAAAGATAGCGGCAGAGATTTCTGTCTGCGGCACCCTTGATTAAGGTAGCACGTGACATATGACGTGCGTGTTTCGGTTGTTCCCGGGCCGCAGCCTATATTTACTCGACCGCCAGCTCACACTCCTTTTCTTTTCCTTCTCTCTCTCTTTTCCCTCAGAGATGGGTTGGTGTCCAGCTCTACACTAGCGCTACAACAGCGGCGTATGATGTATTCTTGTCAAGAGAATCTATTCTGGTGTTCGATCTTGGATTATGGAAGGAAGGAGTCGCATGGCGCACGGTCGCTTGGTTTCCGCTTATGGGGCTGGCCAGGTGTTATGACCATCTTTGTTCTGAACGTCCATGTCCGCCAACGGACTAGTCTGTTTCACGAACTGCTTGCTCCCCCAGGAGGATGGGGGGCTCATCCTTAAGGACCTCTGGATCGATGAACGGCGCGGAGTGATTTTGGATGCACAGAATACCTTCTTTGAGCGGAAGGAGCGGCCAGATAGGGTCGTCGATCTTGGTGGGAATATACTGAGGTGAGTGTTGTTGCTCTTCTTTCGTGGCTTGCTTATCGTGGTCTAGCCCAGGCCTGATCGACATCCAGCTCAATGGCGCGTATGGCTTTGACTTCTCCATATACGAGGGCGACGACGAGGCGTACAAGAATGGAATGAAGCTAGTTGCGGAGAAGATTGTGGAGACGGGGGTAACATCGTGAGTCCAACACACAACCCATCCAAAACACAAACTCACAGTTTGAAGCATCGTTCCAACTATCATCGTTTGTCTATCCTTCAAGCGCATAAGCATGGTCTTGACGCTCATATTAGACGCAAGACAAGAAGCTGTATCCAAAACTGCTCGATCTCCTCCGACCATTCTCAACCCCAACCTCGGCCAGTCTTCTTGGATGGCATGCAGAAGGGCCATTCATCGACATGGCCAAGCGTGGGGCCCATGCCCCACCATTTCTGCTATCCGCGCCAGATGGCTTTGCCTCCTTTGAAGAAACCTATGGCGTGCAAAATCTAGTTGACTCGGAGGATTGGCTTATGAACACTGACGGCCAATGTGGTGTCCGGATTATCACAGCAGCGCCGGAAATCAAGGGCGTTATGGGCGCCGTAAACGAGCTCGTCAAGCGGGGAGTAGTCTTTTCAATTGGACACAGGTATGTACCGTCTTCGTCGAGGAAACAATATTCCAACTTTTACAGCATCGCGAGCTCTCAGATCGCCACAACGGCGGTTGTTCAAGGTGCACGACTTATCACCCATCTGTTCAATGCGATGCCCCAACTTCACCACCGAGACCCGTCCATTATTGGCCTTCTCGGTGCCTCCCCTCATCTCTCTGTGCCTGTCGAAGATTTCCCCAATCCGAGCAGTCCCACAACGGCGGCCATGCTTTCAGGCGTAACCTCTGAAGCGTTTGACTATGTCTCTACCACCCCCACTAAACCTGGGGCAATGAGCCGTACCGCCAGTCGCTCCGAACTCCACCTCGACAAGGGCCAGATCGCAGACATGGCATTCGACCGGCCCTACTACGACATGATCGTCGACGGGATTCACTCACACCCCAACTCCGTGCGGGTAGGTCGTTGCTTTGGATGACAGCTCCCGTTTAATCGCTTCACACAGCTTGCCTATTCGGCATTCCCTGATGGATGCATCTTGATTACAGACGGTTTGCACTCTGTTTCGTCGGCAACTCTTAGTTTTGATCGTCGGGATAGCGATGAAGATCCTCGACCCAAATTTGCGAGACGGTGTCCATGAGTGGCGCGATGGGAAGCGGTTCGTCAAGGAAGGCGACAAGTTGTATCTCGAAGGGACAAACACCCTAGCTGGAAGGTGCTTTTTTACTCCATTCTGGGTGCCCGCCAATTTCTGACCCGTGTACCCAAAGTGTTGTTACCCTCGACAAATGCGTGCGCAACTTTTCCCGCTTCACAGGCTGCTCTCTCGGCGAGGCGATCAAATGCGCCACGTTCAATCCCGCGAAGTCCGTTCTCTGCTCGGTTGCCTTTTTGTGTGCTGATAACGGTAGATGCCTTGGGATTGAGAACCAGAAAGGAACGCTGCGGCCTGGCGCCGATGCTGATTTGGTGGTGCTGGACAGGCAGGGCAACCCAGTCAGCACTTGGGTCAAAGGCAGGCAGGTCTGGAGCAAGGATTAAATTTTGATTACAGTAAATGCTACTTGATTCACATTTATCGTCCAAGTGCGAGTGACTACGATTTCGAATTGACTTGGATATGCAGCAAAAAGAACAGTCCGCGACATAACTAACAAAGACGTTGGGGAGTAATGTTGATGCAGTTGTCAGCGTCAGCGTCTGGCGGCAAGCGGAGAATGTGCTTTTTGTTGACAAGAAGGATCTCACCGGGGCGGGGCTACATACATTGTGGCGAACCTCCAATCGCCAGGGCATTCTACGTCTCGTGTGTAAGGGGCTGAGACGTCACGAAGCGACCCGTCGGGAGGCGTCGGGCCGCCGCCGCCACGTGAGTCAAGAACCAGAAAACATCGAGTCACGCCACCCTCTCGGCCAGAGCACAAGCAACCAAGCCACCACGACAAGTGGCATCGACGCCGAGGTGTACACTCTACAGTACTCCGTTCCTATAATCACGTGCCATCGGGTTGACGTGGACAGTACGTGGACCGCCAGAGAAGAAACTGCCACTCAACTGCGATACTAAGCTAACTGAAGAAGATCAGAGAAGATGGTCTAAAAAACCGCGCGCAGACTCTCAAGTTCTGACAACCATGGCCGAGACGAGATACTTCACTCCTAACGACACCAACCAGAGCGCCACACCGTCCTCGACCACTTCGCTGACTCTTGCCTATCGCACGTTTGGCGACCCCAAGAATCCTGCGGTCTTCATTCCTTCGTGTTACTCCGGCAAGCTTGGCAACACTCTCACCTTTCTGTATCTTCCATCCGACGACGGAGTCCCACCTGTTTTGCAGAACTTCTTCTGCGTCATATGTGGTCTCCTCGGCGGTAGCGAGTCGTCCTCGCCATCGAATGTCCCAGAGGCAATTCACGGTCCCCGTTTCCCCAAACTCACCTACGAAGATAACATCCGCTTGCAACACGCCCTGTGTCTGAGCCTGGGAATCACCAAGCTCCACGCTTATATTGGATTTAGCATGGGAGGCCAACAAGCGTACCATATGGCGACCATCTTCCCAGACTTTGTCGACCACATCGTCGTGCTGGCGGGCTCTGCGCGAACGAGCTGGCACAACTACTCGTTTTTAGAGGGTCCCAAGGCGGCACTCGTCAATAGCGTCGATTTTCTTGATGGCGATTATCAGACACCTGCGACTCGGGGAACACGTGCATTTTCCCGCGTCTACGCGACGTGGGCGCTTTCTCAGGCCTGGTTTCGTGCGCGCAGTTGGGAAACACTCGGGTATGCAGACCTGGAAGAGTACCTTCGCGTTGCGTGGGAGGGCGGACAGGGAAAATGGGATGCGCATGACCTATTGGCTATGATACACACCTGGCAAGGGGGCGATATTTCCAAGTTTGGACCCGATGAACATAAGGGAAACCTGGAGAAGGCACTTGCACGCATCACAGCCAAAGCGTTGATCATGCCCAGTCGCACAGACTTTTATTTTCCTCCAGAGGATAGCGAGGAGGAAGTCAAGCACCTCAAACATGGCCAACTTCGGGTGATCGAAAGTATTTGGGGTCACTTTGCGGGAGGAGGTGGAGGAACTAAGGAAGATAACGAGTACATCAAGAATGAAGTCAAGAGATTCCTTGCTGAATAGGTGTTGCTGTCTTAATCCCAGTCAACCCTTGTTCCCAATTCCATGTCTTCCGCTTGTTTTACGACGGCACAGGCAATTGCAACGTCCTGCAGGCCGACCCCGACAGACTTGAATATCGTGATTGATCCATCTGTTTGGCCCTCGTGAAACTGCAATGACTTGCGATGCGGATCAATCTGCAGTTCTTGAGTGGTTGCGTCGAAAGAAACCAGTTCTCCAATTTCCGTGATTTGGCTGGATTCTACCTGAGCGTCAATCAGTTCGCCTGCTTCAATGGCGCACGCAGAGCGCGAGTCGACGAGGAGAGTGTTTGTGACGAGGAGAGCGCGTCGGATCAAGGTACTATCTACCTCATGCATGGTAGGTTTGTAGCTACCGATAAGAATGATGTGGGTCCCGTTGCTGATATGTGAGGATGGGAACAGTGGGATGGTCGATGATGTCGCGCAGACGACAAGCTGGGCGGACAAAAGCGTCGAGCGCAGCGATGCATTTGGCTTGTTTGCATCGTCTGGAATTGGTATGACATGGCATGTTGTGAGAGAAGAGACTTTGACATACGAGCGATGAACTCAAACTGGACCTCGTCGAAACGAGCACGCAAGTGCTGAACGAGTCGCTCAGCGCGATCATTCAGAGTCCGATTGACGATAGTGCAGCGTTTCAAGGTAGGAAAGGCACGCAAAAAGATGTCCAAATGGGCTGAAATTTGCGCTCCCGCACCGAATGCTACAATGTTTGACGGCTGACGAGGGCCAACGAGATTGCAAGACAGCAGCGAGCCTTCGTGGCGGGCTGAATCATAACGAAACGGGGCCATCGTCTCCACTCACCGGCAGCATTTCTGAGCGCTGTGAGGCGGGATGCGTTTAATATTGCCCTAATTGTGCCACTGTCCTCATCAAGAACCAACGTTGAAGCAGGCAGACCGCGCATATCGGTTGGAGAGGTGGGCACAGAAACAATTTTTATTGAAGTACCGGTCAGTGCTGGTGAGACCAGCCGAGCGGGCATGAACAGCGAAAGATGATTCTGCATTGGAAGCGGTGTGCGGTGTGGCATGAAGACGGATTTTGGATCGGATGCGGAGAGCAAAAAGAATACATGAGCCATCAAGTTTTGTAGCGTTTCAGGCGAAAGGTTGGTGGTGACTTGAGCGACATCTGAGCCGCTGAGGCACAGTAGTGACATTTTGAGTCTTGTTGGATATTTCACGGGATAGATTTCGAGGCAAGGTTGTGTGCAAGACTGCAAGTCGGCTTGAGGTGTGAACTCAACGGCCCGGGCCGAGCCGATTAATTACGTCATGTTGTTCGTTCTTCCTTCAGCTCTCAAGACTTCAACAACCATGGAAGTAACCGGTTCTCGTGTCGTATCCCGCCTCATAAAGACCTCGACATTGCTGAATGCGCAAGGCCCTGGATCTCCACACACGTATAATCATTCTTGGCAGTTATCTCAACACGAGGCGGATGAAAGAGGGTGATGTTGTCCAAGACCGGCCTCGTTTTCGTCAATGCTCTGTGACATCCCACGGTGGACCTCTTTCTCTTTCATTGTCCCTTGTCCCCCCCTCTGACTAGTGCCCGTCGAATGAGGGTGCGCTTTGGCCATGCCAATCTCTAGCGCGCCGACCATATCGCGTTCTGCCTCTGACTCCGCTTTGCAACCTCTCCAACCAATTCGAGATGCCGACCTTCCTGTCGCTACCGCTTCAGGCCCAATACCGTACCCCAACACCAAGAAGTCCCATGCGCGTAAACAACCCGCCGGTCACATCCCTCGTCCACGGAACGCATTCATTCTGTTTCGCTGTGACTACTCGCGTCAGAAGCAGAATATGATCGAGGAGGACTGGGACCAGAATGACGTGTCTCGTGCTGTTGGGCAGATATGGCGCAGAATGACTGTTGCCCAGCGGGCCCCATGGGTCGTCCTGGCGGAAGAGGAAAAGAAACGACATGCTATTCAGTACCCTGGCTACAAATACATGCCGCGCAATCGAAAAGCACCGCTGCCAACCGAGGAGGCAGTCCAAAACCAGTTTGTTCGTGCAGCAGAGCGTGTAGTTGCACAAGAACAAAAGGTGAAAGAAGAAGAGATGCTGAGCGGGACAGTGACGATTTATTACCCGCCCTGGGCAGAGCGGCGCACGAGGTTGGTTCAACAACGCCGAGCAGTGTCTTGCCCACCTCCCGGCGCAGTGCGCATCGAGCCTTATACGGAAAGAGTTGACCGGTCATCCGTGAAGACTTCAACAACCAAAATCGACCCGTCCGAGAAAGGCAGCGACATGTACATCCTTCCTCTGGTCACTCTTCCCGATAGACCAGATTGGGCGGTTGAACCAGATAATGACCATCCCCTTTCCATTGCGCCGCCAAATGGAACGCATTGGGGACCAGCTCCGTTATCCCCTACGGCCTATCAACTTGGCCGTCCGGCCACAGTCGATGTCTGCTTCGTCCCGCAACAGGCAAGTTTTTTTTACTGTCTCTTTTGCTTCACTAACATCGATTAAAGCACTCTCGAACCTATTCAGGGAATTACTTACTAACGCGCGGAGATCTGTCTTCACCTGACCCATCATCACCGTCCTCTGGTTCGACGACGCCTCCCCCACTCACGCCCACCGATCTCGACTTTGATCGACATCTGGTCTATTCAAATAGTCTGCCAGATCAGCCCGACTTCCTGAACGAGTTTGGAACCCTACTGCAGGAGTCGACGAATGCAAACTACCAACCAGTTCAAGTCACTACCCCTCCTCGCGAGTCCTTCCTTCGGACAACCTATATCAATGCTTACGAGATGGGCGGATACAAGTAGACTCTTTCGTTTGCATCAACCTTTAAACTATCAAGTCTGTATCGGGTTATTCTTTGGATAGTTATCAAGACGACTCCATATGTGAACCAACAGCACTTGATGGAAATTATGCTAGGCTTCACAACATATAGCGAAAGTCAGGAGCCCTGTCGCCCATTTTTCGCAACTCGTTCTGACTGTAGGACTTCTCGTTACTCCCTGCCATGATGGCGTCCCGTTTACGGTTCTCCCGATGCGAAAGAAATACAGCAACAGAGGTCGAAATAAGTCCGAGTGCCACAAACATAAGCTCGCAGCCATCTAAGAGGTCTAAGCGGCGCGCTTTGAACTAAGTAGGAGACCCATACGCCCGACAATGAAACGAGGCTTGTCCTGGGTCCGATACATATTACTTGCAAAAACGGCTCTGTGGAGGCATTGAATAATCGACATAGGGAAAAAAGCGAAAATATAGACCCAAAGTGGCCGATGCCGATCTGGATGGCAGTGCCAATTGCACGTTTGTACTCTCCCGACAAGTTGTTCGCGGTCCTAGCCTCACAATCAGATGCAACAATGCCGGTGTTCTCTGCGAGGGCTTTACCATGCTACGATCCCTGGGACAGCGGCATACGCGCCGGTGACGCAGAAAAAGGTCCCAAAATACTTGACACCCGACGGCGCATCGGATATGTTGATTGAGAACCCAATCAGGTTGCAACAGAAGCCTTGACAACTATATAAGAGACGGCGTTTGGACAGAACTCGGGGGGATCGTGTCACCTGCGAGAATGAACGGAAAACGGAGTTTCAAACGATCCGACGAATAGGCGAAGATGAAGAGTACGATCGCTGTCCTTGGTGAGCTCAGTTTGAGGAATGGGGGGACGAAGCCGTACTTGCACAAACGTAGGGTGGCACAGTGAGGAGATTCGAAACGGCTGGGCTGTGGCCGAAACTAGAAGATGCCCGAGGTGAGCGTGAACTGGGTGTTGTAATTATGAAAAACACACGTTGAAATAATCGTTCTGGTCAAGTGCAATATCTGAGATGACATCGAGACACCGATCAACGGCGAACTCACGGGAGGAATAAAGTGATTCCGTAAACTTGTTGTGAAGGACAAGTCAGCAAGGCCAAGACCAGAGTAAAAGGCAACTTACGGTTCGTGATGACAGACATATAGACAAGCATGTGCACCCAAACCTAGGAATGCGCCGCCAATTGAACAAGCATTTTGCGAATAAATTAAAGAGCCTTGCGAACCTGCCAGTCTGTCACGGCTTCCCAAAAATGCCTCATCTCAAAATGTTCTTCTTCCCCGCGTGCCAGAATGTCTTGTTCTGAAGGCGCTCCAAGTCAGCATATACCCACAGTTGATTTCTTCACTCACTTCTTCTCCAGACGATATACGATCTTTCTTCCGGTTTGAGAAATGTTGCCGTCACTGGAAAGTCGACCAATACTGCGACATAAGCAGAAGAAAGTATCCACAGAGAAACGCAAGTACCCAAGTAGGCGAGGATTCCGACAACTACAGTGCCAATGCCCTCCTAGGAGGCTCTCAACAACAATAAATCCGAATGAATATCACTTACCAGCATGAATATCCAGCTCCAGGCAAGCAGGCCGCGGGTCCCACCCATGAAGCTGATACCAAATGCCAGAGTACCTCCAAATGCACCAGCTGAGGAGATGTTCATTTGAATGTACTATGCAGGGAAGAGTGGCACTACCTAAAGATGCTGCGCCGAAGAAGATGCCAACGCGCCACTGGAGCATGTGTCTCGGATACCACAGAGTAAGGCTAAGGAAAAAATCAGGAAATTCGAATGAGAGGACCATAAAGCTCACTAGTACACAACACCACTGTATTCAGAATGCTCAACCTCGAGAGTGGTTCCATGACTGCAATCACTCACGGGAACAAGCCAGCCTCAGCTATTCCTAGCAGTACACGAGTCCCGACGAGTTGTGGATACGTTTTCACGAGACTCATGAGCGTCCTGAATAAACGTGAACTGCTTGCTTCCCCATTTAACGAACGATCTTACATGATAATCCCCCATACCACCTTCCAAATTGTCAAGTAACAGTTGGTAAGAAGGTTATGGGAGAGCATACAGTGATTCCTGGGAGCCAGCTATCACAAGTTTAGTTGGCGGTTGGATAGAAAAACAGTCAACAGACCGCGATGGTCGAAACTTTTTCAACACCATACTGAGAAAAAAGATAGGTGGATGAGATAATCATTGAGTGGGGCTTACTTGGCAGGACATTCGAAGATGCAGTATGGCTGGGAGAAGTTCAGAGCAGTTCCTTTGATGAGACAGCTAGAGTAGCATACGATGAAGAACATGGTCTGGTTTCGCGTAAGCGGATTTCGTTGTCCATAACTAAGTGATTTACCAAAGCAATATTGAACTTGTTTCCCGTCAGGTCCAGTTGGCTCTCGAGGCCTTGAATCCTTGCGTTCCCTGACGATGTGAGTCGCTTTGAAATGATCACTGAGGTCCAAGACATACCAATATTCCCTGCATTACGAAGTAGGTTAGTTGCTTGAGAAGGGGAGGGGGGGTAAGAGAAACCTCGATCCAAAAAGCTGAACAGATACATCAAAGCCAATACCGGCATAATACGAATGTCGAGCTTGCGATACAGATTACGGGCTTGCGCTTGCGTCAAACTCGGAGGAGCGGGAAGGAGAGACTCTCCGCCAAAGTCGGAAACATGCTCTGAAGCTCTGCTGGACGAGTTTTCGCGCCCCTGCTCGTCAAAGCCCTTCTCAAAGGACTCGTTGTCAACTTGACCCTGCTCGCCAGACATGTGGTTCGAGAGAAAGCAGCACTCTCAGCTATGCCGACCGCAATGCCGTTTCATATTGGGGATTTGTCGCGGACAGGGAAGGCAGACGCTGAGAACTGTTGCCTCTGAAAAGGACTGAGGTGTGTGAGCGATGTTAATTTGGCGTGCATATCCCATCCCGAACAGCCAACGCCCTGAAAATAGAAGTGATGCTGGTGGTGGCATATTGAAGGTTTGCGGCTGGAAACAATAAATTGCAACTCGAAGAACGAAGAGGTTGTGGGAGAATTTTTTGAGTCGTATTACGTGATCTCTCGAGATCAAATCAATCATGATACCGTCACACTTCGTTACACTCTTAACTCTCACTCTACAGATTGGCTTTGAACTTGAAGAGAACGTGAGCTATGAATTGAAACTTGAACACTCAAACACTGGGTTTCAATCCGAAACTATACCATTCATTCCCGACGCCCTTCCTCGCGTTTGACTTTTAGAAGAGAAGTCGGAAGAGCTCACTGCTGCATTGACATGACGTCGCAAGTATCACCTGGCTCAGCTTCCGCCATGAGCGCCATAAACACCTAGTCGGGGGGGGCTATTTCTCGGATCCTCGTGCATTCGTCGGTATGTACGGAGTGGAGCTATGCAAATAAGCACCGTCAGCACGACAAAATGCCCAAACGAGGTTAATCCGTCGATGGTATAAAGGCATCGCAGACTCATCAATTGTCTCAATTGGAAATCATGCGTCTCTACTCCTCCATTATTATTGCTGCTCTGTCCGTCATCGCTACTGGCGCACAGACCATAAGCGGTCAGTACGACTGTCTCCCGGCAGGAGGCTACACTCTTTGCCAGAATCTATGGGGAAAATGTACATTCTCTTACTAGGGCACCTTCTTTCCACTAAGAACACGCTAGCTGCTGGTGTGGGAAGCCAGACATCTACTCTAACTAGCTCCTCGTCCCAATCCGTCTCGTGGTCCACAAATTATACCTGGGCGAATGGACCCAACAATGTCAAGAGCTGTGAGTTTCTTTTCATCTCCAATCAGCATTCTCAAGATTTCCAGACGCCAACATCCTCTCCAATTCCGCCAAGGGTGTTCAGGTTTGTTTTCCCGTGATCATGCAAGTCTGTCAACCAACTGACAGACGAATGCATAGTTGCAAAATGTTGCTTCTGCGCCAACTTCATGGACTTGGTCCTACGCTACGCAATCGAGCGGCATCCGTGCAGATGTTTCCTACGATATCTGGTAGTCCTCCCTATCTGTCCATTTATATCACTGATTTTCTCGCTCAGGCTCGGTGTCGCAAGCTCTGGCAATCCTGCAACGAGTGCCTCTTCTTACGAGATGTACATATGCTCCTTCTCATGTTGTTTTACTTTGACTGAAAGCACCCAGCATGATCTGGCTGTCTGGCCTTGGAGGGTAATCTGAGTTCCTCGCTTTTGCGTCCAACTATGCAACTCATGACTACAGGATTCAACCTGTTGGCTCTCAAATACTATCGAATGTCCAGATCGCTGGCCACACATGGAATCTTTGGAAGGGCCCGAATGCAAACTGGCAAGTATTGTCATTCGTCAGCGCGACGGGCAACATCAACTCGTTCAACGTCGATTTGAATGCCTTCTTCAGTTAGTTCCCTTGGTTCCGTTCCCCTGTTCGTCACAAAGCTTATCGCAATCCAGCCTACTTGGTCCAGCAACAGGGAGTTTCAGCGTCACAGTACATTCAGGCGATCCAGTCCGGGACTGAACCGTTTGTGGGTACGGCCAACCTTGTTACTAGCACATATAGTGTTTCGATTACGCGCAAATGAGCTGAATCAACATGTTGTTGTCTTTTCGTTGATCATAAGTAATGATAAGCTGTTCACCGAGGACCAAGTGACGCCTATTCTGATCCAGAAGTCGAAGAAGTCGACTTGAGCATTCGTATATCTCATCGATCGATGGTCAAGTGTGGACGTAAACTTAGATTGGCTGGCGATAGCAATGGCGTCATGTTTTATTGCACAAAAAGTGGGGCGGGGGGAGGGAATTTACAACACAGCGAGCGGGGAGACAGAGTATACAGCGTCAGCGCGACGGTCCCGATGTAACGACGTAGGTAAATGATGAGGGCAGCGACGAGTTGACCTTTAAGCAATGCTAAGGAGCTCAACTTCGAACTTGAGGGTCGAGTTGGGCGGAATAACAGGCGGGAAGCCACGGGAGCCATAAGCGTAGTCGGGAGTGACGGTCAAGACCGCTTTGGAGCCAACAGACAGCTGGGGGACACCTAACGTCGTTGGTTAGAGAAGACGCTGGAGGCAGGTTATTCGGCGCACCCTCATCCCAGCCCTTGATAACCTTTCCTACACCAATCTGAGTAACGAACGGGTCCCCACGATCGCGACTGGAGTCGAACTTTTTGCCGTCCGTGAGGGTGCCAACGTAGTGAATCTTCACAGTGTCGCCCTTCTTAGGGAATGTTTGACCGTCGCCTTGGGAGATTATCTCAACTGTAACGCCCTAAAACCCAATATAGTTAGTCTCCGAGGACAAAGCCAGACCCCAGCCGCACCATGATGAAGAGTGGAAGGTGGGTGAGACGAAAACGAATGCGGGCTTGGTCACTTTAAATAGAGCTTAAAGGGGTCATTCGCAATCGATAATCGATGGCGGCGGCGCAATCTACCTATCCCATGGCCACGACAATCAGCCGTGGCGATATGATAAGATGCATTCTCCACTGTACAAATAGCACTCGGGAAACCGGACCGAGCTGGCCCTCGTCGTTCGCACGCTTCTTGCGAAAACACTTAGATTCTGGCAGAAAATAAGGGTGGTTCATCTACGCATTCACCTGCTATACCGGTCAGTCAGTTCAGTGTATCGTATATGAATGAGCTCACCTCGTCAGACAAGTCATTCCGTCAAGATTGTCCCTTTGCCACCCGCCTCCCTCCACTGGATCGCTATGTCCCTGCAGGCATCTTCCACCGAGGGAGCCGCCCTCCCAAGAACCAGACTCTTTTCCATGTCAAACTGCCATCCACCATAGAGCCCTTGAACTTGCAGCAACAATGCATCCTTACGAACGCGAGTGAGGGTGCAAGCGCTCAATGGATATATTTTGCCGTTGTCGCGCCAGTTTCCCGCGGATTGCAGGAAAACGCGTTGGTTGTTCTTGAGTTTTGAGGCTTGAGGGGGCAAGAGGGCGAATAATTTTGCCTGAGATCAAGTTGAGAACACGGCATGGAGTGAATTGAAAATACCGTCTGCGCTCGTCGTATCAATAAAGCCGCCGCAACAAATCCGCCAACCATAATCTCCATAGCGCATACCGCAAGTCTTGACTCTGTGGAACGCAATGGCGGTAGTTGACCTTCGTCAGACGGCTTTGGAGGGTCTCTCCAGTTCCGCCAAGTCACATTCACAGTGTTAATGCTACGAGTTGGTGAGTGTGGACCCGTCGAAGAGCAGAGAAAGCGCACATGATGAAGACATCCAGTGCTATGAACATGAAAAGGACCGAATGGGAGGAGTGGTTTTACGAACCGATGTATGCCGGTGCCAGCAAAGCCACACCACTGGGTGTGCGATAGAATAGCGGAGTACTGACGCTCTTTAGTTTTGCTGAAGTGCCAGGGCCACGCTGGAACAAATTCCTTGCATAGCCAAGGAAGACTGACATTCACTTTGCGTCAAAGAGAAAAACACGTCGGGTCACAGCCCGTGACACTTCCTGAACCTTTCTGTTGACGGAGTTACAAGCCCTCCTCAAATGCGCAGAGCAGCGGTGTTTTTCGCACTCAATACACAGGCTCGGCGCATTCTACATACCGCCCATGTGGTTACATACCGCTTGAAGGTGACCAGCCGGTCCAGCTCCCCAAACCCTGATGACCATTCACCCGCCTTTGCATGAAAAGAGTTGATTCCCGAGGCCGAACCATGCCCGAAATGCGTGAAAGTGCCTGGGTACATATTGCCCAATCGCGAGTAACGTTCTCGGTACTCTTATCGTCAATGCCAGATACGTTGGGATTGGGCCCAGAGACTGTTGAGAACAAATGCCTCACACGCCTGTTGCCCTCATTGGACGCTGGAAACATGTGGCGATTGAGATTGCGGGACCGCAGGTTTGGAATTGGCGAATCTAGCGGTAAAGGGGTAGTAGCATTCAATGAGAATTGACCAAGTTCATGTCAGATTTCGGACTGTTCACTAGCTTGAAGCAGTTAGCTGCGGGTTTACAGGTGGCAATTAGTACTGATGCTAGAGCCGCCTACCATCGTCAGAATCGTGCGACATAGCCGTTATTCCGAACGCATTTGTCGTCAAGGTCGGGGCTCGCCCAGCTCAGTGGGGCGACTACCAGCTCCACATTGTTGCGTGCTTCTTGAAGCAGACCCACTCTTCTCCTTCCCATTCTTCTTCGATTTTTCTTGGTCAGCGGCTATGGTATCACTCTGGGTATCACTCGATTTCTCGCATCTTCCAGCAGCGGAGGACCAGGCTGCGGTAGAGGCACCTTGGCGGTAGGGTACTTTCACGCGTGTCGAAGGCCAGTGGTGGTAGTACCTTGCCAAGAAAGTGGGAAAAGTATTCCCAGACCTTGTTTTGCCCAATCTTGAAGTGAGTTCTGCTCCATCGACGCGTTTTACGCGTCCTATCCCCACGGCAAAGGTTGTCTCATGAATTGGATGACCGAGGGCGGAAAGGATGCTGTTATGCTTTGATGTAATGTCTCGTTCAATGCATCGCCGTGTAAATGTATTTCGGGTCCTAATGAAACGTGAGAGACCGGAAGAGAGGGAGAGTGAGAGTTGAAAGAAAGTGGAAGTCACGTTCAGGTTATCTCTCGTTATCTCACAAACTTGATCTGTACTTTCATGAGCAAATTCCGCGGCCGTGCTTCTCGAGCCTCAGCCTCTCCTGCCTCCCCCTTCTGTCAGTGCGAATACGACATACCGCTTTCTCATAAAATGGGAGCCGCGTTTTTTCGCAACTTGACCTAAGGACTATGTTGCTCCCTTTTGCGCTGTCCTGCCTGGCCATTTTCGGCAGCACGACCGCGCAACGCACCATCCAGTGGTCTTTCGTGCAGAATGGAACCTCTGGCATCATTCCAGTCGAGCTCATCACCATTTCGCCCACTCTCATGTTGATGTACGACCGCGCGGATGGTAACCCTCTGCTTTTGCCCAACGGAGAACGCGCATGGGCCGCGTTGTGGAACATCGAGACTCAGACGGCCACACCTTTGCTTAGCCAGACAGACACATTCTGCGCTGGCGGGGCCTTTATCTCAAATGGCACTCTTGTTAGTGTCGCGGGTCAAGAACTTGAATCTGGAGCTCCACCCCCGGGGGGATGGTCGTATGGGCATTCGTCTCTTTGGACCTTGCACCTCTCCAACGGGAGCCGGTTGCACGGTATTTGAAGACCCGGCCAATATTCATCTTAAGGTCTGTTAATGAACTGTCTCAATTTTGTCACTCAAAAAAACTGTAGGTTTTAAGATGGTAAGATGACCAATTCTCCCATAGACTAAGCTTATATTCCCGAACTTAGGTATCCTACAGGCCTACGGATTCCCGATGGCAGTCTTATGATTATCGGAGGCAGCAATGTGTGTGCATTCGCGTTTTTAAGTTACCGAGTACTGTGTCCCCCGTTTACGCATCACAGTTCAACACCTTCTATAATGACGCCCCAACTGCGGTCAACTCGATCGAGTTTTTTCCGAGCAAAGAGGACACTGTGAGGCCCAGTCAGTTCCTGCTCGATGCCCAGCCCGTCAACATGTTCCCAAGGTGATTGTCTTATGTGCACAAATAATTGAAGAGTCATCCTTAGCAGAAAATTAGATCGGTTGTGCTCCCATCTGGCCACGTCTTTATTGCGGCCAACAACATTTCTATGCTCTACGATGTAGAGTCCAACACCGAGTTGGCTCGCCTGCCTGAGATCCCGAATGGCGTCAGAATCGCCAATCCCTTCGACGGCTCGCTTCAGTTGCTGCCACTTACGCCTCCGCTTTACGAACCAACCGTTCTAGTGTGTGGTGGTAGCGCAACGGACGACCGTAGACCCGCCAGCAATCTCACCAATCTCGACCCGACGACCAAACAATGCTCACGCATGACTCTAACCCCAGCTGGAATAGCGCGGGGGTGGCAGGTCGAGCTGATGCCCGACCAACGAATTCTGACCGAAAGCGTGCTGCTCCCAAACGGTGATGTCATTTTCATCAACGGAGGGCACACGGGGTATTCTGGTTACCCGACCGTTAGCAATGCAAATGCGACGCTGTCCAATGCGGCGAACCCTGCGTTGCGCCCTATACTCTACAGAACGAGCCTTGCCACAAACAGGATTACCCAGGAGGGTCTACCGTCCAGCAATATTCCGAGGATGTACCACTCAGTCGCAAGTATCACTGGGAAAGGGTTGGTTTGGTTTGATTGATGAAACAATAACCATCTAACTGACTATATTCAAGGAATATAATGGTCGCCGGATCGAATCCCAACCCAGCAGTTATTCCTCCAGGGACCATTCCATTCCCCACAGAATTCAGAGTCGAGTATTTGAACCCGGACTTCATCACGAACAACGCGCCGCGGCCAGTCATCCAGAGCGCGCCAACACACCTCTTGTTCAACCAGCGCGCAACGATGAAGGTCACCATCCCGCGAAGTCTGTTGTCGAATACCCTGCAAGTTTCTCTGATGGACCTGGGCTACGTGACGCATGCTCAACACGCTAATTCGCGCCTTGTTGTCCTCGAACATACCCTTGTTGGCAATACTCTGACCATAACCGGCCCTCCTAATGCGAACATCTTCCCGCCTGCGCCTGCGTGGCTCTTCCTTGTTGCAGATGGAGTCTGGAGTGAAGGGCTTCAGCTGATGGTCGGCGATGGCGGCAATCCACCTCGACCGGCCAGTGCGCAGGGAATCAAGATTCCAACGAACAGCATTTGAACTCTAGTTGTATTACGATATGCTTGTTAGTCAAACGATGAATTGAAAGGGTAGACTTCCTGTTGGGTATTGGTGGGTTTGCCGCACTGTCTCCGTATCTCTTGTCGCCCGCTTCACTTATCCTTGACGATTTTATTTGTGCAAGTACTGTGCATCGATGTCACTCAGACTCACTCTTTTTAAATGAAGACTAGTATGTATGTTGTGTCCACTGGCTTGGAAAGTATTGATAGACTGGACTTTGAAGCTGTAAAGCATTGCTGGTTCTTGAGGGTTGCCTGAAGAGACAATTACAGATCTAACTCGTCCAAGATAAGATGCAAGTCAAGGATAGAAAAGTTCCATGTCACGTGCCCCCGCCGCATTGACTCGATTGGGTCAAAATTTGGATGCTCAAAACAAGGCTTGCTTCCGCACTTCGACATCCACTTATCCGTCGCCAAGTCCACGCATCTGCGCCAGAGATGACTTCCGTCAACAAGACGGCCCACCCCTTTGATAAAATTCGGTTCGATGCTCTGCTCAACCGACGGTTTTTCTATGCCCCTGCGTTTGAGATATATGGCGGTGCGTAAGATCTGCTTGGATCGCGAGCGACAGCTCATCAGGCTGCAGGGGTTGCTGGCTTATATGACTATGGCCCACCTGGCTCGTCGCTCCAAGCAAATATTATTGCAGAATGGCGGCGACACTTCATCGTTGAGGAGGCTATGTACGAACTAGACACCACAATCATGACGCCAGCGCCTGTTTTCGAAGCGTCTGGCCACGTGGCGCGGTTTGCGGACTGGATGGTGAAGGATACCGGCAACGGTGAAGTCCTTCGAGCGGACCATCTCGTCAAAAATGTGCTTGAAGCAAGACTGGAGGGTGATCGGGAGGCTCGTGGTGCTGCACTTGCTCCAGCACCGGACAAAGATAAAGACAAGAAAAAGAAGAAGCAGCAAAAGACCACCGCGGTCAAGTTGGAGGATGCTGTAGTGGCAGAATACGAATCCATTTTGGCTCAGGTGCCGTCTTCCATTTCTCGGTTTCACCGCATTCTCATTGTCCCAATAGCTCGATAACTACTCCGGTCCTGAGCTTGGCCAGCTTATGAAGACCCACACAATCACCAACCCGAGCTCTGGCAACCCCGTTGGCGAGCCTCAACAATTTAACTTGATGTTCGCAAGTAGTATCGGCCCTACTGGCCAACATCCTGGGTTTGTTGTATTCTTGGGTCCGAATTTCCCCTCAATCATCCTAGGTTTCTCCGACCAGAGACTGCTCAAGGGCACTTCCTGAACTTCAATCGTCTTCTTGAATTCAACAACGGGCGTGTTCCATTTGCTTCAGCCCAAGTCGGGCGTTCTTTCCGCAACGAAATCTCACCTCGAGCCGGTCTTCTCCGCGTGCGCGAGTTTACTATGGCAGAAATCGAGCATTTCGTGGATCCACTTGACAAAAACCACCCACGATTCGCCGAAGTTGCTGATGTCGAGCTCGTTTTGCTCGACAAATACACCCAGGCGGCGGGTGGTACTACTACCAAAGTCATGACCGTGGGTGCTGCCGTGAAGGAAGGCGTCATAGCCAACGAGACTCTCGGTTACTTCGTTGCACGCATCCATGCATTCCTACTGCGAATCGGCATCGACAAGCGGAAACTGCGCTTCCGCCAACACATGGCGAACGAAATGGCCCACTATGCAGCTGATTGCTGGGACGCCGAGATCCAAAATAGTGTCGGTGGCTGGACGGAATGCGTTGGTTGTGCGGACAGGGCAGCCTACGACTTGAGCGTGCATACCGCCAAAACCAAGGTCCCGCTTGTTGTACGACAAGCACTGAAAGACCCGATCGTCGAAGAGAAATCGGTGGCAGAATGGGACAAGAAAGCCCTGGGCAAGACGTTTAAAGGCGAAGCAGGCGCTATTGTCGCGACAGTAGATGCTCTTGGGGAGGAAGGCCTTGTCAATCTGCAGAGTCAACTCGTGCAAGGGTGGGGTGCTTTTCGCTCCCAGTGAGTTAGGGTTTGCTTACAATTCATTAGTTCTGCAACAATCAAGACGGCCGAAGGGAAGGAAGTTGTCCTTGAGCCGTCATTGCTGACGATACAACGCAAAACATTCAAAACATCAAGTGTGTTTCCGACATGAACTACTGGCTGTTCTGTTGATTATCTTCCAGTTCGGGAGTTTACGCCCAACGTCATCGAGCCATCATTTGGCATTGGTCGTATATTGTACTGCCTTCTCGAGCACAGTTTCTGGTCTCGAGAACAAGATGTCGAACGTGGCGTAAGTCTTTCCGTTATCTTCCACTGCTGATTATATCGTCAACAGGTCCTATCTCTACCCGCACTCGTCGCGCCGACCAAAGTCCTGATTGTGCCTTTGAGCTCCAAAACTGAGTTTGAGCCGCTTGTCAAAGAAGTTTGTGCGTCCATCGGTGCTACTGTTTAAGCCGCCACCTCAATCATACCTCTCACAGCAATAAAACTGCGTCAAGCAGGCATCCACGCTCGTGTAGATGACTCGAACACGTCGATTGGTCGTCGCTATGCTCGTAATGACGAGCTGGGGACTCCATATGGTGTTACCCTAGATTTTGCATGTGCGTCCCATCCCTTTTTTCAAAGCTGCTCGCTGACGGCAAACTTTCCTCCCTATCTCTCCAACAACCTGCACTATCTCTACGTTCACCATCCGTGATTCTGCAAACATAAACGTTGGCGATATACAACAGCCGTTCAAAATGGCACAATGACCCTTCGGTCCGTTGTTTCTCGTCACGCTAGACCGTAATAAGGCTTATGTCTCTATCTTAGGGAACGCGACACAACGGACCAACGCATTGGGCCAATTGACGAGGTCATCGCGGTGGTTGAAGGCCTGGTGAATGGCAAGATCGACTGGGCGCAAGCATGCGAGCGGTTACCGGTCTATGATGGTGTTCAAGCTGTCGAATGAGATGGAGGTCAAGGAAGAACGAAGATTTACCTTACTGTAAAACAGCCTTAAGTATGTGCCTTTCGACGACTGGTTTTCGGTGGTTGAAGCGAACGTTGCATCACGACCAGCAGTTTTCCACTATCGCAATTTGACCCTTATTTTGATGCCGGATAACCCCAGGTTCCGCACAGTATCAGCCAGTCGTCTTCCAGAGGTCAGCGGGCAATGAGAGTCACTATGGGAAGTATCACAACTCGATGCTGGACGGAACACATATCAGGCTTGCGGGTTACGCAATTTGGCCGCAGAACGGTTACTTTAAGTTTTACATGAAGATGGAGTCAAGCTTGGGTGTACCGTCCCTAAATCTGAGGACCGCCCATCTTTCCCAAGGATCCCCACTGAGGTCGTGAAACATTGCAACCTCTTGTATTTTGGGTGAAGGACACAACCCAATAACATCCAGTGCAAGCTTCTCCAAACGCTCGACGTAGTCCCAGAATCCAGGTCCCCCTCGTTCCGTGAATCGGAACTCCAAGTATCGCTCGGGGTCATCGAGGTTGAAATCAAATACTTTGAGATGGTGCAAGTTGGACAGAAATAAGCGGAATCGCGGCTGAAATGGCACGATCAGTCAAATATTGATACCGTCTCGGTAGGTACTAGTAGACCTACAATTGGGTCCCACAGGTTCTCTAGCACCTCGTCTTCATGATTCCAGAGCCGATTGACGGTTACGCGCTCCAAAAGAGAGTGCTTCTGGGCAATAGACGCAAGCATCAACTCCTCTGTAGCAAGATCCTCCGTTGAGTTGATCCTATACCACAAGTCGAGGCATTTGAGACCCGGGAACTCCAGGCTAGTCAGCATACTTACTTTGGAGATCTGTGCAAGATAAGATGGGTTGGTGGACATAATTTTCCGCCAAGTCTGAGGGATAACGCGTCCAAGTTAACGACTCCAGTCCTGCAGGAAGAAGCTCCAGGATACGGTCATCAGTCGTCAATGAAGCGAGGTCAAAGCGATTCAAATGACGGAGGAATGTGCCTGGCTGGCGAGGGGAGTGACCATCGCGCGGTACGATCACCGTACGACCTTCAGGCTCATTTTCCGCGACTGACATGAGTAAGACCAATGCCCGTAGGTTGGGTAACAACAGACCATGCGAGTCGCGTCGGGGTGAATAACATCGGGCCAAAATCCGGTGACCTCTAGGTTACGAAGGGCAGTCGAGTCGACTGTGACATCAAACGATCCAAAGAATAATTTGCCTGGTAACTCGACGTGCTCCAAGGTCGTATGGCAGCTTGATAGAAGGCGTCTAAGATTCATGGCCTCGAAATCGGCCAGTTCAGGTCCCCGTCTACGAACGTCCCAGCCTGTTTCGCTTTGGGTGGGGAAGGGATAGATGACAAGCTTCAGAGGCGGGGCCGCTATTTCCTCGCTTAGTCTCCAGGGTTCCTCCATCGTCTCATTGACTGACCAGGGGGAGTGGATGCAAAGATTAATCAGCTTCGGCGCGGCGGCCAAAGCTTCTACCAGTTCCGTCCAAAGCCCCCCTTCAATAAGCGGGCTCAGGAAGAAGGTCTCGAGGTTGGGAAGAAAGGGTAGGTTTTGACGAAGCTGATCCACGATATCCGCGTGATCGAATGCTTTATAGGTAGTATACATATCTGGGGCAAGTGAGAGGGCACTAGGTCGCACCTGCATGAGTAAGAGCCAAGGCAACGTGATTGAATCTCACTGGATGTAAGGGAACAGGTCTTGAGGAGGAAAGTCAGTATCACGGGGAGCCCATTGGATATGGTAAAAGCGAGCTGGCTTGAACACATTTCGGGGGCGGCGAGATAGGTTGAAGAGTTTGACTTGGGTCAGGCTGGGGTGTAGCGCAAAACTTGTGATGTAAATGAGGATATCATCGTCGAGGTCTTCGAACTGAACCGGCCGTGGAGGGTTCATCGTAACAAGGCGTCAACAACAAGCCCTTCGTTTGATTCAATTCAGAACTGTGTGTGTGTGGGTAGAAATCGTTACGGCATCTGTAGGTTGTCCTCGAGCTTCAAATTCGCATGTAGCGTTCGAGTACATCATGGCTCATGTTTGTGTTTGCCAGTTGAACGAGTTTGCATGTGAACGTTGAACGTTAACTTCGTCGGTTGTCACACGTTACAGTCACGAAGGGTGACATATAATCTCATATAAGTAATGACTGCGAGGAGAATTTTGTTTGTCAAGTACCCACAAAAGTCCGAAAAATGTAATTCCAGAATGTACAGCTAAGGTCTACATTGAAGGGCTAGGTATTGCATACAAATGGTAATAATTCGCCTTCTCCTCTTTCTTATTAGTATTAATTCTTCACCAGAACGGGTTGGCGCTCCCGTAGTTCTTGACCCGCCCTCTCCCTCCCTTCCTCGGACTCGGTCGTAACGGGATATATTCGTCTCCCGCCCCCATCTCGAAATCATCGTAGGCGTCCGCGCCATTGACCATGACATCATCCTCCGCGTCTAGTTCGAGGTCTTCTTGTGCCCACCTGACAAGCTTGCCCTCTCCCGCCCGCTTCAACGACTGCGGCAGAGATAAGGACGCGGGGAGTGATATGGAGGGCAGGTGGACTTGTTGGGGGAGGGTTGAAATGCGGTGGATGAACGAGTGGACGTGGTGCATGACGAAATCCGGGTATCTATAGCTAATCACCCACAGCGATACGACGGTGATACTGTTAAAAATGTCGGCAAACAAAATATTGAGGTTGGAAGCTGGGTCCAACTCACGATATTACAACGAAGATGATGGCGGTGGAGCGTCGCGAGTGCCGATTTTTGCCATCCAAAAGCTGCTCTGAGTCATCGTTTCCTTCCTCCTCACCGGGAGGAGGATCGGTCGTGCTATCGTCCGCCAAACCGGCGAAGGACGATGAATGGAGGTTTCCCGGCGGAAGCGGGCATGCAAATTTGGTGAGCCATGAGGATATTGGCTCAAGCTGGCCGGGCCGCAAGAGCTGAGGCAATATTTAGTGATCATGATAGACGCCGTTGAGAAGTGAGAAGCCGCACCTTTCTCAGCTCTTGATCAGCATCACAGATTAGTCGGACAGGGATTGCAGGCGCCCCAGGCGGACGGGAGAGCTCGGCGATGATAGAGGCTTGCGGCAACAGCGTTAAAAGGACTGAGCATACCCAAAAAGAGTTCGTGACTGACTGCCAGATGGAAAGGCGCGGAGCGTGAAGCGGCTTTCTTTGTTCACTTCAGATTCGGAAGCACTTGAGATCGCTGGACGGACTTAGGATAAGCATGCCGGAGGGAAAATGGGTCAGTACCTCGAGAAACACAGTTGTCAACCCCAGGCCTACACTGCAAAGAGCTGTGAGCATGCATTTCTTGGAATGCATAACGATAATGAACAAAGACGAACGGGGTAAGTCCATGGCCAATCATGGGCTTCTTCCTCCGCTGTAGATGCAGGAACACCAGCAAGCTTGTCGTTGGTGTGCTGGGGTGACCGTGAGGCCGCCCCATTCATTATGGGGCATAAATCATATTGCTTGGCGCCCAAGGTAAATCGGCAGTGTTCCTGGTCCGTATATTCTAGAGAGGGAATCGCGGTCGCGGTCGCACTAAGGATGGGACTTAAAAGAAAGAGGAGCATCGTGGTGGAGATGGAGAGGGAAAGGATATGACCTGAGGCATCAACGAGGCACCGTCGGGGAGAATCTCCGGGATCGAGGTCCGAAAATGATCGATGACGTAGCACGTGGCATGAAATTAGATAATTATGTAATTGCGACTTTCCTCTTTTGGGATTGATAGCCTCAAACAAGTTCCACTGTGGCTGCAATTGTCTATCTACAGGTTACCTTTCTTTACACTCTGTCCATACGTCCTCACTGGAAACTTAATATTCCCGAACGCCCAGTCGCGGATTAAAACACCAGCGATTGCCGTCGTTGGTGGAACGCGGAAAGGTGGCTCATCCACAGCTGGCGCTTCTTTGACTGGCCCAGCAGCAGGTTCAGAGCTGCTAGGTGCCCCCTCGATAGCTTCTTTCATCTTCTGCTGGTCGGATTTGGTGATACGGCTCCCGTGAACGTGATTCAAAACAGCCAGGACTTCAGCCCGAGTATACCAACCTGCATCTGAACAAGCTATGAATGCCGAGGGCATTTGACGGATGCGAGAACACACCGGCAAGTTCATTGTCCAGATCGGTACGGATCGGTTGTGTGGAGTCCGCTCGCGCATAGAATCCCACCATAAGATTAGCGGGGAATGGCTAAAGGACATATATGAGCTCGAGGGAACAGTGAATAGTTGAAGGATTGACCCATGGCTGCCCAGAGTGGTAAGATACCTCCGAGACTTTGACCCCAGCCTCTTCCCAGAGTTCGCGCACAACCGATTCTTCAAAGGTTTCTCCCGGCTCCATAAACCCAGCAAGAGCGGAATAGAATTTCCCTGGATATTTTTTCTATATAGCGAGCTGTGAAAGGTTGGATGCCGGGAAGCGAAGGTGCTTACACCGCGACCAAGTAAAATTTTCTCTCCAGTCTCATCCACAGTGATAGTGATAACGACTGGATCCGTCCTTGGGTGTGCAAAATTATGTAAGCCCCGCCTGGTGTCGTTCATGAGTAAGAGAGAAAAGTCCCCAAGTCAGAACATACGATGTAGGACAAGGCGTACGGCCAGTATTATCTGCCCACGGTAGAAGAGTTTTGCAATTGATTTTCCATCCACCCCACCCCGAATAGGTCGGTGAACCACAGGCAGGACAAAACTATGCACGACGTTATGGTCTGATTTATATTGCTAAACGGCAGACACACCTTATTCCGCTGATTCCAGTCCACCATACTCCGCGCTTCGTTGAACAGCGACAACGAAACGGGGTCGAGGTGCAAGGTCATGAGTAGGCCTCTTGGTTCTGCCCAACTGAGGGTGAAGTTCCCGTCTACACTCAAAAGGAGGTCGCTGTCTACCCCAGACTCGCCGATATCCACTGCAAAGTATGGTGTGCCTTCTAATTTCTTGATGGCGACTTCTGGATCGGTAAAGTCTGATGTGGGTAGCGCATTCTCAGTGGACAGTGCATCGAGCAGGCCGAGGAAGACGACGCGGACCCCACGGAAACGCGCAGATTCGGTGAAATGTGTTTCCTCGTCGGAGATGAGTGTTCTGCCTTCCTCTTTGCCTTGTCCGAAGAATGGGGCTGGGCCAAGATATGGCTTGATTTGTTCCGTGGTCAGTTGAGCGATAACAGGCTTGGTCGAGGGTGCGGAGGAAGGCACTGAGACGAGTTGTTGCCCAGCATTGGAAACGAGCCAACGCGTCTTCTCAGAGAGAATAATGGCATTGAGAAAGGAGTGCGATGAGCGGAGCCAAGAAAGCCGATTCAATGGGGAAGCAACATCGCTATAACATCGCATTAAACTCCAATAGGAAAGCGAGGAATTGGGGTGCGCTCACCTCCCATCCGTTGACATCGTTTGAGCAAACCAAGTTGTCTTATAAAGCGCATCGCGTCAGCTCAGGCATCGCGTCCGAATCAAAACGCATCGCGTGGGAAACGGCACGTGCCGCGTCACGCCGTGACGCGGCACAATGGTTTCCTCTCAACCGCAGAAGAATACGTTGAGCTGATAAGCTCTGGTGAAGTTGGACTAGGATCACCCATCATTATATTCCAAACAGCGCGTCGTCCTGTGACACCCTCGAAACGAGTCTCGAGAGCTACTCTGCAAACTCTATGTCTTGAATAGCTCGGAGTTGGCCACAGGGGTCCCCTGAACGAGGAAACATACTCCTCGATATCCTGTCTCATGTACATTTTATATAGCATGAGCGGCTCGCCTCCTGGACCACATAATCAAGTCCTCGACCAAATGTCCATCTTACCTCCCGGGGTCGGTTTTCTTGCTCGAAAACTACTCATTCCTTCCTTAGTCATTCTCTTGTTCAACGGTGTCGCAACACATCCCAGTTATGGCTTTGGTCTCCCGTTCTGGTTGGCTTTCCTGATAGCGGTCTCTATCACAATAGTGGTCATTGTTGTCAACTTGCTGCTTGTCCGGGTTCGCGATTCCTGGGAAGCCCACGCGCATGGGGCCCAGCTGGCTCCCAACGTCACAGGGCTTAAGCTGGGCAATTCCGATATCCTCCGCAAGCTCATCGCTGCTTCTGAAAACGGCTATATCGGTGAGGCATTTTTTCGAGCTTAATCATTCCGTTTTTATCATGCATTTCTAGGTGAAGCTTTCTCAGAACTTATGGGCTCACTTGGGCCCGTATTCAATCTTCGTATATTCTGGTCGGACAAACTCTTTACAACTGTTCCCGAGCACATCCAAATCATCTTGGCTACTGATTTCAGGAACTATGTAAAAGGTGCGCCATTTTTTTTCTTCTCTTAATTGTGCTTTTCTCTTCAACGCCCACAGGTCCTCAATTCATCTCCACCATGGATTCTGTTCTTGGTGTACGGTCACTCCGATTTTTACACAATTTTCGCCATTGACTTGATTCAGAGTGGTGTTTTTAATTCTGATGGGGAGATGTGGTCTTTTCATCGCTCTATGACACGCCCATACTTTTCTCGGGATCGCATTCAACATTTCGAACTTTTTGACGCCCATACAGACCGCGTTATTACTCTCATAAAGAGACGCATGGTTGAGGGCCATGCCATCGATTTTCAGGTTCACTTTCAGTTCTATCCCACTTGCTACTAGTTGTGCTGAATCTTCTCGCTAGGATCTCATCAGCCGATTGACCATGGACTCGGCGACCGCATTCTTATTCGGTTCATCTGTTGACAGCCTTGCTTGCACTCCTCCATATCCACACAATGCGAGCCCACCCTTTCCACTTGTTATGGATTCTGCTCGCGCGCGAGACGCTAATGCTTTCACCGCCGCATACAATGAGGCGATGCACCAAATCGCCGTCAGACAGCGCATCGGTCCCAGTTGGCCGTTGTTTGAAATGTTCAAAGACAAGACAGTGCAGCCGATGAAGCAGGTTGCGCGATATATCGACCCGCTTATCCAAGCTGCTATCGAGAGGAAGAACAAAACACGAAAAACCAAGTGTCATCCTGACGACACCTGCTTACTTGACGATCTGCTTGACTCGACACAAGACCACAAAGTGCTCAAAGATGAGATGTGAGCCTCTGATTGTTTGCCTTGGCTTTTACTGATGGTCCTTTTAGCCTTAATGTTCTTATAGCGGGTCGAGACACGACCATGAGCGTTCTTACGAACGTAGTCTACTTTTTATCCCTCCACCCCGAAGTCATGCACCGTCTTCGCGAGGAGATTTTGACCTTCGTTGGTCCTTCAAATCGGCCGACTTACGATGTCATCAAACAACTGAAATACTTGCGAGCGGTGATCAATGGTTCGCCTTTCATCATATGTCTGAATTTGTGTTCATTTTTTTTCCAAGAAACCATGCGACTCTTCCCTCCTGTACCTCATAATATTAGGCAAACCGTCAACTCCACTGTTTGGCCTGCGACGCAATCCGACGAAAAGCCGTTATACATCCCAGCGGGCACGACGTATGTGTTTTAGGAATATTTTCTGGCATTTTATAACAACTTGATAGAATCCTTTACTCGGTCCTCCTGATGCAACGGCGACCCGACCTATGGGGGCCTGATGCCGACCTATTTGACCCAGACCGATTCCTTGACCACCGGGCCAAGCAATACCTCTCTCATCCCTTCAGATTCCTTCCGTACGTGAAATTAGACATGCTTATTCACATTTACTGACCCTTTCTATTCCAGTTTCAATGCTGGCCCCCGGATCTGTCTCGGCCAGCAATTTGCGTATAATGAGATGTCCTTTGTCATCATCCGCCTTCTGCAGAATTTCTCCTCGATGCACCTCGATGTCAATGCCTGCGCACCAGAAGACCGACCACCTAGCGACTGGCAGGGCTGTCCAGGTCGCAAGGGCATCGAGCAATTTGTGCCAAGGTCCCATCTTACCCTCTACAGTAAAGGTGGATTGTGGGTCCGAATGGAGCCCACTGACGGGTGCAACTTGCAATTGTGATCAGTAGGTCCGTTTGGTTGAAAAAAATCGTAGTTCGTGGACTCGTGTGGTATTATGTAACTTCCAACTGTGGAACTCGATAGATGGTGGGAAAGAAATGTCTCTGGATAGTTGATAAATGTTGCATCCATATCTTATCGTCGGGCAACTCGGGCCGATGCACGTGCGGTCACAGTTTCTACGTTTCCGCTCAAGGTGAAATTTGGTTGTCAAAGTCCTTAAAGGAGTAAAACAACGTCCTTGTCTCCACAGCGGATGGGCACGCTGTTAAAGGCCATTCGAAAAGAGCTCAATTTCTACCGAGTGCACATCTTATTCTTGTAAGTCAGTTTTGACTATTTTGCCGCGCCTCGTATTGATGAGTGAAGTACGTTCACCCCCCTCATATTCTCTGGCATCTTCTACGCGAGCAATGGCCGCTTCAAGATATCATATATCGACTGTTTGTTCAACTGCGTCAGTGCGATGACCGTCTGCGGGCTGGCGACGGTGGATCTGAGTTCGCTCACCAACTGGCAACAAGCCATACTCTTCATCCAGATGTGCATGGGCAGTCCTGTCACCGTATCGTGGGTCATGGTCTATCTTCGCAAGTGCGTATTCGTTGAAGACCCTGCCCTCGCTCATAAAATTATAAGGTACTATTTCGCCAAAAAGTTCGAGCACATCATCGAGGCTGCTAAAAGCAGCGACCTGGAGAAAGAGATACGCCCGTGGCCACAGCGCATATTTTCACGCAAGTCGGGACTCACGACTGTGAACGAGATAAGCCGAGAGAATAGCCGGAGTCCGACACCAGAGGAGGAACCGAGAAAGAAGAAGGGTTTCATGAAAAAGCTACGACCCGACATGATTCGTCGCATGGATGGGCCACCCCAGCTTGTAAATCCCAGCGGATGGATTAGCGAGGGCATGCACACACCACTGTCGCCCATTCCTTCTGTCGAGGTTCCCAAATTGAAGCTGGAAAAGAGATCTGAGCCGGAGCCTGAATCTTCCAACGATAAACCACGCCGTCTCACATTCAGCAACACTCTAGCCTCAAGTCCAGAGCCAATGACACCCGAACCACCCTCATCATCACCCTCGACCAATTCACAACTACGACCACCATTAGCGTAGGTCAATCGCAACATCAGTTTCTCTCAAACTCATGTTCATAGACGAAGACTTTCCGATCCAGGCCGTGCCTCTCCATTGCCAACTTCCCCCATCACTTGTGGGTCGACTATGTTTATTTGATCATGGGTCTCAAAAATCATAGCCTCGTTCCCCCGCTCTGATACCATAGCAATTGGAGCCTCATTCCCCCGTACCCAGACCATCGAATTTGCCCCCGATGTGCTACCCCGCCGAGGACGTTCCGAGCGACCGCATCTCATTCCAGAGTATGAAAGCTCAATTCGCTCACGCAGTGGGTCTTTTCTTCTTCTTCAGATACTTCCCACTCTGATCTCTCACAAGGGTCTGCTAGAAGAGCATCAGTTCATCGGCAGGACAGTTATAGACCCGCGTCTACTGTGGGCCGAAGTATCAAACACAGTGGCTTTGGTGGATTTCCTATGCCACACGAAATCATCAAGCAGCTGTTTTCCCGCTTTTTCCCAAAGCTTGAGAGAAAGCTCACTCGAACCATGACGCTTCCACGCACAACCACTCTGGCATCGCGCCACAACTCTTCCGCCGTCGGCTCCATTCCTGCCCCCTACATCTCGTTTGATGCTATCGTCGGGCGCAACTCGGCCTTCAGACAACTTTCCCGAGAGCAGCAGGATGAATTGGGTGGAGTGGAGTATCGTGCGCTTAATGCACTTCTTTGGATTGTTGCTGTCGTAGGTTGATTTCCTTCATATCTCGGCGACTACTAACTCTATCCAATTAGTACCATATCGGAATCCAACTCATAGCTTTTACCGTCATCGCCCCTTATATGGCCAAATCCAGATGGAAAGCAGATTTCCTTCCACCGAATTTACATCGAAAACTTGCGCCATCATGGTGAATTTCCTGTTATACGGACTAGACGATGCCCATACTTCGTACAGGTTCTCGGCTTTTCAAACTGTGTCTGCTTACACTAATACCGGAATGTCGCTCGTTGATCAGAGCATGATACCCTTCCAACAGGCGTACCCTATGATCGCCTTTATGGCCGTGCTTGTTTTGGCGGGTAATACTGCGTTTGTGAGTTCTTGAACCATTCATTGTGCGTCCACTGAACTGACTTTACAGCCTATCTTGTATGTCTCTCCATCCTCTCTCCTTTCCCGTCTGACGATTTCTTGACTAGTCTGCGGTTCATGATGTGAGTAGTCTTTCCTATCCTTGCATGGTTTTTCACAAACATATCAGTTGGGTCCTCTCTAAAGTAGTCAACAACAAGTCTCGTGCGAATGAAACACTGCACTTTCTGTTGGATCACCCTCGACGATGCTTCATTTATTTGTTTCCCTCCCATCAAACCTGGTTCCTGCTCACCATGGTGCTGACTCTCAAGTAAGACCTGCCTTTGCGAATTGATATATTGTTCATCTTCTTCAGCATGACGGATTGGTTTTTCTTCATGGTGTTAGACATCGGAAACCCGGCCATCGAAAGCATTGCTTTGCATACGCGTTTTGCGATAGGGTTCTTGCAGGCCATTGCTGTCAGAGCCGCAGGATTCGGGACAGTGGCTCTCTCTAGCCTTGCACCTGCCGTTAAGTGAGTTGTCTCATTTCTTGCGGCCAGCACTTATTTATCTATTGTCCAGAGTACTCTACCTTATCATGATGTGCTTGTGATTTCTCATCCTCACACTCACTGTTGCTCAACGCATATCTAGGTATATCAGCGTCTACCCCATCGCTATGAGGTCTGTCAAACTTGAATTCTGGTCCATGACTCTTTGGCTCATTCATCGTCAGCGTGAGATCTACCAACGTTTATGAGGAGCAGTCGCTTGGCGTCTTCCGAGACTCCGACTCTGATGACGAAGATGATTTCGAGCCGCACCAAGGGAGTCGTATTACGGTTTGGAGTCGGTATTTGGCTATGCATGCCCGGAAACAGCTGGCATTCGGTGCGTACCTGTCTATGTTGCTCGGAGGTCGTTCTGATATGTCTTCAGATATGTGGTGGCTTGGCCTAGCGGTTTTCCTAGTTTGCATTATAGAGGTGGGATGGCTCTGTTTTGTTGTTTCATTCCTTGACGCCGATTGAAGAGAGACCACTTGGATAACGTTGCCAATCTCAGTTGGTTCAATATCTTCTCAGTTGGCGAGTATTCAACATGAGCTTGTTATATCCCGTTAATGCTTGCTGCCAGTATTTGAACTTGTGTCCGCTTACGGGACTGTCGGTCTCTCTCTTGGAATTCCGGACGGAAACTATTCATTTTCGGGGGCATTCCGACCGTTGTCCAAGCTCATCGTGTGCCTGGTGATGATTCGAGGGCGTCACCGCGGTTTACCGGTCGCTATTGACCGCGCGGTCCTGCTACCGATGGAGTTCGCGGCAAGCCGTGCGGCGACGCGTGACGAAGCTGAAGAGGTCGGCGATGTGTCTGGCCGCGAAAAGACGCATTCGGTGGAGGGTGATATGGAGTGGCGGATGCGGAGGAATGCGAGACAACAGAGTATTGAGGAGGTCTCGCTCTCGACTGGACGGCGAAGCGCTGCTTTTGCGGATGGGTATAGGATATGAGCCGCCATATACGAATAATTTTCTACATCTGTACTACGTATTTTTCGATTTATAGACGCTACTTCCTGGCTGTGTACTCTTACACTCACATGACGGAAAATGTAGCGTTCTTGCGACGTTCTTCCTTCACAGAGCAAAATTCATGCCAAATATCACGTGCTAAGACCACCTTCTCCTGACACCAACTTGACTTGAAGACTAAGTAGCAGTGACCACTTTTCACAAAGACTTCCATGTCCTTCGTCTACAGAAACTCCGACAAGCGCATGCTGGATCCTAACCAACACTCCGATCATGGCATTGGTGCCGAAGCAGCTCTTAAGGTATGTTCTTCACTGTGGCTCACCTGCACTTCACTCACCTAGCACAGCAACTCACGGACAAGCTTGTTGAATATGGCCTCGATACTCCAGAGCGGGTGGCAGAGCTTCAAAGCTTCATGGTGGATTATACTCCCCGGACCTTAACAGTTCTTCTTGGAGCCATCGAATCACTCAAGAAGAAGCGAGACGACAGCCCACCTCTGCTCGTTGTGCGTGATATTTGTGGTTATCCCCTGGCATTAGCACTAAGTGATTTTCAGCACGAGGAGCCCCCCGAAGGCGTTGATGAGCTATTCTATGTCGACTTTCCCAATAGCGAACTCCGTTTGCTCTACCATAGGATGTACGACCCTCAGAACAGACCCGACACCCCCCGCTATTGGCAGTTCTATGTCCGTTCCCGTACATCCCAGCCTCTTGCGCGCAAGCCTCTTGTTGAGATGGAATGCGTTGGCCCCGGCGACTGGCACATTACCGAACTATATTTGGCACGACCGGATGACGTCCTTCGTATCGACAAGAGGCATATTTTCCGCTTGCCGCGACTTGGTGGGGACGCCGCTGACATTCCTTCCCAACGCCTTCGTTAATATTCTCAACCATATTCTCAAACCTCTGGACATTTTCTTTCATAAGAATACATACACAACAAGCAACTATAACAAATCTATAAATCGAAAAATAGGTAGTACAGATTAGAAAATCGCAAAAGCAGCGCTTCGCCGGCCAGTGGAAAGTGAGACTTTTCTCAATACTCCACCGAATGAATGCGTCTTTTGGTGGCCAGACACATCAGTGACTCTCAGCTTACATTGACACAATAGGAACGAGAACACGCACATTGTGGTCGAAGGCTGGAACACCTTCTAGTGCTAGGTGAGTGAAGTGCAGGTGAGCCACAGTGAAGAACATACCTTAAGAGCTGCTTCGGCACCAATGCCATGAGCAGAGTGTTGGCGAGGATCCAACATGCGCTTGTCGAAGTTGCTGTAGTCGAAGGACATGGAAGTCTTGGTCAAAAGTGGTCACTGACAGGGGCCAGGGGTCTAGTCGGTCTTCCCTTGGGCATCCCAGACCAAAACTACTCGTTGTGGGCATTCCAAGCCTGAGCTAATCGTATGTTTGGTCACCTTTGGTGATGATTCGAGGGCGCGACCGTGGATTACCAGTCGCTATTGACTTGCAATCTTGCTACCAATGGAGTTTTGCGGATTGTTGATGTGTCTGGACACAATTTCCGGTGGAGGGTATGGGGTGGCGGATGCAAGACAACATAGTATTGAAGAAGTCTCGCTCTCCACTGCGCAGCGAAGTGCTGCTTTTTCCTGCCTATTTTTCGATTTATAGACGCTGGTTCCTGGTGCTACAGAAAATGTCCCGTTCTTGGATTTTTGACAGATGTATCACGCGATGAGGCACCCTAACTTTGCCCCACATCGTCCATGTGCTTCCCCAGGCTCTCCTCTGACGATCACACATGAACGGCCTCACCACCCAGGCTGGCTTTCGAATTGGCCCAATTGTGCTCGAGACGCTCGTCAAGCACTACTTTGAGCGGTTGAAGCTGAATTTCAAGGTCTCCTCCGATAACCCCACAGTCAAGGTGCATTCTTTGAGTTCTTCTTACTTACCGTGGATGATAGACTGTGTTCCAGCTTCGCCAGGAAGAGTTGCTGTACGATGAGGCGTTCTCGATCGTGAAAGCCTTCTTGAATGCGGCCTGCTAGTAAGCAAACCTAATCAGCTCGTGTGCCCGGGTGCTCATTTCGTCTAAGCCATACCGTTGAAGAAATACAGTGTCTGCATTGTTCATACTGCAACCTTTTTCTGCGCTCACTCAAGCTATAGCCTTCTCCAACACTCGCACTCCGTCTCCACCCTGGGTCCATGTTGTCAGAACGCTTGTCCCGCTCTCGTGCTGCGACGAGGCGGCGACTATTCTCATCAAGGCGCTTGGCGGAGAAGAGGCCGCCAGGAAAGTGGTCGGTGGATGTAAATGGTGGCAAGTCCGGAGTGGTCGGGGGATCGACGGACAGTGGATTACCGCGAAGAAGGACTGGCAAGAAGCTAAACGGCGTCACAAACAGCAGAATGAACAACCACAGCCTGCGCCTGACGACGAGCATTATGAAAAACGGATGGACGATCTACGCTGCATTCTCTATGCACATGGTGGGGGCTATTATTTCGGCTCCGTTGACCAAGAGCGGTACAGCATCCAGAGGCATGCTCGGAAAATAAACGGTCGCGCTTTTGCTATTAATTACCGACTCGCTCCACAATACCGTGAGTATCTTTACCACTGTTTTCTCAACTAATCTCGTTCCTTAGCCTTCCCGTGCGCTTTGCAGGATCTTCTAGCGGCTTGTCTGTCAAGTTCTATCATGCAACACATGTCCTCACCCACTCCACAGACTTATATCTAATCCGGCCACCGCCTGATGCCGCTCATCGTCCCGTGAACCCGGCTCACATTATCGTTGCCGGAGACTCCGCTGGAGGTGGCTTAACGCTGGCCTTACTCCAAGTTCTTCGAGACAGCGGTCTGCCGTTACCCGCAGGAGGCGTTCTCGTATCACCTTGGTGCGACCTCAGTCATTCTTTCCCCAGCATCCACACCAATACTGCCACCGTTTGTGTTCTTTTGCCAAACCTGGATCTCATGCTAATGTGATTCCAAGGATGTCATCCCCGAATATGGTCTCAGCTTCCAAAAACCGAGTTCCTTGTGGCCTCCTCCCTCTGAAGATATGAGCCGGCGGGTGCATGCTTCCCTGCGGACCTGGATTCGCAAGACTTTTGCCAGCAGTGATTCGCGGCCAATCACACCGCCGCCTCCACCGACAGCATCGGTCATTTCTCTTACGGTCCCAGAGGCACCCGTTCACGCAGATGAACCGCTTGATATGGGCGCTACTGCCCCTATTCCTCTGGACAGCGAGCGGCTGACTCTCACCACCGCTACGGGAGAAGTACTTACCGTCGACCAGCAAGTGCATTTATATACGAAGAACTCGCTTCTTCCCCATCCGCTCGTTTCTGGTGCTCTAAGCTACCTGGGCGGACTACCTCCACTCCTTATCATCGCAAGCGACAAGGAGGTCCTGCGAGACGAGATTATTTACACGTCCGTTTTCATTTTTTTTGTCGACAATCTCATCAATGCCCCCATAGAGCCCATAAAGCGGCTAATCCTGACAAATTTCCTATCCGAGAGGAAACTCGCGGTCTCTACCCCCCGCTGCAAGGGATCGAACAAAGGTTTGGACCCACCAAAGTCCATCTACAGGTCTATGATGGTATGCAATTGTCTTGGTCACAAATCTCACGCTTAACCTTTACCAGACACGGCCCATGTCCTACCTGTCCTTTTTGCTTTTACGACCCCGGGCAAATTCTGCTTCAGGGCGATTGCGACGTTTTGTCGGGAGGTGACAGGACTACCTCATCGTCAGAGCACAGGGGCTTCGACACCCAGGGCGGAGCATTTCGATCTCAGTGGACTACCACCACTTCCCCCATCGCCTCTTCCGCCGGGCATTAATGGTCTACCATCCGACAGCCCTCCCCCGGAGAAGCCTCCGACCGTCCGGCGCTCAAAATCGCTCTTGACATCCAAAAGGCTGTCCGTCTTCCGATCTGCTACTCTTCCACCTCTTCCGACGAGTGTCTCTCAATCGTCGACCTCGTCGTCAGAGCTGAAGCCTCCCACGCCCCAACGTCAGGGCAGCGTCTCGTATTTTTCACGATTTGCGCCATCACGTGCCAACAGCACGACCAGCAATGGCGATGTCTATGCCTCGCCCTCTCAAATCAGCGATATCGATCAGACAGCTGGCGAGCCTAACGTGTATGTGAACAAGGACTGGAAGGAGGGTCTCATGGTACGCGAGAGAATATCCACCCGAGGCGTGATTCGCCCTCTGGAGCCTGAATCCGAACTCGCCGCGTTTACTGTGTCGCCCGAAAACATTGGTGTGATTTCCGAGCTGGCGATACGGAGGTATATCGACGGCACACAGAAATGGGATCGCAAGTTTTCTGGGGCACGGAAGACGGTGGAGAAGCACCGACATCGTAATCTCGAGCGGGCTAGGAAGGACACGGTGAAGAATATGGGCCTGCTGCACAGCTTCATTGGACGGGAGGCGGAGAGTGAGGGCGGGAACAGTGTCAGAGACGGCTTGCTTGCGATGTCGGGAAGTTGGAGCTGGGCGTGGGCATTGGATGCATACGAGAATCCACCACCGAGCAGTATTGTCTCGCGCCGCGACACTCAAGAGGCGCTCAGACTGGCTCGGATTGCGGACCAGCCCATGTTTCAGACGGAGGAGCACTCAATGTCAGGGAATAACCTGTGGTCAGTTATGGTCAACTTCCTCACTGTCATGCCCGACAAGGACAAGCGCGAGAAGAAGCATGGGGACAGCCCGGAGAAGCCACCGATACCCAAGAGGAAGTCTACCTTCCGCAATATCTTCCCGCCAAAGGAGAAGGAAGAATTGCAGGCGGCATGACCTCCTCACAATATACCTGTTAGTGTACATCCTAGCTGTAATTTTTGCAAATAAGTATTGTAATACAGTAGCTAACACAGTTGACAAGTCATAGTCCTGAATCTAAACTGAAAATATTAGTTGGTGCTGCAGAGGTATATTGACAGCGGTACACAGAAGTGGGAGTACAGGTTTTCTGGTGTGTCACCATGTGTGCAAGGGAAGGACAGGGCAAACAATATGGGCAAAGAGCATTGGAGATCATGTACATAGCTCACAGCGTACCTATAGCAAAAGTTTTTCACCATGCCTGGGACCCCTTGCAATGGAACACTAAATGTTGGCTGTCAACCTACCAGTGTGGTGGCTAACTTTCTCACTGCTATTGCTGACAGGGACAAAGAGGGGGAGAAGGAGGAGCATAACAACACCTGAAAAAACGCTAATACCTATTGACAAGAGGGATCCTACCTTGCACAACATCTTCCTGCCTAAGGCTCGACAAGAAGTTTGGAAATACAACTAGCTAACAAAAACACGGTTCAAATACTGTTCGTTGGGATTTTAATGCCCTGCGCACTGGCCGGCCGAGGTGGATTGCCGCCATCGCCCACCATCAACTGAAGTCCCTCACTCCACACTCCATCCGCAACCAGGAAAATCCACGCCGGTGCAGGCGGGAAGATGTTCGCATTAGGAGGGCCGGTTATGGTCAGAGTATTGCCAACAAGGGTATGTTCGAGAACAACAAGGCGCGAATTGGCGTGTTGAGCATGCGTCACGTAGCCCAGGTCCATCAGAGAAACTTGCAGGGTGTTCGACGACAGACTTCGCGGAATGGTGACCTTCATCGTCGCGCGTTGGTTAAACAAGAGGTGTGTTGGCGCGCTCTGGATGACTGGCCGCGGCGCGTTGTTTGTGATAAAATCCGGGTTCAAATACTCGACTCGGAATTCCGTGGGGAATGGAATGGTTCCTGGAGGAATAACTGCCGGATTGGGATTCGATCCTGCGACCATTATATTCCTATAATAATAGCGTCAGTTGATGTGTGGGTGTAAGATATAACCAACCCTTTCGCAGTGATACTTGCGACCGAGTGATACATTCGCGCGATGTTGCTGGACGGTAGACCCTCCTGGGTAATCCTATTCGTTGCAAGGCTCGTTCTGTAAAGTATGGGGCGCATGGCAGGATTTGCCGCATTAGACAGCGTCGCATTCGCATTGCTGACGCTCGGGTAACCAGAATACCCCGTGTGCCCTCCATTGATGAAAATGACATCGCCGTTTGGGAGAAGCACGCTTTCGGTCAGGATCCGTCGCTCGGGCATCAGCTCGACTTGCCACCCACGCGCTATTCCTGTCGGAGTCAGCGTAATTCGCGAGCACTGGTTGGTCGTCGGGTCGAGGTTGGTGAGATTGCTGGTGGGTCTGCGGTCGTCTGTTGCGCTACCACCACACACAAGAACAGTTGGCTCGTAAAGCGGAGGAGTAAGTGGCAGCAGCTGAAGCGAGCCGTCAAATGGATTGGCGATTCTGACACCGTTAGGGATCTCAGGCAGGCGAGCCAACTCGGTGTTAGACTCCACATCGTAGAGCATGGAAATGTTGTTGGCTGCAACAAAGACGTGGCCAGATGGGAGCACGACTGATCTAGGTTTCGGTTGAGTATGATTCCTTTTCTCGTTGTATACGCACCTTGGGAACATGTTGACGGGCTGGGCATCGAGCAGGAACTGGCTGGGTCGCACAGTGTCCTCTTTGCTTGGGAAAAACTCAATAGAGTCAACCGCGGTTGGGGCATTATTATAGAAGGTGTTGGTCTATGATGCATGAGCGGGTGACCCAGCAAAACATGAATCTACTCACATTGCTCCCTCCGATTATCATAAGACTGCCGTCAGGAAGCCGTAGACCCGTAGGATACCTAAGTTCAAAAATATGAGCCAACGTAGTGGAACATTGTCCGTTTCACCATCTTAGCACCTGTAGCTGAGTTGAGAGACCAAATCAAGACAGTTTAAAATCAAACCTTAAGGTGGATATTGGCCGGGTCTTCAAATACTGTGCAACCAGCTCCCGTTGGAGAGGTGCAAGGTCCGAAGAGACGAATGCCCATACGACCATCCCCTGGAGGTGGGGCTCCAGGTTCAAGTGGTTGACCCGCGACACTCACAAGGGTGCCATTCGAAATAAAGGCCCCGCCAGCGCAGAATGTGTCTGTTTGGCTAAGCAAAGGGTGTGGCCGTCTGAGTTTCGATGTTCCACAATGCGGCCCATGCGCGTTCTCCGTTGGGCAAAAGCAGAGGGTTACCATCCGCGCGGTCGTACATCAACATGAGAGTGGGCGAAATGGTGATGAGCTCGACTGGAATGACGCCAGAAGTCCCATTCTGCACGAAAGACCACTGAATGGTGCGTTGCGCGGTCGTGCTGCCAAGGATGGCCAAACAAGACAGCGCGAAAGGGAGCAACATGGTCGCCCTTATGTAAAACTGCGAGAAGACGCAACTCCCGTTTTATGAGGAGACGATATGTCGCATTCCCACTGACAGAAGGGTGAGGCGGGAGAGGCTGAAGCTTGAGAAGCACGGTCGCGGAATTGGCTCATGAAAGGACAGATCAAGTTTGTGAGATCACGTGCCTGGCGATTTCTTTCGCCTCCCACTCCCTTTGTTGCACCGGCCTCTCACGTTTCAGTGGAACCCGAGATTCATTTACACGGCGATATATTGAAAGAAAAAACTACATCAAAACACGGCAGTATTCTGTCTTTGGTCGCCAAATTCATGCGACAACTTTTGCCGTGGGGATAGGACGCGTAAAACGCGTCGACGGAGCAGAATTGGCCTCAAACTCAGGCAACGCTAGGTCTGGAAATACTTTCTTGACTTTCTTAGCGAGGTACTGCCACCACTGGCCTTCGACACGCGTGAAAGTTCCTGAGCGCCAACGTGCCTCTGCCGCGGCCCGCTCCTCTGCTGAAATGGCTGGGAGGTCGAGGGGCACCATAGACGCCGACCAAGAGAAATCGAAGAAGAATGGGAAGGAGAAGCGTGGGCCTGCGTCGGGCGATGGTGGAAGAACACGATGATATCGAGATGGCAGTCGCCCGCCAGTGAGCTGGTCGAGCATGTCCCCTACATTCACAACAAACGCGTTTGGAATAACGGGTACGTCGCACCAAATTCCTGCCGGAGATTTGACCTAAGGGATATGTTTAGGCTGCAGACGGCTCCACTATCGTTTCTCACCTGTAAACCCGCAGATGCCTGCTTCAGGATAGTGAGTAGTCCGAAGTCTACAATCAACTCAGTCAGTCTAATCGACTGTTAGATGTTTTAACCCTTACCACTATGTTCACCAATTCCAAACACTTGCGGTCCCGCATTCTCAACCGCCGCATATTTAAAGCATCTAAACAGCGCCACAGGCTCGGGTTTGAGCCACTTGTTCTCAAGAGTCTCTGGACCCAGTCCCAACGCAACTGACAAAGCGTTGACGACGAGGGTGCCGAGCAGCGTGACTTGGGCAATATATTCAAGCACAGTTTCACGCATTTCGGGCACCTGGTCCTGACTGGGGAACTGATTCTTTCCGTGCAAGGGCATCCCCAGCAGTGGATGATCATCAGGGTGTTCGGGACCGAAGTATATCCCTTCTTTGTGGTCAGTTCGACCATGAGTCCCCTCGCCTCCAAGCGGCATGTAACCACGCCAGGCGGTGCCCCCATTACGGACGTCCAATACGAGCTTGTCTTCTAAATCAAGTGCAAAGAATATCTCTGCGCATTTGAGGAGTTTGGCCTGCAACTCATCGGTAACAGGGGTATTGATGAGTTGGAAGAATCCCCATTCTGATGCTGCAGCGAATATCTCATTGGACGTCGCTATCGCCTCTGGAGAGCTAGACGAGATCGAAGAGAGTGCAGAGGCATCGATAACAGGAATCGACATGGCTCAGGAGAAGGATGTTAGATCGGCTCTCGGACTGGTCTGATTAGCTTGGCCGGAATCGCAAAGTCACATGACGGTGACGACATCAGGGAAGGACCAACACAGAACCTATGTACTGGCTGGTATCGGGCTCAGTCGTCTCCACGCTGACCCGCCCATTCAAAACGATCTTCCTCTCACTTGCCCGATTTAGTCTGGCGTCAACAATCCTAACCACATCGCCCTCGGTTTCCATCTCGGAACTCGCGTTTGACTCTCGTTGTGCGGTGGGTATTGCACGCCGCTTGTCCATAATCTTCAGGCGCGGAACTTTGACATATCCGCATTCGATTGGGATTAGCCGCCACTGAATGGTTTCCTCGTCGCCTGGCAGCAAGATTGGAATTCGACCACTGCGGAGTCCAGCGATTACAAAGCTGTCTTCTGCATCCGGATCGAGCTGAACGGTCACGTTTGCTGAGCGGGTAGGCTGGCCATTTCGAACGGTGATGGTTAGGGTAATCGGAACGTGCAGTTGTGCAGTTGCAGGCACATCGAGTATTGCAATCAGGCCATCCATTGGCGGCCGTAGCGGTGGTAGTGGGAAGACGCTTGTTGTTAAAGGACCTTGCCTCTGCGCGTCCAGTATCCTAGCAACGTCTTTCTTCAGTTAATCCGTAGTAAGGTGGTGCCAACCTTTTCCAAGTGATCTCATATCTTCCAGGACCAACAATCGCTTGTTCCTCAAGGTTCAGATCATCGTCATCAATGTTGAGACTGATGCGGCAGGCATCTGAGAACTCGTCGCCAGACAAATATTCTACGGAGATTGTTAGAAAGACACATGTCCCCATGTTTATTCTCGCACCTGAGGCAATGTCGTTATCGAAGTCCAGAGCAGAGTCAACGACTCTAGCGTGATCATTGTCCTAAACGGAACACATTAGTTCAGACTCAACAACACAGAAATAGGCGCGTACTTGTCGGACGAGTGTCATGCTAACGACTTTGAGGCCCCACGGACCAGGACAACTCAAGCGTGCCGTCACAGTCGCCTCTCCGCCACTCGCATCATCCCAGAAATCGTGGTCATACGTCCTCAAGTCTCCTGGGCCAGCAGACTTCCCACGCGTCCGTTTGTACACGACATTAAAATCGGCCTTGATCGCTTCGGAAGTGGGAATAACAAGAGTCTGTAGTGTTTCTGTCATGTCGGGATTCTCTGTTGGGGTAGCGGCAACCGCAACAGACTGTATCGATATATCGAGCATACGATCCCCTGCGCCTCCAGTACTGATTAGGTATAACGTCTTGACTGCACTGACACCAGGCTGGAGGACACCGAAGCTGATTCCCTTGATGAGGCTCGACGAGCGTTCATCATCTAGAGCGATCCAGTTTTCTAGAAGAGTTCTCAGGAAACCTTTGGGTGCAACAGAAAAAATTACCGGCGCCTTCGATGTCAGTGGGTTGCAGCAAAACATCTCCAGTAACCTCCAATTCGCGATCATCCGAGTTGGTCACCTGCACAAGGATAGGATAGTTTTCGTCCAGATATGCAGGTGCCTTATGAGACAGTGAGAGGGAGATGTCATGGGAACGATGGCGAACACTATGCATTGAATTGATTAGCTTTGTCGGGACGCAACTTAGAGTAAATGCATACGACACGGAAGTGCAGTCTTCCCTGTTGATGGGGATGAAGCAAGGAGGGTCAATGGAGCTCAACCATCGCGTAGAAGGATTCTGGCCTACGGCATCGAATGGAATTCGAATAGTCCAAGGACCTTCTGTCAGTGTCAACACAAGCTGCGTAATCTGAGTAATCACGTGAGTAGATATCGAGTCCTCATCTGAAACGCCTACCTTGAAAGAAGTTGGGACCTCCGAAGATAGCATTCCGGTGAAAACAAAGATCGAGCCAGCAGCCCATCGTAGGTTCGCATTGAGAGGGTTGACCGCGCCATTTGAAATCATTCCGAGGTCAACTCGTTGGACGAGGGGCATGGCCTCCGATGTCGTTTCGTGTTGCACCACAACAGCAGGCAAACCATTCGAGAGGTGGATTTCGACACTGGCTATCGGTAAAGACGCAATACTTGTCTCTGCTGGAGCGGCTAAACATATTTGGAATGCCGCCACACCCTTCACTTTGACTTCGGGAGACCAGAAAACCACACTAGACGAGACTGTTCTTGTTATCAGTGCACGTTACTGAGCAGCGATATGGCACACATATCGGTTGCGATTCGGAAAGTTCTACAACCATTGGCTCCGGATTGGGTGAGGAAGGGACCGAGCTCTAGGAGATTCTTCAAAAGATGGAGGGCTTGATATAGTCTGGCGAACCTTCAACACCGCCAACAAATCCTCCTCCAACGCGGTCGGTTCATCTGAAGATTCCACGCCTATCCAAGTCTGAAGTCGTCCGAGCCAGAAGAATAGAAACCTACCATAACCCAGCATTTCGATTAGTAAACGAATGCTCAGCTCGACGTCACCCATTTGGCGCGCACACGCATACCATGTCGCAAGGAGGGGCCTAAGTAAAGAGCCCCACCGTTCGCGCCGATAGTTCTTGGCTATCCGTTCAAAGAAACTTTGCAGTTCGCATTTAGTGGCACTGTTCAACATCGAAATCATCACCCTTACCGAACAGCCATGTCGAACTTGCCAGACTCGTAGTATGTTTGCCCAATGCGATATGCAATCCAAAGAGTAAGCCGACTTTGCGACAAGCTTTCGACTTTGGGTGACGAATACTTCTTAAACAACTCGTAAGCTTTGGTATAGAGTTCAAGGATGATCGTCAAATGATCAACTTTCTTCTCGTTGGCAAAGCCGGTTGACGGTTGCTCCTGGGTTGCCTACAAGACATTGTTGGAGAAGCACAAAAAAAACCAATAACACTCCCGTACCTCAGCGTCTAGTGCTACCAGATATCGCTCGCGCCTTGCTTCAGTGCATTTGGCGGCCATGTAATAGTAGTAACCTGGGTGCTGAAGAGCATGGCTGGGATTGATACCCATTGTTCGCATAGTTTCTGCTTCCAAAGCGCTAGCTGGTGGGGCGACTGGTGGCTTTTGCGCCAATAATGTCGATCGATGGGTTGGAATAACTAATTTAGACTGCGTCCCGTGTTCCAAAAGCTCTGCAAGCACGCGATGCCTGCAATCAGCATCAGCATGGGGTATAAGCCATCAAGTATGGACATACTGTCGGGCTACCCAGCCCCAGAACTCGAAGGTCTCTTCGCCGATACCCCAGCCACGAGAAAAGTCTCCGAATTTACGGATGTGCGTGTTATGGTGTGACAGCGCCAGCGCATGCTCATTATTGTACAAGTATAGTTTCACGACCTGGCAGTGGGGCTTAATTAAGTAAACATTTAGACGATAAGCAACGTACTTTGATGTTGATGCAGTCTGCAATCACCTTCGCCTCAGCCCACCGTTTTGTCCTTGGAGGGAGCATCATAGACGATCCGAACATGATGACCAACATAGCATAAGCATCCTGGTAATGCCTTCAAAAAATCTTTTGAGAGGGTTGGGGACGACAAAAAGAGGACACGAACTTGAGAGCAATATCGTCTTCGCCTCTAAACTCTGCAAAACATGCCATCTTGTATTCGTAGCGCACAGTCCAACCCTCCGGTCGCAAAGGTCGACCGAGTCCTGCCGTTCCTATTGGCGTATGTGGTGTTGGATAAGAGGAAGCTGTCTGTGAATGTCGATTCCGCTTCCGTCTCACACGCTTTGAGTGCGCGATGTAGTATTCAAGAGCAGGCTCATAGAGGGCTTGCTGCAGACTGGTCGAAATACTCAACAAGCAATCATCAAGTAAGACCAGCAAACACACCTCTTTACAAATTCGCCCAACTCCGCTTGACTAACTGGACTGAGCACAAATAGGGCAGCTCGAGAATCCAGCCCGCTTTGTCGTCGAATAAACGTCAATCTTCCGTCTAGTGTAGGATCGTCTGCTCAATTATGAGAAAAACAGGAATGGCGTCAAGGAAGGGAGCCTGGACAGACCTAAGAGCCGTCTACTGGCCATGAGAACAACGGTCAGTTTGATGTTGCGCTCATTCGTACTTTTCTTTCTCAACGCAATCTCTGCTGCCAGCTCCGAGTCGCGTCTTCGTTCTTCAGACTCTCTATCCCGATCCCTGTCAGGGTCCGGCGGGTCAAGAGGAGACCGGGGAGTGTGTGGTGGGTACTCATAAATCCGCATGAAGAGGACAAACACGGAAGGTACGAGCGTTGTGTGTTTTCTTATCCATATCGGGGCGATGAGACCATCTGGATGCAATGGCGACGATGGTGTAAGAGGGGAAAGTGGAGAATGCAGGGAAGAATATTGGGGGTCGTCCGGGGGTACCAGCTTTCGCGGAGGGAAGCGGACTGAGGCGTCGACGGAAATTATCTGAAACGTCTTGTGCTTGTCAGGCTGCCATATGGCCACCTTGCGTTGGGCAAGGAAAGCTTCTTTGAGCCGACTGGTGAGAAGAGTGAACGAATCCTGCTGCTGAAGTCGCGGGGTAGTTGGAGTCGTTGGGCTTTGCACGACCTGCGGCGTGTCGAGACCAGCGACAAACATTATAGGAGCGAGTTGCGTTAGCAACTCTGGCGGGTAGGAATTCATAACTCAGAGCGCGTCTTTTGCGAGGAAGCAGATAGGCTTCTCCGAGCGTCACAACTTGGTCACAACATCAAAATAGGGTTTGACTAAGCGTTTGACTTGGGTTTAACCCCTTCCTCCATGACCACACGCCCGCTGCTTACTTTCCTTCGCTCACTTACGACCTCTACAACCTCCAGTTCAATCAGTCCGTATCTCTATGGATTTTCACATCGCTGGGTCCGCGAGCCCGTCTCGAGCAGCCCAAATGACCCACAAGCGAACAATTTCACGCTCCTAACCTGGAATATCGATTTCATGAAGCGTGGGATAACCGAGCGCTGGAAGGCTGCTCTGGACTATATTCAAGACCTCCGTCCAACACCAGACATTATTCTGTTTCAGGAAACAGACACAAAGGCCTTTCCTGTTCTCCTTGCTCATGATTTTGTGCGCCAACGCTACCTTCTAAGCAACGTAGCTGGCCCCGAAGACTCGAGATACAGTACGCTCATCCTCGTAGCCCGACAGTTTGCCAGTCAGACGAACAACCTTTCAACCACCCGTGTGCCTTATGGAGAGCTAACCAGAATGTGGCGCGATGTTCTATACGTCGACTTTGAGGCTGGAACAAACCAATACAGAGTTGCTACCACTCACCTCGAGTCCTTGACAGGCTTTGGAACGACTGCACGGCCTCAACAGCTTCAGATTGCCGCGCAACTCTTGACAAGCGAAGGTATCGCGGGAGGACTGGTCGCAGGTGATATGAACTGCATTGAGGACAGCGATAAGGGTGTACCAGAAAAAATCGGGCTCGTTGATGCATGGAAGATGGTCAAAGGGGAAGAGGATGGGCATACCTGGGGCTATCAACCACCTTCAAGATTCCCGCCCAAACGCATGGACAAGATTCTCACCACCAACCAACTTGAGGTCGTCGATATCCAGCGCGTTGGGATCGGATTGGAGACCACCGTCTCCGATGAGAAAGTGTGGGTGAGTGACCATTATGGTTTGCTCGCCAAAATCGTGTTGCGATAACTTATAACCTAACTAAATGTACTGTTGTAACATTACGTGCCCACCTCTGCAAACTCCACTTTGTTTTCAGCAAACACGTTCCTGAAAATGGCGCAGGTCTTCTCGTCAATGATGGCGAACACAACTCGCTTGAATGAGTGGGCAAAACGAGCGTCGGGGGCCAGCAGAAGCTCTACCCATAGCCGAGCGACCATGGCGACATTGTTTCTGAAAACACCAGTGCCAAAGCTTCCCAAAATGACATCGGGAATATCCTTCTCTTCGAACAACCGAAGAATGCGACCCATCCTTTCACGCATCGCAACTTCAATAGCGATCTCGGGATCTCCATCCTTATATCGGCTTCGGACTGCACCCGCATTGACTGCAGCGCTCGTGACGACATCAGCATCGACAGGCTCAATCCAAACTCCTTTGTCAGTCCTGAAGAACCGCACGTTCTTGGTGAAGATTATCGAGTGCGTATATCGTTTGTCTGGCTTCTGGGCCGCACTCTTGTGGAGTCTGTAAAACCGCTGGCCAGTTGGCGTCATCAAAGACGAATAGATGTTGGACGACCGCGCAAGACTTTCTTCCTGGGCTTGTGCGCCAGCAAGGAACCCTCCACCAGGCTTCGTCGCGGAAGCGAAGTTAAGCACTCCTCGTTTGGTTGAATCGTCAAGAAGACGGATTCCTTCCAGGGTGGAAGCTCTGGCTAGTGTGATTTCTGCCAGGGGTGTTATAAGCTGAGCCGAGGTGGTTTTCCATTCAACCAAAAGCTCTGAGTCTGGCGGATAGTACTCTGTATACGATTTGAATTCGGGAGTGCCCAGGTCGTCGACGGAGTGGCTGTTGCCACTGTCGTCTGTGTATTGCCCTTTAGCAACGGCCGCGAGAGAATCGTTGGCGATTTTTGTGAAAACTGGGTGAGGCATCGTGCTCGAGGTGAGTGACTTTTGTCGGAGAGGATTGGCGTAGAAATATGAGCTAAGGCGAGTCAACATGCATCGAATGACAGAAGCATCGCAGCCGAAAATAAGGTCCAAATGACATGATGATTGACAGCTTGTGGCTATGCATCGATCGTGAAAATGGCGAACAACGATATTGAGGAGCTTTATGTTGTGTAAATATTGCATCAGGAATCGAGGATAGATGAGGTCTTATAGAGCATGAAGCTACTAGTAGCAACATCACGATGGTGATAATTTAAACTTGAAAAACTTCAACTGCAAGTTCCTGAAGTTGATTCAAGTTAGATACTAGTAGCAGAGTGCGGCGAGGACTGGTGTTTTGGTCAAACAAATCATAGCTCATACCGTGACACAGAGCCCCGACAATCGCAACTCTCGTGAGTCGCTAGCGCTGTACACTCACAAGTTTGAAGTTGTATGAGACTCTAAGCACTGGCAGAACATTTATAACACCAATTAATACCATTGACATACGGTACCTGACATGTCTGGCATCCAGTTGAGGGGAGCAGTCTCGAGATTCTTGTCAGGTGTCAGATTCGACGGTAAGTTAATTACTTATTGTGGACTGGCCAAAGACTGACAATTTTGCGCCTACTCTGGAATTGACAACAACTAACTCGGGAAAATTAATATGTAAACGGTGGTCAAGGCGCCGATTGACAGCCCCACAACATCTAGTCAGTTGATAGCAAGTTGCTATTTTTTAGACCGCATTCTTGCTGGAGTCAGTGCTTGATTCAAGTTCGTGAGTGAATCAGTGGCAGTGTGACACATCGACAGCCAGGTGTGACGTTTACTGATTATTTTCTTCAAAAATCTACATGTTGGCGGACCCCAACAAATTCCGTGAACGCGCTTCTCAAGACTCAGCATCTCCCGCCTCGCCCTTCTGTCAATGGGACCGCTTTCTCATACATAAAATGGGAGCTGCGTTTTTCGCAACTTTACATAAGGGCTATCCTGATGTTGCTGGCTTTCGCATTATCCTGCTTGGCCATCCTCAATAGCACGACCGCGAAACGCGTCATCCAGTGGTCTTTCGTGCAGAATGGGACCTCCGGCATCATCCCAGTCGAGCTTATCACCATTTCGCCCACTCTCATGTTGATGTACGACCGCGCGGATGGCAATCCCCTGCTTCTGCCCAACGGACAACGCGCCTGGGCTGCGTTGTGGAACATAGAGACTCAGACGGCCACACCATTGCTTACCCAGACGGACGCGTTTTGTGCTGGCGGGGCGTTTATATCAAATGGCACACTTGTTAGTGTCGGAGGACAACCGCATGACTCTGGAGCTTCCCCAGGAGATGGTCTCATGGGTATTCGTCTCTTTGGGCCCTGCGCTTCTTCAACAGGGGCTGGCTGCACGGTATTTGAAGACCAGGCCAATATTCACCTCAAGGTGGGGTCGTCGACTGTCTTAATTTTGACACTTAATCATACTCCGACAGGCCTTAAGATGGTAACAGAACATTTTCTTTTGTCAGCTGGGCCCATCCTCTTGAACATAGGTATCCTACAGGACTGCGACTTCCCGACGGTAGCGTTATGATCATCGGAGGAAGCAATGTGCGTAAATTTATGTTGTGTTCTGTCCCCTGTTCGAGCATCACAGGCTAACACCTTCTACAACAACGCCACAACCGCGGTCAACTCAATCGAGTTTTTTCCAAGCAAAGAGGACACTGTACGACCCAGCCAGTTCCTGCTCGATGCCCAGCCCGTCAACATGTTCCCAAGGTGATTGTCTTACGGGCACAAATAAAGAGCTATCCTGAGCAGAAAATTAGATCGGTTGTGCTCCCATCTGGCCACGTCTTTATTGCGGCCAACAACATATCCATGCTCTACGATGTCGACTCCAACACCGAATTGGCACGTTTGCCTGAGATCCCCAACGGTGTCAGAATCACTAATCCATTTGACGGTTCGCTTGAGCTGCTACCCCTCATCCCTCCGCTTTACGAGCCGACTGTTCTTGTGTGTGGCGGCAGCGCAGCAGACGACCGCAGGCCAACCAGCAATCTTACCAACCTTGACCCGACGACCAACCAATGCTCGCGAATGACTCTGACCCCAGCAGGAATAGCGCGTGGGTGGCAGGTCGAGCTGATGCCTGATCGACGGATTCTGGCCGAAAGCGTACTTCTCCCGAACGGCGATGTCATTTTCATCAATGGAGGACACACAGGGTATTCAGGGTATCCCAGTGTCAGCAATTCCAATGTCACGGGATCCAATGCAGCAAACCCAGCGATGCGCCCCATACTCTATAGGACCAGCCTTTCTAGGAACCGAATTACCCAAGACGGTCTACCGTCAAGCAACATCCCCCGAATGTACCACTCGGTCGCAAGTATGACTGGGAAAGGGTCGGTTTCCAGATTTAAAAATAACAGGCCAGCTAACGATGCCCTAGAAATATTATGGTCGCAGGGTCGAATCCCAATCGATTAGTTACTCCTCCAGGAACCGTTGCGTTCCCCACGGAATACAGAGTCGAGTATCTGAACCCGGACTTTATCACCAACAACTCGCCGCGGCCAGTCATCCATCGCGCACCAACCCAGCTTTTGTTCAACCAGCGCGTAACGATGAAGGTCACCATTCCGCCAAGTTTGTGGCTGGGCACCATCCGAGTCTCCCTCATGGACCTGGGCTATGTCACTCATGCTCAACACGCCAACTCGCGTCTTGTTGTCCTCGAACATACCCTCGTTGGCAACACTCTGATAATAACTGGTCCTCCTAATGCCAACATTTTTCCGCCTGCACCCGCGTGGCTGTTCCTTGTTGCAGACGGAGTGTGGAGTGAGGGACTTCAGTTGATGGTTGGCGATGGTGGCAACCCACCGCGGCCAGCTAGTGCCCAAGGCATCAAGATCCCAACGAACAGTATTTGAAATTAGTTAATCTCATCGGCCTACTGTAGTCTTAAGTTTACTATCTCTCGTGAAGGTCTGACATTTGAGCCATCGACGCGTTCGACCAGAATATGGAAGGAGATCTCAAGTTATCGAATATCAAGGTTATACTCAACAGTAATGTATTAGTCATATATGTCCAGGACAATTAGGCCTCAAGCAGCCACGAGGAAGAGCTCTGACTACCCTGTGGGGGCCTGATATTATCGTCGTCGTCGTCATCGTAGTGTGGTTCCACAGCCATAGTTCTGATCCAACCGTCCGTGGAATTCTTCCTTGGAGAGCTGACAGTCGATAAGAATTTGATTGGCACAAAATAGCCCCCCTTACCTTTGGCCATGATCAGTGGCCGTTGTCTTCGCCCGGTTGCGAGCTGCATCGAGGGGACGGAATTCACCGTGAGAAGCAGAGGAACTGGAAGAGAGTAAAATCTTGCTGGTACGAGCAGCAGGACGAGGCGTAGCCTCCTGATCTTGTTCATCCATAGCCAAAGTAGCCTGCGTTTTCTTTCGGGATTTCGTTTCAACTTTCGTGCGTGCACCAAGGACAGCAACATCCGAGTCAGCCTCCTCACTGGATGATATCACCATGTCTGCAACATCTGAAGCCACCCTGCTCGTAGCGCCGCTTCGCGTCTGTCTTGGTCTCGTCGAGTCGGAATCGGAAATGCTAACCACCGACTTAAACCGCTTTTTGAGAGTCGTAGGGGCTTCATCGCAAGGAAGATGGTCATCCGAGCTTTGAGAAAGATATCTAATTCGACTTCGGCTGCGACTGCGACGAGGGGTGATGTTAGAGCCTGTCGAGAAGTTGCTCTTTGTCGTTGGAGGATTGTCCACCGCCGAGTCAGAATCCATGCCGCTGGAGTCTGTTCTGAGATTTTGTTGTGGCTTCTTTGGTTTCGGTTTCGGTCGTGGTCGAGGCCGCTCGACAGGTAGGTCTTCAGGCTCCGAGTCTTTTGTCTTGGCCTTGCGTTTGCCTGATCTCTTACTCTTTTGGGCCACCCGTTTGGCCATCTCCTCCTCCTCCCGTTCTTCAGCTTCGAGTTCCAACCGTCGCCTCATCGCCCGTTCCATGATTAATTGCTCCCCAACATCATCACCTGCAGTTTGCCCACTCTCGTCTGGGAACATGGCAACACCATAGGTGGCGCTTGCCCTGAGGATCGCTACCGCACATTTCCTATCGGCCTTATTTTCCGCATCGAGATTTCGATCTTGTATAACTAGCCGCATGCCCACCTCGGGAACTAGAATCCGTTGGATAAATTCGTGGGGCGTTAGAGGGTTGACGAGTTGGGGTTCGATAGCAGTGAGGGGGAACATATCGTATAATGCTTGGTGGATGATGACTGAGCCCATTTCGCCGTAGCTAAAACCAATCAATATGGTTTAAACGACGTAAGGCAGCTTACTATCCAGGTTGTGTTTTATGGAAGTTGGCGAATTGTTCTTGTACGCCTTGAACACCTTTGCTGCCTTTAGCCTTGATTTCCTTTATCATATCTCGCCAAAAGAGACACTGCCGCCTTGCGCCTCGGATGGCTTGAGAACTTTCCGGCGCAGATTCATCATCATCTCCAGTATTGTTCACAATTTGACGGAGCTGCCATTCCATAGCTTGGACACGGCTCCTAACATCTTCCCAGTCGATCGTCTTTGGCCATCCTTTCTCTTCAGCTTCGGGAAGTATTTCAGTCTCAAACCGATGGCGTTGACATACTCCAATGAATGCTGCCATTGGGGCCCTTCGCCCTAGAGGGTTCGCCGGGCGAGGATCAGGTCTCGATTTCTTGAGCGTTTGCTCTAATAGACTTTGAAGATGCGGAGTAGGATCTGGCGGCAAAGGACCATCACAATACGGACAGAGTGTTTTTGGATCAGTATTGGGTGCCATGAAAACTAAGTGGGGTTCAGCGAATACGGAGCAGATATCGAAAAGAATGTACAGCTATCGTCTTCCTGATCATGCGCGATGGCAGGTGTGCTAAGGGGGTGGTCGATATATGGCAAGTCCAAAATAATGGCAACACACCGTGATTGACTCCGTTTACGCTTCTTCTTGGGCTCTTGCTCAAATTCTATATCTGACGACCCCCGTTTTGGCGGCGACGGTCTCGACTCAAAGTCCATGGGGAACGGGCGCGCCTCGAGAGGTTTCTTCTTTGTTTTACCAGGCTCAGCGTTGATTCGTAAAGGGGAGGGCGCGGGGAATTCGGTTGGTTTCTTGGGAGGCTTCTTCGGAGTTGTATCCCGTACTGGAGAAAGGATCGGGAAAGGAGCTGGGTCAGGTTTGGATTTGACGCGTCGAGATGTCGAGGCCACTTCTGTCTCGCGTTCCTTCCCTTTGCGGGAGCCATGTTTTCCAAGCGGAGAAAGCGCAGGAAACTCGGCCATGGGATCCTTTTTTCGTGGCTGGGGGCGAATTCTGGTTTTGGTAGTGGGGGAAAGTTGTGGGATCGAAAGGGTGCTCGTGCTGCCAACTGGCGGTCGTTTGCTACGACTCGGACCTGGGTCACCGTCATCATCAACGCTCTGCTTGCGTTGCAGGGACTTGGTGGTTGTTGGTGGCACGCGCTTTTTCGAGTTCTCTGTTTGGCTAGCCGTACGACGAATTGCCGGTTGTGTCGAACGCGACTCTGGACTTGAGTTTCGGTGAGAGGGGTTGTCGCGTAACGGACGCGTCGTTGCTTTCTCTGAAGTGCAATCAATATCTCCACCAGTCGCTTTCCTGTCCACAACACCAGCGTTCTCTTTGGATGTCGGGGCACCTGTCCCGTCCTCCGGTTTCTTCTTCTTGAATTTCAACGTCTTTATGACATCCGACGTTTCGGGCAGAGCAGATGAAGTATCCTCTCGACGTGGCTGTGATGTAGAGGGCCAGGAATTGAGTTCGTCCTCGCTTTCGTCGTCGTCCGACATCACGCGAGTTGGCTTCACTGGCTTGCTGTTACGTTTGAGGCCGGAACCGGCAGTATCGAATAAGGGCGTCTTCGAAGGCTGTGAGCCGGGGCGTTGCGACATGGTCTGAGCATATTTTTGCCCCTCCATACAACGCGCGACGAGGAAAGGAGGGTATTTGATGTTTGATCGCACGTGATAACGTAGTTACATAAGCTTAGCTTCACCTTGAAATTCAAGCACCAAGCGTTCCTTCTGGTGGACGCCCCCAATGACCACCCTTGTCCGCCACGGCGTATTTGTCGCTGCTTGGAACTCCTTTGTTGAGAACGCGTCTCTCGTGGCCCACTCATGTAGCGCCAGATACTTGGTCACACCCCCCGTCTGTGGGTCACCCAACGCGTGTAAAAGCTTGAATCTGATAGAAGAACGCCAGCCAGGGACCTGTTGAAGCATTGCGATGTGCTCATCTGCATACCACGCGTTGAACTCCTCCTCCATTCCCTCATCTGGTGTCATCCCATTGAAAACGAGTATGTGTTGGTCAGTGGACGCTAATGGGATCCTAATCTGCGGATCTGATTCGAGAGGGTGGTACAATCGAATATCCAGTCCGCCTTCTTCTTCCCCAATCGTACGTCCGATAACTTCGAGATCCGGGACTTCACCTTCGATAAGCGCGAAAACGACGACTACTTCTTCATTTTGGTAGAGTGTCGCTCCATGTTGCACTGCCGAGAGTATCTCTGAGGAGAATGAGCCCAAGCTGAATAATACCTCAACAACCCAAACTTTTTGCCCTCGCCATCGTACTTCCTAGCACAACAAGAAGCGCCGCCATGGTAAAAAGGATGTTTTTGGCGCGTGAGTAATCATACATTAATACACTGTCGAGTCTTGCAGTCTCCACTGCCCCAGAGGTCCCCAAAGCCAAACACTACGCGGTCGTCCAGCCCCTCGAGGTTGAGGTGGCTGTCTTATCTCTTCGCTGACATCATCGTCGTCGAAATCATCCATATTTCGACGATCTGGTGGTAGCCTCCTGTCCGTCCGCCATGCAAAGCTTCCCAATCTCCAGCCACTCCTTGGACCATCTGTCCCTTTCAGTTCTCGTATTCGCTCAACGCGTTCCACAGCCTGTTGTCGAGCGGCATCAACGTGGGCACGCCGTAGAGACGTATACCATTGATGCATGATACTCGGAAAGTACGCGGGAAGTGGCGAGACTGAGGTTGTCGATGAGATCGTTGAAGATGATGTTGACGGTGGGTGCGTTGGCGATGGTGGAGGAGAATTCGAATCTGGATCGCTCGGCCGTCGATTTCTCATACCACCGCCAAATGCGCCTGCAACACCTCGCAACACCACTTTAGCCCGAGCTTTCGTCTCCAATCTTCGCTGACGCGCCTCCTGTTTACGCGCCGCCCGTTTCTCTGCTCTTCGCGCTATTCGAGCAAGCTCTTCCTCGTCCAAAAACAGCTCCGATCCAGCGCCAACCCACCACCACCAGCCCAAGAAACTCTGCCAAAGCACCACTGCCCACATGAGGCCCGGAAGCCACATGTACTCCTCCTCACGTGGAACGTATAAGAAGTTCAACGCAGTGCTGACAAGTGCTAGCGCAAGCGCCCCACATCCAAATGCGGCTGTTCCACCATCCGTTCTCCAGGCGTCCTTTCGTTTGATACACAACCCCCAGATGAAGAGTGCTGCAGTGAAAAGAAGCGAAAGAGTCGCATTGCAGACGTTTCGGACAGCGGAAGCATAGGAAGTGAGGTTTTTAGAGTCGTTTCCGATCGGTATAAGCTGCATAATAGCAGCAACAATGGCGAGCGGGCCTAGTTTTGGATGAGATAGATACGTAATCGACCGCAAGACCTCCTACCCAAGAGAGCAAATATTAACCGCCCTTCTATCCGCGATGGGTAGAGTAGGGTGAGGAATTGAATGTGTGTAATCTAGAACAACCTGGTTAGAATGAGAAGAAGAGCCAGATACGACGCACCTGGATGAGCCCAGAAGTCGATGCATTCATAACAAACCACGTCGCCTTCTCCGCTAAGCTCCACCCGTTCCTTTCCGTATCTGAATCTGAGGGAGGGACGTTGACGGCAATATAACTAAGCATATAGGGCCAATGTTGACTCTCGTTCATCGTCGCCGACAGCACGACATGTAGCGTGGCCACGAGCGAGATGAGCAGCGTGCTGACCCCCGAGAGTTGAAGGACATAGTTCACTGGGGCAAGCGGCCAGTGGTATTGGGCGGTGAAGATGAGATGGATGAGGAGAACGGCAACAAGGGTCAAAACGACGCCGGTGAGGAGGATTTGAACCGGGAGAGAGCGAGCAAACGCCGGTCGGTATTTCAGATATGGGTCCTGGTCGTATCTTATGTGGATGAATGAGCATAAGAGGATGATTCGAGCAGGAGCCTTACGCAGCCGCCAATGTGGCGTTCAGAAATGTGTCTGGGTTGTCGATGGTTCCATCGTCATCTTGGGCCAAAACGGCTGCGATGAAAAACAGCACTACCAGTAATCTGACCACATGTGGGGGAAGTTGAAGGCCCATGGGCCTCGAGAGATGATGGTAAAAGCCAAGGTCGTTCGGGCCGTTTTTTGATGACTACCCAACTTGAATTATATATGTCCTTCAAAATACGTACAACTCTAATTATGCAGCACGCTGGACTACAGGCTAGAACTTTCCCCACACGCTCTTCAAGACGAGCCATCTCGTAAAGAGCATCATCGCAATGGCCAACAAGATCACCGATCCAGCATAAATGCCTACAGCCCTATATCCTCCCGAAGCAGTATTAATGGCTGCAAATCGTGAGATTTCAGTAGTAAAACGTAAAAACGACGGACCACCGGATATAGGAGGACCAGCCACGGCCCCGAAGGCAGTCAAGGTGACGGCCACTGGTTAGAGCAATGAGAATTTCGGCGGACAACATGATTCTACTTACTTCCTGCGCGCCGCCCAACATCTTCGATCCCACCCATGTGGTATATGGGAAGAATGAAGGAGGAAACATATGCTCCGGAGGAATATCTAAGTTGGGGTGGTAAGTATAATTAGTCCGAGAATTTTTAGTCGTACCCATAGACAATTGCGACGGCAATAAAGGAGCCTCTTGACCTAGCTAGTGGCCAGATATAAGTCATAACTGCAGCGACCCCAGACATAGGCGCGAGGACGTTGATGACACCTTAAATAGATGAAAAAAACGAAACCAGAATACTCCGGAGACCATACCAAAGCGATCAGTGGCCAGACCCGAACTTAATCGACCAAAAAGTGAAGCACTGTTGGCAATAGACACAAGGTAAAACGAAAAGTCGGACGAAACCCCGACAGATGTCGCGCTGACATCGATATAAGTCAGGACTGTGTAACTGTAAAGTACTGTGAATGGCTTTCTAGAACGGCTTTGAACCACCTACAGTCCGAGAAAGGCAACAACACCCGCGAAGCAGTAGACGGTGTATGGGATGCTCTTGAAAGCGGCGGGGTTTAACAAGCCGCCTGGCATAGGCCTGGGAGGTAGTCTCCGTCGAACGAGCAGGTTGGCTGTACCCAGGCTAAACAGGAGAATAAAGCCTATCACACGCAGCGTCCAAGGGAACCTAAACTGCGAGGTTATGGAGGTGAAGTGAAAGTAGCAATGCTAACCCGACACGAGGGATGAGGTTCCGGGCGACAATCTGCAGGAGAGGTGAGAAATACAAGGGTAAGACTGCTGTCATGTACCGGAAAGACGGTGCCCCCGACAGAAGATCCCACTGCAGTAACACCAGTCGCCAGTCCACGTCTATACTTGAACCAGTGCCCAATCACTGCTGTCATGGGCCCATAGACCACCCCGCAAGCTATCTGAAAAGAAGTCACGATAGGCGTTTGCGAAGGGTAGACTTCAGACCCCAACGGCGAAGCCTTGACAGAGAAGAAACTGCCAGTATTTTGTACATTCGGCTGTGAGAAATGTTGCGGCGATAAGTAGTGCACTGGCAGCAGCGAGAGGCACTCTCAAGTGTCCGCGATCGAAAGCGTGGCCGGTAATCAGGGCAGGAATGAAAACGAGGGCGTATTGGATTGAGCCAATCCAAGCACTAGAAATATTTTGAGATTAAGTAAGCAAATGGTTCTCACATACATATTGGAGACAGCACTGTCTTTCAGCAAAGTATCTTGGTAGTATGCCTGGAAGACCTGGTAGAAACTTATCAGCGATTTGGTTCTTCGTCGGGAGTTCCCGTACACCCCAAGAATTGACATAGCCAAATCTAGACTCAAAAAAACGCGTGAGCAAACGCGTTGGCACAGAGTGGTGCGACTAACGTGGAAAAAGTCGTAAAAGCAGCCTGAACTTTCTTTAGCACTAGACAAAAAATTTGGGTCGATCAACTTGAAGGGACTCACCCCAAGAACGATTAGCCATGCCCTCAAGCCGCCATCCGGATACTCTTCGTTATAAATGTCGTCTAGATTCTTTTCGTCCGTACTAGAGAGGGCCGTAGCTTGAACGCGGGAGCCAACTTGTGTTTTTGTTGATTCTGCATCGCTGCCGCGGCGATGCGTCTCGGTGCCTTCTTGCTTCTTGGACTCGAATGGCTCAAGACCAACCGGTCCAAGAGAAAGAGGAGCGGTGGAGGCCATATGAATGGCGCGGCCTACCGACTGCTTTTTCTATGTCGTTGGAGAGACTCAACTTTGAGCCGCCGTGGCCATGTGAGAGATTTTATATATTTGTTGTTGGTACTGCTGAGTTCAGCTTTGATTATTGAGGCCAAGTTAGTCAGACCACCAAGTTAGTCACCAGGAAAGGTGTTCGTAAGTAGAAGGAGAAATGAAGCTACAGCGGCGAACGCCTTATCATCATTGCACAGTCCAGGAACACTTCCAACGACTCTACACTAATGCCTACATTGCAGCTACAGTGGCCGAAACATGTCCCGGCCAACGATAGCTCCATTCCGACCGATAATTGACCTGATGAGATCTTTTCGCTGTGGTAGATCGTGTGACTCGTGTCTGGTACATCCGAACTGAGGACAACCGAACTGTTGAAACACAGGCGAACCCCGCTATCCTCGACATTGGGCTGGCCTTTAATATGACTTGTGCCGTAGTTGCCAACGTCTGCCTTGTTGTCCGGTTCCTCGAGAAGAAGGTCAAACTCATGGACAACACAATGGTCGACCTCCATTGAAATGGCTACTTGGATTTGGGCGACGGGTTCTCTGGCGGTACTCCCCACTCCGGAGTCCCCTCAGGTCGTGGCACGCGTTTCATATCCCAATCTTCTTCAGGCTGCGCGCTCAGTCTCTGCCAAAACAAATCAGCTATAATGATCTGGTCGGCGCAATTAAACACGCACAAAGTACTCCTCTCTGATATCGAACTTCCGCCTGCCGTGCTCCAGCTTGAGTTCCTGCTCCTTCGTGACTTGCTTGACGCGTTGGTCGTGCAGGTCATATTTCGTCTGGGTGAAGTAGCTTAATCCGTATGACGTGCCGACCATCAGCAGTATGAATGGAACACCGAATATCAGGGGATTTCGTCGGACGAGAAGATTGAGACGCGATGGGTTGAGTGGACGGGATGGGAATACCGCCATCGTGTTGCCTGTAAAAAAGAAACGAGCGCGTCACGGAGGTCACACGATAAAGAACCAAAACATTGTCTTGCGGTATTCACTTCAAGTTACTTATCATGTTTCATTATCATGTTTCATGACTTTCTGAATCACATACGTATTCGCTATGCCATTAGTTGTTTTTGTTTCAACCTCTGAGTGCACTTGACATAGTAGGATCAAGTTTATTAAGGATACAAGCATTGGTCGTGTCCTAAACCGTAGTTCGAGTTTTTAACAGAGCTGTGATATTTCCTGGCGTCCAGGTGACTTTCCCTTCTATATCGCCGATAAAAACCTGCTTCAAGGACGGAATGCCAACAACAGTTTCGTACAGACGGTCCACCGGATCGGCGCTTATCACAGTAAGCTTGCGCAGATTTGATTTCCTTGCAAAAAGGACCAAGGGCGAATTAGGCTTAAGTGCAATGGGCCCTCCGCCCGGAAGATTTATCAGTTGTAGTGTTTCCAGCGCAGGCGTGTCAAGTTCAGAGAAGAATGATGCTAGTCCAGGACTCCAGGCCAACCGATGGATCCTCTGATGACCAAGGATGATAAACACGGCAGATGCAGTGGATGGTCTTGAAGAGAGGCTTCTGACCGTGGGTGAATGCGAACAGTGCAGTGGAGTAAGTTCTTGCAGCTGTAAAGGATGTGATACACCTCGTCAAGACCACAGAAATAATCCATGATGTGCAACTCGGTGAGGCGGCTGTAGGGCAAGTAGATTCGTGCTGGGTTGGACTCAGCTCCGACGATAACGACCTTGGTGAGTCTTGGGATGCTGGCGGTAGACAAGAATACTCCTTGGAAGTTGTCCTGCGTATTTAGCTCAATATATTCGAGCGACGGCAGCGATGTGCTGAGTAACGTGGAGATAATGGGGGCATCTAGGCGAAGGCGCTTCCAGCGTCTTGCGGAGGGACGAAACATTTGGACTACATGGTTATTGAAATAATCGATCTTTGGTGACGGGGGTCCTGGACGACGATCCCGCTTCATGGTGAAGCTAATGGCGAGCGGACAGTCCCGTGATCGGTCAAGCCATGTCTCGACCAAATTCTTCCACGTCCCTGGTCGCCTATCCAGGCTTAGCGAGAGCGAAGACCAGAGTGCCGGGGTGGCTAGAGCGACGTTGCGCCACGCGCTCGATATCTGGCATAACAATAGTGGTGCTTCCGTTCTCGAGGGGGAGATAAAGTCGGTATCAGGCAGCGTCAACGTGAAGATAGTTTCCAGTACTTCTATGGGAATCTGTTGTGCGACAGTTATCGCCTGCATATGAAGAGCAAGGACATCTTGCACGGCGTTGAGCTCTTGCTGCACCGTTTCACGCTGTTTAACTAGTTTCGCGTCAGGTGGGACTTCTCCAGGGGAGATTGCGAGCGCGATTTCGATTTCGTTGAGTTGGGCCTCGAGTGCCTGGACTGCCATTCGGAGACCGGGTATCACCGCTTGCAGGATCTCATTTTCAGTCGGGGTCGGTTTTTTGTTGTCCGACACGAGCCGTTTAGCGAGGATAGTCTGCTTTGCGCATGAAACTGAGTAGTAAAAGATTCTTGAGCACCAACCGTTTCCGAGGCAGTCATCATAGTTCAGAAGCAAACGGCAAGTTCACAGCCTCAGTGTTGAAGACATCACTTCCAAGGCCGCCTTTTGAATACATTGATAGAGGCGGAGCTCCCTCGCAAGCTTGTTGGCAAGTCCTGTTAGTTCAAAGCAGTTGGAGGCAGTTGGTGGTTCATCGTCACGAAGTGGGCGATTTTATGTACTTGCCAGTGAGTGGCAATGATTTCTGATCACGTGGTACTGGACACTCAGCTCAAACTGCGATGTTCAGGATGCTCTCCGAGCGTGCACAGCGCAGAACAACCAAGCTGTCCACTACATCAAAACTTGAAGCTGTGGCATCTAGATCAATACTCATCTCCGTGTGAACAACGTCGATGACCCCAAGACATCTCGAAACTGTGCGCGTTTTATTTTCCACTGGCAGACTTCCAGTTGACCATTGCTAATGGCCATATAGACTGCCCTAGCTCGACGACTAATTGCGCAGAATAAACGACCGACTGTTACTGAAAATGCAACCCTCCAAACGGCCATCTCAGCCCTCCGTGACACAGTCCGAAAGCTCAACGCCCAATTCAACGATATCGACTTCGCGCTCGCCGTAATCCCTCCTGATGCGGCCCCCGACGCGGAGCTGAAAACACAATATGCTCAATTACAGCAAGAGCTCGATTCCGCGCAAGAACTGCTTGCGATCCATACAACAGCCATAACACTCATACGACAAATCCCAGTAGAAGTACTGGAAATCATCTTCGTGTTCACTCTGCCCAGGTCGAACCCTGCCTCCCCTTCAAAGACAGAAGCACCATTGCTGTTAGGTCAAATATGTTGTGCTTGGAGACGTGTTGCGTTGACCACGCCTCGACTGTGGTCGTCTCTTTCTCTGAGCCTGGATAGACGACCAGGAGAGTGGAGGCATCTTATCGAGACTTGGTTGGGACGGTCCGGAGATTGTCCGCTCACAATGAGCTTCATTAAAGGGACGAATTCGGCCTACTATTTCAATGAACATGTGATCCGAATGCTTCGTCCTTATGCAAAGCGATGGAGGCACCTCTTGTTGGATCTCTCCGCGGTAACAACAGTAAAACTGCTCAGCACCACATTGCCATTACTTGAAACAATCCAAGTCAACACGCAAGGCGAGTCGGCAGGACTGTATCTGTCGACTGCAGATGTCCCGCGACTCAAGAGGGTGCACTTTGTGGGCGATAGATTGCACCCTAAGGGCATTCAGTTGCCCTATCGCCAGCTTACAGACTTGAGGGTCCAATCCGCGCCTTGCTCATTAGACGATGTTTATCGAATCCTCACCAACTGTCAGAATCTGGTTCAATGCGCTGTGTCAATTTCAAGCACTTCAACAGCAACGCAAAACTCGCTCCAGCACCGACCAGTCCATCTCCCACATTTGCGGGAACTGACCGTCAAAGGGAGTATTGCTACCCCTGCTATTGCTTCATTCTTTCCTGAGCTTCGAACGCCAAAACTCGAAACTCTTGAGCTGGTTAACATCACAGATTCGGAAAGCGGATCGTTCGGGCTTCACGACGAGTCGCCGTTAGCCGTCTTTGCGAGGGCATCCAATATTCGAAAACTCACCTTGCTGGGTGACAATCCTGAAGCTGATTTGTTCCAAATGGTGGTCGCGATACCATCGCTGCGGGAAGTACTCATTGGGAATGTCGATGGTGGAGATGTGTGGACGCCTGAAAATGTTCGTCATGCGTTGGAAATGCGGGGCGAACCAGAGGTATAAATTTGATCTTAGGTCGCCGTTAGTTTATGGAAGACTTCTATGTTCAAACAGAGCTGCAGTTGGCCCTTGAACTAAGATAAACATTGACAACCATGATGTGCCCTGAACTTCCGAAGCTTCAACATTCATTCAACTTGAACTTCAAGTTGAACTTGACCGTGACATTCCGCTCTGATCCATTCCGGAGTATAAGTAGCCCTCAGTGCATGTATGCCTTCCCTCCTCCAGCCATTATGATTCGCCTTTCCGTCCTCCTCTTTACGTTTGCGTGTGCAGGGATTCATGCGGCACCAAACCCGATTACAGTTGGGGAGAAGCATCTCGTTCGCGTGAGATGGTTTTATCATGATTTGTGCCTCTACTTATTCTCTTTCTGACGACTGTACAGGAAGGCAACGTTAACATATATGCTCGTGAGGATGGTGCTATCCACGCGAATAACTTTCCCAACCAAGCCCGACACGAAGGCCATGCTCAGGGGGGAACGGAGAATGATGTCATAGAAATTGGAGCGAGCACCACGACTTACCCTTGGTAGCATGGATATCTCGCATTCTCAATGGCCGTTCTATGTCATGCTCGACTTGTAAAGATGTGCTTGCGTCCGTATCTTGGAGAACCAAAGACAAAAATAACATTTGATGATCTTGCTGTCAAATTTGGAGAGAACCACCACCTCTATGTCACCCGACAGCAGCATTGAGCGCATTTGCGGCTCTGATTCGCTCTGCTGGCGATGAGTCTTCTTTTTCCTGCCTGCTCCATGTGATGGTAGTGCACCCAGCTTCCCAGGCTCCAAACCATGACCGTCGTCGTCCATATTCTGACTTTTGGCCTGCTGTCTATCTGTGTTTTGGGCCAGACATGGTTTGCTTGCCATCCTCCGGAGGGAATGCGAACTAACTCACAAGCTTAGGTGCAACAAAAACTACATGGCGACTGAGCCCATAACGGACCCAGGTATGGATGGGCATTTCCTCGTTCATTACACTTGTTAACGGATTCTTTCTGCAGGAGGGAGGTTCCCCACTCCTGCCACATCTAGCCACCCTCTTTTGGCGCTTCGCTGTGCGCCAGCCATCCGTCCATATCTTCCCGAAGACGCTACTCACCCTACGACGACGTCCCCCACCGAAATCCTGGTCGATACACCTATTGTGTTTGCTCAGGTTAACAACGCTGCACCAATCACACTTTCGAAAGACGCTCTTTCTGTCAGTGTCTCTGTTGACGGAAAACAAATCGCTGGTGGATCTGTCCCTCTCAACGCAACAAAACACGCCCTCCCATTCGCACTGTCCGCATTGAAACCACAGACAGCTGCATATACGATCACTTGTTCTGCTACCCTCGGCAAGCAGACGTTCAGTGCGACGAGTCTGCTCACCTACCTACCTGACCCTCCGCCAAACATCGGCTCCGTTGTTAAATTCGATGCACGGACTGGAGCCATCTTGGCGCGACCGCTAAATGGACCTAGTGCGGCCGCGTTCGAGCCCGTGTTTCCTATCGGCTTCTACACAGGCTTTGGAAACTACTTACAGACGAATTATACTACTGCGCTACCTGAATTGAAAGCTCAAGGGTGTGTTCACAAATTATTTTGCGACCTTATCTCATCGTTCTAGTTTCACGGTTGTTCACCCAATCCCATCCTTCGATAATATCACTCTACTCAATCAGGTCTTGGATTTGATGGAGAAAGAGGGTTTGTGGCTCATGTATGACATGCGAGGGTATGCATTACTCTTGCTGTTGGTTGTCTCTAATGCGACCCAACAGGACCTATATGAATGATACCTCTGTAACTGAACAGGTCAACCGCATCAAGACACGCAAAAATCTTCTGCTCTGGTATACGGCCGACGAGCCCGACGGGACCAGTGACCCTCTGGGTGCAACGCTGCATTCCGCTAACCTAATCAACTCTTTGGATGGTGGAGATGGGGTCGGCGGCGCAGGATATCACCCTGTATCACTCGTGCTCAACTGCGAGAATTACGAGTACACTGCCTATGCTAGCGGAGCCGACTTCATCCTTCAAGACACGTATACCATCGGCAACAATTTGTCATTCTCGACAGTCTGGGGCACCCCTTGCACGGACGGTATGCTTGTTTATATCTCACCAGGTCCCTACTAGTATCGAACTTTTTCCAGATTACGGTGACTGTGGATGCGACAACTGCCACGCTGGCTTCCCAGACATTGCAACACGCATGGACGAGTTCAAGTCGCGCAACTTCGTCAACGGCTGGGAACTTACCAAAGCTGTCTGGACGGTTCCCCAGGGCTTCGGAAACGAATCGTATTGGCCACGCTACCCGACCGGCGAAGAGTGGGTGCTTGAAGCCATTCTGGGCATCAACCACGGTGGGACGGGCGTGATCTCCTGGGACGACCCCACGATGCCTGACGTCAAGGCCTCTGCTTCAGGCCTCGCGAAAGCCCTCAGCAGCGATATGGCAGCTTATATTCTCAGTCCCGAAGCAATTTTCCGACAAATTACGTTCCCCAATGGCGTTGATGCTGCTCTCTGGACAGTCGCCAGTCAAACCCTTGTGCTGGCGACCAACATCAACTACAAGGACGAGACGGTGACTCTGTCGCAACTGCAACTTTCAGGGAAAATCAAGCAGGTATTCAATAGTGGGAGCAGCGTTGGCTCAGGCGGGAAGGTGTTGAAGTTTGGCGCGGTTGGATCTGGTGGATTCGTTGTAACAAAATGAATGTTTCCGAGTTGGACAAGAATGTGTTACAGGGGGTATCTATGGGGGGAACCGTCACTTCTTTCCCAAGGCCTTGCGGATTGCATTCTGCAAGGTAACTCCGTCGTCCTACAGGCTGTTTAATGCAAAACAATGGCTTGAGCGTGGAAACGAACCTGATCTAAAGACCAAGTGAAGACGCCTCCCATCCCCTTAGATTTGACAAACGCCGCTTTGTCCGCAAGAGAGTGAGTATCTGGGTTTGATGTCAGATTGGTCTAACGTTTTGCGACAACAATACCATCGAACGAGACGACGGTAGCCCTGGCGGTGTTATATAGGAACGGGGTCGTCGAGCATTGGTCTTGACTGAGCGTATATCCTGAACCCGCTCCGTAACTAAAAGGGTTAGAATGGCAGAAACCATATAACATGCGCTACGAACCTTCCGTCCTGTTTCTTGATCAGAGCGCCAGATGCAAGAAGACTGTTGAACGGGATGGCTTGTCCCCACCACTTGCTCAGGTTCGCAACAGCTTGCGCGTCGGTTTCGCCTGTGGTAGGCTCGACTTCCGGGTCAAGGGGGTGCGGAGTTTCTGTCAGCGGGGTTTCGTCAGGCACCTCTGGCTCGGTTTCGGGGTCATCAGGAACGATGATTCGGCGATTCCCACCACGAATCGGCCCAACTGGGGCGCTATCTTGGGTAGGTTCAATTCCAGGCGGGATTTCAGTCGGAGGATCTTCCACATCAAGCTCGACAAAGCTGGAGAGAGTCGTCTTGGTTGATCTGAAAACATAGCCGTAAAGCGGAAGGCCGAGGAGGAGCTTCGATGCGGGGCATTTAGCGGCCGTCCATTGATTGAAAGCGGCCTTAGCAGTATACTGTGGCTGCGAAGATCGCCCACACGCGTCGCCCAGCGGTGCATTAGGCCCAGGAGATGCACTCCATCCACCATTAATATCATAATTCATGCTAGGCTTCATCAGATCACAGAATGGAAGAGTCTCAAAAGCACTTACATGTTGACATAGGTGAGTTGAGCCGCGTATTCAGACACATCTCTGAGCGGCGCGCCGTTGGATCCCAGCCAAGGCAGATCGGTGACCGCTGTTGATATAATCTTGGACCAGCCTGTTATGGTGAGATGTCACCATGTCAACGCGGTCACATGACGGAGCCATACCTAATGAAGCGCGCAGCGCCTTCAGAAGAAGCAAGAAATTCGCGGCATCTGCCGGTCCGAAGGGGTTTCCATTGCCAGGAGAGTTGGGATACTCCCAGTCAATGTCGACTCCTGTTCAAGGATAAGCGGTTGGCGGTCAGATGTTCTCATGGCATACATACCATCCAGGCCGTACTCAGAAACCACCTTAGACACGCCAGAGACGAACTTGGATCGACTTGAAGAGCTTGCTGCCATCTGATGGAATGGCCCACTGTCTGTCCATCCACCTACAAAAATATGAAAATGCGCAACACAACTCTGAGCTGTGTTTACCAATCGACAGTACAATCTTCGTGCCTTTTCCGCTCTTCCTTGCACTTGGGACCAGTCGCCTAAGCATTGATTGAGTTTCATACCCTAGCACAACGCCACCAGAAGTGCTAGGGGCCCCGAAGGCTGGGGTCATGAGCACAATTAACGGCTGCATGGAGTTGACTAACCAACGAAAAGAACGTCAAATTTCGAGTAGTCGAGTCTTTCGGGCGGATTGCTGTCCATGGTCCACGCTAAGACGGCCCTTAGCATTCGTGTCGATCAAAAAAGAATTAGTATACTGGGATAATATGCAGCTGCAATGGGCTGCACAGCAGCAGCAGCTACCGCCTCAATCAAATTCTCGGCTGCCTTTCGAGACAAGGTCGATGGAACCGCGTCTTCCAGCTCGAACTCCTGCAAAGGCACATTGGTGACCGTGGGTGCGATGAACTCTTGGACAATGTCATCATGTCGGTATTGCGGGACCTGTAGGAGCTGAACGAGGTATTCTTGCAAGCCAGATTTGCGTTCAGCAATAAGGGTGTCGTCAATCCACGCAGAAGGCAGAAAGGTCGTGACTAGGATGCGCTTTGGTGGAAGATCGAAGTCCTTGATGCCCAGTTTAGCATGGAGCGTGACGAACTGTGTTGTGTTGGCTCCTCGCTTGAGTGTGGAACGTAAAGCGACACACCTCGGAATACCGTTTCTCGATAACGTCCACGCTGCCATCTCTGTCAAGTTGGAACTTGTAGATGATGTGTGGACGTGGTATAGAGCTCGTGGTATGGCCAACAGTTGTCACGACGGGGAACATTGTAAAGAAGAGGGAGGTTCCTGAACAACATTGGTCAATGATATAAGTACTGTCAACCAGCAATTTCGATTGACGTTTTGCGATCGAAATAAGACAGGAGCGCAAGATCCGAATAAGGTATCCAGTCCGGCAGAATCTGCAACGGACATCGAAAGCGTTCAGAATCAGCTAACCAGTCAATATTCGGGGCAAGCTTCGCCTGTCTAGACAACTTGAAAGCGCGTAATCGGTCGTGTCCTTCGTGAATGGGTATCGTTCTGCCTCAACTCAACATCCCGCATCTTTATTTCCCTAACGCTTTGCGAATAACATTCTGCAGTGTCACGCCGTCGTCCTAGCACGCTGTTTCAGCAGGCAAAGAGCCGAAGCAAACCGGTTTTACCTGGTCCAGGCTCCACGTGAAACAACCTGCCATCCCATTAGATTTGGCGAGAGCAGCTTTATCGGCCAACGAGTACGTGTCTGGGAGCCCTCCATCAACAGACCATATTTCTTGAGCTTAGTCGCAACTCACCATCGTATGATACAACAGTCTTTTGGGAGGTATTGAACAGATAGGGAGTGTCACTGCAGTCATCCCAACCTACACCGGATAAACAAGCATCCTTCAGGAACGAAACAACAAACCTTCAGTGAACCCGTTGGCACCACTATAGGTCCCGTTGGAACTCTTGGTGAGCGCACCGGACGATACGAGTGACGAGAATGGGATTTGCTGGCCCCACCAACTTTGCAGATTTGCAGTTGCGTCGGCCTTGACTTCGGAGATGATAGGCGGGCGAACGGTCACCGGCCGTCTGTTGGCGCCACGCATCGGATTGACTTTGACCGTTGCACTCGTGGAGAACTCTTCCGGTTCAACGAAGCTTCCAGTAAGCACGGTCTTGCTGGAATTCAAGACGTATCCATAGAGAGGGAGGCCGAGAAGGAGTTTGTTGGCAGGGAACTTAGCAGCCGTCCATTGAGTAAACGCCGCTTGTGCACTATAATTAGGTTGGCTCGAAGTCCCACATGCGTCGCTAAGCGGTGCATTTGGACCAGGCTATCGGCAGTTAGACCGAAGCAAAAAATTGTGGCGATAACCCACCGCGGGTGACCAATCACTGTGTGAGGTCAACTTGAAGTCAAACTTCGATTGCTTCGGGAAGCACTCACCCAAAGATGTCATAGTTCATAAGATTGGCATAGGACATCTGCGCTGCATACGCTGACATGTCCTTGATTGGATTCCCATCTTGAATTCCGCACTTTCAGAAGGGCAGTCCGCATAATCACGAAGACTACTCACCAGACCCAAGCCAAGGCAGATCTGTAACAGCAGCAGAGATAATCTTGGACGAGCCTGAAATAGGTTATCTTAGACCTTATCACTCTTCCGAACTCTTACCGAGAGCAGACCGAAGCGAAGTCAACAGCTGCAATAGGTTCGCAGCGTCCGCCGATCCGTAGGGGTTTCCAGCACCAGGATTGTTAGGGTATTCCTGTTCGAGTCGAATTTTACATTCTTCACATGTAACAAAGGTCGTACCCAATCAATATCGATACCTGGAGGATGGTCAGCCTTGAACTCGCGACGTTAATAGAATCTCCCAACCATCCAGCCCATATGTCGAGACCGCGCTTGAAAGAGCAGACACAAATGTTGAACGGTTGGCCGAGGAACTACAGGCTTGATGGAAGTAGGTTGAACCGCCCCACCCCCCTTCAGCATCGTCAATTTTCAAGATACATTCGAGAGATCATAACACTCACCAACGGACAAAACGATCTTGGTGCCGGCTCCGCTCGCCTTGGCGCTGGAGACAAGCCGTTTGAGAATGGCTTGACTACCAGAGTCCCACGTTAGCGTTGACGACGAGTTTGGAATCGCGAAAGCTGCATAATTGTCAGCAGAGGCTTCCAAATACATACAGACGGACCAAAGAACAAAATGTCGAACTTAGAGTAGTTGAGGTTTTCGGGCGGGAAGGCATCCGCAGACCAGTCTAAACAGGGCTGAGGAGTGAATCGAAATGGTGCGGACAGACTGACCTGGGTAATAAGCAGCTGCAATGAACGTGGTGGCTGCAACAACTGGTGCGAGTTCTTGAGCTGCCTTGCGAGACAAGGTCGACGGCAAAGCATCTTCCAAGTCAAATTGACGTGGAGAGGCACGCAAAGCTGGTGTTAAAAACTCCTTGAGAGCGGCTTGGTCCTTGTAGGCTGGGTTGGCCAGGAGGGTATTGAGAAATGTTTTGAGGCCCTTCTTGCGTTCGGCAATAAGCGCATCGTCAACCCAGGCCGAGGGTATGAAACTCGTAACAAGAATCCGTTTAGGAGGAAGGTCAATGTCCTTCACACCTAGTGCATGGTGTAATTGAACAAACTGGAAATGGCTTAGTGAAGTTTGCAACGATACCGAGTCACTTGCCTCTGAGAATCGCTTCTTGACGACTTCTGTCTTTCCATCCCTCTCGAGCTGGAAGGTGTAGACAATGTGAGGACGAGGAGTCGATGCGGTCGTGTGTGCGACGCCTTTGATAACAGCAGACATGGCGAGTGGAGTTAAGCTAGCAAGGAGAGAGACACGGCAGTCGGTGGTATTTATTTAAGCGATTCCACCTCCGCTCCATCTCGAGGGAATCCTGGAAGCGGAATGGGAAGAACATGGGTTTGTTGTTGGACTTCTGACGCTTGTTGCCCTTGCTTCTAGGACTTATCGCGCGTGGTTCTTAGAGACCGAATTTCGCGTGACCGCACGATGACGCTCGTTATCAGGTGGCAAACCTAGCAGCGACGAAAAAGGCGAAGGTGGAGAGAACACCAAATGATACGCCGCCTCGGATTGCCGAACTAGCAGACAGTGTTATCAAGCCAATTTTGCGCTTTCCTTGCCAGTGCGGTCTATGCGAAGAGAGTTCCGCACCTCGGGCGTCCTGGAGAGCGTGGCTCGGTTCTACTTCAAAGTTGGCAACAAACACCATGACGGCAGGAGCTTGAAAGTTTGATGTTCACGTGTTCATCAACCTTCTTCAAGTTCTCAGCCATTGGCAACAAACTCTTTTATGATGTTCTGGGACTGTCTGGTCGTGTGAGGAAAGGTTGTCTCCGATCCACCCGAGTGGCGGATTGCAACAAACCAAATCAAGTCAAACCGCCTGCCAGTGGAGACGGTCAACATTCAGAAATTTTCGCATCCAAAGCTCTATTTTAGCTGTCGCCATATACCAACGAAAATCAACCCACGACTGCATTGTCGCTCAACAGGCGGCAGCAAAGATGATCATATTCTCTGGCACTGTACTTATGTATTGCACTTGCTAGACTGCCTGCCCCGTTCCTACCGCCTGACGTTGACCGTCCACGACGCTGGACATTCTTGCTCGCGGCGCTATGAAGACTCATTGGCTTGCTGCTCTATCTATTTTTGCTTTACCCGTTATTGGGGAGACAGCCAGCTCTGTCCATTTCGAGTCAGTGGTGATATTCTTATTGGGATTTGTTTTTCTAACATCGGGGGTCAGTGCGCATGCGGTTACTTGTCAATCCTTTCAGATATCGTGGACAGGAGGTACTCGTGAGTAGTGTGCACCATGGAACTCACAGAAACTTACCCAATCAATATCTCCAGCGCCATTTAGCTTGGTATGATGCATATTACACGTTTCCTTGCGCTAACGAGTCTCAAGACGTAGGGAGCGCTCATTTAACCTCTACTTGAACCTCACTGGGGTCCTAGCTTGGCAAACTTCGCCGCTCCCGACCCGCCAATCCTCGCAATCGTTCAATCTAAGAGCTCCTATGTGTGGACTCCGAATGTCCCTGCGGGTGGATTTGCCCTGTTTTATTCAACAGTTTACTGACGTTGCACTAGGTACAGTTGTGCGCTTACAAGCCAATGATAGCTCGGGGACATTGGCGTCTACTAACACATTTGTGATACAAAAAGGAAGTGCGTGTCGATGTTAAGACTATGCTCTCTTTCTCACCGACATAAGCGGACACCTCTTGTGTTATCCTTCCCAGCTCTCAGTCGACGATATCCTCGACAAGTAGTTTGGGAGGAGCGGCACTTTCGCTTGCGTTGCGGCCATCTTCTAGCCAACTGTCTTCTTCCAGGTGTGCTACTGCACTGCCTTGGTTAAAAATATTCTTGACAACGTACAGCGCATCCGAGTCATCTGCGTCAACTAAAACAACCGGGAAAGCTACAGCCGCAAGAAACGACGGCCTTGCCATCGCCGCCATTGTAGTGCCCGTCTGCACTTTACTGGTCTTTCTATTGATTGGCTTACTGGTCCTCTTGAGGCGTAGAAGACGCCAGCTCAGACGCGGTGACAACTTGAATCACTTCACAGGCAAGGCTGATATGATCCTCATACGTAGAAACTAACAATGGTTGTTGATTAGATCTCGAGAATTCTGAAAACCCATTTGAGTCACCGATTTCGAGTCCAAGTGTGGCTCCCGGTGGTGGATCGATGTCCGAGAAAGGTCAGGTGAACTCGTCAGAGCTTCAGTCAGCACTGGACAGGATTCAAGAAATGTACACTCTCATCCGAGAGATGCAGAACACCACAGTGACTGGAGGAAACGAGCGAATCGCGGAGTTGCAGCGGCAGATTGAAGACCTCATGGCCGACAATGCGATGTTGAGCGGCGAGCTGCCTCCCGATTACGGTAGCTGAGCATGTATTTTTTGTAAAAACACCTGTTTGTTTGTTTGTAATACAGCAAATGCCTCCTGTTGTACACGCCTTGAGAAGTCAGCGAGTCAGTGTGATATCACAGCCCATTCTGGCTGTTGTGACGTGACAGCTGGTCACAAGAGGCTGAGTTTCCTCTCCTTCGTCCTTCGTCGACAAGGACTCTCTGCCGGATTGCTGCCCAGCGTCCGCCGCAAGAACCGCACTTAGACTCATTCCAGCTGCTTTCTAGCCTGCTGGCAGGTCTCTTTTGACGACCAACCGCACGCAGAAACCACCCCCACTCAGAAAATCACATCTCAACTTTTTTTTATCTCTTTGACCATTCGTGCGTGGCCTGGTTTTCTGCATTTCACAATAGCTAATAGGCTAGAATGAGCAAATCTTCAACTGCTACAGGGAAGAATTCAATATCTTCAAAGTCAGCTTGGGCAAAGGGCCCACCGCAGACGGCATCCGCACCCTCTCCTCGCTCACAATCTCCCGCCCCTTCTCCCACTAGCAATGGCCCACAACCAACACACTCGCGAAGATCGAGCACACTTGGCCAAGGGGTTCCCATAAAAGACGGCGTGAGCATACCGGGCAAGAATGTCGGGGCTGTAAAACAAGGTACGCGAAAGGTCATTTTTTCGCTCGATCCGAGTGCTTACTGTCTCGATGTTTTAGGTTCTGCAGTAACCTTTGGCTCCATAGATGACGCTTCTGCGCCCATTTCATCGTCGCCTGCCCCGCCAACCGCTCCCATCAAATCCGAGGTTGTAAAATCTTTCGGCACCGTCCCCGCCGCTCATGTCAACGGCAAACCGTCTATATCTAAGTCTATAGGTGTATCTTCATCCTCATCACCGACAACTTCGACCCCAGTTTCGGCCGTTCCGTCGACATCGTCCTCGCCTGCACCAAAACTCAACAAGATGGACGTTCGGGCGCTTTTCCAAAACCCTTCAACTCCCGCTCCCCCATCTTCGCAACCCGAAACATCTTCACCCTCAATCCGAACAGCCTCCCTTCCTCAACCATCCCAACCACCGCAGCCTCCAAACCCCTCCCAGTTTGGCACCCCCTTCTCCACCTTCGTACCCCGTCAGCAACAACAGCAACCACAAAATGGCGGTGCATCAGGCTCTCGTCCACCTCCTTCCCCCGTGTATGGGCGACCGCCAATACCCAACGGCAACGGGCCAAGACCACCAAATGGCCCACAAGTGCCTAACTCGGCTATGGGAAGCCCACGGCTATCGCAGAACCCCCAGCCAGGAATGCAAACTGGTATGCCTCCTCAAATGGCGCCGCCGATGGGCTGGTCGGGATACTACGTTCGTCACTATTTTCGTTTGATTTTCTTCGTGTAATCTTATTTGATCACAGTATGGGCCTCCAACTGGATTGCCCAGTGACCAACCGGGATATATGTACCAACCTAGCGGGTGGTATATGCCTGCGCCACAAATGCCGCCCCAAGGTCAACCAATGCATCCGGCTCCTCAAATGCCGCCACAACCAGGCATGCCCATGTCTCCCCGAACTCATCCAATCCCCCTTCACAGTGGTCCTGGCACTCCGACGCCCGCTCACGCTGTCCCCGTCCCTCCTCATCATGCGGCTCCGCCATTAGCCCAGCATTCATCGTCTGGCAGTGTGACGGCAGTATCTTCGCCTCCTCCAACTCCCTCCACCGCGCGTTTAAATACTGGCGCCCCTACATTTGTCCCTGGCGGTGCTGCCCCCCGACCAAAGTCCAAAATTGTGCTGAAAAGTGCTGATGGGACTGAAGTGAAGCTCGAAAGCTTGAAGCAGCATGTGCAGCCCGCTGCGACACCCGCAACACCACCCACATCGACTGTGCCATTGGCAACCAATAGTCCTGGACATCAAAGTAGGAAGTCGGTGCAGATCCGCATGGAGAGCGAAGAGGCGCGTAAAAAACGAATAGCTGCTGATGAGGAGGCGAAAGAGAAGGCGGAGAAGGCAGAGAAGGACAAAGTCGCCAAGGCTAAGGCAGAAGCGGAGGAGAAGGAGAAGGAGCGACTGCGGAAAGAGAAGGCAGAGGCCGACAGGAAAAAGAAGGAGGAGGAAGACAAAAAGAGGAGGTTAGAGGAAGAAGCGAAGGAGAAAAAAACGAAAGGAGGAGGAAGAAAAAGAAAAGGAGCGACTGAGGTTAGAGGAAGAAGAGCGCAAGAGGAAAGAGGAGGAAGAGGCCAAAGTTAAGGCGGAGAAGGAAGAAAAGGAACGCAAGGAAAAGGAGGAACTGGAGAGGAAAGCAGAAGAGGAGCGACAAAAGAAATTGGAAGAAGAGGCCGCTGCCGAAGCCAAACTCAAAGAGTCAGCAACCATCACGGAAGAGCCTGTTGAACTCGAGGATGGTGAACTCCAAGAAGTCGAACCTATCAGCGACAAAGACAAGGACTCGGGAGAAGCTACTCCAATCAAAGACACGCCTCTTCGTATCGACACAGCTCCTTCAACAGAGGGAGCGCGCCGTCGTCCAGGCCGCCTTGATCTTAGCAGCACTCTCAAGACCAACATTCCTTCCGCTCTCCCTTCTGCCCTCGCCACTGCTCGCATCATCGAAGATCTCAGTCGCATCACCTATCCCGAGAATATTCAGAGCCCCAAGTTAGAACTCAATGCCAACGCCAAAGATGGCAAGTTCCGGTATGTCTTTTTTGTTGTTGAATGTTAATTGTGGTAACATGTTTCTCAGATATGATCGTGATTTCCTCCTTCAATTCATGTTGATCTGCAAGGAGAAGCCCGACAATCTTCCCCCACTCGACGCGATCGGTATTGGCCCAGCTGACCAAGCAGCTATGACGAGAACATCGTCAAGAGGAGGCACTCACCGACCCGGCCGGACATCATCAATGTCTGGTCCCTCTGGTGGAAACACGACGCCGGGATTCCCATTCCCTGGCAAGGGTCCAGCGCCGTTTGGTGGCAGCATGGGTCATTTCCAAGGCGCGGGTACAAAGCTCACGAGCGAAGAACGATTCGCTCTCGCCAACGGAAATCGTGCAACCAGTGTCTCTGGTCTTGGTCAATTCCGTCCTGCGCAAATGCAACGGACCGCGAGTCAGCCTGGAGTGGGTTCTGCTCTTGGAAGCAAGCGGACACGGAGTAAGCGGGGTGAAACTCGCGACAAACACAACTCCACACAAGCACTCACACCATTGGCGGGTATCGAGAACGCTGCACCGCTAGCAATAAGTGCCAACCGATGGGATCGTCGCGCTCTCAACCAGATTGATGCGGATTCGCCAGAAGCCGTCGACCGTAAAGTCAAGAGTTTACTCAACAAACTGACGATGGAGAAGTTCGATTCGCTTTCGGACCAAATCATTCAGTGGGCGAACAAGTCGGAGAAGGAGAAGGACGGGAGGACACTCATCCAAGTCATTCGACTGGTGTTCGAGAAGGCGACGGATGAGGCCACTTGGTCGGAGATGTATGCTCGTCTTTGCCGCAAGATGATGGAGCAAATCAGCCCCAAGGTTCAGGATGACGGTATCAAGAATGCCGAGGGCAAGCCCATCGCTGGTGGCCAACTGTTCCGGAAGTATCTCTTGAACCGCTGTCAAGAAGACTTCGAGCGTGGTTGGGTAGCAAAGGAGGCGACTGCCGCTGCCGCTGCTCTTAAGGCGACGGAGGACAAGGCCAAGGCTGCTGCTCAAGAGAAGAAAGACGAGGAGGGTGGAAACGGTGACTCGAACGAAGACCCAGTGCTCTATTCAGATGAGTACTACGCTGCGCAAAAGGCAAAGCGTCAGGGTCTCGGTTTGATCAAGTTCATCGGCGAGTTGTTCAAGCTCCAGATGTTGACTGAGCGCATCATGCACGAGTGCGTGAAGAAGCTGCTCGGCAACGTCGAAAATCCCGAAGAAGAGGAGATTGAAAGTCTTTGCAAGCTTATCTCTACTGTTGGTTCATTGCTCGATACGCAGAAGGCGCGAGCACATATGGACGTTTACTTCTCGAGGATGAAGGAGCTCGCCAAGTCAAAGAGCGTCAGTTCGCGTATGCAGTTCATGTTACAGGTTTGTTTGTTTTCTTGCGTTTTTTTTTGGAGTCTCAGAATGCAACAGGACGTCATTGAACTGCGAGATCGCAAATGGGCTGCCCGGTCAACACAAATGGCAGCGCCGACTACGATCCAAGGGGTCCACGACGCCGTGAGTACACATATTTAGTTTTTTTCAACATATTCTAATTATTTCCTTCAGGCGGCAAGAGATGCGGCCAAGGCTGAGAAAGACTCATACCAGCGGACGATCAGTATGTCTCGTGGTGGTTCACGGCGTGGTGCAGAGCGAGGCGACTTCCAAGGGCCAGGACCTGATGGTTGGACCAATGTTCAGAGCAGTGGCAGTGGACCGCGGCCTCCACCCAAGGCTGGTGACCTTTCGCAATTCGGCAAGATGGGCAGCAGTAGCAAGGCCGGTTTGCCGATGACGCTTGGCCCGAGTAGCGTGTTCTCTGGGAGGAAGGATAGCAAGCGCGAATCACTGTCAAGGACCAGTTCTAACTCCAACATGTCGAGTAGCAACATGTTCTCGATGCTCAGCCAAACCGAATCCTCTCCAGAGTCAAAGGGTCAGTCTTTTTTTCTATCTGTGATGTGATCAATCTAATCGATCATCTGATCTAGCACCTGAACCGACCCAACGCAAACGTCTCATTCTGGCACCTCGTTCGAAACCAACGGAGGAATCGGCAGCGACTCCTGCTGGGTCAGACGAGAGCGAATCCGAGTCGGAGGGTGAGGCAGCGGTGGCAGAGATGTCAGACGAAGCTGCCGACAGGAAAGTTGCTGAAGACTCGAAAGAGTTCTTTGCCATTCGGAATCTGGACGAGGCGGAAGCGTATTTCTCTGCTCTTCCGCCAGCGCATCACCCTCGGTTGGTGGAAAAATTGGCTGGATCGGCGCTGGAGGCCAAGGAGTCGGACGCGCAACTGGTGGCGGATCTGTTTGGGCGGGCATCCAGCAAGGAGCTTTGCTCGGCCGAGGCATTCGAAGAAGGCCTTGCTCCTCTAGCCGAGATTCTCGAAGACATTGCCATCGACGCGCCTAAAGCACCCAACTACTTCGCCCTAATCATGAAACTGGTGACGTTTGACGACGAAAGGCAGAAGAGGGTTGCAGAGAAGACTGGCGATGCCGACAAGCTTCTTGCACTCATCGCTGCTTCATAGACCGCATTGATTACGCTTTTTTCTTACTCCGTCTGCTTGCGCATTGCTCATCGATATCTCTTTATTGGCTATAGGTAGTTTAGTTCACGCCACATAGTATTTCTTTCTGCGTCTCTCCCTTTTCCGTCTCCCTTTTTTTTTGCTTCGTTCCTCATTAGCACTACACGACGATTGTATTATATTACACGAGACAACACCCTGAGCAGAGCATCTTGAGCAGAATATTTGAGACGATCAGCACTGGGTTTTGAGAGGGAATTGCTCACAAATAGAACGAGACCGTTCTTTTCAAGGAGACTGACTGCTTATTTTAACCCACACAAGCAGCTCTGGACTGTATCAGCACCGTTTCCTGGTCATATTGTTCAATTTGCATGCATCATTGACCATGTGGCTGCGGCTGGACTCGGCCAGTGTGCGGCACGCCGGCGGCCCGGACTAGTATCCAACCGCCGCGCGCCGGCCTTATTCAGATACGGCGTTGCCGAAACACGTGACCGTTACGGGTTGAAAAGCTTCCTTTGCCTCCATGTCGCTGCAGCCGTCTTCTTCGGCTCTGTATCAGCAACTGTCTAAGACCTATGACGGCTATGGTAGAGCTTGGCCATCGATTCCGAGATACCCCACCCTAGAAGAATGTTCACCAGTGAGTGGCACAGTAAATACTGCATGCTTGCTTCGCTGACTCTTTCGCCGCCCTAGGACTTCAACTCTCCTGGGCGAATTCGTGGACCAGGAAACAGCTTCTTGATCAACATCAAGAACACCGCGTACGTTGCGGTTCTCTGGACCAACCAGACGGCGATGAATACAGGCATCTGGAACTACCATATTGCGCTCCAAACTACGCCCCAAACTCCCATTTCTTTCCTGGATCTATACAAGCAAGGATGGTACCCTGCGTATCATGAGCATGAGACTGGCCAGTGGATTTCCGAGCTCACCACTGGTGTCATTCCCGCAGGTGAGCTTGATGCAACTGCCATTATTCTGCTCTCATGCATAATGAGTAGAAGGAGCCAATACCCGTATCGGGGCTGAAGGCGAAATAGTCGTCCTGGTGAACAAGGATAAACTCTATTTTGCCACTTCTCCGTTTCCAGACCCACCTCTGAACCCCATCTTATTGTGCAACCCCGAACTTAGCCAGCCTCCGCAACCGTTTGACTTCTAATTACCTTGAGACTTGTATTTTTCTTTAGGTGTAGCTTTGATGGAATGTTCCAAGATCAAGCTTAGCCATGTACGAGTCAGTGACTGAGCGAATCCCATCATGTTGCTCCTTACTTATAGTAGCTGCTAGCACACTCAGATGTGTGTCCGTGTGGGCGCGTTCAAGTCACAGTGTGACTCGCCTGCCTTGGCTCCTAATCTCTCCTAATGTCGCCCAATGACAGCAAACCTCAGCAACCGTCCTCGGACACACTCTACCAACAACTGTTTCAAACGTATGACGGCTTTGGCGAAGCTTGGGGATCGATCCCGAGGATCCCTACCCAAGAGGAATGTTCTCCAGTGCGTGGGTGACACACTTTATGCTTACTTCGCTGACTCTTTTTCCCCCCAGAATTTCGACTCTCCTGGTCGAGCTCATGGAGAAGGAGCCGGGTTCATTATTCCCATCGGCGGCACGAACTTCGTCGCAGTCCTCTGGACCAACCATGCAGCGATGGAGACAGGCATTTGGAACTACCATATCGCGCACGAAAGCACACCTAACGTTCCCATATCCTTCTTGGACTTGTACAACCGAGGATGGTATCCCGCATACCATGACAATTCGAACGACAAATGGGTTTCCGAACTCGACAGTGGCATTGCTCCTATCGGTGAGGCGCTGACTCGCCTACCTTTCTTCTGCTTTTTGACATGCATTGCGCAGCAGGAGCCAAGACCCGCGTCGGTGCAGAAGGCGAAGTCGTTGTACTCATGCACCAAGGGAAGAATTATTTTGCCACATCTCCATTTCCACGAGCACCTTTGGATCCCAAGTATTTGAGAACAGCACCGCTCGCTTATAACCCTTAACTACCCTTGTATTTTCCCTTTGTTTCAACACATTGGACTCTTCAATTTCGTAATTCATTTCGTTCACGTGACCGCGAAGCTAAATTTTCCACGTGTAATTCAGTGTGTGTGTGCAGTGATCTTGCATCCTACCGTCATGCCCACTGCGGAGGACAACCACTGGCCGTATGGAATCCTTGAACCCGTTGACGGCTATGGCTATGGTCCAACCCTTGAAGTCCCTGACCACCACGTCATTGTAAGTGGCGGCACGCACCTTGCTCGCTGACGCCAGAACTTGACTAGAATTTTGACTCTCCCGAGCGTATCTCCCAGCCCGGGTATGGTTTCACAGTCGATATACCCGATACGCCCTTTGTGGGCGTTCTCTGGACGGACAGGGTTGCGATGGCTGTGGGCGTGTGGAAATACCATATCGCACGTCGAGCCACGCCGGAACGGCCTATCCCCGTCTTAAAACTCCACATGGATGGATGGGAAACGGCGTATTATGACGGTGAAGCACACAAGTGGGTTTCCGACGCCGACACTGGTATACTCCCAGTGGGTGAGCTTGCTCCGCAATCCAATCTTCCTGCCCTTTTGACGAAGTCCTGAATAGCCGGTGTCGAGACCCAGCTTGGCGTCGAAGGTTATGTCATTGCCCTGAAAAATCGTCAGAACAATAGTTTCCACCGTGCATCGACCACATTCCCAAGGCCACCGATGGCCCTCGCGTTACAAGGTGGCCAGTTCAACTCTGGAGCACTGACTCCTTATTCTCCTGCTCGCGGATGAAGACCAGCTACTGCACTCTGTCGTTTTTGTTCCTTTGTAATACTTGGCGCCAAATACAAGATGGGCCATGTTGCAAACCAGTGGATTTTAGAGGCTCTTCTGGTGATGAGTCTGCAGCGCACGCAAACAAGCTCAGTGTGCACAACTAATTGTTATCGTTAGACGCAGCTAGAAGGCACTGACAGTCTTACTTGGGGCGTCGATGTCTATGCACTACTGAAGATAATAAGTACTTTACGGAAGCAGATTGTACAACGTCTCCCTGACAATCTGACAAGTAGTAGCTGAGACTCGCTCTCTGCCATTTATTCTCAAATCACTCGCTACATCTTGCCGCATTTCTTCTGCGGTAAAAGGTTGGTTCAGCATCGTCAGCTACCAAGGGATCGAAATGTCGATGTCTGGGGGTAAATTTTTCTGTTTGTCAAGTACTGCATGAATTTAGTTTCTGAATGAGATGAATAAGACGACCTACGTTTCCTCTGTTTCGTCCGCCATCCCCATCTCCTATACGACGCGGGATCCGCGAGCCACTGGGCAAACTTGTTGGCTCGTTTCGGATCCTGACCGCTGCACAGCTCTACAACCTTCTCCGCCCACACTCGGAACTGCTCTTCGTCACCAAGTACCGCATAGCTCAGTGCGAGGTCCTCCATAAACGGAACCTGCATTCCCCACAAGCCCTCTTGTCTGACGAGCTCCAGCGCCCGCAGACTCGACTCGATAACGACATCATCCGAACGACACATATCCTCCGCCCAAGGCTCGAATCTCGTGTGTGTATTGCGCCAGTCGCGCAGCTCGGCCCTGGCGGCATCGCTTTTCGCGACAGCTTCGTCATCCGGCAAATCGCAGTGTTGGCAAAGACAAATAAAGTCGTATCGGGCGAGCTGGGCCCGTCGCTCGGCGCGAGGGGCGAGAACATCAATGTACTGGTTGTAGATTTCCTCTCCGGCTTGGACGTCACATAGAGAGTACATCGACACTGAGAATGTTGCAGGGTCCCATTTTATAGCAGTATTCAGTCCGCAACTGGGTTCAATCTTCAGTCAACCATCGGGCCAGAGAGAAACTTACCAATGATTTGCACGGCTCACACTAGGGAAGATTCCACCATACTCCTGCTCCGTCACCCCTAGTTCCACACCAAATGCATTCGTCAGCGCAATGCCCTCGACGATAGGCCGGCTCTCGACACTATGGCAGTTTGCCAACTGAAGTAAACGCTCTCTTTCGCTGGGTATGATCCTAGCGATGAGCGCATCGAAAGCTTCGCGTTTCCACGAAAGCAAGGGCTCAATATTGGAGGGCACTATCGCGACCGGCCTGTCAACCAGGATCAGTGCTTTTGCAACAGTTTGCATGCTGGAAAGCAACAAGGTTGCGACTGACCACCCGCGGGTATATCCCTGGCCGCAAACATTCCAGCGCCTTTGTTACCCGCACTGGCCACGTAGAAATTAGGCGGATCTGGCGTCCGCGGTGGCTCGTCGCGAAACAGCATGGGTAAAAGCCCGTCTTCGACCAGCATTGAGCATCCCGATAAATTTTGCGACCGCTCGTCGTCGTTGGATATTGGAGCATTGATAATTCTGAAGGTCTTGGTGGTTGTAGACCAAGTCGTGGTCGAGGCCATGGAAGTTGAGGTTAAGATCAAGATTTGTCCATCAAATCGATATTGCAACATCAACCTTGTCTCTTTTACAGACCCGAATGTTCCGTTAACCGGTCAACATCAACCCAACACCTAGAACTACTTCAATGAGGACAGACATTGATAAAAACTGGTCTACGATCAACGGAGCAAGGGTCGAAATCTACCATAGTCAATGGGCTCTTCGCTATCCAAAACCTGACCCAATTCACCTGGCGTGAGGCCAAATCGGCGAGCCATCGCCTGAAATGTCATTGCCTCGTTCCCCTCTAACGCTCTGACGCAGCTAACACTGTCAACAACACACTTCAGCTCCTCTTCATAGTTCCCGTCCCTTCGGGCTATTCGCAAGGCCGAAACGAGAAGGATCGACAGGGCCTCTGTAAGTCCTTCGTCTCGCGCATATTGGATCAACTGCTTTGCTTCACCTAGAGTTGCGCCGTCCGGAATCTTCTTCCCATCCGCCATCTTGAGAAAATAGCGAGCAATCTCGCGACGGCGTATATCACTGACGAGCGCCTGCTCTACCGGCAACTCGCATGTCGAGCAAGTGCATTCAAACATGTACTTGGCTCTCAACCCCTTCTTCCTTATCTCACGCGGCGCAGCAAGGTCGACATAGCCCAAAGTCAACTCTTCACCAACCTGAATTGGCCGGACGGCAAAGAGCTGTCCACTAAACGTCTCGGTCGAGAAGGAGTAGTGCGTGTTGGGGGTGCAGTCATGGTTCAAGCGACACAGCCGGGGGAATAGCGCGGGGTAATGGGATTTGACTTCCGAGCCAAACGGCGGTTTTGCTGCCAATGCATTCGTTTGGATGCGGCCAAGAATGGGCCCGACGACTGGGGGCTGAGCGTTTCGCATCGACATGAAGGAGCTTTGGGCTGACACAGAGAGCCCGGCGAGTGCTGATTCGTAGAATGTACCAGAAGACGTTACAATTCCTGGACGGGAAACGTATACCGGCCGTTCGCGAATTATTAGGTCCCCTCTACCGATAGCATGTCGAGCAAAGACGCCTACGCCCTTGTGGCCACAGTCACGGATGATAAATGGTGGAGATTCCGCAGGTAGAGGCGGTAATCGGGACATGAATGCTTCGAACAAGAGGATATTGGGGAGAGTGTCAACGAAGACAAGATCGGCGGATGGTGCAGGATGGAAGAGGAAATGTATCGATGTTGTGTCCAAAACTCTGTGATCGGCGCTGACGATGTAGGGACTGCGAGAGTAGGTTCGGGAAAACGAAGAAAGCTTGAAGTTGGCGTCACTATGTTCTGGAGGTGATGCGCCAGATCGATGTGTGGTGGGATGGCCTTGCGATAGATCATTTAAGCGGATCCTTGGGGCGGTTGATAAAATGTTTGAGGATGGGTTGTAAATGGCGCTACCTATTCGTCTTGCCAGTATTCAAGAATCCGCGCTTCATGCCCGTCAAGGTAGGAGAGAGAAAAGGTGGAAAGGAAATCCATCGTTGTCGGTTTTATCCCGCCCTCCACGTTGCTCAGGGTTGAAGTTTATTTTGACAAGGACTAACGGATCAGTGCAAGTCAGGTTCGCTAGCTGCAGCCTCGCAAATTCGTAGCCAAAGTTGTTTGCCAGAATTGGCCCGTAAACGTTTACGGGCTCAAATTAGCTGGTTGATACTTAGTATAGAGTGTCAACTCGGCGAAAGCTGGAATTTATCAAGTTTTTACCTACCACCAAAGCCGTGGGGGTCACCCTGACTGCGCTTGGAATCAGTTGCAGAATGCATCTTCGTGGCTTTATTGATATTGTCTTAGAGCAGTTAGGTGCTCGCAGATTCTCAACTTTTGAGTTGAGTGAAGCAGTTGAAGTTACATCAGCGTGACATGCGCTAACTGGGAAGGTCTGAGGTAAGCGGTGTGACAGCCACTGATCAAAACTTCCTTCCAGCGACCATGTCTTCAAAGATCCAGGTATGTCGCCCATTGCCTCGTACGATATGAAGCACTAAACCCACCTTATAGGTTAGTGCTATACTCAGTCAATATTTCGATCTAAGCACAAGCTAGGTCTCTAGCGTGCGCACCTCTATTCGAGGTCTCCTGGCCGACGCGACGGAGAAGAAGAGGAACTTCGTTGAAACCATTGAGCTCCAGATTGGGCTCAAGAACTACGACCCCCAGCGTGACAAGCGTTTCTCTGGCACCGTGAAGTGAGTGTTCCAATGAGCTTGAAGTAAAATTTCAGCTGCTGATCTCTCCAGGTTGCCCAATGTCCCGCGCCCTCGCATGTCGATGTGCATTCTCGCCGATGCGGCTGACATCGACCGCGCAAAACAGATCGAGCTCGAATACATGAGCGTTGACGATCTTAAAAAGTAAGTCCACTGTTATACGACCTGTTCCTTCTTGACCGTCTCATAGACTTAACAAGAACAAGAAGCTTGTTAAAAAGTTGGCCAAGAAATATGACGCCTTCCTCTCGTCCGAGACCCTCATCAAGCAGATTCCTCGTCTCCTGGGCCCCGGTCTCTCCAAGGGTTCGTCTCAAATATTGACAAAGGTTTCCGCTAACCTATCCTGTGTAGCCGGCAAATTCCCTACACCTATCGGTCACTCGGAAGACCTCTCCAACAAGCTTACTGAAGTCCGTTCTACGATTAAATTCCAGCTGAAGAAGGTCCGTTATTGCTCTCAAGTTTGAGTGTTGGAAATCTAACCCACAGCCAGGTCTTGTGCCTCGGTGTTGCAGTTGGCCACGTCCAAATGACCGAGGATGCTGTTCTTGCCAACGTCATGCTTGGTTAGTGTTTCTCTGATCGTCTTCATGCGACATATTCTAATCCTTGATATAGCCATTAACTTCTTGGTCTCCCTGCTCAAGAAGAACTGGCAGAACGTGAAGAGCTTGCACATCAAGACGACCATGGGCAAGCCTGTCCGTCTCTTCTGAGACGTCGGAAAACTCGAGACCTTTGCATATTGCGCGCACGCTACACCAACGCCTGTCTTGAGAAAGATGGTGCGGACTGGGAGCTGGGGTTTTACAGTTTATGTCATTTACTCAAGAAAATCAATGATATGCTTGCGAGTACCAGTACAACAAAGCCTGATTCAGACTACCTTTGTCGCAAGCACCAGAACGCTGACTGCTCATATTTGTCACCCAATATCACGTCGATATCTGCGCGGTCAAACCGGCGACAGTGAATCCATTGGCACTGATATGCACGAGCGGCCCACTCTCTGGCGTTCTTGATGTCTCCAAAACAAAGGTATACTCTTGAAAGATCGGCCAAGACTTCCCAATACTCATCGATTGACTGCAATCCCTCCTGCTCGAGTAATTCCAGTTGTCGATAGCACTTTTTGAGGAGCCAGTCATCTGGCAGAGTCTTGTCTCTGGCCCACTTCAGGAGGCGCGGCGGATCGAATTCAAACTCGTGTATATCTTCGCGATGGTCGTCAGATGCAGGGTCCACACACGCATGACACGTGCAAACAAAGCCATATTCGTCAAGGTTTTCTTGACGGTCTGCTTTACACGACAACAGATCCACGTAGGGGAAGGTCAGTTCTTCGCTTTTGGCAATGTTGCGGGCCGCATATAAGCGTATCGAGAAGGAATTTTTGTCGAAGACTCTGGAAGTGTTGGGACAGCAGCTTCGGAAATTGTTTGAACAACCCTTAAAAGACACTTGTAGCGTACCTATGGTTCATGCGCGAAATAATGTCGCACACAGCGCTGTAGGTGCAAGTTGGCCCGCCATTGTCGTTGAGCTCTGCATCGACAATCCCTGCTCCATTGGTATCAAATATTCCCAGAACAGGACTGTCGGGAGTGCTGTTTGCCAAAGCCATATATGCGGCCCTGTTTTCAGGACGCATTCGACCCACAATCGTTTCCATGCTCGAGCTCAAAATCTTGTGAGGGTTTGGGGGCTGGCCAGTGAGTGATATCTTTGCAATCATGGCTTCCAATGCTTTCGTGGTAAGGGGGCGTTGCGACATTGACGAGACAAGAAGAGGGCGACGGTCAAGTAAGACTTCGCCTTGCGTTATAGCACGCGTCGCAAAAAGACCTAGCCCTTTCTCTGGGCTCTCCCCCAGGCGGAATAAAACCTCTACGATCGGCTGCATCGGGTGGGGGAAGCCGGGAATTTTGAGGAGATTGGCGACGGTCTCTGGTGGCAAACAACACTCGCTGACGGGTTCGTTTGGCGGTGCATCCTGTGGAATAGTGCAGTACATGTATCCGCCGTCCCCAATGAACGGACTAGGGTTGAGTGCAGCCTCTATTTATCGGTTGAAGGTGCAAAATAAGAACAAGAAAGGTTTTTCTCACCTTCTACTGGACTCTTTTGGGGGGTTACAACGGTTTTGGCCTTCAGAAAACCGCGCTTCATGGCAGTCAGCAGCGAGGGTTAAAATTCTAATCGCGAGTTCGGCTTCCGATGTCCATTACGTCGTGTTCCATGCTGACTCTGGTAGCTGGAGTAAGTTTTACCACAGCTGAAAAGCGTCATCTTTGCTTGAGCATCCTTGTCTTTGTTCATTTGTTGTCGACAAAGCTTCAGTTTCGCTCAAACTATATGCACGCATTGAGGGAAAGAGAGCATTAGTCATATGTGTTATTTCATCAGATTCCATCATGTCGCCAACACAGTTTTCAGCTCTTCCCGCCGACATTCTCCTCCAAGTAGTCTCTTACGGTCTTGATATCGACGATGCATTCTCACTCTCCATGGTCAGCAAGTATTTCCATGCATTATCAGCAGAACACAGCTTCTGGCTTCCTCCTCTCCAATTCTCCAAGATCTCAAGACCGCTCCCAGTTCCCACCGTCACTGACTTGAGGGAATATTCAAGCTCGGCTCTGAAGAAACTAGCGCTTCATGCTCGACGTCTAACGAGGAACTGGGCTGCCCCACGACCGGTTGTGACTGGGCCGATCAAGTCGATTCCGGTTGGTGTCCATAATTCCGTGTTATACTGTCTGCCTGGCACGGCAAGTGGGGCGATTGTGCTCTATTCATTAGAAGACGGCACTGCTGTGTGTCTCAATACTCAGACGGGGCAATTTAGCTCGCCAACCCTACTGGGACGAATTCACGATATGTCGTCACCAATCGAGCAATTGGATAGTTATACTGTTACAGTTTTGGTCGACAATCAGTTGCGTTGTTTGCGTTCTTTCTCCAATTGACGACCTAAACCGTATTTGTAGGAAAATTGTCGTCCTCACGGCCTCCTGCTCTCCCAACCCGCAACTGCGGATCATTTGTGAATGCGATCTTGAGCTGGGATACCAGTACACCTCCGTCTTTATGAACTCATTCTGCGCTGGAGTGGTCCGTGCTAGCCTTGCGGCCGGGAGTTGGCTTGAGCTGCAGACATTTAGCCTGGAGAACCCCATGGTGTCTTCAATAGTCGTAACAGATTGTGTAAGCGTATTTTTGGCTCGGTCTCCCGCTCGCTCATATATCCCTCCAGCCTGGTTATCGCACTCTCGGCTCTGCTGTAGTGAACGATGCGGTATTCATTGTGGCGCTCCAGCATCGACAAGCCGCAGTATATGCGTGCCCTCGAAGATTGATGGCAGGCTCCGATTCGTCATCAAGCGCTGACAACGACATCGATTTTACGCTCGGACGCAACCACGTCGGGCACATTCCGTCCTCGAGCAACTCGTCTACCACCAGCTTAACTCACTTTCGTGATTATTGCGTGCTCTCAACGGAGCCGTACTCTGGACGCAGCACGATCTCTGTCGTCCGTGGCTATGCTCCTGATTCCAGAGTGGACACTCCGAATGATGTTCCCCTCCTCCGAGCATTGGAGATCACATTCTGGCCACGACCCAATAACGGACCCGAAATTCAAGACGCTTCACCAGCAGACTACGACGCTTGGGAAAAGGGTCTTCATAGAAAGTTACTTCCAGCGGAGACAATCACTGTTGAGGGCGGACTCAGTATGAACGAGGGGAATGCCTGGGAGCTCCTGGTTATCGCCAATTCGGGACTCGCGGTCTTGTTGCTCGTTGACCCTCCCTCCAATGACGAGCCGGGCACGGACTCCTTCGAGCTGCGGCACCCGAAGTTGATGCTCGTCAGATTTGACCCCGTGTCGCATATCGCGTCTCAGCATGAATTGGTCCTCCCAGAAGAGGCTCTCAACACACGAGACATCTGCGCTATTGCGCTGGACGATCATCTGGGGGTTGTTATCCTCGTCACGGCGGATGATGTTCTGCGTATCATTCCTTACGCATAGATTGAGCGGGAATCCAGCGCAAGTGTGCAGTGCTTGAATGACCATTTTACTTAGACTCCAAGAGCGTTTTTTTTGGCATAACGAAGATTTGCTGCAAGGTGTGGACCCGATGGACAACTCATCTTGCCCTAGAACACTCCCTGAATATCTCGCACCATGGCCACGCCTCATCTCCATTTCGTTTCTGAGACTGACAACTTGAATCCCCAAATCGAACTGGCAACTAGAAATTTTGCAGGGCAACCACGAGTGATTTTATGGGAGGAACAAATGGCGACAATAACGTATTGATATATTCCAGTCGAGGAGTGTCAGATTCCCTGGAAGACAGAGGATCTGGAGTTTGAAAGGAAGAGGTAGCCAGATCTTATCTTATCTTATCTTGCGCTCAAATTTTCTCATGGTTGGGATGCTTCGATCATGATGCGCAATGTCTCTGATAAAATATTTCCCACCCGGGCTTGCCGCTTTTGCAACGCGACGGTGCCCACGATGGTCGCAAGGCGGCCGACGGCGTCCCAATAATACGTTGGTTACCACACCCGATTCGAATTTGTCTTCACTTGCTTCCCTCTTCCACCCCGTATAAACGCCAGAGTGGGTGGCGGACGAGTCTGAGCAGTGGGCCGAACCCACATTCTACGGTCGTTACGTTCACGAAAAGCCACTCCACTCCCTCGTCATATGCCCATTGCTTTCCGCCTGCTTAGAAACGACGCCATCCTGCCCAGTCATACACGAAACTTGCTCTTGCCGTCATACACGCCCACTACCCACCCAGAGACGCTTTCTCGGTGCGTTTTCTCTTTGTGAAACACGCATGCTCATATAAATACGTGTCTCGGTAGTTTCCGCATCCGTGCTGATTCCGTCTCGTCTGAACCCAGCACAACAAGCTCGCCAGCATCCACCAGCCCCGCCTCTTCCTCGGCGCGTTCATCTTCTTCAAGTGATATCTCTGTCTCATCCAGGTTCGTCCTGTGTGTACAAACAGTGACACTGAGAGAGTTAACGTTATTGACGCGTCAACACAGGTCAAATAGCGTGTCTGTCTCTCCTAGGTCAGTTCTCCTTATTCTAATTGTCAGTTTTGACTCAAGACTCCTCTAGCTCATCCTCCATGTCGAGTTCATCGCCAGCTAGGTGAGTTTTTTTGCCTTTCCCCTCTGCAGGTTATTCACGTGGACAGTTCCTCGAGACGATCTTCGTCTTCCATAACACGATCTTCGTCCTCTGCCAAGCCTCCGATATCGTCCTCGTCATCTGCTCATCCAAGCTCACAAATTCCATCCTCGAGTGTCACGCGCGTTAGCTCAGTGTCGACATCCCTATTTATTTCAACAGTCGTGCAGACGTCGACTGGGCCAGCCTCAACTGTTTTTTCCCACAACCCCAGCCACGGTCGGAAACGCAGGAGGCGGAACTCCGTTTGCACGCAATGTTGGGGGAATTGTGGGTGTTGCGATTGGTGCCTTAGTGGCCATCGTTGTGGGGGGAATCCTGCTATTTCTTGTCTGCCGTCAGTTTTCCCCCCGGCGACGAAACACGCGGCGAACTCGAGAGCTGGAGTTATCTGCTGCAGGTGTCGATTTGGATAGGCTTGATGGGGCTCGCTCACCCCATTACTCGCTCCGGAGAGGTGGCGTTGCTAGCCCTCCCCGTCCTCCAATGCCAAATGCACCCGCGTCAAGTTCTTCGGTCGCTGCTCTCCTCGCCCGCTTCCGTCGACGATCAAGTATGCGGACACCACAGTCTGAGCGATTCGAGGGTGGGACCAATGCAATCGCTGGAACACCCCCGCTTGCGCCCGCGCCAATAGCCATTCCTCCCCAGAGCACCATCCTCGACAATGCTTCCCCAACATCAGCGACATTTTCACCAATAGTCGCGCCATCTCCAAGACCGGGCTCACTTCTGAATCCGCGACAGTATCCCGACTCTGACCCGCGTCCCCTCAGTCCTCCTCCACTCGCACCGTGGTTGGCACAGCCTGGTGATGCTACTCCTCCAGCGTCACAGCCTGTCGGAGAGGGTGAGCGTGTGGGTACACCGCAAGGTTTACTGAGACCCAGCCTCGCGACCTTGCAACACCCGTCGTTTATGGATCACGTGGACTATTCAAGGCCCATCAGTGGTGTAAGTTGTTGGCCGTACCCAATTTCACTCCAGCTGATAACACTTTCAGCGCATCGCACTGCGCGCCAACAGCGAGCAAACCATAACGACGCCGGAGCTTGAGCTAGGACCACTTATATCTAACGCGGACGAACTTCCTGGACATCACGCTCTTTGAGACGATTCGACAGACCACATTCACGCAGGATGATACCCTCACATTACGCAGTACTATAACAAGTAGTTTACAGTGGTTTCTTATTTTGTTTGTTTAATAGGTTGTTTGTATACGTAGTTCGCTGTCCCTCGTTCGCTAGAAGTAAACAAGATGTAATTTTTTTGCCTTGTGTGTCCTTTCCAGGAGGGTAAGGTTTTCCGACTCGTTCAGTCAACATAGCCAGCCTCCTTCCAGTCGCGCAGGATGTTGTCCCGCTCTTCTGGTGAAAGAACATTATCTGGGCGGCCCTGCCAGACATTTTGCTCTTCGCCTTGCTGCTCTTCACTTCTGTTAAGAACAAAGTCCTCAAAACCCAGGTTTCCGACACTAAGCTGGAGAAGCATCCCGAAGACATCACCCCAGTGCATCTGTGCTGCCTCGAACTCATTTGTCATACCTTCCCCGAGCCCGCTGCCCGAGCCGTCTCCCTCCTCCCCCTCGCGATAGACACGGCAGCAAACCAGGCATGTAGCGCTTTCAAGCCCTTTGTTGTCGAGGACAAGCCAGAGCCCGGGATCAATCCCGCGGTCTTCCCAGCGGTTGTACGGGTAATAGCCGTCGGCGTGCTCGTCAGACACAAGATACTTGTCGCCAGGAGCGTGGTCGTTGGCGCGCATGAAGGCGTTGACGGCTACCAAGCTCTGTCCCGCCCAAGCATTGGAATCTGCATGCAGGCCGTTCTCGACGGGGAGTGGTATGGCCGTTGCGGGGAGAGCGTTGATGTGCTCGTCTCTTACTTCGTCGGAAGGACCTGTGATAAGCACAACAAAGTTGGTTTCAGCGAAGAAAGCCTCGTCGCTGTCGCGCATTATCCGGAGAGCTGCATTGAGTGTCTGTGTGGTGATAAGGTGGGATGTAGATAAGCCATAAAGACTGGAGGATACCTTGGGCGAAGCGTTGGTCGCAGTAACGAAGAGCGCGAAGTTGGGCATTGTTGATCTGTAAAGTCAACGATCGTCGTCGTGTGGATGTTACTTACTGCAAATCGCTCCCGGTTCATGGACAGAAAGTGGGCGCGATCCGTTGCGATGTACCCTTGGTGCCATTGTTCAAGAAATGACAACCAAACGGCGGGCTGGCGTTCGATCAAAGTTCAGATTATTGTCGCCAAATTGCTCAGGCTGTCGCATGACTCGGACGTGATAGCATTCCTTACTCAACGACCACCTGGCACCATGGCGCGTTCCCGCGTCGCCTACAAGTCTGTCTCCGTCTTCTGCGCATTAATACTACTCTTTCTACTCGCTCCTCTTTTCCTCGAGAACAACCCACGGACTGCACCCATCGCAACTGCGCTCACTTGGACTGGCGCAAAGTTCACGCAGGGCTTTGTTTCGCTCTTCGCCATTTCCATCGTCTTTGCTGTCTCGAATCTTGTCAATCATGTGCGGAGCTGGATGACTGGCCAGCCCGTTAGCTCAGTCAGTGCTGAGGATGAAGAAGAACTCTCCCACATCCTCTCCCAAGCCGAGCTTGGAAGTGCGCCGACAATACCAGAACAACAACATGCTGACGATCAGGCTGAGGCCAGCAAACCTACACCAGCAGACGATGACGGCGCTTTCTCTGTTCTCAACACTCGGTCGTATATCGAAACACCGACCTTGACACACAGCCCTCTTCGTGCCGTCACAATGCTGATCTTCGGTGTTCTGGTGCTGGGCTCGCAGCTTGTCAGTGAAGACATAGTCTCCCTCGACAAGTCTGTGTTCCAGAATATCCTTGATGCGTCCGTATATGTTGTACGGGGTTTCGAGGTTGTCTTCGTCTCCATACTCCTCTTGTTGACGGCATCGTACTGCAAGACTGGGGGCGTGGGGCGGAGCAGGCGTTCTCGTGTCAGTGCCTCTGTCACGCATGTAAACGTTGCAGAAGAAATGGCCATTCAAGAGGTCTTGTTTGATGAGGCCTCGTTAGACGCGCCTGTCGCTGAGCAGATTGTGGTTGGACCAGCAGTTGAAAGCAAAGTTTTGAATTCGTAGATTGTGAGTTTGACTACTTCCTGTGTTGGCAAAGTATTTAGAGTTGAAATTCAGACAAAAGATCATCCCGCTTTGGCCGCTTTGTTTGAGCTTCGTTTGTGCTTGGACGTTACAAAGGCGACACTTTTTCAAAGCGCGTATAGTGGCAGCCAGTTATAAAAGAATATGGTTCGCCTCGGAGGGCTTTAATTCTCCCATCTTAACATCATGCAACAAGCCGCCGATGCAGACGATCAACTTCCTTCAGATCTGGTCCCCGTTGCACGCAAATCAGGGCGAATCTATATTCGGGCTCCATTCGGAAAAACTGGTAGAGCAGGTAAGAGAGTGGCTGCCATCGTCCGACCCAAAATCAATAATATTAATTCGCCAGCTCTACCCCAGGATTTCAAGCTCGAAGAGATGGTCACAGTCGAACGTGATAACAAATCGCGCAGCTCTGGATGCCAGTGGACTATGACCACGATGCCCGTGGACCACAGAATTTCAACCGAGTGCCTGTTCAGCGAGGGCACGAAGGAGCTGTTCACAGAAATTCCGGGATTCCCGCATCCTATGCTGGCGCCTTCCTAAGAAGAACCCAGCTACCGGCTGGCTGCAGCACCAGGCAAAGGACTAGGCCTTTTCGCCACGCGCGATTTGCAGCAAGGAGATTGTATCATAACGGAACGACCACTGATCATGTCCCCCTCAGGCGGAGCCCGACTCGTTCATATTCCGAATTCCTTTACTTGGCCGCAAGCACATCAAGTCATGCTGGACGAGCATGAAAGATTCCTTTCCATGATGGTGGACCGCATGGTTCCCGAGCGGAGGGAGGCATTCCTTAAGCTTGCCAACAGCCATCGCGAAGACGGCTCCGGGCCGTATATGGGCATCATGCGAACCAACAGCTTTGGCGTGCGGGTCGGCAACTCGGAAAACATTCTGGAGGACATGTACGGGGCTGTCTGCGACGACATTTCGCGTGTTAACCACAGGTGAGGCAACGAGTAGGCCAATATTATACTCAAGTCGTTGAACAGCTGCTCCCCCAATACTTCCACCAAGTTCGACAAGCATTCGTTCTCATTCAGTCTGTTCGCCTGCCGTGACATTGCAGAGGGCGAAGAGTTGACCGTCGCATACTGCATCTTGTCAGATGGGGAAGGAGCCAGGGCGGAAAAGCTGCTTCCCTACGGGATTGCCTGCAAATGTCTTTCCTGTGCCGACACAACAGGCGAATCCGACGTGCGCCGGGCCACCCTCGATGACTTTTCCCTTGATATCAACGAATGGGCATGGAGTCGCACGCTCCTGGACGATTGGATGATGAACAAGTGTCGCGAGCATCTTGATCTTCTCCGGGAAGAGGGACTTGAGGCGTCCGACTCTTACCATGCTGCCTTGGTCGCCATGATGGAGTGCTATATCGCATTCGGAGACGCAAAACGGGCGAGCAGGTGGGCGGAAAGGGCGCACAAGTGCCTCTGGGCCTCGGATTACGAGAGTTTGGAGCATTTTTTGGACCCAGAAAGCGTTGGATACCTCACACATCCGCTTTGGCGCGTCAGGGTTGACACTCGTCTTGAGATGGTCATGCGGCGGTTGCTCCTCATCGGAAAACTTGCCGGAAGAGAGAAACTCGAAGAAGCTATGGCATCACCAGAGTTTGCTCTAGCGTTTGCTGCCGCGCGCGCCGAAGGATCCTATGATTTGTAATATTACGATGCGTAAACTTCATCAGAACAGTGACAGAGACAATAATAGTCCAATAGATTAAGATTTGTTTCTTCGTCGCGATGGTCGTTAGTCATGCAAAGTCCCACTTTACTCTCCAGCAAACAACCGAATAACCATGTACATCGTCGAGCCAATGAAGCGCACAACTGAGAAAGATAAGGGGTCAACCCTGAATCCAGAAAGAAAGACATACGTGCTAGTCCGGCAACAGAGAAGAGCAAAAAGCCCATATATCCATTGACTGCTTGTGTGGCGCTGGTCGTCCCCCTTCCATACGCCGTCCTAAACAAGAGATCAGTCGTAATTCCGTGCTCATTTGTGATCAACTCACGCAACAGCGGCACCCAGTATTCCATTCGACAGTACCCAGGCAAGCAAGACATTCGTTCGGAACGTCCGATAGTAGTCCTCCTGTTGCGTCGCCGCGTCAGGCTTGCTCTCGACCTTGGGCGGCTTCGTGTTGAGCACGTGAATCGCATCTTCATATGCCGCGTTGATGTCGTTCTCCGATGTGGGCACGACAGCCTCGACTTCGTTCTTCTTATCTCCCTTGCCAGTCGTCACCGTCCCGAGATCTGTGTTCGGTTTGTTGTCGCCTTTGGTACCCCAGGAGACGTCATGGACATTGGCAAACTGGAAATGGAGCTCAGACGTGGATCAATTCAAGCATAAAGTACCAACCGCGTAGACGTTGAGGACGTTGATATACGACGGCGCCATCAGCAAGTACTGGATGAAACTTGTGATCATATGCCATGGCTCGAAGAATATGACGGAGGCAGCGATGTAGAGGCCAAGAGTCGCTAATAAGGACACCACAATATTTCGGAAGATATGGTTCTGGAAGAAGTCGGAGACGCTTAAAGCAGAGCCTTTGTCTTTCTGGATGGCCTCAATGCCCTTGAACGCAAGGAGGAACGCAGAAATCTGTTACAACGAGGATCAACATTTGCTTCGTCCCACAGTTAAGAAGCAGCTGACCGTCATATAAATCGTAATAATACCGAATCCGATGAAGGACAGGGTATAACCCCACTTACTACCTTGCGGTCGGTTGCCTAGCGAAAGAAGGAAGCACATAATCAACAGTCCCAGATAAAAGTATTCCAGGATGACGTTGACGACATGAATGCCCTTTAAATTGAAGGAGGGGTCCTCCAAAGCACCGCTGAGGATGACGAACGAGATGTAATAGTTGGCTAGCGCGAACCAGGCGAATATCAGGTTGAAGAATTGGTAGAAGATCTCGACATGGATCCAGAACTTGCGCAAGAGAGAATGCGAGGAGCGGTATATGTAGTGGAAGTGGACCGTACTGTGCACGGCCGCGAAGAATGAGCCGTTTAGCCACCGTCGACGCTGCGAGATCAACTCTGGCACTTGATCGGGCACATCGGTGACAGCGTAAGCCGACTTGACGTAATGCAGAATCCATGACCCTCCGCGTTTCGAGACAAGCTCCCAGCAGAGGATACGATCCTCCGCAAGGTACATATTAGCGGTGAAGATGTCTGCACCAGCACCATGCATTTTCTCGCCAAGGAAGTATTTTTGCAAAGGACCTTCCCCTCGTGGATCGTTCTGCAGCGCAATGTACCGGTAAGCACTGAAAGCTCCAGGTAACACCGTAATATAACCGAAAACAGACTCCCTGTCGAATATTAGATGTGACAAGCAAAGCTGGAAAGTACACACAGAGGTTTATCCAGGATGTTACTCATCTTGTACTCGAAATTCTGGGCTGCAACGAGAGGGTTGATGAGGTTGGTCCCGTATTTACCTGTTGTAGATATTTAGTAGCTTTTGACAACGGAGGAATTCACGAACCCTTTAAAGCAACGATCTCTCCACAAGCACCTCCAACATTAGAGTTGATATCGAACGCTTTCCACAAATGGTAGATCGAGGTGGGACCGGGCTGTGTACCGACATCAAGCAAGACACAGACGTTGGGCTGTAGCAACGGTCCAAAGGCGTTGAAGAACCACCGATGCGAGTTGATCTTCTTCTGATTCTTCTCTTTGAGACAGAAGATGATTTGAACGGGGACTGTGCCCTTCTCAGGACCGTGAATCTGCAGGTTGGGTGTGACGCTAATCTGAGTAGTGTACTCGAAGATGTGGGCTGTGACGGCCATGTCGTTGACCTTGTTCTTGGCTATACCCTCCTGGTAGCATCCCATGGTCGCAATGACACTGAGAGTACGACTGTTGATCTTGAGACGACCGTCCGAAACGATACAGACAACGACTTTCTTCCAGCCCTCCTTGCCCCACGTTTTGGAACGGTCACGTTTGCAGAGATGGGCGACATTCTTGATGACACCGTGCATAGTCCGACAGAAAAGCTCCTCGTCTTCATTGTACATGGTCATGACAATGAAGAGCTCCGTTCGGCGGGGAGGATCGTAGTGCACTTGTCGCAATGTGAAGCCACTATCCTTGAAGTCGTTAGGATCACATGTTGCCGCACTGTAGCGCATATAGGAGAACTCGCGCTCTGTCCGCTGGGCACACATGTCCAGCAGCTTCTTGGGGACAGGGGAGTCGAGCACAAAATTTCCATGAAAAAGCCTACGAATGAATCAATAAAACGACAAAAGGAAGAATAAAATGACGCACTCTACACGCTTGATGGTCTTGTACCGCCGCGGCACCCGTTGTGGGATCCTGCCGTAGCGGATGTTGTTGTTGATGCTGCCATCCTCTTCAGGGACATAGTCGCCGGGAACTGGCATCTGGAAACCAGAGTCCGATGAGGGATCCCTACGCAAAAGTGGAATATCGCCATGTTCATCTCCAAGCTCGTGAGGGTTGTCCTCCAGAGGGTACGCGTTTCTGGCGTAGCCGTCCGAAAGCGGAGTGGTGCTTGGTTGTGGGGGCTGGAAGGGAGTTGCAAGGTAGTTATGAGTATCTTGTGGTGGAGGGCTGTGGATCGGGGCAGCGAATGGTGGGTATTGGTTTTGCGGGGGAGGGGAATATTGGTGGCCGTAGGGATCAAACTGCATTGGTGGAGGGGGTGGCGGAGAGCCTGCGAAATGCGTTCCTGGCGGAGGAGAAGAGGAGTATTGGGCGCCATAGGGCTCTTGTGAATGCCGGGGAGTGCTGAATGGGTCAGCTTGGAAGTGTTGCTGCTGCTGTGGCTCATATTGCGACTGGTATGGGTTATACCCATCGTTGTACCCATGGTGTTGGGCCTCGTCCGCCTATTCTCGCATTAAAATTCGACCTGAAAGCATAGATAGTAGAGAATACCTCAGGGTAGCGCGACATGGTGGGCTGCGGTGAAGGAAACAAATGCGGTGTTTGCCCGTGACAAGTCGGACAGCTCGGTTGGCACTGCTCCCTATCGTACAAGAGCATTCCCCAGTATATATGCACAAAATAACGCCCTCTCGAGTCTCATTGCATCCCACCTATCTTCATTGTCCCCATTGTTCAATTTCTTCACCTCGGCATCCATTGCACGCGCAAATTTTCCATAATATGCGTCGGTGTACTTGACTGGTCCTAATTCCGCCTCAAAAAATGATGCTGCTTCGTCACTCATGAATGGGAGGAGATGTGGAGGCTTGAGCGTGAGTAGTCCTATGTTTTCGTCGGTGTCCCTGGATCAACCACAATCTTATCACTTGCCTGAAGCTGTTGCAGCTCCGACTCCTTTAAGTGCACAAGCTAGCGGGATTGCCAATAATCCTTTCTCAATGTCTTCTGTTGCCTCTTCAATCGCATTGAGTGCCTTGCTGGTCGATGAACGAACGAGCTCTTCCGAGTTCGACGCGACGAGAGCCAGCAACGTCGGTCTGGACTTGCCCCGAGACAATTTCCATTTCATCAACGCTACAAGAGCGCTCAATACGCCAGCATTTGGTATGGAAGAGGACGACGAACAAGTCAAGTCTGCTTTGGTCACCTCCTCCCCTGAAACCAGCTTTCCAAGCAGCCCATTCTCTCTATCCACCAACCACCCATCCAATTCTATCAGCTCCTCCGCAGACATCGCTTTCCCTCGAGTGTGCTGAGAAATGCGAAGCTCCAACGCGTGTTTATACTCAGTTTCCGCCCGTTTCAATTCTTCAAGAGTAGGAAGGCCGGAGGTTGAACGCTTGGGATTTGAACCGGATGATGAATCCACAGTCTTCTGTTTCTTGCGGGGAGGCATCAAGACAGTCGTATTCCGAGTCCAAGTCAAATCGCGTCTGGTCACAAAATCACCACCCATGTCTTCAACGACCTAAGTAAAATCAGTTGATTACCTGCAGATGTATAGTCTCGCTTGCATTCCTTTATTCTTAACCTCTGTTGTCTCTTTTACAGACCCAATATCGTGGCGGTCGTAAATTTCCTACGAGAAAATAGGTGACCTCTGTCCTATGTCGTCTGTTTAGTTTCGCGACGCCTGTCCTCAACAGGACATTGACAAAGTGCTCGGAATGCACCACCAGATGGAATCACTAGTACGGTCTATCTCTTCGGTTGAATATTCGTCAACCGCACAGCCAGGAGTGAGGGCAGAGCAGCAAGTCAGACTTTTGGTTCTTCTTCTTGAACGAATGTGTATTCTGCGAGCGATTATTTACAGTACTGGTAGTTAGTGTTTCAGTATATATATTAAGCAGGGTCCAGTTGTTCAACGGCGGGGCGGACGAACCACAAATCACCGGTGGGGGGTTTGGGGATACTCTTGAGCGCTGCTTTGGCGTCCTGGTTTCCGTTGTCGGCGCCAGAATGGACGACATCGGTTGCAATGTAGGCCTCGAATTCGGTCTCGGGGAACGTCCACTGCGCGGCCCCAGTTGCAGCTGGGGTTACGAAGTTGATGGCTTGCATGATGCTCTGCCCGTCTGGGCCTTTGTAGCCCCACAAGTCAACACCAACTTTCTTGCCAATGTCAGCAACACGGGTGTAGGCGACGAGGGTAAAGACGGAGTAGTGGTAGCTGCGTGTGCGGACGAGTTCCTGCGGCTGGGAGCCGTTGGCGGTGATGTATTGGTTGATGCGAGACTTCATCGCCTCGGCTTTACTCGCAGCAAGGCCAGTATTGCCGACGAACAAGGCTATTCCTGCGCTCTGCATGATAGCAAAGGGCCCGTGGTTGTTCTTGGCTGCCGTCTCGGTTTTGCCAAACTCGCTGTTTTCGAGCCAATCTAAATATTGGACGTTCCATTGCTTGAAGGCTTCAGCATCGGCTTGCGACCAGCCAGGCGCACCTGCCGCGAGAAGGGCGGCCGCATCGAGGACACTGGTGTACCCCTGGGAGAAGTCGATAATGCCAATTGCTCGCCCAGTGTTGGCGCAGGGAATGATTTGGGCGTGGTCGAGATGCGGGGTCATTCGCGTCGCTTCATCGATAAACCACGTTCGCAAGACATCACCAGCACGGCGACCATAAGCCTCGTTTCCAGTATACCACCAGGCGAGACTGAGAATATAGCTGGCGATGAACATATCTGCACGCTCTCCGTGGTCGGTATATCTCTCGGTCTCCGGGTTCCTCACACCGTCTTTCTGGATGTAGGGGCAGCCATCGGCCGAGTCTGACGGCCACCAGTAGGGCGCTTGACTAGCGTAGTCGTGGATATTTCCTCCGGGGGGAGTGATGGTCTTGTTGGTGACAGCCCAGGGCCCTTTGTTGAGCCATTCGTCGGCTTGGGTAGTAAGAGCCGCTGTTGAGATGTCAACATTGGTTAGGCGAAGAAAAAAACTTTGTCAGGATACCTAACGAGTCCTTGAGAGCAGGACTGGCGGTCCCTGCGTCCAACCTCACTTTGGCGGCGACGAGTTTAGCTGGGTTAAGCACGACTGGCTTCGGTTTAGCGGCATACGGAACCGCGCCAACGACGTTGGCAATCGCCAGCACGGCGCATGAGAAGAAAAGAGTGGTGGGCACCTGGATTTAACTGGTTAGAATTTGCAGGCGCCAGCAGAGAGGACACTGTACCATAATGGCAAGGAACGAAGAGGCAACTTGGCGAAACGTTGAAGCATGGCAGTATTTAAGCAGTGAGGTCGATCTGGGAATCAGACAAATGGGGACGTGCTTCGTCGTTTGGGTGACGACAACGGCAACGGTTTGGCAACGGAGCTAAGACTATTGTTCGCGCTTGGCAGTCGGTAGGGCCCTTGGTCAGTGGCCGGGGGTAGGTTTGGGGTATGGTTCAAGTCAAGTTCGTCTGCCAGCTAGAAGATGAAAATGTCATAGATGAGTGGTGGTCAACAGCAAAAGGCAGCAAATGCCAGAATGTGTCGCGGATTATTAGCAGGCAGAGTCTGATCCGTGTTGTCATTTTGTTCCGGCCTTGACTGCCAAGCGGCATCTTCACTGGAAGTACTCATCATCAAGTTTTGCAAGGCTGGAATCGGATCGGACTCAAGTGCAGTGATACTGTTCAAAATAGTACAGTCAAAGTCTGCATAACCCATAATAGCCCAGATAACCCATAATGCCCAATAACCGAATGGTCTTTTCGGTTGTAATCCCATCCACATAACCCATAATTTCCTGTAACCCATAGGTTTCGGGGTCCACCGATGGCCATTTATCTAGACTTCGACTGTAGTTGAAGGTACACATGAAGTCCTTTGGTTGGTCATCGTTCAAGCATGTCTGCGTCTCCGAGTCTTGCCTCAGATGAATGCAACACAAGCCACGCCAATAGCGTTCGTTCGTCGATGTATGAATCATAAGGCATGTGGACGCCAACCCAGTCCTGAAGCAAGTCTGACGGACATGTGTACTAGAAGGCATCAGCACAATGCATATTGCCCGTATGAAGGTATCATAGACGCACAAACAGGTCGCCCGTGCCTGAACCAGAGCAAGAAAGCAGGGAATGTGGTGAGCTCGAGCCTCGCGTTTCGACTGGGTTCAATTCCTGAAATCCAATTCGACACCGAGGACTCGGAGACATCGTCTCCGAGTCGGCCGGAAGTTCGTTCAAGTTCGCCGCATATAGGGAATCGTATTTCCGCGTGTCATGTTTTTTTCGGCGCTTTGGCGGTTGGTGGTGAGCGGGATCCTCAGTCGGTGTAGCCTGCCGGCGCCCCGCATCTGAGATCGAGTGCTGCAAGTCAATGACTGATTTTCCAGTCGGAGGCCAAGATGATGATCCTCCTTGCTCGAGCTCAAGGTTATTCTCTAGGAATTCGGAACTAATGTGTGTTGTAAATTAGATTCCTATGACATTTCCGCGCACGGACTTCAACGCACGGAAGGGCATTTTGTGGCTGGGGTGGGTGAATTACACGCTTTTGTTGTGGCTGCTTTCGTGGGCGATTTTTTGGCTGCCTGTTTGCAACAACTTGCTGCTATTGTTGAGTTGAGCCGACCACTTGTCTCCGATTGAAATAAACATGCATAAACACTCAGGCTGGCGGCAGCGGCGGAGGCCGGATACATGCAACTGTCTTCTGTTTGCTTCATTTCGCATCGTCGACAAGGTGACCCTCCATTACAAGCACTGTGGGCGCGGCGACAAGGCATGCAGACGCTCAAATTGCACGACATTTTGATGCACTGTTTGCTGAGTTCACATGTAGAAGTCAGTTGTCATTTTGAGAGTTGAAGCTGAACACCTTGACTGCACCTAGGAAATGGTACTTTTGACTATATGACGCACATAAAGTATGCAATTTTCATAACCCACTTTTGTTAAGATGTTGCGAAGAGACCGCAACCCGGTGTGTGTGTGTGTGTGTGTGTGTGTGTGTGTGCGGAGGCGAATGATTCAGAGCGTGGGACAAATAGACTGATTGAATCAACACAATAAGTTGACGACACTGACGCCACCAACCTACAAGAAATAAGTATGTAAAATTCGGAATCTGCACAATGATAACAGTATGGGTAGCTCGTTTACAGAGGGTCCAATTGCTCTACAGCAGGACGGACTAGCCACAAATCTCCACCAGGTGGGGTAGGTACCTTAGGCAGAGCTGCTGTGGCGTTCTTATTCCCATTATCACCCGCAGAATGAATCACGTCGCTCGCAATGTATGGCTGGAAGTTAAGCTCTGGAAAAGTCCAGGCACTTGCGCCAATGGTCGCGGGGATGATGAAGTTGATGGCTTGCATGATGCTCTGGCCGCTAGAACCTTTGTAGCCCCATAGATCGACGCCGACTTTCTTGCCAATATCAGCGATGCGCGTATATGCCACGAGATCGAAGATGGAATAATGGAAACTGCGTGTTCTGGTAAGCTCTTGTGGTTGGGAGCCATTCGCAGTGATGTATTGATCAATCCGCGAACGCATAGAGGTCGCTTTGCTAGTAGCCAATGATGTGTTACCGGTGAAGAGTGCTATTCCGGCACTCTGCATTATTGCGAAAGTTCCGTGGTTATTTGTCGCAGCGGTTTCGGTCTTCCCGAAGTTGCTGGTCTCAAGCCAGGTCAAAAACTGAGCATTCCATTGCTGAAAAGCCGTCGCATCCGCTGCATTCCACCCAGGCGCCCCAGCTCCAAGAATTGCCGCAGCATCGAGAACACTGGTGTAGCCTTGAGAGAAGTCTATGACACCGATGGATCGGCCCGTATTTGCGCACGGAACAATCTGAGCGTGGTCGAGATTGGGATTCATTTTCGTCGAGTTTGAGATAAACCATGTTCGTAGAACATCACCGGCACGTCGCCCATAGGTTTCATTTCCGGTATACCACCAAGCAAGACTTAGAATGTAGCTGGCAATGAACATTTGTCCACGCTCATCGTGGTCGGTATAGTTCTTGGATGAGGGATTCACGACACCGTCTTTTTCAACCCATGGACATCCATCAGATGTGTTCGAAGGCCAAAAATAAGGCGCCTGGCTAGCGTAATCGTGTATGGTCCCGCCTGGCGCTATGATAGTCTTGTTCGTGACTGCCCACGGACCTTGAGGAAGCCAAGTGTCGGCTTGTGCAACGAGGTCAGCTGACGATCAAACATGGTCAGGCTGGACTCTAATCTCCCGCAAAAATCCCACATGCCTAACGCAGTCTTCAGCGCCGTACTAGCAGTGTTATCAGCCAGTTGTGACTTGGCGGCAACGAGCTTTGCGGAGTCAAGCACAACGGTCTTTGGAGTAGCAGTGAGTACGCCGGAGATCGCAAAGGCAGCGCTGAATAGCCAGTACAGATGGGCAACGTTGCGGACCTTCAAGGTGGCCTTAGTCGTTGAACCTAAACTCGGCTGACGGTACGCACCATGGATGAAAGTTGGGAGTTGGTGAAGCAGGGGTTGCAATGAGATATTTAAGGCAACCAGAGTCGGGATTAATCTCAGAATCGGACAAATTGGGTCAAGAAGCTTTCCAGTGCTCGGTCAGGCTTCCTTCGCTGTCCAAATCTGGTGTTCGTAAAGTCAAGTCGATGTTGGGGACTTTGACGGTGAGAGCTATCCATCTATTCTTGTATAACACGGGGTACAGCAATTGGAAGGTTTCGAAGAGTTCCCGCAACGGCGCGACCATAGAGCCTGGAAAAGCAGAAGAACAGTGGCGAATGCGCATAGTGGAGATACGAGAGCTAGCCAAAACCTTCGCGTGGCTTCATGTTTCCTGCTGAACCCTCTGCTTGAATTGGGGGCTGAGAAGCATCATAATTCATTTGCGGATTCGTTCGCGCGTTGGTCTTCTGGACTTGGAGACGGAAGGTGGGCGAGATGCGAGCAGTCGTCACAGTGGTGTGAGAGAGACAAGACTATCGGACGACTCCGTTTCGGCTCGGACTTGGCTTGGACCAACGTATGTGCCCTCACGTGCTGTGACTATATGTGACCATAGTAGCGCGCATTTTGGTGGAAGCCCTCATTTACATGGCGCCTGCGAAAGGTTCCGCCTACAGCAAACGTATCTGCATCTTGCATTCTTCTCTTCCGGCTGACGCGTTTGAAGGAACCATCAATTCTATTGCAGCACCGATAGGTTTGTTCGTTGCTATTGCTTGGACATTGACCGAGTTGTCCAGAAATTGACTCGGACTCGGATTTCAATGCTGGCCCTATCAGAAAGGACGATCTAGACAAGAGGAAGAAGCGGAAGACGAAAAAACCTGTGTCTTCTCGTCACAAAACGACACCGCGCGAAACTCCAGAGTCATTTGAAGACTCGGAACAAGAACCACCAACCAAGAAACGGCGAACTTCGAGGAAGCAAGAGAGCAGAAAACGTACGGGTTATATATTTCACTGGCGGCGTACAGAAATTTGATTTTCAGAGCTGCATCCTTATGGACCAAGCCCCTTGCTCGCCTACTTTAGTGTGTCTTTTGCCACCCTATGCCACCACAACACTCATTTTGCAACAGAAGATTCGGATGCGGAATCAAATGACGACGAACATCAACCAGAACGTGAACGGGACACAAACCTTGCACTTGAACCCGACCGAGCACGTAAACCTGAACCTGATTACGAGGCCGACAACGATAGGTCAGAAGAGGAGGAGGAAGAGGAGAGTGATGATAGCGATGACGATGGAGACAATGAACCCCCAAAGAGCATGTTTTCAGGTTATGTCAAGCCAAAGCCTCAAGTTGGCAAAACTGAAAATCACGACCCCGAGAATTCTGAGACCGAATCAGACGACGAGATGCCTTCTTCACTACCGAAATCCAAGCCGCTATCAGGTACAACACAAGCACTTCCATTTAATTGTACTGAAAGGCTTGGTTCGTAGATGACTCTGTCACTGAGTCCGACAACGAACCTGAAGGTGTGCGTCTTGCATTCTATCATGGGCCGAAGTTTACTAGATCACAGAAGCTGCGTCCCAAACCGAGTCCGACGACGATATTGACGTGGACTATGGGCCTCCTCGACCGGTTAGCATTCTTCTGCGATAATTCTGATATCCTCATTTCACCAGAAACAACGTCCACTTCCAAATTTTCCGTTAGCAGAAGGCCAGGAACCAATGGGTGCCCTGATCCTCGACAAATCGCAAGGTATCAGAGTGCCGGGTGCAATCAACACTTACCTTCGACCCTACCAACGGGATGGCATCAAGTTTTTTTGGGATAGATATAACGAGAACAGGGGAGCACTTCTTGGTGATGACATGGTACGCCCATCTATCCATCCCCACGATTAGTAGGTTTACAAGGCTTAGGGACTGGTTTGTGCTCTCTATCATATGCTCGGCAACAGACTTGATGTCGTGGGCGCTCTCTGTTCTAGGGTTCGTGCCTTGTCCCGTGCGAAAACTTCATCTTGACTTCGTCTCAGGAAAAACCATTCAAGTTATTTCACTCCTCTCCGCTGTGATGAAGAAATCTGGACACAAAACGGACCGCGAACGTAGGCGTAACCACGTAATGGAGTTGCAAGATGGTCCTCAGTGGGCAAAACATCGAAAGCTTCCGCCAGCCAACGAAAAATGGCCGACTGCTTTGATCATTGCCCCCTCTAGTGTCGTATACAACTGGGATCGAGAGTTCGAGAAAGTAAAGCTATTTTTTTCGGTTTTCGGTCTCATATTGACAAGCGTTCCAGTGGGGCTATTTTGAAGGCAAGATCTCTGTCGTCCACATAGGTTTCGTTGACTCAACGTTTTTCCGAAGTTGGGTGCTATCTAGGACCCGAACAGCAACGGCGGGAAGTCCTCGAAGACTTCAAATTAGGCAGGCTCGATGTTGGTAAGCAACCAGCCTTGAAGTCGGTCGCTCCCTTTCAACCCCACATGACAGTGATCACAAGCCATAATTTAGCTCGCCAAGATATCGACTTACTGGACGGACTTCATTGGTCGTGCATTTTCCTTGACGAGGCCCATATGGTGAAGAACAACAAAGAGCAAAACCACGCGCGCTTACGAAAGATTCGACTGCAAACGACGCTTTGCATTAACCGGGACCGCCATTCAAAACTCGTATAATGAGTTGTACACCATCTTGAACTGGACGAATCCAGGAAAACTCGGCACCGCTAAGGAGTGGAAGTTCTATGTCACTGACCCGCTGGCCATGAGCCAGTCTTCGACTGCGACAGATGTGCAACAGTACCGTGGACGGAGGGTCGCCATGATTTTGAAGCATCGTCTCTTGCCACTACATTTCCTTCGACGGTATGCTTGTGCCATCCTCTTATATCTTTCCTCAACCGCACAGAACAAAAGAGGATGTGATTGCGGCTTCGGTAAGCTCTCTTTCTCTCGAATTCAGTTGCATGTTTATCTGCCCCCTAACCAGATGCCAAAGAAGACGGATCAAGTTGTCTTTTGCCCATTGAGCGAAAAACAAACCGAAATCTACACCAAAATCCTTGCCCATCCAGAGATTAAACTAGTATTGAAGAGAAACAATCCATGCTCTTGCCATTCTGGGAAGGCGTGCGTGTTGCTTTTTGCAGAGGTTTCAACTTGCCTGACCATTCATAAGCCGTGGCAAATGTTGTCATCCCTACGACAAAGCCTCTGTTTTCAGATTCCTTGCAGTTCTCCTCAAGCTTTCCAACCATCTTGGCCTGATACTACCCGGTTTGGCTGCCAATTTCCCATTCCAACTCAGTTGACTCTTCGTGTTAGCCCCTGGAGATAGCCCAGAACAGGTTTGTCACTCTGCTACGTGTTTCTGCGGCTAGAGTCGACCGTTTTCATAGCTCCAACGAAACAGAGAGTTGGCCGCCTTCGCCTTCCCCGGAGGCAATGCTCCCTCTTTCCAAATGGCGATCATGGACGCAAATTACTGTGGTAAATGGACTGTGAGAAATGTTCTTCCGACTTGTTTACCTCGCTGATCCACCGATCCAGGTGTTGATGAGTCTGTTAAAAGAGTGGAGGCAAGACACTGAAGCAAAGAACAAAGTGTTGATCTTCACCAAATCCGTCAAATTGCTCGACATGATGTCGTTCCAGCTCAAAATGGAGTCTATAAGCTACATTCAGCTCGACGGCAGTACGAAGGGCGAAGACCGTACGTGAATGAACCCCTTCATATAACCTTTTCTCACAGTCTCGCAGGAATGAAGCTCATTGACGATTTCCACAACGAATCCAAGGACATCTTTGTTTTCCTCATCTCGATCTTGGCAGGGGGTACAGGTTTGAACCTTACTGGAGCCAACAAAGTTGTGATATTCGACCCTAATTGGAGTTAGCAATCTTGTTCTGACCTTGAACCATGATTGACATGCCGTTCTAGACCCTGCACATGACCTGCAAGCTATGGACCGGTTCGTGCTCGATTCTCCACCGTATCTTTACTAAGGGAAAAATGAGCGCGTTTCGTTTAGGTCAGAAACGAGATGTCTCCGTCTTCCGTCTTCTCGGAGCTGGTGCAATCGAGGAGTTGATATATGCGCGGCAACTATACAAACAACAGCAAATGCAGATAGGGTATTCTGCTAGTATCCAAACGCGGTGAGCTTTGAACATCAAAATATAGGCTCAAGCAAACACTCACCAACAACTGTCAGATATTTTGAAGGCGTGCAAGGCAATTCAGCGAAGCAGGGCGAGCTTTTTGGCTTGAACAACATATTCAAGCTTCACGACCAGGGCGAGTCAACGAAACACAGGGTACGACTTGCCCACACCTGAGCTCACGTCACTAGATTATTTCATAGATCGAGAATGCCTACATTGCGCAACTGGACTGGAAACTGAAGAACGCTAGACCTGGCAAGAAATCGAAAAATGACATGGATTTAGACATGGCTGGGATGGAAGGCGCAGACGGTGATGATTTCGCCGGTCTCGGCGCGCTCCTTTTCAGTGAAGGTTTGCTGTTGATTCCACGGTAGCCTCCTCTAACTGCGATATAGCACTGCCACAACAAGAGGAAATGCCTGTACCGTCAACCTCTAAAGATGCCATGGCAGGCATGTATGTTCACGAGAATCCTGATGTTCTCGCTCCAAGCAAGATCGAGGAGGAGCGGACGGCAGCCTTGGAAAAGCGCATGCGTCGCGAGTCGAAAAAAAAGAAGATGAAGTCCGCTGCGGCTGACCGAGAAGGGAGCCCACAAGAACAATGGCCACCCATACGAGTCCACAAGAAAGCGAGACTTTCTTCGCCTGCCTCAGAAGATATTCGGTTCGTTGTCGATTAATTGCTCGAAAGTCGTTAATTTTTTCTTGAGATTCGAGGACCGGCTGCACGCTCTCATCGGCACCGGCATTATCGATAACCCAAGGGAGCTTGCGAGTTTTGCCCAACGATTGTGCGTTCGTCTTCGGTCGAAAAAAAGTGTCTTCTCATCCCGTTTAGTGCACGTTATAGTCCAGCGGAACAGGCGTCCACACTGGCCATTCTCAACAACTGGACGGCCAACGCGCCAGACGAGTCGGATGATGAGGGAGTGATGAGTGTAGACTCTGAACCAGAGGACATATAGATGGACTCTTTGTTGTTTGTTGTATCTCGTATTTCTGTAGCAGTAGTATGAGTCCATTTGGCACTCGTTTCGATTAATCACGAACCCTAGAAGCGCCAGCAAAATTTCAATATGTGGATTTTTTGTAGCATCTGCGTCAATTTAGTAGCCAACTTGAACTTGGGGTGCCTAAGGAAGTTAATGAAGTAGAAATTCTTAGACCTTATGGTTACACATCGACCCAATTCAAGTTCAGTGAGAGCTAACGAGCCGACGCACCTGACAGGTCTGGCGATCAAGTTCGAAGACAAAGGTAGTTGACTGTTGTGATTCGCAGTGTACATTCACATTCGGGGTAGGATTTAACGTGGTTTGAGCAAAATATCATAATGTCCAGGTCTACAAGAGAAAAATCAGTTCAGTTCAGCGCCAGCAACCCGACGCACCTAAACAGGAGCATAATTGGGGGCAAGTCCTTGTCCATCGCGTTCTCTGGCGCGATGTCGGTGAAAATCTGTGCCTCGTGGATTTTGCCGTCAGGCAAATGCGCGTTGAGTGCGGCGAGCTTGATGGAGACACGGAGGGCGTTGCACAGCGCCATTATGGCGAGGTGGTCCGCCTCGGAGCTGACGGCTTCGATCTGCGACTGGCAGAAGCTAACAACGTCTTGGTCGATGATGAAGTCGCTGTATGGCGGCGTGTTGCTGCGAATTTCGGCAGACTGGACAGAATGTTTAATAATTAGGCCAATCAACAAAAGCACACCCACAGCTACCAAACGGAAAAAATAAGACACGTAGTCCGTGACTAGTGGTGTCCTCAGTTGTGCGATGTCAGAAGTCATAAGACTTACCCTCCAAAAAGAAGCCGAGAAGGTCTTCCGTGGTCATCTCAGACCCTTGGATCGCAACGAGATTGATAAGGTCGTTGAGTTGCTCAGAAAATTCTTTGTAGCTGTCGTCTTCGAAAGCAAGTTCCAAAGAAAACTCGATCGAGGAGAGGACATCGCGAAAACGGGCTACGGCACTTGAGAGGTTTGGTGCATGCAGTATTCGATCAAGATAACAGAACGCGAAAGCTGCCTTGGTGGTCAATGTCAGAAAGGCGTGAAAAGTAACACAAAGCGACGTTACATCTGTAGAAGCAGTTGCCGTCTCCTGCGAGGGCGTCAATATGCCATTGACAAGAGATGCACAAAGACGATGACTAACTCGCAGCAGCTCGATAATGGGTGTAGCCTTTCTCTTCAAGCCAGTCGATTTGACGAAGGACACTCGGTGATCCGTCAAGATATGCGTGCCGTAGTTGGGCGATGGGTGAAATGGGGCCAATTAGAACATCACGCGACGCAGAGTTTGTTTCGTTGAGCATGCGCTGAATGTGCATGAGTGGTTTTGAACAAGGGTAGAGTCTGACACACTTCATTCAACGCGGCAATCTCTGCTTGGGTCAATGACGCGAGTGCTGTTGGCGACATGAGAAGTATAACTTGTTGAGGAGCTTGTCCTACGAGTATCTTGGGTAATTTCACGCGACGCAGCCGCCACTGGAGGTGCATCGTCGTCAGGAAGATCAGAGGTCCGAAGCCTCGCTGTTTGTCCTCAATTAACGCTTTTGAGGAAAATAGATGACACGGACGAGTCGCGGGTGTGTCTGCTGGGTTCATCTTTCAGATCGATGAAGTGGAGAGAAGAGGAAGACACGCACACACAGCCGCAACCTACTAAAAGGCGTTCCCAAATAACGCCACATCATACCACGTGACTCGGAATTTCTGACACGAACTCCGTTCCTTGTGGGGACCACTCCGGAATATATTTTCCTTTCCGTAAATCTCTACTCAACGTTCCCTCGGCCCAGATGGAATGGAGTCTCTTCGTCAATCTCTTCAATCAAACATACCCCCAACGCCAGTGCAAAGACAACTCACCCAAACAATAATCGAGGAGAACAAACGTCTTTTGGTCGTATTGAACGCCAAAGTTCTAAAGACTCGGGCCATCTTAGAAGAGCTGGAATGCCAGCGGGCTGAAATAGCCTCGCAAACCCACCAATTCCAAGCAATCATCTCTCCAGTCCGACTGCTTCCCTTCGAAATACTAGGGGAGATTTTCCGATACCTTACCCCAGCATTGCCACTTGGATTGGATCTCACACGCGAGCGAATCGAGCGTCCACCTTTTGCACTGGCAGCAGTGTGTCGTACTTGGAGAAGAGTAGCACTATCGCTACCTTGGCCACTTGACATCAGATTATCATCTACCAGTGTCTTTGCTCAGCCAAACGATCATGAAGGGTGGGAACTGAGATATGACGGATATTCCATTCATGGTGATTTGGACGAAAGATACTTACGTCCGGACGACTATGAGACCAGCACCGAGAAACAAGTTTCAGGTGACTGTGCCCTCGAGCTGGTGCTTGAATGGGTGGTGGCGAGTCTCCATCGCTCAGGTAACCACCCTCTGTCGTTCCGACTATGGTTGATGAGTATGCTGTCAATATATTTCTTGACCTTCTCTCGGCACATTCCAACCGTTGGAGTCAAGCATTCTTCATCGAGATGCCCTCCAATCTCGTCCGACGTCTGCAAAGGATCGAGCTTTATTTCCCCCTCCTCCGTGAAGTTGTGTTTTCAGGCTCTAGCTCCGTTATTTTCAATTTCTCGCAGGCGCCATCCATGTCTGCCCTCAGCTTGGGCAAAATTGATGAAAGTTGTCCCCAGAACGTCCCTTGGAATACTCTCACAGAATACAACGAGGTCCTTCGCCAACTCGCAAGCCAGATGAGGATCGAGCCAGCCCGACTGGGTGTTCTCTCCAATCTTGTTGTCCTACGACTTCAATGGGATTCGTATGATGGGAGAAAACCATCCAGCCCAGTCATACTGCCAAAACTCCGAGTCGCCTGCCTTGATTACAACCCTTCGGATTACTATGATGATGACCCCCAGTCGCATTTGATTGCATCTTTCTTCCATATGCCCTGCCTTGAGGCATACAGTCTGCGATTCTCACTTCCTTGCCTAGACGAATATGAATTTACCCAAATACTGCCACAGTCCCCCCGATTAAAGATTCTCCGCGTGTCACTCCCAGATGGGCCATATTCGGATGCCCCTCCGGCCCACGACCTGCAGTCTTCTTTGCGCATATACCCGAACCTCTCGGAGCTCGCCATAGACGTCCCCAATAGAGTCACTTCTAGCTTATTGCGTGACCTGTATCTTGTTGACCCCCAACACCCTTTGTTCCCTCAACTCCAAGCTTTCTCTGTGACCAGCAGGTCCTTGGTCCATGACGACCCAGAAGACCAGTGGACGCTAATGAAGGATTCCATCTCATTGTTACTTACCACATGCTTTTCACCGTCTCCAGCATGCCCACTTCAAGTATTCTCCTTTGTCAATGATCCTCCACCAGGTAATCACGATGCTAGAGGCGAAAACCAGTTGTGGGGGGCGGGTAGGGACATCCAGGAAATGCTGAAGAAGCTTCGCGACGAGACGCGCTGGAATATCAAGTTCGGCAATGACTGTGTATTTCCAGAGTGGGATGATTTACTTTTACCGGATCTATAAATCTATAAAATCTGGTGGGACAGAGTGGTAATCAAACTGTGAGATGAGGGATTGGTTGGACGGTTGATTGGGGACAGAGAGGTAATTCCAATAAGAGTCCACAATCAAAACAAAGTGGGAAAAAAATCTGATTGGCAAGTTCTCATTAGCGAGGGGGTTCAATGGAAAGCAAAGGCGTTCACCCATCTCCGACGATAGAGTATACTTACCTGACTACTTATCTCTCTCTCAAGGTCGACGACTTGGATATGGCGGTTGGGAGTTCAAGTTGCTGATCTGATCCGAGTGCCCATCATTTCTTCAAGTTCTCCTTAACCCAGCTGCTTGTTCAAACGTTCAAGACGCATGCGCTAGTTATTATGGACGACCTGCTTTTGTCTCTAGGATCCAACCTGCCCCCGACTCCAACTCAAGTCCGTAGCATAAGAGCCGCAGTCGAAGAGAACCAGCGCCTCTCACTCCTATTAAAAACCAAGATTTCTCATACTCGGGCGATTCTGAAGGAGTTGGAACGTCAATATTCAGATTTGGAATCACGGACCACACAGTATCGAGCGGCTCTTTCTCCAATGCGACTGCTACCCTTCGAAATACTAGGGGAAATTTTCCTGTACCTCACTCCGACATTGCCATTAGCGTCTCATGCCACCCGTGAGGTGGTCGAGCGTCCGCCGTTTGCGCTCGCCACTGTATGCCATAATTGGCGAAAAGTTGCGCTGTCGCTACCCGTGCTTTGGTCGACACTGGACATCAGACTCCCTTCTCTCTTTCCTCCGGAGTTATGGGAGAGCGAGACCAGTCTCTACGACGAATTCCTGGAAAGAGAAGGAGAGTCGTATTCACCCAGAGATGAGGAAACGCAGGCCAAGGAACATTTCGCAGGCGGTCATGTTATCGAATCTACACTGGAATGGGTGGTGACGAGCATCCGTCGCTCGGGTAACCACCCTCTTTCGTTTCGACTGTGGGCTGACGGATATGCTGTCAATCCGATTTTTGACCTGCTCTTAAAATACTCTGCGAGGTGGGGTCAAGCGTTTTTTGTCGATGTGCCCTTGAATCTCATGCGACAACTGAGAGAAGTGGCGCCGAGCGAAGTAGCATCCTCCGGCGCGTCCTCTGTCGTTTTCCATTTCTCCCTTGCACGCTCTGTCTCTGCTGTGGGCTTGGCAGGTCGCAAGGAGAGTTTCCCCCTGGGTATTTCGTTGGACAGTCTCACGGAATACAACGAACGTTTTGAACGTGGATATGGCAACCAAAGGACAAAGGAGCTAACCCGACTAGGCCTGCTTTCAAACCTTGTTGTCCTGCGATTACAATGGCATCATTCCTCTGATACTGCTAGGCCCCCTAGCCCTGTCCCACTGTTAAATCTGCGTATTGCATGTTTCGACTACCACCCCCCGACTTACTCGGATAACCCCGAGGCGCAGCGCATTGCGACCCTCTTCGATATGCCCGTCCTCGAAGCTTACAATCTGACATTTTGGACTTGGCCAACCCGTTCTCAGAAGCAGACCTTTTCCCGCATGTTGCCTCAGTCTCCTCATTTAAAGATTCTCCGGCTATCCCTCCCTTATTTATACTCCCCCCCTGCCCACGACATGCAATCTGCGGTGCGCATGTACCCGAACCTCCGTGAACTTGCCATCGACATTCCGAATAGAGTCACTTCTAGCTTCTTGCGTGAATTATCTGTCGTCGATTTTCGACGCCCTTTATTCCCCCGACTGCAATCATTTTGTGTGACCAACAGGTCTCTAGTCCACGACGACCCTACAGACCAATGGACGCTGATCAAGGATTCACTCTCTCTACTTCTCGTCGCTCGATTTTCACCATCTGGGGCGTGCAAACTGCAACAATTCTCTTTCGTCGACGGCTTGCCATCCGGAGATCGCCAGAATAAGGGTGAAAGAGATCTGTGGGTCGCGGGCCAGGACATCCAAATGATGCTCAAGAAGCTGCGAGATGAGACGCTCTGGAATATCAAGGTCGGCAAGGGCTGCATATTTCCTCGCTGGGACGAGCTGACATTATCGGACTTGTAACCTAGATTATTAGTACTGTAGATAGAAAATTGACGCGTTTGCTCAAGTCATATGATCGCGTTATAGGTCATGCGCAGCCATTATATTAGTCATTACCATAAGATGGTCCTCTATCATCTATGCATGCGGAAAAATCATTCTACTATTACCTCCGGTCTATCCTGGCCATAGCATCAGCAACATTTACCTGCAATGCCTCCTCTCCAAGCAGGTCGAATATGCCGGCCTTTGAGAACATCGCCAGAGGCGAAGGCTGAAGGTGTGTCACAAACAGCCGGACATGTCGACTCTACGTTTCTCTATTAGTTTGTAGTTCACGCAAAAATGAATCCAAACCTTATATTCCTCACACAACTCGAGAAACATTTCCACTGCAGACGCATCGCAGCGCTCTACATCTGCCATATGGAACACCAACACCGTGGCTTGCTGCCGGCGTGGCTCTTCTGAGGGGTGGCTTTTACCGAGACCATATAACTCGAGCCGCCGCAGCCGTTCTATCATTTACTAGTCAGAAGTTTGGCGCTTGGGGATAAATGAAGCTAACCTTTTAGCTGAGCGGTATTGGCTAGTGCCGCAAAAATGAGTAAACGACGCCACGGATAAGGGAGAAAGCCCACCGAAGTCTAAGTTTTCTCTTATCCTGACTATCAATGCTCCAGAAACGTCTTCCTCGGCATCTGGGTGCTCGTCAATCGCCTTCCATCGGTCGGTTCCAGGGATGCGGCCCAAAATGGTCATCCTTGCTCTTGATGAGCGATGGACAACCAAGAGCAGCGACGCGATCAGGCTCAGAGTAATCCCAACCTCGATGTTCCAAATAATTGCAAAGCAGAAAGTCAGTGCCATAAGGGTGAGGTCGGTCCATGCAGACATTCTGGCATTGAATTCAGCAACAAGGAGCATGAGAACAACTGACCCAACTTGATATAATAAGCGACATCATGCGGCGCCTCCCGCAGTAGGGAGAATACAACGAGGCAAATACTGTCAGCAGTTTATTAGCCATTCAGAAGTTCAAGGAGAAACGAAACCTACATCGAAGAAAGAACGGCCTTGGGCAAGAAGTATAACCAGGGAAGAAGGAAGAAGGTCGCTAGAAGAACGACGACGGAGCATACGAGAGAAGCCATCTGTGTCCGCCCGCCCACATCACCGTTAATCTTCGACCGAGTTATCGAGCCGAATGCCGGCAAAGTCCCTGGTACGAAGGACGCTGCCAGATTCGAGGTACCAAGAGCAACTAGCTCCCGATTCGGGCTGATGGAATACCCGAAGCGCGAGGCATTTTGTTTGGCGGCGACAATGCTATCCAGGAAACCCACCACGCAAATGAGTCTATGACTGATGAGCAAACAAAAAAACGAAAGCATGAATGACATACGCAGCCGTTGAAGTTGTCCTTCTCAGATATTTGAGCGTCATCGATTGAAGCGGAATTTGGACGAATGAGCCCATAGACTGGATGGGTACCGCGCCAAGAATTTCTACACCCTCTTCATCCCAACGAAATTCTTTGCAAAGAATCGTTGATAACACCACCACCACCAGGACCTCGGGAAGTCGATAGATCCACCAAAAGCGTTGGAACGGTCCTTTTAACGCTCGCAGTAAAATTAATACTGCGAGCGCGCAGAAGCTGACCAGAGTTGTGCGCGCGTTGGCCATTGGGACATGTTCCAATAAAAACAGAACCTTGTCAAATGTCGACTCTGGATGTAGCTCATGCATGAGCGCTGTCAGGCCGAACATCGGCACGAGCTGCTCAGTCAGGATGACAACGGCAATTGCGCTGATGAAGCCCCGTAAAAGAGCGCGACTGAGAACAACGTCGATGAAGCCGAGGCGGAAGAAACCGAGTAGGAAAGCAAACAAGCCGACCTGCGATATTAATTGGACTGCCATAAGCAGAGAGAAATTTCGCACCTGGAAGGTAATGATGGTACCGACAGCGATCTTAACCATTTCTCCTTCTTTGGAGTGTGGATTAGGGAAGTCGAGCAGGATATCAGAAACTGCCTGGCCAATGAGCAAGGAGAGCGCTGCCTCCGGCGCGACGTTGAGCTGTCTGCTTGTACCGAGGAAGGCATATACAATGCCGGGAATAGACGCGGAAAACTGTCAACGGGGTAACTTTGAGTGCGGTCGAATTCAATGCACAACTCACCAAACCAGTCAACGGGCTCATCTGTGCCAGCGATGTTGCATAACTGACGGACTGCGGAATCAACATCGAGGCCACAGTGAGGCCAGCGAGAATATCTTGGAATTCAGGGTTAACTTGAAAGCAGTGGAGAGGAAGTCGTTATATACGGACCACCGCCCAGACTGGGTTGTGGTTAGCGTAAAGAGAAGGGGGGGGGGACGGAGCACACACAAAGAGAGCGTATAGTTTGGAATCCAAGCAGTCCCCGGCACATAGTATTGGATCCTCTTTCTGTATGCCCCACCCCGAACTTTATGGAATGAGGCTGGCGACATCGTCAAAACTGTTCTCTCCTGGCGAAGTAGTCACTTCAACACACCATTGTCAGAGTCGTGTATCGAGTCCCGGCCACGCTCCACATCGAGAGTGGTTGGCTCACCCTGGACACCGTCGATATCCATGAGCGAAGAAGATGACTGTACGGGTGAGGAAAGCAAATCTAATCCCCGGCTCGAAGATTCGGCAGCCATGATAAAGACTCGCGTCTTCGATTTGTAAAAATGGTGAGACGCGGGAGTTTACTAGGCCATCAACGGCCGGGGAAAGGAACAAGCTAGGAACAAGCTGCTGAGTCAGCCCGTCAACATTGTCATCATGTCTCCGGATGCCGGTGAAATTCTGCCACACCAACATTTTGGAGAGTAAAGCTACAAGTATCAGACTTAAGCACTAAACACCAAACGGCGGTCGATCCAAGGCAACCTAGCCATCAGGCAGCAACTCTCCCAGAATAAATCCTGGTTGATATCGGGCTCAAAGTAGAGCACGATCCACTGCAGCCGCGGCCATGGTGCATCTGCAATGATCTCTGACGCATATCGGTGCAATTGGCCTATGTATCCACGAACCTAGGTTATATAAGACCTGTCTATGTCGATAACCTTCGCTGAGTACTATTGGAAACGAACGTCCTGTGGCGAGCTACGATGTCTATGTGTGGTCCAGCGCGGATCTTTCACTTACAGTACTGTTTTATGGCTGTTACCTGCACAACTTACATAGTCATTTCTTAAGCTTCGAGTAAGGCCGAGTGGTAGTTGTTCCAAATGCCCTTGATACACAGAGAAGTAGGTACACAGGTTGGTCAAGTCTCCGACCCGGGTGCAACATCTTCCGCGACAATCTGGGGTAGAAGCTCCTCATGAACGTTGAAATGCCTCGTTAAGATTGAGCCACAAGCAAGATGATGAAGGGTGAAAGCAGGCTGACCTCATCACACTGCCCTCCTCGCGACAATTTCCCTCTCCGTTTTCTCCCCAACGAACAATCCATCGCCCGAGGATATTGCCTGACGCGTCCCGCGTCTCGGCGACGGTTTCTTCCTGGCCTGCACTTGTGTTGGCGCTCTGCATGTCGGGCGGGATGACGACGAGGTCTGCCAATTCCCATTTCGCAAACGGACGCGATGAACGGACAACGAATGTCGGGTCATATATCTAGTCTTCTCCTTTAGCGGATACGGGAAAGAATGAACAACAAGACGGACCCGTGTTATACGCGGTTTTAACCTGAGTGTTAATGTGGTAGCCTCGATCTCCTGCACACGGTCTGTCTCAGGGTTCTTGGTGACGCTGAGTTTCGTGACATAGCTCCGGCCTGCCCAGCCAATCAGAGAGGTGCTGACCGCAGACGTGCTGACCGCCGTTGTGGCGAGAAAAGCACGCGCAGTGACAGGCAAGTTGGTCTCGATGGCAAACATTAAGGGAACCATAGTAGTGCATAAGGAGAGTGAGGAAAGGGAGAAGATCTTGAGGCGACGGAAGGTATTGGTGAGTGGGCCTCGGTACACGACTTTGTCTGGCGAGATTGAGACTGGAGGGAGTGAGGAGTCGAAATGGGTATTTGATGTAGTTGAGGCGGCTAGTGTCGATTCATGGCGCAAAAAAGAGGTCAGAGCACGGGTCCTAAGGAGAGAATGCGGGCAGCGCCGCAGCATGGCAGGAGGAGGCAAATTGGTCGCGCGTCTTCCCGGCAAACGGTGAGTATGGCCGATCTTCGGCCCGAAGTCATAACCAACTGGCGTCACGGTGTGACACATCGTTTTTCTCTTTCACGACGACGACCACTTGACGACCACGAAGAGATGGACCCACCAGTGTATTACTCCAAAGCAGAGTACATAGAAACGGTGTGCCTTCTTCCTCATTATCCTTCTCATCGTTAAGCGTCTTTGCACAGGACACAGGCAACAAAGTTTCGCGTCGAGCGACAATTGCAGGTCCTCAAAACATCATTCTTGGCGGCAAAACCATTATCTCCAGCGGTGCCATCATTCGCGGAGACCTTCGACGGACAGGCGCCGGCCACGCTGTCGTTATCTCGCTTGGTCGATACTGTTTGGTCGGGGAAGGCTGCGTAATGCGACCACCTTACAAAACATACCGCGGCAACTTCAACTACTACCCCATGAAAATTGGAGACCATGTTCACATAGGAGCCAACAGCGTTGTTGAAGCCGCCACCATCGGCAACCATGTCGAGATTGGCCGCAATTGTGTTATTGGGAAATTCACCATCATCAAGGACTGCGCCAAGGTCGCAGACGGTAGCATCGTTCCGCCGAATACCGTTATTCCGGCGTTGTCTCTTTTTTCGGGCTCCCCAGCGCATTTTGTGGAGGATTTGCCGGAGTCGACGCAAGATATTGTCGAATCACATACCAAGCGGTATTATACGCGCTTTCAGCCATTGGACCGATGATGGTGAGTAGCGTTCCTTTCTTTCCCTATGATGAACAAAATAGAAGTCAAGCCCCGAGTCAAAAAACGACCATGGCGAGAATACATCTCCTGATTCCTTTTCCCTTTTTGGTTCTTGTTCTCTTTTGGAACAAGCTGGCTGATTCCATTGTCCAGACATTCGTGCGCCCCTTGACGACGGAAACAGTACAATGACTATTCGACGACTCTTGATGCGCCTTTGTCCATTTTTGGTATTCCGCTTGTCGCGTGGTCCCATAAATGGACAGGACCTTTTCGAGTGTCTTCACGACTCCGCTCCTCTCTAAATATCGACCCGATCTTCGACGTTCTCTTAACGACACTCACTCCATCATGATCGCGTCTCGCACAATCCTCCTCTTTCTTTCCATCGCTGCCCTGGGTAGGTTGTCCTAGCTATGATTTCCCGCATAACCAACCGCACCAATAGTCATCGCATCTCCTGAGCCCATCGAAGAAAAGTTACAGCCCATCATCGCGTCCAAGAATAACATAGGACTTGCCAATCCCGTAAGTCTGCCTCGTATTCCAGCCATGAACAAGCTAACTCGCCGTAGCCTTCAGCCGAAACCAATGGAGCATCTTCGTTGACTGTGTCGGGCGCGGCAGCGCTGGTAGGCGTTGTTGCTGCATTGTTGTGAGGATTAGGCTGTCATTGATACCCACATTGAGACTACATGGTCTCCATTATTTGTTCAACACTAGCATTGTTCCAGATTCTTTGCCAGACTATAAAATGAGACTCAAAAATGAGCTCGAAGTCACGAACTCCTCAGCGCATATGCCCTCACAGGCGATCCATCGCATCCATCGAGTTTGAGCGGGACAAGATGAATCGTAAACCCTTGCCCATTACCCAGCATACCCAGATTCGTGAGGTTCTCTGCTATGACACCATTTGCACCCAAGATTGTTTCGTGGGCTGCGAACGAGCCTTGCTCTTCCGCTTTTTCTTCCTCCGATTCCGAGTCTGAAGCGGCGACACGCGTCTCATCGGGACTCAACGCGTCAATACCAACGACACGGAATCCCAGACTGACGATATACTCGGCTGCCTCACGCGAGAGGAAGGGGTGGGTGAAATACGTCTTGGCGAACGCGCTCCAGTGCCGCGACCAACCAGTCTGAATGAACAGCATCGGCATCGGTGTGTCGTCGTGTTTTTCCGTGGGAGACCAGGCCAACTGGAGAGCGCGCTGGATGATGTTTCGCGAGATAGGCTTCGAGGCTTCGCATTGAGCGGAAATGTCAAGCACTACTACCCTTCCAACGAGCTCGTGGATCGCTAATTTGTCGATGGTCCTGCCGCCAGCAACAAAATGTGCGGGGGCGTCGATGTGGGTGCCAGCATGGGAAGAAAGAGACAGCTTTGTGACCGCGTAGCCGTCATGGGCGATGGAGGCAGCGCAGGACGGGAGAAAAGGCGGGTCGCCGGGATATGTTGGTGTAGATTCGTCAAGAGTGTGGGTCAGATCAATGATTTGAGGCATCATTATAATGGGAGGGCTGCCTGAGTTGTATTTCCACCGATTAGACAGTGCGGTGTAGCCAGAAGATAACTAGAAGTCAGCCTGATTCAGTGCTTTTGGATTCTTGACAAGATTCACGAATGTGACAATCGATCAAAATATGTGACCGTGACAATTCTTCCCAACACAACAACTTTTTTTTTTTTTTTTTTTTTTTTTTGTGGCACGTTAGGTAGTGGCAGATAATCGCTTTCGCTCCCCAGTAGCCTGCCGTAGTTCTCTTGCGAGATTCCGTCAAGCGTCCCGGGCCGACATCTGTCGGTCATCCACCACCCGTGAGTTGTGAGGCGGGGACTTGAAACCCCGCCAGCCGGATCAAAACCACTCGAGGAAATGCGCTTCCGCACTAGGCCCTTAGGCATCTGGTGTGGGGCTGCAGTCTCGACAGACTCAGGGCGTGCAAGAGGGAGTTGGCCCTCCTGTTCACCACCCGTCATCGCCTGTCTCAACCGACACCCACTAAAACCCCGACCTCCCTTGACGTTGGCCAGTCATTCGGGAGTGATTCTTCGTCTTTTAATGTTCTGTTCCAAGTTTTGAGGACTAATGCCTTGGGAATGGCCTTCTTCCCATACTTATTGCCATTTGTCATTTCTCTATCCATCAACACAACAACTTGAAGCCACTACTGGCCCTTACTGTCTTGTATCTTTCCAGGCGCTGTTTTTCGAACTAAGGGAAGTTATCCGGTCGCGGCGTCAATCTTCTCTTCTTTCATTCGCGCCACCTTCTTGAGAAATCATAGATTGCTCCCCACCGTGCAGCTTCTTGCCGGCAACCCAAGTACGCCTCTCAGGTCGCTCACTATCGAAGCCGCTGATCGTCCGCAGATGCTGGCTTATTTCTGAAACTGTGACGTTCGTTCTTGCTTATCGCCAACTCGCAGCAACAGGCCCGCAGCCATTCAGTTGGTGTGTCCGCAAGGGAGACCCGCCGTGTCATTGAGTACCAGAAGGAATGCCTCGGAGCGCTCACGGATTCATACTTGCGCCGTTGTTTTCCTCTTGTTGATTCCAATCTCTGTTCCGTGTCTCCTTCGAAGGCTGGGACCCAAGGGAACCTAATCAATGGTGCAACGATGAGGCCAAGCTATTTTCTCGCCATGGCTGTCAGGGACTACGAGCTGTCATGCTCATCGCATGTCCTGTCGCGGCCCCAACACCCTCTTTTTCTTCAAGGAGCGCCACATCGACACTTACTACAATCGTCGTGCGAGAGCGAGGTGTTACAGCCGGGTAAATCAAAGCCAGCGCTAGTCGGCGGCACCGACCACGAAGATCAGACAGCAAATCAAGAAGACGGACGACCTATCTAATATTATCTCCTCCGGAAGCCCGATAGGCACGACCTTTGCTGGGCAAATCCCTTTCAGATGGCCATTTACGCCATGCAATCCCTCACAGCTGCGCGAACGAAGTGACGATTGACACAAATGTGAACCCACTGTTTGATCAGATAGATGGGGGCTGCCTATTTGGCAACTGACATTCATTTATGCACAGCAAAAAGGCGAGCCTTATAGCGGAACAGGTCTACGCTGCCAGATTGACGCGTTGACAGAATTTATCGAGTCAATGATCTTGAAGGTCATTTTGTGGGCTGTTTCGCAAGTACCCAATTGCTTCAAACTACTCTGTGTTGGTATGTGGGGGGAACACACTCTTAGTCTCACGCTGAGATCTTTTCATAGATCAACCGTGATTCGCAACGTTTTGCCCAGAACGGTCGTATTCAGATCGGGCAATGATTGAGATGTCATCTCAAACCAGCGCGCGGCTTCACGGCTGTGTATATTTGGCACTACCCTACACGAGTCAAGAGTCCGAGAGAACTCGGCGACTCTGTAGTATGATGCTATATACGCCGTCTTCATCTGTCGAACCCATCGAGACCACTTGTCCCGTTTTCTTACCATGGCTTCTCGTGCTCGTCGCACCAACCGCAAACCCAAACGATCCTCCACTTCCACACTCATTTCCGGTCCGCCTCTCGCTGAACATGCAGCGCTGCCTCTCTTTAACATCGCTTCCTCTCTCCTCGCCTACCTCCCCGCCGCCATCCTAGCACATCTCCACACACTTCTCTCCGTTGCAGCAGAAAAACGAAAACTGCAACTGCAAGAACAAAGGAGGCCACATAAACTGGCTGAACCCGTGCAAGCAGCTCTCAAAAAGTCGCGCAATGGACGACAGCTTATCTCGTTCGACGACCTTCCGCCTGCTTGGCAGGGCACCCCATTCATCAAATCTGGCTACCGATTCATCCCCCTTGAGCGGTTTTCCGCTCTTCTTCTCTCCATGTTTACCCCACACAACGAATTCCGTGCGTGCAACTTTTTCTCGACAAGGCTACGCCGCTTATTTCTTCCACAGTCAACATCCAAACACACATAGTTGCATTTGTGTACAGCTGCTTCCACTGGTCTGGCGGGACACAAGACTTGGGCGAGACTATCGTGCTCATCGCTGGTCTTTTCTGTCTCGCGGCGAGCATATGCGGCCATATGATGTCTGGGTGTTCAGACCAGCATGCCATGCAGTTCTGCAACCGCGTTGACTACGCTGGCATTGCATGGTCTGTCTTTCCTCGTTGTTTTCCTTCATATTATTGAAAATATTCACGCAGGCTCTTGTGTGCTTGTAACGCGTCCTTGGTCTTTTACGGCTATGCGTCGCGACCCGATATCGCCTACCCATTCGCTGTTGTGTCGTCCTTCATGGCGCTAGCCGGCAGCATACTTCCCTTCGTTTCTTGGTTCAATCGGCATGAATATCGAGTAAGATTTAGTCGACTGTACTGATAACGCCAAGGCTCATCATTACAAAGTACTGGCGCATTTCGTTCTTTGTAGCTCTCAAAGTAACCGCCATTACCCCAGTTGTCGGGATCTATATGCTGTATGGACTGGAAGGAATGAGGGATTTTACTTGTGGGTCCCTTTCCCTCACTTTCGTCAACCTGCTAAGCAGCATATAGCTCCTTTCATTCGACCTATTTTCCTCAGTGCCCTTGGAATATTCTTCTACACAAACCACCTCCCAGAACGCTTCCTTAACCCACATGGCAAATGGGCCACACGCTTCAATGCCGTGGGCTTCGGCTCACACGCGATCTGGCACGTCCTTAGCGCCACCAGCATCCTCGACTGGGCCAGCGCCATGGCTGTCGTGCGCCATAGTTTCGCAAATCGCGTTTGATCCACTCATTATTCCTGGATCAAGAACTTGGTTGAACCCTAGATAGACAGCATTTCATCCCTCTGTAATACCACCTACCTACCCACTCATTGTAATTAGCAGTATGTATTCGTCGGACACAGGGCTGTCTAACACGCGTTTTCTTCTCGCGTAGGTTACGCGATCGTCGTAGCGCTTCGACGTTCCCGCGGCGCCAACTTACTTGGTCTGCTTCGGGTCGGCAGCGTGTGAACTCGTGTCGCATTCAACGCTCAAAAGTCGCCGCGGGAAACTGACAGATGAAGTTGGCGGCGTCGCAGAACCATGGCGGTCTCAGGAAGGCGTATGTGCTTTCGAACCTAGGGCCGAGTTGCCCGAGTGGAATCAATGCTGCCGCGCACTATTGTACAACGAGAATGGAAGGGCGCCTTGTGCAATTATAACGCGGAGCGGACAAGCCGTGACTCCGACTCGGATAGGCGGAAAAGCGTTTGAGGCAACGTATGATGGAGCCCAAGTACAGTATCATATTTGAATGTCGTGATACGACGAGTCGAGGTGGGAGACTATCAAGCATTAATGCCCCGAGGCCCAAGGCGTGAAGCCTATCCCGTTTCTATGGGCGGGCCCATCAGCCCTGGTACCTGATGCACGATCTCCAACTCAAACCGCCCAATGCCGAAAAAGGCTATTCTTGCGCCCGCTCGCGCAAATCTCGGTGGATTGGCACATCTTGCATGTGTTAATGCCACTGATGAGGTGGTAGAGGGGGCGGGAGATCCGAAGGAGATCTCAGAAAATTATCGGTCTCCATTATTGAGCGTTCCATGTGTGATGCAAATATACTACAGACTGAATTCGGGAGGAAAAAAAAGTGCCAGAGTTATTGGCCTCATGCGCGCCAGCCTTCGATTTTCCGTGTGCGTAAAAACAGCGTGCGCGTTACGAGGAAGCAGAGCGCGCAGGCGAACACCGTGCTCTGAAACAGGATCAGTTTCTGCAGAAAACAAAAAATACGAAAAGCGGGACTTACTGCAGAGAACGCCACGGGGTGTATCCAGCGGAAGAAGTCGGTCAAGAGGGACCCTTGGATTGGTGCAGAGCCGAGGACAGCGAAGCTGGTGAGGAAGAGGGCAACACCCAGACGAGCTCTGACAGAAGATCGATGAGTTAAAATAGCTAAGCAGCAAAAGCACCGACGTACCCGACTTCCTCAGGTCCTTTAGCGAGCGATGCAAAGGAAGGGAACGTCAAGGCAAGCCCTGGAAATTCAATCAGTCATCATGGCCAGCCATATGGGAAGGTGTCGAAAAAACGAACAAGCACTTGAGCATCCACCGTAAAGGATGCTAACTACCATGAGCGATGCGCCGTTGTTTCTGTCCAAATGCTTTAGCAAAGCGCACGATAATCAAAAAAAAACTACAAACATTCCAAGCACCGCCCAGATCAGGGCACCAGAGAACGTAGAACATAAGATCATAGCGTTGAATGGACCGTATACATCTGCCCAATGGTTGCCAACCACACGAACAACGGCACCAGCAGCGTTAAGGACGGAGATCTATTAGGTTCAGTTGTAGTAGAATCGCGAAACAGTCAACAAACCGAGTAGAAGGATAGTGTTGGGTCAACGTTGTGGGTGACACCGAACAATTGGATGTAGATTGCTAGAATAATTGTTCAGGATTTTTATCTTCGTAACAAAGGGCACAGACCTGGGAAGAACAGGCCGAGAAGACCGAGCAGCATACTGGTAACAACATCAGAAGGCGTATTTGGTCTCATAAGAAACATCACGCACGCAAGGACACCAGTCATGTATGGCGGGTCCGTGAAAAACGACTTGATATCGAGTGGGGGCTGCGGTGGACGTTTACTTTTGGGCGGAAGCCGAGTTTTCATCATGAGGTTACCCACGACGAGACATGGCGGGATGATAGCGGACGAGTATCGGACAGCACGAGCAAAACCAACCTTCGGGAGGAGATGGCTGAATTTGTTGTCAGCTCCTAGAACAGAGATCGGGCTGGAGAGAAAAAAACCTACTTGAGCACTAGAGACAGTTGATGTCAGCTTTCAATCCACGCTAAAGGCAGAGCACATACTAATTGGGAACAGTGTCGCGCCAACGGAGGTTCCACTCATGATGACGCCAGACGCCAGACCACGATGTTTCTTGAAGTGGTGCACCACAATGCTGAGACTCGGTAGGAAGATCAATCCGACTCCAAGGCCCATGCCCACTCCTTGTCTGCTCTCCCGTCAGTCAGTGACGACGTGCTATAAAGATTTATACGCACGCCAAGAAGATCTGGAAAGACCCTTGAGAACGTAGGCAGACGAGTAAGACAACGCCTCACCTGGTAATACTGGTTCGGTTTCGCGAGCGATAGGAGGAAGGATCTTGTCACGATGAGCCCCGCAGAGGTATCAAGAAAGCAGAGGAACGCACGAAAGAGTGAATATGACTCCTCCTGTAATTTCCAACGCATGAAAACCACCATCGTCAAATATCTTCCCCGCTACTGGTCCACAAAAGAACGGCATCATAAGCTGGAAGCTGCCAATCCATCTAAGAAAGAAAAGGAAAATTAGGCTAACAACAATGAAAAAAGACTCCGACGAACGCTATACTGCTTGGAGTGTGGTTTCTGAGATAGAAGCGAACGTAGTAGTCTATGTGGCGAGTGTTTAATATCGTTGTACACAAGACGGCAGTAAATACCTTCGTATACGCCGAATGTGAATGCGAAACTATGATGACAATGAGCCGCCATCAATAGAAGTGGGCTCCAAACGCACCCGAATGTTGAGAAGAGAGTTAGCCAAGCACCGGCAACGGTCATCCAGGCTTCAAAGCCACCGTCTGGTACCTCGAACTCAAATGGCTCTGGGCCTTTTTCCACTGCTGAGTCGGTTTCTGGTTTGCTTTGGGCGACCACGGCATTGACGTCGATTTTGTGCTCGCTCTCCGCGCGGGACGGAGGCTCTGTGGTCGTCTGTGAACTGGCCATAGTGAGGTTTCCTGGAAGTGATGCCAAATAAAGTCGGCGCGTTTTATGAAGCTATGCTGTGCATGCAACCACACGGCGTTTGCGACAAGACCGAGGGTGACAGGATCGCATTCGGAGGGTTCCTGCCATGTAAGAGCGGAGAGGCAGAAAAGAAGCTGATGGGTTCCGCAAATAGACGCCAGGAGAATACCTGTGTGCCAGCGAGTGTTTGAGCAGATCGGGGGCCAAGAATGGAAAGCCTCTTCTGAAAGATTGGTCGTGAGGTATCACGTTGGCTTGTGGCGAGACTGATTGGATGGTGGCAGAGGGAGACCTGGCATTGTTGTGAAAAAAGCCTAATAGTGAGGCGACCCTGGATGATTTCGCTTGCGTAATTGAAAAAAACCCCGTACCAGATAGTACTATGTTATCGGAGTCCGTCCCAGATAAGCCGTTCTACACATCAATTCAGGCAAGGCCCGACATTGCGCTGGTCATGACGAAGACAAACGTGCTGGGTGGGAGTCAAAAATAAAAGCTTGATAACGATCAGCTCGCGGTCACGCCATCTAATCACTGATTCAGCCTCAATCTTTCACTGACTGTTGTCTTTCAAACGTCCCTTCCCAAGCTGAAGCCAAGGACCTAAACATACACCAAGACTTGTCAGGTCGTATGCTATTGGTCCGCTGTCCACGGGTTTTCAACTTCAGTTAGCGACAGGCGGCAAGAACCTCGCGGTTCCTTCTGTACTAATAAGCAAAGGCTGGCGTTAAAACAAGATATCGGCCCGCAACTTGAGAAATTCTGTGCTAGTGACTAATGGCTGCCGTTAAGACAAGATATCGCCCCGCAACTTGAGAATAGTTGTCTCTGACTCTCGTTAGCGCATTGACAAGCCTGAACACGATTCGAACACGGAGTCTAACGAGAGAAAGTCCGGACCCGCTAATCTCATAGATACGTATTCATACTAGTCCGCAAATCAGCACAACCACGAGCTACAATAGAACCGTTGCTTATTGCCTTTGGACAAATACCGCCCATTCAGCACTTATTCACGCCGACTTGCTACTAGCACAGCAGTGACTCGACTTGTACTCGGATGTTGGTCATTTAAATCGACCAAGTCGACACCTGCCTATGGAGATAAGTATGCTCATATTAGTTCATCTTTCGTGACCATCCCAGTAGCGCTCGGTGTCGCGCTCTTATGTCCGCCACGTTGATATGGTGCTGTGTCCAAATAGTGCCAGTCAAGGGCAGCCTTGCAAACTCGAAATAACTTTCAAATGAATCTCCAGCAGTTATTATATCCAAAAGCCATTGAGTGGGGGGGTAAGTATTTAAGGCTACAGGGGTGAGATACAGTACGATGTAAAGCGAGCGAAGTACTTTTGGTGTCTAGGTTAGGCGTCATGCAATATAGAACCACGTCGGGCATTTACTCCTTCTTCTCATCCTTCTTGTCGTCGTCCTTCTTCTCCTCAGCGGGCGCTTCCGATGACGCGGCATGCTCAGCGTTCTTCTTCTCGTAGACCTTTTGGAAGAGTCCGAGCGAGGCAACCTGGGTTTCGTCCATCTTGGTCTTGATGGCCTCGGGCGTGATAGAGCCGTCGCCAGCTTGAGCTTGGAGCGCAAGAGCACGGAGCTCGCCAATGAGTTTAGTAACCTTCTCCTTCTCAGCGGCATCGAGTTGGTCCTTGAACTCGTTGACCGACTTCTCGGTGTCCGCGCAGAAGGAATCGGCCTTGTTGGACATTTCGATGAGGTCGCGGCGTTCCTTGTCCGACTCGGCGTATTGCTCAGCGTCAGAAACCATCTTGTTGATGTCGTCCTTGCTCAGACCCGAAGAAGAGGCAATGGTCATAGACTGGTCCTTTCCGGTAGCCTTGTCCTTGGCAGACACGTTGACAATACCATCTAGTAACAAATTGATTAATTTGGATGGCGAAAAAGAGAGATGGACCCACCAGCATCGATGTCGAAGGTGATTTCGATTTGGGGGACACCTTTGGGAGCAGGAGGAATGCCAACCAGGTTGAAGTTACCGAGGAGCTTGTTGTCCGCAACGAGTTCACGCTCGCCCTGGTAGATCTTGACCTCGATAGCAGTTTGACCGTCAGCGGCAGTCGAGAAGACCTGCGACTTTTTGGTAGGGATGGTCGTGTTGCGAGTAATGAGCTTGGTCATGATACCACCGAGAGTTTCGATACCTGTGATCACCCCGTCAGTCTAACTCCAAAAGACAGAAATGGAGTAACTTACCGAGGGAAAGAGGCGTAACATCCAAAAGCAGAACATCCGTGACGTTGCCGGCCAAAACACCACCTTGGACACTAGCGCCAATAGCGACAGCCTCGTCAGGGTTAACACCCTTGCTAGGCTCGCGACCGAAAACGCTCTTGACCGTCTCCGTGACACGGGGCATACGGGTCATACCACCGACAAGGATAACCTCGTGGACATCGCTGGGCTTGACGCCAGCATCGGACAAGGCCTTCTTGCAGGGAGCGACAGTGCGTTGGATGAGGGAAGAAGTAAGGGCCTCGAATTGCGAACGGAGGAGTTTCGTGTTGATATGCTTGGGACCAGTTGCGTCGGCGGTGATAAACGGCAAGTTGATTTCCGTCTGGGCGGTTGACGAAAGCTCAATCTTGGCCTTCTCTGCCGCTTCACGGATACGCTGGATGGCCATTCGATCGCCATTGAGATCGATACCGTGCTCGGATTTAAATTCCTTGAGGATGTGGTCAACGAGGAGAATGTCGAAGTCTTCACCACCAAGATGGGTGTCACCGTTGGTGGACTTGACTTCGTAGACGCCATCGTGCATTTCGAGAATGGAGATATCGAAAGTTCCACCACCAAGATCGTAGACAGCGACGATTTTAGCTTTGCTGTCTTTGTCCAGTCCGTAGGCGAGAGCGGCCGCCGTGGGTTCGTTAATGACACGAAGGACATTGAGTCCAGCAATTTGCCCAGCATCCTTAGTAGCTTGCCGTTGAGCGTCGTTGAAATAGGCCGGGACCGTGATGACAGCGTGGTTGACTTTCTGGTTCAGGTATTGCTCCGCCGTTTCCTTCATCTTGGTTAACACCATGGAAGAAAGTTCCTCTGCTGACTGTCGACTCATCAGCTCGGAGCCATCAAATTTGCAAGAAGAAGAACATACGAAAGTTTTCTTCCCTCCATCGTACTCGACCTGAACAGCTGGCCTGCCGTCACCCTTGCTGACGACGGTAAATGGCCTACAAACAGAGTCACTAAGGAAAGAAAACCACATTGACGAACACACCAGTGTTTGCGGTCGTCGGTGACCTCCTTGTCAGTGAACTGCCTCCCAATAAGACGCTTGAATGCGAAGACGGTGTTGGTCGCATTGACAACGGCTTGTCGCTTCGCGGGGAGACCAACCAGTCGCTCGCCATGCTTGGCAAAGGCGACGACAGAGGGTGTTGTGCGGGCACCCTCCGAGTTCTCAATGACGCGAGACGTCTTGCCTTCCATGACAGAAACACAAGAGTTTGTCGTTCCCAAGTCGATACCAACGACTGGGCCTGGTGGTAAAGTCAGAAAAAAGTGCTTGTCATTGACTCCGTGGATGCATACCGCTGACTTTTGAGTTCATGGAACGAGCGAACTTGGCTCCCTGAAAAGGATGAGAGAACGTTGAGCAGAGTAAGAGGACTACTTACGCCTTGCCGGCGGGCCACAGCGGCGCGAAGGGGCCTTGACGCTGCAGAAAGCATCGACTCGTGGAAGGGGGAAGAAGGAAAAAAAGAGATGACGGCTGACGTAACCCTCTGCCGAACTTGACTTCGTCTGACTATTACGTGTTCCCCATACAAATTGTTGTTACACAGTAAAAGTAGTACAGATGTAAACTAGACTTAACCAGCCCAGTCCAAAGAACTACTCAATATGCCGGAGACCAGCCAAATCCAAAGGAACAGAGTAACTACTCAGATACAATCATTCTGACCGAGCCGTCCCCATTTCGCACAAGGCCACGAAACATGGTCCGTCCATTGAGGAAATCGACCACTTTGACTCCCTGCTTCCTCGTCGTGAGATCATGGTGGTCCCAACCTGCCGCCCTTCGAAACTGAGCATCGATTTTACACCGCTTCGTAAAGGCTCGCGTTACGGCTTGCTCTTGATCAAAGGAAAGTTCATCCCATTCACGATGGGAGATAGCTTGATGCATCTTTTTATGGACCTCGATGAGAATATCGCCAAGTGAAATCGGTGGGGGAGCACCCGAGCCGCCCTTGAACACAATATCAATTGGCCAATTGGGAATTGCGTCGCAAACGATATGAAGACGCGTTATTGCTGGATAGAACGCTGGCTGATGAATGTCCAACGCGGACAGCGGTATGAACTGCTCTGGACCAACAGCACGATGGGGTGCGAAGTCAGTCAATGATAAATCAAAGCTGAGCTCGTTTCGCATCTCTCCGTTGAGCCATGGGTGGATGTGGAAAGATGTGGGGTACGGATTGAAGGCGGGAACATAGCTATAGGAAGATACAGATGGCGTTGTCGGAGGGACAAATGAGGGGAAGCCTGGTGGGGGGAGACAAGAAGGTATAACTGGGGGTTCTGTGACATCCCAAGGTGCCAAATGTGGCGAAAGTGGCGATGTGGGAGCTGGTGGTATGAAAGGGATGGCCGACTCTACAACATGCCATGAATTTCGTCGTTGTCTTCGAGGAGGGTCGCCATTCAAGCCGGAGAAGAGTGGTCTTTCAGGCGTGTTTGGTGTACCCGGATCGATGGGCGAGTTATATGGCGAGTTTGGGTAGATAGTCTCGCGGAAAGGGAAGCCCCAGTTGTAGCCGATTGTCGGTGTGTGGTGCTCTTCGTGAGGATTGTAGCGGAATGGGCCAGACATGGTCGTCAACGAAAGTGGGATGCGCTCGGTTTATGCAGATGTGGGCGATGGACAAGGTGGGCAAGTAGTTGTCTAAAGACGTGTGTGCAACGAGGCAAGCATAGGGCAACGCGCTTACTTGAGCCTGAGATCGTGAAGGGTCGTGAAGAGAGAGACAATATGCAATGGTTGGGAGAGAGAGAGAAAAGTGTAGTTGGAGCTACGGCGCACAAATCATGGTAGATGAAGGGCGGAGGCAGAGGCGGTTCTGTCCAGCCACCTCCGCTCGCTTGCCGACGTGGATGCAGTGCGATAACCGAACGGCCCCGAAAAGGAGTGAGATCATATTGAAACAAGCACAGGATCATCCAAAAGTTAGCCTAAAAAGGCATTTCCTCTGTATCGGTGATATTTTGCTATTTTCTGTCCAAATCACCGGCAATCAGAGTTCCGGCAAAACTTGCCCCGGCACACAAAGTTGACCATGTCTTCCACTGGCAAAGTTGGAGGAGAGGTCGGTGAAGTGCGTGCAAACATCGATGTCGCCCGTCTTACCTCCTACCTCGCCGAGAATGTCAAGTCAATCCGGGTCCCGATCGACGTAAAGCAATTCAAGGTGGGTTGACTGACCTTTTGCACGCATTGCTGCCCACTAACACACAGTAGTTTGGTCAGGTATGAACCGATTCACTACTGGTACTCCCTTCACACGATGTAGTCCAACCCAACGTACTTTCTTACCGACGCAAGGTCTGCTTTACTCGAACATTAGCCGTTATTGACCTCAGGAATAGTCGGACCAAGTTTGTGTTACGCAAGAAACCTGCCGGGGAGCTTATTTCAAAGACTGCCCACCAAGTCGAGCGTGAATACAAGATGCTTCATGCCCTTCACAAGCACAACACCAATCCGTCCACTCCAGTAGAACAACGAGTCCCCGTACCCGAGCCTATCATTCTTTGCGAGGATAGCTCGGTAATAGGAACACCGTTTTATGTCATGGAGTTTGTCGACGGTCGCATTTTTACCGACATCCACATGCCAGAAATTTCTCAGAAAGACCGCCGCGAGTGGTTCGTCCTCCTTTTTCGTTCCTTCAACTGTTAACATCGGTTCAGTTGGCTTGCGGCTGTTAGTGCGTTAACTACGCTAGGCTCCGTTTCTCCTGCTGCCGTTGGTCTTTCGGATTTTGGCCCCTCTTCAGACTATTTTCCGCGCCAAATTAAATCGATGGGTCGAGTCTCCCGCGCTCAAGCTGCCGTTGTCGATTTAGACACCAACGTCCCCACTGGGGACATACTCCTTTTCAACGAGCTCATGACCTGGTACTCACAGAACTTACCCGACGAGAAGAAGACCGGCCTTCGTATTGTCCACGGTGACTTCAAACTCGACAATCTCATCTTCCATCCTACCGAGAACCGCGTGATCGCTATTCTCGACTGGGAGCTGTGTACTCTCGGCAGTCCTCTTGCAGACCTCGGTAACCTCACCATCCCATGGTCAGCCCCAGTGTCCAGCGGCCCTGATGTATTCATCGGTGGCTTCAAGGGTGCACCAGAGAAAGACCTTGCAGTTTCTCTCCCTGACCTTGAACGCGAGTATTGCAGGTTAATGAAGCTGCCGTATCCAATCAAAGAGATGATTTTCGTGCGCAGTTGGATGATATTCCGGGTCCGTCTTAGCGCTTTCCACCTTCCTTACACTAACAGCCTCTTCTAGCTGGCAGTTATCTCACAAGGAATCGCTGCGCGTGTAGCGAGGAAGCAAGCCAGTTCTGAACGGGCTTTCATCCACGTAAAAGGGTTTCCTATCATTGGGAAATTGGCGGTTGAAGCTCTCCGAACGGAGGGCATCAGTATTGGTCCACAATCCAAACTGTAGTTAGAAGTATATTTTCCGGAGTTGCTAAGCTCAAGCTTGATATGTACCGTGTTGATTATCTTACCAACCATAAACTTCATCCTAGCTTATTATTGCTATTAGGCAGCTCGTCATCTTCTTTGACATAGACGCTTCGAGAAAATTCACACGCTCCTCCGACTTTGCATGAGCCTCCATCTAGCTATATTACCTCCCGATGTGCTCTATGTTATCAGCTGGCACATCCCTTTAGAGGAAATCTTCTCATTCACCCAGGTATCCAAGGCCCAATACTGCGAGTCCGAATTCTACATTAGCCATTTCAGATATGCAAAGCCTTTCGTTTACTTAGCCAGGATCGCGGCTTCTGGTTAACGGCCTTGCAAGGCAGTCCTAGAATTCGGTGTACCCCAAGCCCACCTTTAACACACGATATGGATGCGGACGCACTGAGACAATTCACTCGGCGCATCGTGAGACTGGATCAAAACTGGGGTCTTGCTCAGCCACGAATCATCGGTCAAGTTCGCAAATGGCGTATCGGCGAGCGCTCCATCTTGGAATCCAACTGTCTTTTTCAATTCCCAACATCTGAAATGTTTATATTCCATTCCAGCAAGCTACTCAAGTGCTTCAACTGCGCGACAAACCAGAATTCCACGGTCCTGGACCTCAACGCTTATGTCCGTGCTGCCTCGTTTGACATCCTACCCGACCAGTCCGTAATCATGGGTCTTGCATTGAGAGGCGGACCGAGGTTTAACACGTATGATTGTCCCAAATCATTCCTCTTGCTCATTGGTTTATCAGCTCTATGCTTGTGTTTGCGCGACTCGAACTGAATTCCGACAAAACGGCGGTGACCGGTACAGTTCTCCTTCGTCAAACCCTCACCGACGAATCAGACTGTGAGAAGCCGTTCGTGAGTGCGACCATTGTTGGCGCCGTCCGCAGCCGGGACAAAACGACGGAAGTTTTGGCATATAACCTCTTGAACAAAACTTCGACCATTATCGAAACAGACATACCAATAGATGTCAAGTTTTTTTCGTTTGTTTCTAATGAGCACATGCTGAATCAGCCATAGTATACGATTAGTCGGCGACTCGAGTTTTCATTTCATGAGGAAAACTTGTACATGCTGGCTGACGACTGCACGAAAGCATACATTTACTGCTGCCCACGGGACATGCTTCCCTACGACCAAACCTCGGACACAAGCTACTCGATTTGCTATCGCGCGCTCCGTCCCCTCCGATTTGCAAACTCGACATGGAAACGGCGAACGATGGTGTCGTCGCAGATGTACCGCAATGCTAGTTTCGTCAAAGTCCACGATGTGATGGGCCCGCCCGGGTCCACCTTTGGCACGAGCTTCCGCTTCTGGCAGAGGGCCGACCGTCTCGGAGAAAAAGATCTCGTGCAGGAAACCATAGTCCCTGGGGTGTGTCCCGGTGAACTCACGCTTCAAGTGGGGCTCACGGGCCACCATGTCGTCGCGGCATTGCTTGGCCCTGGCCAAAGCGGCTTCACGCTCACCCTTGTCTCCAGCAATCCTGAAGAAGGATCGTGTTCAAGCCACCAGCTTCAGTTACCCGTGGACTGGAGCGCGCCACCACCGAATATACTCAGCGTGGATGACTACCAGGGCGTCGTTTGGCTCGCAAGTCATGGAAATTTGCTAGCTGTACCATATGCTTAGTGTCTTTGGGATTTCTGGGTCGGATACTTATTTTTGTTGGGACGAGATCAGGCAGTGGCAGACGAACGATGTGACACTGTAACGATGTGACACTGTGACGACTCTCTTTAGCTACGGACTCTCATTCTATCGCACTTTGCTCTGTGTACATTGGACTATACGTATCGCCTGACGAGAGAATAAGCTTCCGCAGCCTCACAGTAAAGGATGTTGACAAGGCGATTGATTGTCTCCCGCTCTCCGAAGTTGAAAATGCACTCTGAGGTACGTCAGTGGTCAAGGCATCTCAGGACTATTCCAAGACCAGCCAGTGTTCAGCTGCAATATACTGCTTATCATAACAACGTTGGAGCCCGCAAAGCAGCATGCCATCCTCCTCTGAAGATGGCTCTATCGCGCTGGAATTGCGGAACATGGAACGAATCTCTGGGGAAACATTGAGAGGGAATGTTACTGTGGACCTGCCTAAGGCAAGAGAGGACAAGCTGGAACGCGTTGAACTGAGGTTCAAAGGTTCAATTGATACGTGAGGGTGGAATTGCTCTTTCAACTCGGTGCTCAGTTTTCCACAGGTTGATCCACGTGCAAAGCGGGCTAGTCACCTCCGCCTGTAAGCAAACAATCACTGTGAGTATATCCCTCCGATAGCCCTGGCGTTTTCAAGTTGACAATGAGACTCTACTTAGTTGTTTGATGAAACGCTTATACTTTGGACACAACCCTCAGTCCGACAGTTCGAGCATAACGCACCACTTCTTTCTCTTCCCTTCCAGCTCACCCTTCCCGGGGACTTACCTTCTTCATTCGATTATTTAACTGGAACTCAGCATCATGCCACCGTCAAGTACACAGTCGAGGTTGAAGGCTATAGATACGGATTGCGAACCAATCGTCGTATACTGCGCATCATCAATGTCCTATCTGCAGCCACACAAGCGCAACTTATTATCAAGGAGTCCTTGTTGCAACCTGGGCCTTGGAGCGGCCCATGGAAATGGTGGCTCACAGAGGGGAAATTGCGACGGAGGATATGGGAAGGGTCTTCGGCGGTTAGAGCCAAAGTATGTCTCTCTGTCTATCCTTTCGTGCCATTGATTCCAATACGCACATCTTATGCTACCTGATCTTCCGTCCTATCCAATCCTGACGCCCATTCCTTTCAGTTTTTACGTCGAAAGTGATACCAAGATCCTGGACCTTGCTGACCGCCCCAACGGAGCCATCGACAAGCACGGCAAGCCACTATTTCCAGCATTACCCCCCACTGTCCAGGATCAAGTTTATCTTGTTTCGCTCAACGCAGTATCGGGCCAAGACGTTGAATGCACGCGTCAAACACAAGTACAACATGCGCAACTTGAGCGTTGCAGAACACGCGAGTCGCATTGCCACTGTCGTATGCACTCGAAGTCCGCCTGAGTGGCTTTCGGTCTCTGGCAAGAAAGAACGAGGCTTTTGGCGACGAGGTATCAAATTCGAGTCGTCTGTGAGCATCCCATATGCGCCAACGTGGAGGGGCGAGACTTTAGAATGGCATGTAGGTCTTTTGCTTAGCTACAGCTTCGTAGGACTCAACATTTCGTAGTATGAACTTGCTTTCACCGCTCCGTTCTTCGGCATCGGAAATGATTTGGTGATCAAGGTCCCCATTGTACTGGATTCCAACAGGTCCTGCGCCTTCTAAGAATTTATCCATGAACCGCCACATGCACTTCTTCAGGACTCCCAATTGGTCGGCAGGACGCGAACGAGTACATATTCATATGGACGGGAGTGTCGAAGCAGCTGCTGATTAGCACGTTATGAGAAAAATGAATGCAGTGTGGGTCTCTTTGTCCGTCTGAACTCTGATTGTCAGACTTCCGCCGCTCAACTTGTCAAGCTCGACGCGATCCCGGTAACGCCGGCAAGCGAAGATTCGGAACTCCGATTTTGATTGAAGTTCGAACCTAAGCGGATTCTCCGCCATTTCTCGTCTTAACCATCCACTCTCTTTATATGTCCTCTCACAGTCCCATGCTGGATACTAGCTCGGTGGCGACAAGCTTGACCGATAAAGTGAGCAATGGTGTTTATCCTGTGGTTTATAATGTTGATTCTGCCCCGTAGTATGCGCTTGCCGCAGACCCTGCGGCTTGGGGCACTGATTTACACAACTCGGAACCCGACGACCATATACACGTCCCTGAAGTTCGAGATGGGAAGGTGGTCGACCGAGCCAGCTTTGCGATATCTTTCCAAGGCTTTACGAATATTGGCTGTTTGCTCATTCTCAGCTTGACCATGATTGGCTTGTTGTATGTTCTCACCTTGCTTTGCGCACATTCAATTTATCTTACAGTATGGGCTACCCGGTTGTCTCTCATTTGACGAAACCATCCACCAATGTCAACTCCCTGACTTTCAATGCAACTGGGCAGGTGCCCGCAATCGGAAATTTTGGTCTGATAGACCTCGATACCCCGAGCAATGTGTATACTATCAAGTCGCTCAAAACGGGCAAGGATATGAGGCTTGTCTTTAGCGACGAATTTGTGCGTCTCCGCTTGGTTATATGCAGTTCACGAGTTCATCATCCATTCAGAATCAAGACGGGCGGAGCTTTTATCCAGGTCTGTACCGGTTCTCGCTTTCCTACTCCCGGCCGCTATGTTACCGGTTACTTACCTGTGCATACCAGGTGACGATCCCTACTGGTGCGCACTGTCTCAGAGTTGTCCTACTTTACTCATACGAGTTCAGGGAGGCCGTGGATCTTCACTATTGGGCCACGAATAACATGGAGGTGAACACAACTTTTGACATTCGTCCACTCCCACTGATGTGTTGCAGTGGTGCGCTCACATTCATTTCTCCATCTAGCGTTGATGAAGCCTAGGTACGATCCCTCAGCGATCACCACATCGAACGGTTCACTTAGAATCACTCTGTCCCGAGAACGTATTCACGATCTGGATTATAAGGGGGGAATGCTTTCGACCTGGTATGCAACGCCAACTCTATTTCGAGGATAGGACCAATCCTCTACAGGAACAAATTCTGTTTCACGGGCGGATACCTTGTCGGTCTGTTCGAGTCCAAGTGTCTGTTTGTTTATCTAATGCTCTTAATTTACAGCGTCTGTTGTTCTTCCGGGGACTAACAACATACACGGACTGTGGCCTGCCTTTTGGGCGATGGGGAATCTGGGTCGAGCGGGTTATGGGGCTTCCTTGGATTCGATGTGGGTATGTGTCTTCCGCGACCAGACTACTATAGCTGACGGCATCGTCTGAAGCCTTATACTTATGATACGTTCGTGTTTTTTTGCGTAATTCGTCTCCGCTCATAAGTTACAGTTGTGACGTCGGGACCGTTGCCAACCAGACTTTCAAAGGACTGCCCATCCTTGCAACCACGAGCGGGGACAAGAATCCGCCATACAACGGAGAGTTGTCTTATTTGGGAGGACAACGATTGTCTCGATGTACGTGTCCCGGAGAAAGTCATCCCGGTCCAATTCACGCAGACGGCACATACGTCGGGCGGGCTGCTCCAGAGGTAATTCGACCGAATTTGCACGGGACCTTCTAAATTCAATTTGTAGATAGACGTCTTCGAAGCCCAGATCTCCAACGGAGCCGGTCAGGTGTCGCAATCCGGTCAATGGGCGGTAAGTCTTCGGCGTGGTTGTAAGTTTTCTTGTTGATCTCGCCAGCCATTCAACAACGGTTATGTCTGGTTCAACAGTAAGCACCACAACTACTCATGTCCTTTTCTTTTCCATTGATCTCTGGACCATAGCGAGCGATAACCTAGTCATCGCAAATCCATCCCTCTCTGAGCTGAACACCTACATTGGTGGCGCATATCAACAGGTAGATGAATTAACTAAGCTGAAGAGTTTTCTTCCCTTGAAATCATGCAGGCTACCTCTGTAGTGACAACGGTAGACCAAAATTGCTACGAGCTTCGTGATGGCTGCTATTCTATTTATGGCTTCGAGGTAAGAAGGCCTATGTTTTCTTTTGTTTTTCTCACTCATCCTTGTATTGTAGTATAAACCCGGTTCGTTTTGAATGATCGCCACAATTACGGTTGCTCAGACTTGTCTTCTTGCGTAGGATTTGGCGATGCGGTGAGTTGTCGAGTTGACCCTCCGAGTTGTTCGTCTCTTAGGCTTGTAGTATATCACTTGGGTGTCAGACAATAAGATTGGTAAAAGTGTTCTCCATGCCTGTTGGACAATGCTGACTGCTCTCAGCGTGGACCCTGAATGCTGCTGGTATGGCTGCTGATCCTCAAGTTGAGATTGGACCCCGCGCTGTCCCTCAAGAGCCAATGGTGGGTCGTCAATGTGTTGTCTGAGACTCTGAGATAACTGACCATGGGCTACCCTAGTATATTCTTGCGTATGTCTGATGTGGCATTTATGGGTCTTGAACCTGAACATGCACAGAAATCTTGGAATGTCAAGGAATTTCGGTGCAGTTGACCTTGATCAGCTGACTTTCCCGACGACACTCTCTATCGACTATGTCCGGGTTTATCAGTATCCTGACCAGGTACGGCTATGGCTCCCCAGCAGAGTTACGCTGAATCTGTCTTTCTCTCTGATAGATTAACATTGGATGGTGAGGAACATTTCTTTGCAACAAGCAGCTAGAGCTCGGTTGAACCTCTACTCGTCAGTGATCCCCCCAACTTCCCAACTCAGGTGCGGACAATGTTCTTTCCCAGGAAGTCTTCTGAATGGACATACAGGACTACATCAATACGTTTGTACCCTTTCCTATGTGTGACAGTCGACTGATTCTATACGAAAGTTACATCGAGGCATACACCAGTAATCCCAATGTACCATCCAGGCTCGTTTCTAACCTTTACTACCCAGATCCCGAGTTGACAACCTGGGTCGATGGTATATGCGAGCTTTTTGCCGAGGTGTAGTTGCTAATGCATACTACAGATTACAAGCAGGTAATGCCCAAAAACAAGTTCCGGGGAGAATGTTAGATGCTCTTCATGCATGATTACTTTCATTGGTGCAGACATTTTATACCCTAGACACTGAAATTTACCGTGACCCTTGTGGCCAGCAAAGCTATGCACGACACTGGTGTTTTCTACAAGTCAACTTGACCCCGCATTCAAGTACTATCTGGCTAAGTGGCGTGTCATAGTCTAGCATCGATGCATTCAACATGCGCCGGTACAAGTCCCAACAGCAGCAACCATCGAATCAACTCTAAACATCGCCCTGCCACTGACAGTGCTTCTAGAAGTTCCGTTGTTTTTGGAGTAGATTCCGACGTTCATCGCGCTCAGACTCGGAGTATGAACTTGAGCCCTGACACGCCTGGGCAGCTCATTGATGCTTGCTTCCCCCAACCACCAGAGAGGTAAGTATTGCGCACGAGTTCCTATACACAGCCGGCGCCAAACTAACAGGTCGTATAAGTAGATGCGATGCGACGGGACGACCAACGCTGGGCGGCGAATCCCAAATGTGGGCTAAAGCGGTTTTCATGAACGATTGGAATGAACTTCTCCGTGTTGTTCGACAGACAGACTTGGGTAAACGATGTGCGATGCTCCTTCCATTCAAGTCTCCACACACAGCACACTGTGTTGCTGCGTTGCAGCCTTGCGCTCGGGGGTTAAATATATGGCTCTTTTTCTCAGCGCTAACTCTGAGGAAGTAGCTTGGTGGAAGTAAGGCCTCGTGATTAAATATAGTAGTATGGCGGCTGATGCACATGCCCTCAGTAAGAGGCAAACAATGACCATAAGCAGAGCCTATGTGGACTATTTTTGTGTTTGGGGCAAAGAATTAGTGTCGGCAAAGCTGGCCGAGACGGCGTTATGCGGCCACGTGGGGTTACGCAACCCAGGATGGAACCTGTTGAACACGGTGTGTCTTGTCAACAACGCTCACACACCTCTGCACAAAAGCGCCATGTTATGGCCGTTCAGTCTCTTCAGCAAGTCCCCTGCTTCCGAAGAGCCACGCTTTGAGAAAACAGCACCATACATCAAGTCTCTCATGCCCACTGTCACAATCGACCAGCTTCTCATCCCTGGCTTCGTCGACAAGTCGGTCAGCGACTGGCTCGACGGACTGAAGAAGGTTCACTTTGACGACAAGCATCTAGAGAACCTCGAACGATGTTTTGTCACAAGAATTGACCATGTAGCCCTCGCCGGGGAGGAAGCCCGGCGCGACTGGAAGGCGGTTCACGAGGCTATCGCGCTCCAGTTCCACTACCGAACCCCAACCCTTGCGAGTCATGGAACCCCTCGACAAGATGATACACGAGCATTAATGATTCACCGGGTGCCAAAGGGGGTGGACGGTTCTAAGCAGCAGTATGTCGTCGAATGATCAGTTGCATGTCGAATAACAGTCGGGTAGGAAAATCCAGGGCTCCAAACTCCTTTCAAGCAGCAAAGTGGCCGCCCATGACGAAGTCCTAGTCCGCCTCAACTACGATAACTTAAAAACCTCGGACAAACCTCCTCCTGACTTCTACCCGACGCCCAGGAGCACCAAGTATTTCTCTATGCGGCGCCTCGAGCCTCGTAAGAGCGACGTTCCCTTGCCTGAAATAGGCCATATCACAGCACTCGATTGCGCCATTCTCAGTGTTGTTATCCACGAATCCTCCGCCAAGTACGCGTATCTGAACCACATGTGCATGTGGTTCGCAGCGACATTCTTCCTCGCCATCGAGCGCATTGCCAAGAATCAGGCTGCCGGCTTCAAACGCGAGCCAGAGACGCCAGACCGCCATTCCCGCATGCTGGGCCGCTTCCACGGCTTCCAGTTCGTCAACCCCGAGACTGCGCGGACGTTGGCAAACGACGGATCAGCCAATCTGGACGAGAAATGCGACAAGATTCGTCGGTCCATGACAAAGGCTGGCATCAAGGAAGACGAAATCAAAGACTACATCCAGCGGCTCCACGATCCAGACGAACCATGGGCTCGCGACCTGAATGCCGACCCGATCGACACCATCGTGAAGATGTTCGCGATAAAGAAGGAGCATGTTATAGCTGACATTCGCAAAGGATTGGACGAGTTGGAGGCGAAAAAGAACGCGTATCGTCGGGAGGTGGATGAGGAACGGCAGGAAGCAGACCGCAAGCTAGCAGAGGAACGGCAGGAAGCAGACCGCAAGCTAGCAGAGGAACGGCAAGAGATCGAGCGCAAGCTAAGAGAGGAGCGGCAGGAGATCGAGCGCAAGCTAGCAGAGGAGCGGCAGGCACGGCAAGAGGAGCGGCAAGAATCACAGCGGGAGGTCGCTGAACTGAGAGAACAAGTTCAACGTCTCGCGCAGGCAATGTCTCAACTACAGCCATCTTCGACCACTACCCCTTCAGGCGGGTCATTGTAATCGCTTTTGATAACCCCACCACGAGTTGTTTTGATTTTGGTCATTTCTTTACTGTGCAATCATAACATGCTTTTACTTCCTTTCTACCAGTAATATATAGGCCACATTAATCGTGTACCCATAGTTAACAGAATGGACAAGCCACAATGATATCCCTTATATGATCTACGAGTATTCGCTTGCAAACCCAGCCGATTCCACACCGGTTTCCAAATCAAAATTTGGGATTGTTCACAGCATATTCTGGTCGCTGACCCCTCATATACTCTCGGACACTTTTCATAATCTGATTCTCACCCTTCGTAAATGCCGCAGCAGTCCTACCAGTCGCATGTGGTTGCATGCTGACCCGATACGATAGGGAGGGATCGAGAAGTCCAGGATTAATACTTGGCTCCTTCTCAAAGACGTCTAATCCGGCGGCAGCAACTGCAAGACATTGAGTTTTGTTGAAGTCAAGCCAGTGAAAGGAACAAAAAAACCTTTTCCCGACTTCAGCGCTTCTACAAGGGCTTCCTCGTCAACGATAGGACCTCTAGCGGTATTTACGATATAAACACCGCTCTTCATTTTGCGGAATTCGGCGGGGCCAAGCAGATGTCGGGTTTCGGTGGTGAGTGGGCAATTGATCGAAATGGCGTCCGATGTTGCGAGTAGCTCATCGAAAGAGGCATACCGTGCGCCATTCTCTTCTATCGAGTCGCTCGTGAGCACTCGTCATGACATAGATGAATCACTGTACCAGCTTCAGGAACTCTTCGGCGATTATAATAAATTATCTTCATACCACAAGCCTGGGCGCGAACAGAGAGGGCTTGTCCTATTTGTCCCAGTCCAATGATCCCGAGTGTTCTATCCTCGAGATCGTAGCCGAGAGGGAACATGTCGTGAGGGTCTGCCAAATTACCACGCCATTTCCCTGCTCGAGTGTACATTTCGCCCTGATACGAAGCCCGCGTCACGTTGAGGAGCAGCATCAACGCGCCGTTAGCGGTGGAGACGGTAATGGCGGTTGGGGTATTGCAGTAGTATGCGCCTTGTTCAGTCATCCAGCCTGTTGCAACATCGTCGTAGCCTGCGCCACCACCACTGCATTAAGTCGATAAGCATAGTATGGGGACAAGAGATCAATCATCATACCTGAAGAAACCACAGCCAGCCTTTGTCAGAGGCTCTAGCATCGCCTGGTCGAACGGAGAAAAGATGTTTGTCCCAAAAAACCAGATAAACGCGACATAGGGGCTTTGTCCGTCAGCGGCCCGGCGAGTCACGGCTGCAGCAATGGCTTGTGCAAGTGTGTCATGATTGGTGACCGAACTCAGAGGTACGCTGTCGACTGTGAATTCTTTGCAAAAGACTTGGTATGCCTGAGGGCAGGATGAAATTTGTCGATTGACAGCTTTTCCGTATCCAAACCTCGACGGCAAATGCCGCAGACCCCAGTGCCAGGATGGCACGATCCCCAGCCATCGACAGAATCGCGCGACTGACCAGCTTGGCAGCTACTCGGGATAATGGCCGAGATAGGAAACCCCAGAATGATGGGCTTATGTGAGACTCTCCTTTTAGTTCCGGCTCCAGTAGCCGGACTAAAACATGGTTTTATTCTGTGCCTCTGGGGTAATTCCGGGCCTTGAACTCGACCATGTCCTGCCTGCTACCTCTAAAGCGCCCTCCCCCTTTTGTTTTGTGGCGACAGCAGCGTCGATGGATGAGTGTGCGACCGATGAAGGAGAGTGATGTTGTTCCAAGTGCGTCTGTCTCAGGTTTCTTCTTACGAGGGGATTGAGCTGGTCGCAGAGAGGGAGAAAGTGACCATCCAGACTCTTCAAGTCTTGCGATCCCGGAAAGAACCGATAACGATGTTGACCGCGTACGACTATCCAACTGCGCTCGCGTGCTCGTCCAATCCAGCGATCGACATAACTCTCGTGGGTGATTCGCTGGCCCAAGTTTGTCTTGGTCTCAAATCGACCACGCAACTCACCCTGGATCAAATGATTCACCATGCGACTGCTGTTGCACGAGGAACAACGCATCCGCTTCTCATCGCCGACATGCCGTTTGGATCTTACCATGCTTCAGTTGAGCAAGCTATCAACAATGCTGTCAGGATGGTCCGTGAAGCCCAAGTTGAGGCGATCAAGCTTGAGGGGGGTGAAGAGATCGTGGAACTTGTTCGACGCCTGACTTCACTCGGCATACCCGTCATGGCTCATATCGGCTTGTTACCGCAACGCCATGTAGCTTCGTCAGGTTACAAGGTTCAAGGGAGAAGCTTAGATGCCGCCAAAGCTATGATGAGAACCGCAAAGTTGCTCGAACAAGCGGGTGCTTTCTCCATGGTCGTCGAGGCGGTACCGAAAGAGCTGGGTCAGTTCATCACCGACAACCTTTCCATTCCAACGATTGGAATCGGCGCGGGACCCAGTACAAGCGGCCAGGTGATTTCAAACGTATCAGTGGTGAAAATTTAACTGAAATTCGCCTAGGTTCTTGTTTGGGACGATGCAATGGGCACTTGGAATGGCCACAAAGCCAAGTTTGTCCGTCGTTTTGCCAACATGCAAGCTATTAGGGACGAGGGTGTGCAGAACTATGCCCAATCAGTGAAAGACGGATCGTTCCCCGACCCTCAGCGCGAGAGTTATACGATCGACAAAACAGAATGGACGCGTTTTCTTGAGGAAATGGCCCAAACGAAGTAATTGTGCGTAGTAAAAGCTTGTAATATAATTACATAATAATACGGTGTTGTGACAGACACGCGCTTTCTCTTCTCTTCCGATACCCAACTCCCCGCCCACGCGAAACCTCCCATCTTCACGAGCAGGTCGCTGAGCGATGGCTCTACGAAGCGACAGCTCTTTGGGCGAGGTCTGTGAGGTATATGAGGTATGTTTGGGTCTTGCGCTCAGCTTTGCGCTGAATACTCAACTCGCCCAGTCTACAATCGACTTGTCGGGTACTCAGGACTTCCCTCACATCGATATCGACCTGCTCTCGCTGGATATGACACCGTTCTCCGTTTGTAACCTCCAAAAAGAAGGACCATTCGCCAACAATCAGCAGGAATCTTTCTCCGGCCTAATCGACGGCCTTGACGATTATGACGACCTACGATCCACCCATGATAACGAAAGGCACGAAGAACCGAGCTACGATGTCGAGGTGCATACGAGCCTGCTTTCTGCTCCCGCTCGCTGATCGTTTCAACCCAGCAATACTCGAACGTTAACGAATTTGACCCTGAGTGGGACGACGAAGACGTGGAGGTACCCGCTTGCGAACAACCATCTGTTGTCAAAGCTCAGAGTTCTACAGGAAGTCATGGTCCTCACTCAAAAACAGCGACATAGCACCCTCCCGACTATCCGTGAAGAACAAGACGCCGTTTCCCTCGCATCTCATGACGGAATCACACCACACACCTCCCGTCGAGTCTCGCTGACGGATTTCGACATCATACCTACCTCTACATACCCCATGCTGTGCAGGAAACGTTCGACAAGCAGACTTTACGCAATCAAGACCCTTGATCCCGGATTTCTTGACGAGAATACCATCTTAGAGTCCATCGCAGCACTGGAGGTACCTTTTCTCGAGCGTCTAACGTGGAGTCTTCCCGGCGTAGCTGACGGCGATGAAGGACGGATTTATCTAATCTTGGTGGGTGTCCGTAAACAATCGCATTTTCACATCCAACCTCTTCCAGGAATATAACTGTCGTGAATCTCTAGCATCTTTGGTAAATGCAGGGTCCCTTGCCGCCATAGATGCCCATTTTTATGCTTGTGAACTAGTGTGGAACATATTCTCACAACGGTCACACCTCTTAACGTGTCTGCTAGGTTGACGCTCTTTCTTCTTTACATGATGCCAATATAGTCCACCGGGACCTCACGCCATTCAACATTTTCATCGACAACAGCGGCCACATTCTACTCTCCAACTTTTCCAACGCGACGATCCTCGCGCAGGGAAGACAATCGTCTTTGCCTGCAAGCGCGACCCTCGAATATCAGGCACCAGAAGTATTCCTTGGGTGGTGTCATAACCAAGTCGCGGACTGCTGGTCTTTTGGTATCGTGCTTCAGTTCATGTTGACTGGCGAGGTTTGTTCCAACTTGTTGTAACGGTTTTGAATGACGATGTGCAGAACCCCATCTCTGACGGGAAGAATACAACGACATTCAGCGATCGAGTCTTGGCGACGGAAGTAACCTTCAACAACGTGGAATGTCCGGACGCGCGCGATTTAATCCAGAAGGTGCGATCTATGGGGGTTATGTATTCGCACGCCCTGATCGACCGGTAGTGCCTGGAGAAGAACCCAGCTCTTCGACTGACCATAGGAGATATTAGGAACCATGTTTATTTTTCGACCGTGTAGGTTGCGCGGCCAAGTTGATCATTGGTACCTGACTTCGTTTTAGGGACTGGGCCAATGTACGCGCCAAAAAACTTGGTGAGTTTTGGTCCCTTCCCCCTCTATCTACCATTACTTAGTATGGCCAGTAACACCAAGCCGGCTACGCACATCATCTCCCAAGTTGCGACCGCTTAGCCAAGATTTTCCCCTTCCTCCCCATTCACGGCTTTCCGATACCTCGCTCGACTTCTCCTTCACTGTACAGAGGGCTAGCAAAGCGGTACCCACTGTTCCGCGCCTCGAACGAGTGGACGTTGGACCGCAAAGGCCGCTCTTGAGAGTTCGGTCTTCGGGTTCGATGAGCGAGCTTCGTTCGCGGAATCAAAGCAAACGCTGGTCGTTAAATGTCTCATCCAATTCCGCACGGGTGCCTCTGCATCGATCCAGCCATAGCATCCATGACATAAGAATGCCCGCCTTGACTTCAGACAACGAGCTCCTCGCTTCGGCAAGACACAGTCTCCAGATTCCAACACCAGATATGCTACCCCCAATCTTTCGCCCGACCCCGCTCGACAGTGATGTTGCTGAAGAAGAAGAGCCATCTTCAAGCTCTCCAGCACTCTCGTCGCCGACCATTTGCGAGCCAAGTCCTCGAGAGCGAATGGCTCGATTCTGGGACACGATTGATGCAGAAGAGCAACAAAGACCAGAAGCAACGACGCTGGAATTGCGAGACTTCATGCGGCTTGCTTTGCCCGGCCCGCCACTTCCTCGTTCTGGGGCTCGAATGAGGAAACGAGGCTCGTTAGGCTTGCTCAGTTCGCAATCCGACAACCGGTTATCGATTCTCTCGTCTCCTTCTAGCGGCAACAGGCTCCGTAAGATCCGTCGTCCGCTTAGCACACCAATTCTCCGCAAACGCTCATCAGAGGCTCTCGTTAACCTTCCTTCTGGTGTAGAGCAAATCGGTATGGGGATTGGGTTCACGTATAAGATTCCGGCCGCAAATCATTCCAAAGCCTCCATTTGCACCTCGTCTGCTGCAGGAAAGCTGTTGGGGTTCGGCAAGTCCATTTTGCGCAAGGTCAAGTCGACGCCGAAATTCACTTCATCATCGAAACCGCAAGTGACTACTGGTTTGGCTGGGCGAAGGGCCCGAGGTCCGCCAGCCAGAATCCAAACCGGTGGTGGCCGTGTGGTGACACCAGGTTTACACTCTCCTGCGATTTCGGAAGGACCCTTGACGCCAGATTCCATGATATTCCCTCCTATTCCCGAAATTGTGGGCGACCCGTTTGCAAAGGACGACCCTCAGACGATGATTGGAGAAGTACACATTGGGAGGGTGAGGCTGGTTTCTGCTGGACAAAAGATGGCGTATTCGTTAAGCACGGACAACCTTTGAAGATGGTCCAGGGCCGAAATCTAGTTGTTTATTGCTTTGTACTGTGTAGTTGGCAACTGGGGAGATTAGACCAGTTAGAGCAGACTTTGTCGGGCCACACACCATCCAGTCGTTCCAGCTTGATTCTAGCAGCGACAGAGCTGCGGAGAAAGTAATATAGTTTGACTCAACCTTGACCGGATGACAAATCACAACACGACTTGAATTCTGGCCAACATGGCTGATAGTCTTGCCCCAGCCTGCACTCCACTGAAGCAGGAATACGACTCGTGCTTTAACATGTGGTTCGAAAGCTATCTCGAGCCGACACTCACCAACGCAAGCGAGAGCCAACGCAAGGCCCATTACGCGCGCAAAGCTGAAGAATTCGAAGCAAAGTGCGGCAAGGTCTATGCGGAATATCAGAGTTGTCTTCATGTTTGTGGCTCTCTAATTTCACTGCCGGAAGTACTGATTGCTTGCAGGGAGCGGTCAAGGAGAAGGGTATCGAGCCACTGTTACAGCAAGCGCGGGAGGAACATCCATTGCGGGAACCACTTCCGCCAGCCTCTCCTCCCAAGACAAAATAGAGCTTCCGTGTTCTTTAGTTGTATCAATAGGTATCTATCTGCGAATATTCTCTACTGTCTTCTAATGCTCCTTCATAGCCATCTTTTGTAACCACACCTCAATTACTCGCCATTTTCCTCATCCCAGTTGTGATGTTCGCCAGACCAGTAGCTCTGAGGCAGATGCATCAACGGCGGTGGTCCACTGGGCAGCGGGTAGGTATATGGGACGTTATATTGGTATGGGGCAGTTGGCAATGGCGGACAAGCAACGCCGGAGTTGATGTGGACGGGGATTTTGAACTCAAGGATGTTTCCCAAACCCGGGAAATCCATCTTGACCTTGAGGGTATACTGAAATGGTTTGTTAGATTGAACCACCCAAAGTCAACACGCGACCTACATGCCACTCGACGTGTTCGCCAGAAAAGCTGGGAGTTTCCGGTATCACCAGTGCGCCTTCAAAATGCACAGCTCGGTTCCAGATCCCTTTGCTCCCGTCAAGCTGCGTGAATGAGGGCTGGTCGAATGTTGTGCGGATGCTGGTGACAGCATTTTTATCGCCCAGTCCCCCGCGAAGCTGCAATTCCTCCTCGAAATGCTCTGACTTCCCATACGTCTGCATCCGGCCCTGACGCCTCAGCTTCACCTCGAGCTCCGAGTCGGCTGGTGTTTGTGGTGGCGCTGGGAAAAGCTTGGGGTTCTTGTCGAGGTCTTCCTGGTGGACAGGCTTGGTTTTGGTCCAGATGTGCAGGGCAAAGGGGACATTCACGCTCATCGGGAAAGAGGGAAGGTCAGGGAGAACGAGCTGGTCGATTCAGCGGCAAGAAAACAAACTGGAATAACGCTCACCTCCATCGTCGCCTCTGAGTGGTCACCAAACAAACCATGCCTGATCTCTTTCTTGATGGTTTGGGGCTTCCACGGCCCGTTCCAGCCTTGTTTTATTGCAGCGGTTGTATTCAATTCCCATGGCGAGGCAGCGGGCACGACAGAGAAGATCTTACGAACACGGCGGTTGGCGTGAAAGACGCCATGTCGCGAGCCAACGACTTCAATTGAATAGCTGACGGTCTAGCCGTCACATTAGCTTTCCAACGCGGCAGAGAAAGCTGAGACGCACAACGGTGTGATTGCTGTGCGAATAATGGAACGAGGGGGGCAAGTTTGGCGGAAGAGGGAGTTGGAAAGGGCATTGGATTACTGACGGTAAGCCTTGTGGCGCGCTGCTTTGGTCCCAGAGAACTTGGTCGAGTCGCACAAGCTAAAAGTCTTCAAGTGAGCCGAATATTACAAACGCGCATGCTCGGCAACGAACCTCGTGATTTTGGGTTCGATAATGAGTTGTGCTTTGCGCTTCTTGTCCTGGGGCATGAGTCCGTTCGGTGGTCCTCCTGGAGCCATGAGATTAAAACGTGACTTGGAGAGGTTACTCACGTTAATACTGAACCACGCAATTTAATCTTCACTTTCTCGATCTTGTCTTGCGCGGCTAAGCCCAAGTCAAGGTCGATATAGCCTTGCAGCGTTTCTCCTGCGACGCGCACGAAGTCAGGGAAATTGAGAACGATAGCTTGTGGATCTGGCATTGGGGAGCGGTCGGGAATGGGCGCTCAGTCGGCGGCATCGCTTTAAGTAGCAACATCACTGGGAAATTCTGTCACACACACCCGCGGCAGATCAACGTTGGTGGAACACCGAGGCTGATCGTTCGGAGTGAGAGCAGGGTAGCAACTTGAATTGAAACGCCAACTTGGAGTGTGGACTTGTACTCGGATACAGCTCCAGCCGACCACGTTGATAGGAAAGAACTTGTGAATTGCATCCTGAACGTGGAAGCAGAAATCGGTTGGAACGGCGCCCCGAACGTCGAGCGAGGCGCCCGGGAGGACTGTCAAGAGTCATATTTTCTTTCGACGAAACCGGAACAATCTTAGTAAGCGTGCCGTGGACATGTTTAGAAGAAGAACGGGTGAGCCGAACCATCCAAACAGAATTGAAAGCTTGAAGCGTTGGACGCAAAATTCAGCGAATACTTGATCATGCCAGTGGAAAAGATATTGTAGAGTTCGAAACAGGGAACCAAGGCCAATCACTGGCACTGCATTCCGTGTGAGTATCAAGTATTTAGCCCAGAATATGTGAAGTGGCCAAAGAATAGAGCCACGGGAAACGAGTTTCTGAAAAAAATTTCACAGTGGAGACCAAAATGGAGAGACGTGCATAGTTGGGCTTCGAACTTGAAGGAATCGTTCGTTGGAGAATATATCATGTTAAATCTCAAACCGGTCTCAGGCTCCCTATAGCACGTCGTCAGAGTATAAGATTACCAGTGGTAAAAGAGGGAGTTCGAGTAGGCAAGGCTTTTAGATGCGCGGTTGTTCAGAGATCTAGAGGGAAAATTGAGCTTCTGCTGTTACATGACGCGGACAACATGGTTCAACAAGTCGTAAGTCACATATGTGTTACGCTATCACGTGTAATGTGACACTACTTACCCTCTCTAAACACTACCACACTCGAACTTTGTTCAGTCAACACCATTCACCCGACTTGAGCCAGATAAACTGTACCGTTATCGCACTTCCACCGAATCCACTCATTATTATGGGCGGCTTGCAAGTTAACCGACTCGGGACTCGGAGTGCTTCCCGACATGAGCGCTATGAACACTGCATTATGCGCTTACATACTTGACACTGCCAGCCACTCGCACGGCCACGATTTCACGTATACGAAGATCATCAGGGGCTGAAAATCCTCAAATTCTGGCATTGACACGGTCAACACGGTGTCCACGGCAAAATATTCTCTACGCCTTCATTGGTTCACGGGCATACATGGGCTTGATTCCTTGATGTCGCTATAAAACGCCCTTTCAAATCCTCTAATTCTGCACTTCCACTTCCCCCATTCCAAGTTCGCTCCCTCTTTCCTGCCCGACTACAATGCACTTCAAATTCTCTTCGACCTTCTTCCTCGTCTCCTCGCTTGCCTCCACAGTACTCTCATGCCCCACTGCCACTGAGGGCAAATTTGGCTTCGCGAAGCCCAAGTCCACTGATCTTCGCGGTCCGTGCCCTGCATTGAATGCGTTCGTCACTTGCTCTATCCAAAGTCTCTCGATTGAAGTATTTGTAGTCTTGCGAATCACGGCTTCCTTCCTCGCGACGGCAGAAATGTCACTATCCGCCAAGTTCTCCAGGTGTCAAAAGGTATCTTTTTTGTTCCTGCATATGCATTCCTTTACTCAGTCCAACAACACAAAGATATCTACAACGTCGACTCCGCACTCCTCTTAGGTGTCGCCAAGTTGGGACTTCTTACGTCAAGCGAGCCTGACACGTTCACCCTTGACGACATCAAGTTGTGAGTATCATGTCCTTCGCATTTGCAACTAACTGAAGATGTATAGACATGGTACCATTGAGTTTGATGCTTCATTATCACGCGAGGACTTTGCCGTCGGCGACAACTCCAAATTCAACGAGTCGATCTATAGCACATATGCTAACTCTAACCCTGGTGTCTCTTTCTACAACGTGAACTCAACTGGCAAAGCAATGTTTGACCGTCTCGCTCTGCAAGAGGTCTGCATACCCCCTGTCACCTCCTTTGGTTATACTGAGATTCTCCTTCATAGAAAAAGAACCCCCAGATCACGAACACGGACAAGGAAATCGGATTCCGGTCGTTTACCGCAGCACTCCCTCTCGCTATCTTCGGCAATGTTACGACCGGTGTCGCGCCGAAGAAGTGAGTCCTTGGTCCTACACGACAATGGCCCCATACTGACATGCTGGAAGATTCGTGGACATCTGGTTCCGTGAAGAGCGCCTCCCTTTCGCTGAGGGCTGGGGCGTCCCCTCCTGCGCCATCGATACCAAATCGCTCCCACCTCTTATTGGCAGTGTTAAGACCGCGAGCCGCTGGACGTCGAGTGGTGGATGTCCCTATGTCAGGACTGGTGCCGGAGACGCCCCAACCTTGGACAGCAAGGCAATCTGCAAGCAACTCGACGGTTTGACGAAGGGGAAGTAGGAGGATTTCTTGTGACATATAGTGCTTAGTGTAAATAGTGCAGCTAATTTGCTTTATTCTTAGTTAGACCGCGAACTTGTTGGGCTGATTCAGCTTGGTCCAGAACTAAAGGCACTGAGGTTCAAGACTCGGATGGACGGAAAAAATTAGATTTCCTGCTGAGCCTAGCAGAAGTAAAGATGGAAGAACGTGGGATAGTCTGGCTGATGAACTTGAACTAGAAATGTGTCGAAGAGTTCGTCGGTGAAGCCGGACTGCGGTTGCGTCTTGATGAGGGTGAAGGGACTCGCGCATCGACCCAGCATATTGCCTCGTTCTAGAAGAGCATCAAGCGAAAACTCGTGGATGATTCTACATCACCAGCCTAAGCCACGGCCACTGAGCGGCACCGATGCCTTGTGCGCATTTACTGGCCCAGAGATTCAGAAGCCGTCAAGCTGAACCATGATTTGCCGAAAATGCTTGAGCTTGCCAACGTCGGGTTCCTGCTTGTTTGCTCCATAATTTGAAAACCATATCTCTGTCAGTCGTCGCGTGGCGTCTGGCGCGGTCCGAAGAGTGCTTTTCCCGTCCCAGTCCTCGAGGGGCAGGAACTAGCAGGAAACCACCAGTCCGAAGATATTACGCTGTATAACCCGGCGCGGGTCGGTGACCTGATTCGAATGTTAGCCTCATCATGGGCCGAGTAAGTACCAACATGACTGAAAACACCCCGAGCATCGAACGAGTGCAAAGGGAATATGTCAGCTTCTGGGTTTGTTGGTCCAGTCGACGTCACGGTGTGACACCATGTTCTTGTTCCAGAACAGAAAAGTTCGTGTACGACGAGACAGAGAGCGATCGTCCGAAATGGTCTCAGAGGTTGGTTTGGGGGCCCCATTATGTGGCACAAGCTTGTTAACTGAAGAATAAATTCCAGTTACTTGTCAATGAACTTGAAGATTAGGCACTGGCAACAGTTCCGCACAATGGCCGAATAACCTCGATACATTTAGCTCAAGCGCTCACGGACACGTGGATTTCGAGAAAGACTGACGCTGGAAGCCTCGTGTGCACTTGACCTGACACACCATGTACCACAGGGATTACAACTTCGTTGACGGGAGCGTCAAGTTCATTGTGTGTACTCTCTACCAGCCTCATACATACTCGCGCTGATGAACACAATTCACAGGCAGGGAACTCACTTTTCAAAGTTCACCGCTGGCTCTTCGAACGGGAGTCTCAGCTCTTCAGGCAGCTCTTTGCTCAACGCGGTGGCTCTCTCACTGCACCGTTCGTCCTATCCGATGTTAGAAGCGATGAGTTTGCGACCTTTCTTTGGGTGTTTTATAACCCGTTCGTGCCACAACGGGCCAACTCCTAGTATTTAACGATTTTCGCAGGAATTACTCGCAATGCCACACGAGCACCCAGAACTGGAAAACCATTCTGGCCCTGGCTCATCGCTGGGGTTTCGCAGAGGCAAAATCTCTGGCGCTCTGCAAACTGAAAGAAGCAGGAGAGGTCAAACTCGAAGATTTCGAACAGGATTTACCTCCGCCAAACACTTCTTTTGAAGATGTCGTCTTGTTCACCGGCTCTCCCATTGACACCATCCACAATTTCAGTACCATCCCGTATCCCGCCAATATCCAACGCCCTGACGCCCGGCTCAATTCAAACGCTAAGGATGGCAAGTTCATGTGTGTTTATCTGTTCAATAAGTTCTTCGTCGTATATAATGATATATTTCTAGCTACACCCGAGATTTTCTACTTCAATTTAGGCTAGTATGCAAGTACAAGCCCGATGACCTGGCCCGGGATCTTGACGCATTTGGTCTTGACCCCACCACATGTCCGGTCGTGCCAGTCGCTCGGCGGGATACTCGTCTCTCTTCATTTACAATTGTCGCTTCTGGAGGCAAGCGAACAAGAAGTAAACGCGAAAAGTACAAGTTAACCCCTCAAGCTCTCCCACCGAGCGAAAATGTCGCACCGCTATCAATCAGCGCCAACCGCTGGGATTGCCGTGCCTTTCACCAACTCGTCCCGAATTCCCCTGAAGCCGTGGCGCGGAAAGTGAGAAGTTGGCTCAACAAACTTACGAAGGAGAACTTGGACTCGATTTCGGGTCGAATCATCGCACAGATGACTGCATTGGAGGAGAATGGGCGGGCAATAGTCACGATCCAGGTCGTTCGACTGGTGTTTGAGGCCGCACAAGACGACGTGTTCCGCTCGGACCTCTATGCTGGTCTCTCCCGCAAGATAATTGAGCAGAGTAGCCTTAACGCCGGCGTAAAAGATGACAACGTCGACACCGCAGACGCAGACGACATCCAACCCATTGCCAGTGGTCAGCTTTTCCGCAAGCATCTATTGAATCGTTGTCAAGAATACTTTGAGCGCGGTTGGGCAGCACAGGGACCAGCACCAGGAATATCCGATTTCGACGCTTTTTACTCCGCACAAAGGGCAAAGCGTCAAGGTCTTGGTCTGATCAAGTTCATCGGCGAGTTATTTAAATTCAAGATGTTGACTGAGCGCATAATACACGAATGTGTTAAGAAGCTGCTCGGAAGCGTTGAAAATCCCGAGGAGGTTGAGAGCCTGTGCACGCTGCTTGTAACCGTGGGTTCGGCGCTTGACACAAAGAAGGCGCGGGCACATATGGACGTCTATTTCGCAAGAATGAAGGAGATGGCCAAGTCAGAGACACTAGGTGCACGTTTGCAGTTTATGTTACTGGTATGTTTCTTGCCTTGTTGTTTCGTGCGCATACCTCTGAATGATGACAGGATGTTATTGAGCTACGGGACCGAAAATGGGTAGCTCGAACATCACCGAAACTTGGAGATGATTGGATGAACATCGAGGGCCGTTGGAGTGGACGGACTGTCCGACCCCGGGCTCCACCGAAGGCTGGCGATCTTTCCGTGTTCGGCAAGTTGGCAGCGAGGCGCTGAGCTTTGCGTCGAGCAATGTGTCTGTTCATCATGATATATCAAGTACTACCGACAAACAACCGACTTTCGACTACCACCACTGGACTGCACTGTCTGGTCAGCGACATCCATTCCATGCCTTTTGTTGCACCAAAACCCGCTCCGAAACCAGCTCTCAGGCACCGCAACTTGAATGTGCTTATAGTTCGTGGTCCAGGATTTGTTGTACGAGTAGTATATAAATGCAGTAGAATGACTAAAAATGTCACGACGGCATCCTACGGAGGAATGCATACAAGCATTACGACGCTGACTGAATTCACGGACAGACCATCTCACCAAGACGGCCCAGGATGGCTCCGGGCCGTCGCTCGGCCCAGTGCGCCGGATCTGCCCGAGACAGGACGATGACTCGGCAGTAGGCTCCTAGCGACTAAATCGACCCAGCCCCTTGCTTATTGCTTCTATGACCTCTGCTCCATGTCCTATATATGACGGCGACACCTCCGCTTGGAGTTCAACAAGCGACAGCGTTCCCGCCCCCCAGGCTCTGGTGGGCCATCGCTCCACCCACCCGGCGCACTCGAGTAGCCAGACAACCAGTTGTGGTCCTAACCACTACATCTTTTAGGAGTTACTTAGTGTAAGTGCGATAAAAGTTATCTGGAAACATCACGGTCACATTAGGTCACATGCTCACTTTTTTCATTTATGCACTCAACTTCCAGCAGACTACTAATGACTGGTACCATCCCCCTCATTAGAGCTCGTTTTCACTACTTACCCACCACGCTCAGGCTCCCATAATGACCCATAATTTCAACGGCGCCTGTATCAATGGCCAAAGTTAGCTCAAGCGCCTGCGGACACGTGAACGGGACTGGCGCCAGCGTCCTCGTGTGGACATCCTACGGCACCTTAACAGAGCATGTACCACAAGGACTACAACTTTATTGACGGCAGCGTCAAGTTCGTTGTGCGTGCTCTACCAGCCTCTGACATGCTCGCTCTGATGAACACCTCCAGGTGGAAAACACAATCTTCAAGGTTCACCGTTTCTTCTTCGAACGGGAGTCTCAGTTTTTTCGGCACCTCCTTGCTGGACGTGGCTCTCTCACCGCGCCGTTTGTCCTTCCCGATGTCAAGAGCGACGAGTTTGCGGCCTTTCTTTGGGTGTTCTATAACCCGTCCGTCCCATAGCGCCTTTGGCCGAACGACTGGAAACTAAGTTCTTGTCAGAAACTACCTGCAATATAACACAAGCACCGAGAACTGGCGAGCTATTCTCTCCCTAGCCAGTCTTTGGGACTTCACAGAAGTCAAGGCTCTGGCTCTCCACAAATTGAAAAAAGGCGAAATGGGCATATGGGACGCCGGCTTAACTCCGCCAGACCAGCATACCGAAGCGACAACCTTCGAAGTCAAACCCATCAATAACAACAACAAGGACTCTGAAGGAGCTGCTTTCGAGTCAACTAAAGATGTTAGCAGCACTCTCAAGACCAACATTTCTTCCACTCTCCCTTCTGCCCTCGCCACTGCTCGCTTCATCAAAGATCTCAACTGCATCACCTATCCCGAAAATGTTCAGAGCCCCAGGGCTGAACTCAATGTCAGTGCTAAGGATGGCAAGTTCCGGTATGTCTTTTTGTCGTTGAGTATTATCTTCCGTGACATGCCTCTAAGATACGATTGCGCTTTCCTCCTTCAATTCATGCCGATCTGCAAAGAGAAGCCCGACAACCTTCCTCCACTTGACGCTATTGGTATTGGCCCAGCTGACCAAGCAGCTATGACGAGAACATCGTCAAGAGGAGGCACTCACCGACCCGGCCGGACATCATCAATGTCTGGTCCCTCTGGTGGAAACACGACGCCGGGATTCCCATTCCCTGGCAAGGGTCCAGCGCCGTTTGGTGGCAGCATGGGTCATTTCCGAGGCGCGGGTACAAAGCTCACGAGCGAAGAACGATTCGCTCTCGCCAACGGAAATCGTGCAACCAGTGTCTCTGGTCTTGGTCAATTCCGTCCTGCGCAAATGCAACGGACCGCAAGTCAGCCTGGAGTGGGTTCTGCTCTTGGAAGCAAGCGGACACGGAGTAAGCGGGGTGAAACTCGCGACAAACACAACTCCACACAAGCACTCACACCATTAGCGGGTATCGAGAACGCTAGCAATAAGTGTCAACCGATGGGATCGTCGTGCTCTCAACCAGATTGATGTGGATTCCCCAGAAGCCGTCGACCATAAAGTCAAGAGTTTACTCAACAAACTGGCGACGGAGAAGTTTGATTCGCTTTCGGACCAAATCATTCAGTGGGCGAACAAGTCGGAGAAGGAGAAGGACGGAAGGACACTCATCCAAGTCATTCGACTGTTGTTTGAAAAGGCGAGCGATGAGGCCATTTGGTCAGAGATGTATGCTCGTCTTTGCCGCAAGATGATGGAACAAATCAGCCCCAAGGTTCAGGATGACGGTATCAAGAATGCCGAGGGCAAGCCCATCGCTGGTGGTCAACTATTCCGGAAGTATCTCTTGAACCGTTGTCAAGAAGACTTAGAGCGTGTTTGGGTGGCAAAGGAGGCAACTGCTGCTGCCGCTACTCTTAAGGCGACAGAGGACAAGGCAAGGCTGCTGCTCAAGAGAAGAAAAACGAGGAGGGTGGAAATGGCGACTCAAAAAAAGACTCAGTACTCTATGCAGATGAGTACTACGCTGCGCAAAAGGCAAAGCGTCAGGGTCTCGGTCTGATCAAGTTCATCGGCGAGTTGTTCAAGCTCCAGATGTTGACTGAGCGCATCATGCACGAGTGCGTGAAGAAGCTGCTCGGCAACGTCGAAAATCCTGAAGAAGAGGAGATTGAAAGTCTTTGCAAGCTCATCTCCACTGTTGGTTCATTGCTCGATACGCAGAAGGCGCGAGCACATATGGACGTTTACTTCTCGAGGATGAAGGAGCTCGCCAAGTCAAAGAGCGTCAGTTCGCGTATGCAGTTCATGTTACAGGTTTGTTTGTTTTCTTGTGTTTTCTTTTGGAGTCTCAGAATGCAACAGGACGTCATTGAACTGCGAGATCGCAAATGGGCTGCCCGATCAACACAAATGGCAGCGCCGACTACAATCCAAGGGGTCCACGAGGCCGTGAGTACACATATTTAGTTTTTTCCGACATATTCTAATTTTTTCCTCTAGGCGGCTAAAGAAGCAGCCAAGGCTGAGACATACCAACGGACAATCAGCATGTCTCGTGGTGGTTTACGGTGTAGTGCAGAACGAGGCGACTTCCAAGGGCCATGGCATGACAGTTGGACCAATGTTCAAAGCAGTGGCAGTGGACCGCGGCCGCCACCCAAGGCTGGTGACCTTTCGCAAATCGGCAAGATGGGCAGCAGCAGCAAGGCCTGTTTACCTGGCCCGAGTAGCGTGTTCTCTGGGAGGAAGGATGGCAGGCGTGAATCGCTGTCGAGGACCAGTTCTAACTCCAACATGTCGAGTAGCAACATGTTCTCGATGCTCAGCCAAACCGAATCCTCTCCAGAGTCGAAGGGTCAGTCTTTTTTCTATCTTTGATGCGATCAATCTAATCGATCATCTGATCTAGCACCTGAACCAACCCAACGCAAACGTCTCATTCCGGCACCTCGTTCGAAACCAACGGAGGAATCAGCGGCGACTCCTGCTGGGTCAGACGAGAGCGAATCTGAGTCGGAGGGCGAGGTAGCGGCAGAGATGTCAGACGAAGCTGCTGACAGGAAAGTTGCTGAAGACTCGAAAGAGTTCTTTGCCATTCGGAATCTGGACGAGGCGGAAGCGTATTTCTCTGCTCTTCCGCCAGCGCATCACCCTCGGTTGGTGGAAAAACTGGCTGGATCGGCGCTGGAGGCCAAGGAATCGGACGCACAACTGGTGGCAGATCTGTTTGGGCGGGTATCCAGCAAGGAGCTATGTTCGGCCGAAGCATTTGAAGAAGGCCTTGCTCCTTTGGCCGAGATTCTCGAAGACATTGCTATCGACGCGCCTAAAGCACCCAACTACTTCGCCCTAATCATGAAACTGGTGACGTTTGACGACGAAAGGCAGAAGAGGGTTGCAGAGAAGACTGGCGATGTCGACAAGCTTCTTGCACACTCATCGCTGCTTCATAGACTGCATTGATTGTTTTCTTTACTTGATCTACTTGCGCATTGCTGATCGTTATTTCTTGACTGAGATGGTTTACCACACAGTATTTCCCTTCTGCGTCCATTCTTTTTCTTATCTCATTACACTCCGCCGACATATCCAATTTTTCGTTTGTGTGACTTCGAAGTCACACCTGTCACATTTGATGTTGCCCCCCCTCTCCGAAATCGAGCTTGACCACGAAGGCAAAGACCTCTGGGAGTTCATTCTGCGAGCCGAAGCTTACGCCGAAGCGGATGCATTCTCCACTGGATCCAAATTCAAGGACAAGCTCATCGGCGTCCGTGTTATAGGCTATTTTCTTGTCGATTTCTTCAGCCACACTCACTTTACGTACGGCACCCATCCATATAAGCGCCTCATTGCAGAAATCACCTCTTGTCGGTGCAAAGATTCCGCCTTGGAGGACCTCTGTAACCTTGGTCTGCTCTATCGCAACCACCTCCTTCGTATCTGTGCGCGACCAAATTAAACCCCTCTATCGAAACTACCATTCAGCCTTGACAGTCCATTCGGATGCCCGTCCAGTCTACAACGACCCCAATTCCCCCAGTCTGCCCTCGTTTGAATTGAAACGACAGAGGATTCTTGCTTTGCAAACGTCAACAAAGGATTCGGATGTCCGCGACCGAGTGAGTCGTCTGCTGCTGTGCGACTATCCAGTAAAACATTAACGAGGCCCTGCTGCGCGATGGATTCCGGTGCAAGTTGACAGGATGCTATGATATTGTCGCCACTGTGACTTATCCCGAACTCGAGGCCCGCAGGCTTACCGATAACGAGGGCGCCGGTGTTGTTCAGTGCGCACACATTTTCTCACAATCCAGCGACAACCAGGCTGGTTCAATGCATTAATTCAGTCCTGCTGAAACTAAAACCTTTTCAGGAGGCGTATAGTGCCAGTGCTGACGCGATTCTTGAACTGTTCTGTGTTGGACATGAACAGTGGGTTGGAACCAGACTCGGAGTCCATCGGGATGCGAACCTCCTGTGCATGGACGGGAATCTCTATAGCCTCTTCAATGAAATGCTTGTGTGGCTGGAGGAAGTTAACGACCAGGCAAGAACCTCTTTACCACCAGTCTAAACAGTCTCATTCCAAGTAGCCCCACACTTACAACATCGTATCAAGTCTGCCCAACTTCTCTTCCTTCCGAAGCGTGCAACAACACCGCGTCACGTTCACCGTTGATCCAACTTTGGTCGACACGTGCAAAGAGCTGAATCAGGCCGTTCCCGAGTTGCCCTCTCCGGTCCTGTTAGCGATACGGGCAGCTTGCTGTCGTGTTGCTAACCTATCTGGAGCTCTCGAGCAGCACGACATCGTCTTACGCGAGCTGGCTCGCACTCAGACTCTTGCGCCGGACGGAGATCATGGTTCCGCGGAATTGTTGCGTATGCGTTTGGGTTCATCATTGGCTCATTAGATGTTACTTCATTACGTGCGCTTTGCCTTGTTCACAACATCCCCAAGTTCCTTGTTCTTCCTCCTTCACGAACCTACAGCGCCAGCCTGAGTGTTATTCAAGCTGACACCCACACAAGACACCCACCAATTGATATTTGACATTGAAGAACTGCATCAGTCGGTTGAGGTTTCGTTCGCGTGACGCTGAGCACTCGGACAGCTCGTATTCCCTCATAAGCTCCTGCGAGGTCGATACTAGAGCCCCTCTTCAGCCCAGGCCGCTTCGTTGCCTCGACTCACCGTCCATTTCAAACAGCTCTTTCAGCGTCGATGGAAACTTGTCTGCGACCGTTCCGTCCATCTTGTAGATCGGCTGCAGCGGTGCTGACTCGCCATCGCGAAGCATCGCATTTGCCCGCCGGTTCTCGCTGCATTAAAGCAGGATAAAAAATGATGTCTGTCAGCCATGAAAACGCACGAATTGCGGAGATCCCTCTGGACCTCCTCCAACCATTCCTCTTGCCGCGCAACCTCGACTTGCAGCTCCTCGGGCATGTGCACTTTCAACAGCTCTGCCACCTGGGCGGCCACTAACACGTCTACTTGGCGTGCAATGTCTGCTTCAGCGCCGCTCTTCATGTGCTCGATGACTTCGCACCTTTCCTAGTATCACTACCAACGCCGTCAGCAAAAGAACAGAACCGGGACACGCCGCAAGCACATGGATGCCCTCGCGTTGTCGCTGGTCCTGCTCTTGCAACTGCGCTCGCAGGCTAACAAGTGTTCAAGTCAACAGCAGTTTCGATGTCCCTCGCTATCTGCGGCTCTCCACCGAGCGCGGTCTAACAGGTCGAAGATTTCAATGCCGCGCAGCCTATTCGCATTCCCATAAGTGATGTAGACTACTACATTCTCGTGGTACCCCAACGCGTAAGTCCATCGTAACAAAACTGTAAAGTAGTTAGCATGAATAACGACACGCGATTGCCTGAAAACTCACCTTCGAGACATCTAACTCATCTCCAAACGCCTACTTTTCGCCCCCCACGCTCCTCGATTACTTCATTCTCGCGTCCACGTCGTCGCACAACAAGGAGGTGATACTGCAAGTCAATCAGATATTGAACTCGCCAACATTGAGACGACTTACGCATCGTTGTTCTTCTCGACTTCGCAGGCGCGTCCAACACACCTCGTCCGCAAATAGGTCTGAATCAAGGTATACAAATGCAGCATTAAAACAGGAACGGAAAACTTGCCTTGGACAATGGCGCCGACCTTTCCGCGCCAAAACGCGCAAAACTCAACGATATAGTTGATTGAAATCCACAACTATAAAGTTATTGGGATTCAATAACAAGACGGCCCGAAAACTCACCTTGACGTTCTGAGCAATTGCGCCTCCATCACAGACAACTCCGACGCGTCGAAAATCAAGTCGGAGCAGACTAGCAAACACAGTCAGCATCCACAACAAGTAGTAACAAACACACACTTTTAAAAGCACCATACTCGCATCGCAACTCCGACGAAATCAGACTAGCAAACACAGTCAGCATCCACAACAAGTCGCAACAAACACACACGCACACTTTTGAAAGCTCCATACTCGATCGCTGTTCGCTGCTGTCAAGTCCTCTCGACCGCTTTCAGCTCAATGGCAAAAAGGTCTGAACCGAAGTAAATAAGTGCAATAGTAAGACAAAAACTAAAAGCTTACGTTGTATTGCGGCACCGACCATTCCAAAACCCATTGCCCAGGCTCCCAATGTTGTCTTGCGTTGAGCAGTCGTTCCATATCTGTCGAGCTCTTTAGATTACAGACTCCGATAGCGAATAATTTACTCACTTCCGCAATGTGCGGCACCTCTCGCGCGTTCCCCGCCGCGCTTTCAATCGATGTTGGTATTGGCGGTGCGACTCTCCGCCTGATGCGCCTAACGGCGCATTGAGACGACTTCGTTCCCATCGCCAACGTGTCGAAAATCAAGTCCTTGAAGACTACCAAACACAGTCAGCATCCACAACAAGTAGTAACAAACACACACTTTTAAAAGCACCATACTCGCATCGCTGTTCGCTGAGTCCTCTCAACCGTGCTTTACAGCGAGTGAGCTCAATGGCGAACAGGTCTGAACGGAAGTAAACAAGTGCAATAGGAAGACAGGAACTAAAAGCTTACCTTGTATTGCAGCGCCGACCATTCCAAAACCCGTTGCCCATGCTCCCAAACAAGCCCAATGTTCTCTTGCGCGTTGAGCAGTGGCTCGCGTTCCATATCTGTTGAGCTGTTTAGATTACAGGCTCCAGCAGATAACGAATAACTCACTCACTTCCACAATGTGATGCGCCTGACGGGCGCATTTCTCGCACGCTCCCCCCGCAACTCTCAGCCTGATGCGCCTAACGGCGCATTGCTCGCGTTCGCAAACGATGGCCACCAGGGGATGGAGTATGTTGATGCGAGTGCGTGACCTCTGAGTCCAGCGCGTTATTCACGCCTCCGGCGGCAAAATCCTGCGTAAAAATGAGTTCTCAGACGCAAAAAATGAGCGTGAAAGTGCTTACGTAAGCACCGTTACTCGAGCGAATTCACCGTCGTTTCCACCCATTTGAGCGTGTCTGCCACGGGAAATGAGCCCTGAATCGCAACAGAATCAAGGTAAATACTGACCACTTACTAGTCACAACGTGAGGCGCCATCCTCGCGCTCGCGCTCCCGTTTGCAATCGATGTTGGTGTTGGCGGCGCGACTCTCAGGATGATGCGCCGCATGCCTCGCGTTCGCAAGCGACGGAGGCCACCAGAGGACAAGATATGTTGATGCGAGTGCGTGACTTTCAAGTCCAGGGCGTTATTTATGCCTCCGGCGGCAAAATCCTGCAAAAAAGTGAGGTTTAAAACGGAAAAAAAAGTGTCCCAGAAAGCGCTTACGTAAGCGTAGTGATACAAGCAAATTCACCGTCCTTTTCGCGCATTTGGGGCTATCTGCCACGGGAAATGAGCTAGAATCGCAACATAATCAAGGCAGAGACTGACCTTGTTGGCTTGGCAGAAGGCTTTCGAGGCCTATGGTGGAGGGCGGGTTCGTTCAGTAAAGGCTCGTGTGCTGCCTTGATGAAGGAATTGGAGCAAGACTGCGTTGAGCTTTTCAATAAAGTCGTTTATAGCATGAACGAGCAACGCACCTTATGGCAGCAGCGGCTATGAGTCCCCAACCAGCCTTCACTCCCTCTAATTGGAACGTGGTGGTGGTGGTAGTGAAGGATGCTGGAAGAAGGTAAGCACACTCCGCCGTTGTCAATATGGTTTAGCCACGTACCTCGGAGCCAAAAAGAAAACCGCTACTCGTTGCTCTACAGCCCTATTCCCACCCGTGCCCATCGACAGCGTTGCCCAGGTTGAAGTCGAAGAACGCGCTGCAGAAGACTTGAGTCAACAAAACAGAGAGGGCATAACTTGAAATCCGCACCTCTCGCTTCAAAAGACCTGATTCGCGAGTGCTGAGCTGCAGAACGGTCAGCAAGCAGGTGTGAGTGTATAGCCGGAAGACGGACTGTGTGTCGGAAGCCAAAGGAAAGACTGTCATGGTCGAAAGACAAGTCACGAATTTTGTGTGACGGCACGCGATAATCTTGACTTTGACTTCCTCCTTGACGCCCCAGCTATATCTGGCAAGCCGGCAAGCACTCAGGCGCTGTCTCAAGCTCTCACGGCCACTCAGTGCCGTCCTCAACTAAGTCTACAGCTACGACAGCAAAAATCCCGCTTCTTATGTGTCGATTCAAGCCGGAGACGATGTGAGTCTTGCGGTAGCTTGAAATAGGTGAGTTTTAGGCGAATTATAGCGGACCAATATGCTCACTTATCCCCCAAACGGACTGGACTCCCGGCAACGATGGCCTTTTGTGAAACTCGGCCCGCAATTGCGCCAGGGTCAAATGCCGAAAACAGAAGGGAAACGCCGACCACCACTACGACAGCGGTCTTCCAACGGCGACAACTCGCTAGCCGCTAGAGGCGGGGACAACGACCAGCAAGGTCTTCTCGAGGAGTCATTGGCGCGAAAATGCATGACAACAGCGACAACTCACGACCATCTCCCCCCATTCATTCACCACGACCGCCAACCCAACGGCTATTCCTAACAAACGGGGGCAACGACTAAAGCGTGTTGCTACTGAGTTGACGCCATTGAACTCGTCGTTGGAAAGCCATGCAAGTAACTTGCACGTCAGGTCAGTCCAGACCGTCAATGTAGAGAACGACAACTTACTCGTTCTGAAGGGCACGAACAACGGCTTTAACCTCTTTGGCAACAACGATGGCAGTGGCTCTGCCTCGCCCGCCGTCGTTTACGACCGCTAAGATTCAAGTTAGCACAAGAACACTAGGCGGATAGCGGCAAGACAGTCAATCCTCAACGCCGTCGGGCCAGTAACGAACTCGCGACCGTCAACCGCCTACTGCCCGATTCCAATTAAATTTGTGCTGACTTCGGGGCGGGAGCGGGCTAGTGGTGAATGGATGGGGGGTGATGATGAAGATGGCGGAGTCCTTCCTAGCGACAACGCCTGCGTTTCGAGAATGGGGGAGGGAATAATGGTTGGGGAAGCACTCTGCGAGTCAGGTCAGTCCAGGCCGTCAATGTGGATAGCGACAACTTACTCGTTGTGAAC